GCCCTCTATTATACTGGTCTCGATCTCCACCACCAAACTCCATTTTGGGCCAACGACTCAAGAAATACACGTAACATTAAACTGAATTTTCGTACACTCATTTGTCATAATGTTTGGCATCAAACGATTTCATTTCATAAAAAACGCCAAATAATCAAACTATTATTAAAGTAACAATACAGGGTTTTAATTGCGACAAATACCATCCTAATGGAAGTCAACAAGGATTTTTAACGTTTAAAACACCAGATTGTTACGATCATATTATATTTATAGCTCCACGGTTTCTCACGCCATTCAAACTACTTATGCTACACATCGTGAAAACTAATTGCACCAAATTTCAATTTAATCCATTTTGTATTTCTTGAGTAGTTCATCGGAAACCAGGTTGTTCTTTTTGTTCAGTTGTGCAGTATCCGTGTTGATGCGTTGTTGAGACCACTATTTATGTGGCGCGCCCTCTATTATAGTGGTCTCGATCTCTACCACCAAACTCGATTTGGGAGCCAACAATTCAAGAAATACACGTTACATTAAACTGAATTTTCGCACACTCATTTGTCATGATGTTTGACATCAGAAGATTTAATTTCATAAAAAACGTCAAATAATCAAGATATTATGACCGTAACAATACAGGGTTTTATTTGCGACAAATACCATCCTAATGGAAGTCAACATGGATTTTTAACCTTTAAAACACTAGATTGTTACGATCATATTATATTTATAGCTCCACGGTTTCTCACGCCATTCAAACTACTTATGCTACACATCGTGAAAACTAATTGCACCAAATTTCAATTTAATCCATTTTGTATTTCTTGAGTAGTTCATCGGAAACCAGGTTGTTCTTTTTGTTCAGTTGTGCAGCATCCGTGTTGATGCGTTGTTGAGACCACTATTTATGTGGCGCGCCCTCTATTATAGTGGTCTCGATCTCTACCACCAAACTCGATTTGGGAGCCAACAATTCAAGAAATACACGTTACATTAAACTGAATTTTCGCACACTCATTTGTCATGATGTTTGACATCAGAAGATTTAATTTCATAAAAAACGTCAAATAATCAAGATATTATGACCGTAACAATACAGGGTTTTATTTGCGACAAATACCATCCTAATGGAAGTCAACATGGATTTTTAACCTTTAAAACACTAGATTGTTACGATCATATTATATTTATAGCTCCACGGTTTCTCACGCCATTCAAACTACTTATGCTACACATCGTGAAAACTAATTGCACCAAATTTCAATTTAATCCATTTTGTATTTCTTGAGTAGTTCATCGGAAACCAGGTTGTTCTTTTTGTTCAGTTGTGCAGCATCCGTGTTGATGCGTTGTTGAGACCACTATTTATGTAGCGCGCCCTCTATTATAGTGGTCTCGATCTCCACCACCAAACTCGATTTGGGGCCAACAATTCAAGAAATACACGTTACATTAAACTGAATTTTCGCACACTCATTTGTTATGATGTTTGACATCAAAAGGTTTAATTTCATTAAAAAAAAACGTCAAATAATCAAACTATTATGAACGTAACAATACAGGGTTTTATTTGCGACAAATACAATCCTAAGGAAGTCAACATGGATTTTTAACGTTTAAAACACCAGATTGTTACGATCATATTATATTTATAGCTCCACGGTTTCTCACGCCATTCAAACTACTTATGCTACACATCGTGAAAACTAATTGCACCAAATTTCAATTTAATCCATTTTGTATTTCTTGAGTAGTTCATCGGAAACCAGGTTGTTCTTTTTGTTCAGTTGTGCAGCATCCGTGTTGATGCGTTGTTGAGACCACTATTTATGTGGCGCGCCCTCTATTATATTGGTCTCGATCTCCACCACCAATCTCGATTTGGGGCCAACAATTCAAGAAATACACGTTATTTTTAAACTGAATTTTCGCACAATCGTTTGTCATGATGTTTGACATCAAAAGATTTAATTTCATAAAAAAAACGTCAAATAATCAAACTATTATGACCGTAACAATACAGGGTTTTAATTGCGACAAAAACCATCCTAAAGGAAGTCAACATGGATTTTTAACGTTTAAAACACCAGATTGTTACGATCATATTATATTTATAGCTCCACGGTTTCTCACGCCATTCAAACTACTTATGCTACACATCGTGAAAACAAATTGCACCAAATTTCAATTTAATCCATTTTGTATTTCTTGAGTAGTTCATCGGAAACCAGGTTGTTCTTTTTGTTCAGTTGTGCAGCATCCGTGTTGATGCGTTGTTGAGACCACTATTTATGTGGCGCGCCCTCTATTATATTGGTCTCGATCTCTACCACCAAACTCGATTTGGGAGCCAACAATTCAAGAAATACACGTTACATTAAACTGAATTTTCGCACACTCATTTGTCATGATGTTTGACATCAAAAGGTTTAATTTCATTAAAAAAAAACGTCAAATAATCAAACTATTATGAACGTAACAATACAGGGTTTTATTTGCGACAAATACAATCCTAAGGAAGTCAACATGGATTTTTAACGTTTAAAACACCAGATTGTTACGATCATGTTATATTTATAGCTCCACGGTTTCTCACGCCATTCAAACTACTTATGCTACACATCGTGAAAACTAATTGCACCAAATTTCAATTTAATCCATTTTGTATTTCTTGAGTAGTTCATCGGAAACCAGGTTGTTCTTTTTGTTCAGTTGTGCAGCATCCGTGTTGATGCGTTGTTGAGACCACTATTTATGTGGCGCGCCCTCTATTATATTGGTCTCGATCTCCACCACCAATCTCGATTTGGGGCCAACAATTCAAGAAATACACGTTATTTTTAAACTGAATTTTCGCACAATCGTTTGTCATGATGTTTGACATCAAAAGATTTAATTTCATAAAAAAAACGTCAAATAATCAAACTATTATGACCGTAACAATACAGGGTTTTAATTGCGACAAAAACCATCCTAATGGAAGTCAACATGGATTTTTAACGTTTAAAACACCAGATTGTTACGATCATATTATATTTATAGCTCCACGGTTTCTCACGCCATTCAAACTACTTATGCTACACATCGTGAAAACAAATTGCACCAAATTTCAATTTAATCCATTTTGTATTTCTTGAGTAGTTCATCGGAAACCAGGTTGTTCTTTTTGTTCAGTTGTGCAGCATCCGTGTTGATGCGTTGTTGAGACCACTATTTATGTGGCGCGCCCTCTATTATATTGGTCTCGATCTCTACCACCAAACTCGATTTGGGAGCCAACAATTCAAGAAATACACGTTACATTAAACTGAATTTTCGCACACTCATTTGTCATGATGTTTGACATCAAAAGATTTAATTTCATAAAAAAAAACGTCAAATAATCAAGATATTATGACCGTAACAATACAGGGTTTTATTTGCGACAAATACAATCCTAATGGAAGTCAACATGGATTTTTAACCTTTAAAACACTAGATTGTTACGATCATATTATATATATATCTCCACGGTTTCTCACGCCATCTAAACTACTTATGCTACACATCGTGAAAAATAATTGCACCAAATTTCAATTTAATCCATTTTGTATTTCTTGAGTAGTTCATCGGGAACGAGGATGTTCTTTTTGTTCAGTTGTGCAGCATCGGTAACAATAATTATGATCCTCTGAATTCATTTATTCTTCAAAATTGTAGCAAAAGCAAAGGTTGTATAATTTCCTTTAACCCTAAAGGGTCGGGTTAGTTTGACCAGCTCTCAGCCGGGGGTGGGGTGGATTCTGCCCCCCCCCCCCGCCCTAAAAACTCGACCTTCAAGCGACGAAACAACTTATCATAAACATACCCAAGAAATTTCATAACTATTGGTCAAAGGGTTTTTGGATTGATGGTTAATTAATTATTCATATGTACAAATGGTAATTCTGCTCTGTGTTCACGACGAATATGGGGAAATTCGGTGTTTAAGGCGCGTAGCGCCGGACGGCAACCCGTGGTCTGATTTTTATGTTTTTGGTATCAAAAGATGCGCAAGGCTCGGGGATAAAAAGTCATAACAGTTCGTTTGGCGGAAAAAAAATTCAAGGCTATCGCAGAAAAAATCGAGGGGGCGGATTCCGCCCCGGCCCCTTTAGGGTTAAACAAAGAAGAATTCTAAGGTGGGGACTTTCTTTTTGGTCGAGTGTAGTTACATTTACAGTTCTGTTGGGGAGACTAAATAAATTATCAGGGCTTTAAGGGTATTACAGTCGAGAAAATAAATCCTTTTCAGACTTCAAAACGTCTAAGGTTAGTTACAGGCATGGTAAGAAGATTCATGCCATGACAAATTTTTGGCCAATAACAGCATTATAAACATTGGTACTTTGGTGGACAAAACGCCACAGATGCATAACAGCCGTAGATAGTGTGCAGCCAACGTCTGTAAAGGAATGTACAACTTTTGTTTTTGCTGTAATTTTCAGAATTTTTTTTTTAATGTTTGCAAATGTATCTTCCCTTTTACATTTGTTTAACACCATTCTGCGGTTTGAAACATTTATCATTCATAAAAACTACCACAATTCGAAGTTGCTTAAGTGGCTTATTTCCGGACCATTGACAATAGACACGTGCGCGGGTGTTTTAATTTGTTTTTGACTCCACCCCCCCCCCCAAAAAAAAAATTCCTTGCCCCCCCCCCACCCCAATGGCCCCCACCCCCTCTTTTAGAGGGGGGGGGGGGGTAGAGAATATTGGGGGGAGCAATTTATGCCCCCGTAGCGCTGCTGCCATATGAAAATCGGACTCTTTTTCCCTTTTATTGATTAAACCCTCTCACGTGACCGGTCCCTCTCCTAATTATCTATGCATGAGCATGCGCAATGCCACCAATGAGTCCGTATTTCATAAAACCTAAATTCATGCTAGAGCCACACCCCCACTCCCAATTCAGAAGGATACATAAACTCCGAACAAGTACATAAAGTCACCGATTTTTTTCAACAGGACTTTGAAGGGCGCCCTCTTTGACATTTTTGTCATGTTCGGGATGTCGCAGGGAGTCGCAGAATTTTTCTGCTCAGCAAAAGACAATTCTGGTTAACCATCAAAACCATGGCATATAAGTGCACAAAGTAACTGTCGATATGGCAAATGTAGATAAGTTAGCGAGGGCCTTCGATGCGTTAAAAACGCACCAGCAGGGAGGAATCAGCGATGAAAGTGGTTTACGGTGGGTGTGATTCCTTACCAAGTTACCGCACAGGGTACAGGCTAAAGTCGTGTATTTCCGACATTAGGCATTATGTTTTGGGCGATCGTGTACTGTAGTGTAGCCTAGGGCCCGGTTAGTATAAGGGAACAAAATCCACTTTAAAATTATTAGACTGACCCAACTAGTTGGCGAAATGGGGGGGGGAGGAATCCGTAATCATTACATACGAAGCGGGCTGCTCGCCGTTGTACTTTCTCTAGGTTGATTTTATTGTTGTTGTTGAAGGGGTCCCATACGGCTCCACAATACTCCAGTTTGGGTCTTGTGACTTGTAAGTTGTAACTTGTATGCGTTCTCTTTGACAGATTTACTGCATGCATGAAGATTTCTTTTAAGAACGCCGAGGGTTCTATTAGCTTTCCCAGTCACTTGATTTATATGTGTTGCCCAGCTTAAATCCTTGCTTATTTCGACACAAAGGTATGGGTGATGGTCAACTGCCACTAGTGTATGACTGCCCATGTTGTATTCTGAGATGAGTGGTTTGATCTTGTGTGAGACATGCATGGTATGCATGAGACAGGAGAAAACACTTAGAAATTTTCAGACCAGTCCCATAGGGTTTGTGCACAGGGTGACAATTAATGGCCAGATATGGGAATCTTTCGGGCGAAATTCTCAATAAACAGGTATGTCATAGATAGAGGGCAGGGTTTTTAATAAAAAAAAATAGGGAAATTTGGGGGTAAAATGACAATGACAGCGCGGTGACAACACGAAACCCGAAAATAGCACGCATGACGTGCAGAATTGCAAGGCTCAAACCGCGCAGGAAAATTATGATTTCTACCCCAAAAAACTGTTCACAATTGCAAAACGGGTGTCATTAGAATTTAAAAAAGTGTCCTTTTGATTGTAAAGGTTTTTTTTTTAGCAATAAAAAAACATTTGTGACTCTAATTTGATCAAAACCAAACTGTGTTGTGAGCCACACAGTGGTGATAGTGATAGCAATGTGTGGGAGAAAGTAGATTTGGAGGAAATTGATATCAGGACGTTTTTTTTCACTTGATATTTAATGTATAAAATTTTCACCTGGTCAATAACTAGAGAAAATCAAAAGATCAAGTGTACATGACCCGTGACCCAGAGAAAATTGCTGCAATTTTTTTGGTACCAACTCAATTTAGCTTTCGTCAAAATCAACAGTAGCTACATGTATCACCACTGTGTGGCTCATAGTTATTAGTCCAGTATTTGAGCCACATTTGGAGTCTAGGCTGTGTCCTGATTTTTTTATTTAAAAATCAGCGTTTTTTTTCTTACAGAAAAAAAGATGGCACTCTCAGCAAAAAAGAGAGAATATCACACTGTACAACAATCGCAGATGGCATATGCTCTTCATCATTCAGGTTGGTGCTCCTGCTTTTTATCTGAATCACTTTTTTTTAGGTAATAAAAGGGATAAATGTATGAGATATATCGACCACTTTATTGATTTACGAGGAGAGTAAAATTGATAACCAGAAATTGACAGCGTGCAAGTAATCATTTTTAATATTGTTAAATATGTTTGCTTGGAAGGATTTGCATTTGAGAACAATTTAAAATTAACCCTGATCCCTGTAACAAAAGTCCTTGTTTTTATTACAAAATTAAAACATACAAAACAACTAGAGGTTGTAGGAACAACCACACGGTGTTGGGCCATTGATTACCGCAAACTTTGCCACACACTTCAACTCAAAATATGCATGTTGAAATCCATGTTTGAATTTTTCAACATGCCGCCAGAGGGCGCTCTAACATTTGATGACGTCACCTGTAAAATTTTTGTAGAGTGATGCCTAGGCAGACACTGACATCGTTGAAAGGAAGTTCGCATCTTCTGCCAATTCCAAATAAAAAGGCGCTTCCGGTTTCGACCGGAAGGAAGGGTCACGTGATTTTGCACTTAATACCAAAAATATTGTATCGATTGCCATAAAAAACAAAATCAAATGTGTAGCAGTTGATTTTATATTGATTTTCAAAGATTAAATCTAGAAACCTTTGATTGCTTGTAATATGATACTTGTTGACGTCATTGTGACGTTATTACCAGAAAGTTCAAGAGCTATTTTAACCGTGCTATATATTGCCAAATCTTGATTATATTTATCACGGTTGATTTTTTTGCAATTTTTGAAGGTTTAAAGGTCTTTTTATTGTTACTTCCGATCTGATGACGTAATCAAATTTTTTTCGCGCATAGGTCTTGTCTGCAATTAAGGTCAAAGCCCAACACCTAATTAAAGCAAATAACCTCTAATTTTATATTTGCCAGATGCGCTTGTTATTTAGAAACGCATGTTGAAATACAATGTATATGTGCTAACATTATGTTCTGATGGTCAACATACAGTTCTGCCAAATAGAATAGTGATTTATTCATCTTTTTTTTTCAATATTGATAGAGCTGTTGCTGATTTTCCAAAGTTTTTGGGAATTGCAATGGAGCTGTTCTTTGCTGCTTGTGATGATGAGGAATCTGATGTGAGACTAAAGGCAGATGAGTGCTTGAATAAGTGCATCAAGGTAAATACAAATCTATGACAAATTGGTCTCTTTAACCCTTACTCCGTAGGCATTTTTGCTTGGATGCAACCTCAATCCTGCAAAATCCGCAAAGTGCCTTCACGTAAAAATTGCATACAGCCTAAATCCTCCGTTATGTGTTAAATGTGTTCCCTGGAGGGTGACCACTGCCTCAACCCTGCAAAATCCTCCAGCAGTCACGATCAATATGTTGAGGCAGAGCCAGTGACATTCTGGATAAGGCCTTGACTGGTACCAGTAAGCCAACCGCTGATTGCAGGTACCCGACTCCATTTTATCGATTATTGCAGTTAATTAAAAGAAAAGAACCAATCACAACACAGGTACCAAGTGTGCATGGGATGAATGACAAAGCATTAAGGCACGGCACTAATTGCACAGTATGCAACTTACCGTAGGCTGGCCTGCGAGGGATGGCGCAGCCAGCCTTTATGCACCTTTGCTAGCCGTGATGTGTATACACAGTGTGCTGACTGATGGCTACTCAAACAACTCCATGTAAACATCGGTGAACATCACTAACTTTGCCACAATAATGACTCAATCTCAGGTTAACTATATTTTATTTCACACTTAGAAATTTACAATTTCATTCACCGGGTCTCTTAACAAATAAAAAGGAATCTAATTTAAGTTGCAAAGTAGGCCCGTAAAATTTTTAGTTGACGAACGATAGTTAAGTGAGCACGTCACTGCAGCGCATGCGCAGGCGCCAGCATCTTGGCAGTAGAGTGGGTGGGGATGCAGTGGAAAATACTTTATTTCTAGGTTTTTGTTGTGATTTAAAAAATAATAACGGGTTAGCGGGTACCCGCCCATTACAGGAATCGGGTACCCAGTCCCAACAAAACCTGTATACGCACACCCTTAATTCTGGAGCAGTGCAAAGGATTTCAAGTATAATCTTGGCCTAAACAGGCTAAATTTATGCAAGGCTAAGCATAAACAACACAAGGTGGCCAAAGACCTTGACACAGTGCGTTCTCCAAAATCAACCACACGTTTTTGCCATATAGCCTCAATCCTGCAAAATCCTCCATTTTGTAAAGCAGATTTTGGAGAGTTTGGGAAGGTTTGGGTTAATGGACTAAGGAAATAGAACAAAAATGCAAACTTACACAACACAAATAACAACCTGGGTTTTGGCGGGTTTTGTTTGTTTACCTATTTCTATCAGGTATCCATGGATGGTAACTTGGGGCGTGTTCAACTGGAACTCTACAAAGAAATTAAAAAGGTAAAATAAATAAACTAACTGGAGTAGAAGTTATGATGTTGAATTGTGGTCCTTATCACACAATCTTCTTGAAGCCTCAAGTGTGTCCTAATCCTCATACTCATATTTTACTCTTTAATAATTGGTACAATTGCTTGTCACATCTGTACATTTGTAATTGAACCATTTTTAGCAACATTCCACTGAAAAGTATCATTCAAACACTTTTATATAATTCATGCAGAATGGCCCATCACGTTGCCTCCGTGCTGCCATGTGGCGATTTGCCGTCATGGCACATCTAATCAGACCTCAGAAATGTCGCCCTTATGTCATCAATCTTCTTCCTTGTATTCCCAAGATCTCAAGACGACAGGATGATGCAATACAGGTATCTTATCAAAACAAGCTACGATTAATGGAACCCCACCCCCCCCCCCAAAAAAGTGCAATGTTGTGTTTTGTTTCATGACGACTATTATCGTCATTTTTGTTTTATCTCAGTCAACCTCAGTCCCAGACATTGTCTTACTAGAACAAGGCACTCTCTAACAGATATCCCCCAGACATCCAGATCTCTCAATTGGGACCCCATACCGGCTATTATGCACTTTTAAGACGTGTCCTGAAGTACAGTCTGCACATATGTCATTAATAATATACAATAAAGGGCACCAAAAAGAACAAAAAAAGATTTGATTAATAATTGTTTAGTCCCTTTGTTAAACTACCATTAAACTGCCATGTATTTTAAAGTCATTAATTAATATGGTCAAAAACATGTGTAATGTCATTTGTTATTTTCTGTTCTATTTTAAGGAAACTTGTGCATTCGGACCATAAGCTAAGCCTCTCATTCAGCAATTCCTCTTTACATCAAACATTTTAGCTTATAACATATTTAAATATCATTTTTCTGTTTGGATTGGCTTTTTCATTGAACTTTTCACAACATTAATATTTCAGGAGGCAATGACAAACTTCATGCAAAAGGTTTTGCCCATTTTGGGATCCTTTCTGACAGACACAGAAGTAAAGGTATTGTACCAGTATCTTTATTGCATCAGACCTGTCATAAACTGATAAACTTAACCAATAATATCAAGAACCCTCTTTATTTTTAAATGTTTTCTTTGTGATCTGTTGTTGCACTATCGTCACAACTGTGTATACAGTCGACTTTCATTAGTAAAAACTCTGTTAATACAAAATTCTGGTTATAACAAACATAAAGCCGTGGTCCCGACTGTGCATTTATGTACACAATGAATGGGACTGATGTTCCTCTTTAATACAAAAATCTGATATAACAAACAATTTGGCTAGGTCCGAACGAGTTTGTATTAATGAGACTCGACTGTAATTAGAGCAGAGGCCCAGAAAAGTCAACAAATGGGTAATTCTTAATTCCCTTAGTCCCTTTGACAATTGAACATACCTGTTTTTCTTTGCACTCAACTAATTCTCTGACATAACTCATTGCACTGGATATATCTTCACAATTGTACATAATTACAGCAAAGAGGCCCAGAAAAGTCAACAAATGAGTAATTCGTAATTCCCTTGTTCCCTTTGACGAGTGTACATAACTGTTTTTCTTTGAACACGGCTGATTCTCTGACACAACTCATTGCATCATTTATCAATGACTAAACACTAGCATTTGCATTTTGGCTTTGAATCAGAATCTGATGAAGGTACTTTATCCGAATGTCAAGCATCCTTCAGCTGCTACCCGACGTACCGCAGCCAGTTGCCTAACACTCATATGTCAATATGGACGCAAGCCAGCACTTTACTTCTCTATGCTTGTCAAGACATTACTGAGTGAGTCTTTAAGACAGTCATGAATCAAGAATATGTAATGTTAAGACAAGCAAACAGACTGACTTTTGAATACTCCCTTATGATGAACCTCACAATAAGTTAACGTCTTTTTGTTTTTCATTCTTACTGTATAGTAAATGTATTTCTTTACAAACAGGATGTTTTGTTCAGTTGATCACATATCATCTTAGAATAATAAACCATAAAACTATACTACTGTCAGTCAGCTGAAAACAAATAGTGTGAATACTATATGTGTGAATACTTAATACAGGCAATTGGGATTCAATGGTTAAAATTCAATCATTGTTGACTGTCACCAATCTGTGGTGGTTTTTTTTAAGTGTTTGTCATCCCAGTGAAGGAAGATCGCAATATCCAGATGATTCTTGGAGTTCTCTTGTGCTTCAGACATGTCATCCCTCACCTTGCAAGTCAAGAAGTCAAAGAACTGGGGTTAAAGGGCAGCTTTGGAGTGACCAAGAAAGAAGAGGAGGGTGGAGTCACTTCTGAACAACTACAGCAGGTGGCTCATTCAGCACTTGATCAATCAATAATAGAAATTTGTGGTCATGTTTAATTATTTGTATAATCTGGAAAATGACACTAATGGGGATTAACTTATTAAACAAAACTAATATCAGGATCTTTGAAGGAAAAGGCGTGATGAAATTGAATTAATAGAGACAGGAGACAAAAATTAAGATATCAAACAAAAAGGACCAAAAAGAATTAATTTACAAGAACTGCAAAGCAAAGACCAATAACCAACTTAAAAGACTAAACCCTTAAGTCAAACTAAAGACTACAACCAGAAACTAAAAGCAAAGACTAAAACCTGAAACAAACACAGTGTGTAATATAATGATGGACCTTCCAAGACATTTCTGGAAGAAACTCTATAACTCTAGCAGAGCAAATGCACACAGGGCAGGGTGCTCCCAAGAAAAGGGGAAAGAGAGGAAGCTCAAAGATATAGTGCTCTCTTCTTGCCACTGGTCTGTTACTGAGGGTGTCTGTGGTCTGACAGGCTGGTAGGGCACATGGTATGGGGGGGGGGGGAGGGGGGCAATGACACGGGTGTAATTTGCATACAATGTGAAATAGTTACTGGGGAAAGTTACTGGCTAACAAGGGTACACACTACTATAATAATAATAATAAAAATGATTATAATTACCCTGGATTGGACATTTGGGAGACATCCCCATAGAGTCATGCACAAAATTTTTAAAACTGAAATGTGCCCAAACCCATATTCCCTTGTCCTTTTTCCACGAATATCAGTATGTTTACTAATTAGACCACGAGCAACAAAAATAACCTAATTGCGACAATAAAATTTTGACTCTAAAGGGGGCTATGACATTAGGGAGACATGAAAATGTATCCCTAATGACTGAAGTCTCCCACCGTTCGAAGAAATTATGATACCGTGTCTCCTTAATGGTACCTTTACACGTTTTATAATAGCGGGGTTTTATTAAGCGCTTTTAACTATTAAAAATCAAAGCGCTTTACATTATTATTACCCCTGATCATTGGGCCAATTAAACATTACAAATACCATTTCAGCTCGATGCTGCCTGTTGGGTGCAAGGAAGCTGGAATCAATCACAATAGCCATCTATGAAAGGATGAGGGACATCTTCTAACAAATAGGCTGGATTTATTTTACTAAAAGTACTAAACAATAAAAAAAAAATTGTGAAACTTGGCCCTGCCACACTTGCATAAATTTGTATGAAATAGCGTTATAACGTCTTTTCTCCTTGATGAAACCATATACTGTAGTGCTAGTTGGGTTGTGGGAGGTTATAGGGAATAACAGGCAGTGGTTTTTGATGGCACAGGAACTAATGGGATTATGAAGTATTTTTTGATTTCTTCATTGTTAGATGTCTTCTTTAGTGTAGGTATGTGTTGGAATAAAGTAGATCAAATGTTTCTTTTATTCATTCTTTGCATGCATTTATGCAGATCTATGAATTCCTCCTGTACTGTACCCAGCACCGTGATCATAATGTTGTCACAGCTACTCTTGAGACCTTACAACAATTATTGCGCACCCCTCCACCACCATTACTGAAGATTCTGCTGACTAGAGGTAGCATTACTGCTGTTACAATATTTGAAGAAGAGACGGGAAAAACACCAGAGAATGTGGATGATTCTGCAGGGGGTAGGTTACCCAATGGAAAAAGAAGTTTTGTTTCTTTTGTTTTTAAGAACACCAAGAGACCAATTTGAATTCATTTCTGACTCTAAGATTTGTATGAGTGTATACACACACCTGGTTCCTTATGGGGCAGCAAGCACAACAGGGACAATAGAACCCACAAGTCAGTCTTTAGAAATCTATCGGCTCCATAAGGGAAACGCTATAGAGTTTGAGATTTCAAATAGAACAAAGGAGAACAAAAGAAGGGGAAACAAAGGTCTTCCCCACAATTATGTGTATGTAAGGCTATGATCTTCTTATCCCATTACGACCGAGGACTTGGGACAATGGGGTGTGTGCGATAACAAATACCTCAAGGACCTGAGCCAGGTCCTCGGGAGGTTTTTGTGTGCAAACTTTATTTGAGATGTTGATAAAAAGTAAAATTACAACCAATAGGAACAAACAAAAAAAAGTTAACAAGAGGAGGTCCTCATAAGTATAGTGAGTGAGACAAAGCCCCATTAAATGTACGCTCTTAAAAAAAGTTTGTTACGAAGTATGTTAAAGCAATCTTGAATCTTAGTACCCCGCTTTCAAGGCTTATCTGTGACTGATTTTGATTACAATATTTGCACAGGAAGTCAAGCTCCAAGCCTTTTCGGTGATTCTGGTCTGGATGAAGATTCTGATACAGTAAGCTTAACTACTACTGGCTCCATCACCACTGACATACCATCTTCAACAAGTACATCTGATACAGGAATGGACTCTGAATCGGCTATTAGTATGCTTGCTAACTTACCAGATGTTCCCCTTCTACCTGGGGAAATTGGTAACCCAGAACCTCTTGTTGATGACTCTGAAGTACTAGTGAATGACAGCCAAGGAGAATATTCTAATGTTGCCATCGGTGATATTGATGAAGATTCTATCAACCAAGACAGCATGGTGTTTCTTGGAGACCAGATGAGACAAATGTCAATTGACAGATTGGATGTGGAAGTTGGACTGGATGCAAGGAGGTTGGTTGGTTCTGATTTATTGAGAGTAGAGGAGATGGACTTACAAGATGATACAAGTAGAGAAGACTCATCAGCCAAAAACTCACCAACTTCAGAAGTCAAAACAAAACAAGGAGATATTGGTAAATATGTATGATCACTGTACCTGATGTTTGACATAAACTCTCCTATGCACATATACATTCTGTGCAAAGATGTCCTTTCAGTCGAAATCAATCAAGTGACTATTTTTACAACCTTTCAGTCAAAATCAATCAAGTGACTGTTTTTATAAGTTACGAGCTCCAAACCTACATAAAGCAGGATTGACTGGCTGTGACTGTTTATGTAACTTGATACAGCTATGCTTTGACTGTAGGTGAGTGATATGCCAGCCATGCCTACCACTTGCCTGCTTTTGTCTGTTGACTGGTCACAGTGCTTGGTTGAAAAACAATCTGACTGTTGTTGACTAGCCTGTGTGAAAGAAAAGTGTTAAAAAATTAGCGAGGTGCAACAGAAGTATTTTTTTTAAAGGAAGAATTACCGAATTCCTTTAATAGAAAATGTTCACAATTACACATCAATATACAATAACTTTTTGTGATGTAGGTATTCATTACATCTTTGTACCATGTGTCATTTAGTATGATTGTTCTCATTGATATATTAGCCAAAATTAATGTCTGCGTTTAGTTGCACATATATTTGATTTAAGCAATCATTCCTTCATCACCCAAACTGCCGCACCTTTTGCCCCCTAAACCCCCAAACCACTCAAGCCCTGCATACTTTTATGGATTCATCAGAGAATGAACAAATATAGGCCTAATACAATGTACATGTAATACATTTGCTAATGGGTTAAATCCTTCTCAATAGGTCACTACACAGATGAGGACTATCCTATCATTCACTGTATACGACTCCTAGGCTCCACCTACCTTCTGACTGGATACACCGGTGGATCCATGCCAGATAGAAGTGTTAGGATTAGTGTGAAAGCCCTAGCATTGAGTTGTGTTGGACTTATGGTTGGAATGCATCCTAGAATCTTCTTTGCCAGGCTCTTCAAGACAGACTCTACAGAATCTCCAGAAGGTACGTTCACATTCATGTTTGAGAGATGTTATCCGACTGTTTCTATCATATTTTATTTCACAGTGGTCACCCTCAGAGAAAGCGCCTCTTCTTCCCTATTATTTAGGCATTGGAAACTCATTGGCTAATTAATAAATTAATTAATTAATCAGTGCCTTTTTGATGCATCAAATCCTTGATGACTAATCAGCTTCCTTGTAATGTTGAATGTGTTCTCAATTATTTATTGACCATGTAATTACTGTTGCAGTGATTGTTCATCATACTATGCCACTCTTGTAAGGTACGGTTATCAGTATATAAATATTGTCATGTTTTTGTAGATGACCAGTTGATACGTGATATCTTGGCATACATGAGTCATAGCGATCACCAACTTCGTGGCCAGACAACGCTGATCATTGGAAACCTGATCAGAGCATCATTAGTTGAATCCTGCTATGATTTCACAAGATGGTGCTGGGATACATGCCAAGATCACCTTTTCACGGGTAAGGCAGCACATGCACATTGAGCACATGCTTAAGAACAATGTCTTAATATGGAATAGACACATGGTGACAGCTTCAGAATCACCAGTGCTGACATAATTAAATAGAATTCATTAATACCTAAGATAGGTTACCCATTCTTATTGGTTGAGAATCCGTAACATGGATAGTTTTAGATGGTTAATAAAACTTTACAAATTTAAACACCTTTCTGGTGTCACATGAAATATAGACTGCTAAATCTGGTCCCTTTTACCCTGTTATTGATTGAACGTTCACAATCTTCACTTAGGCATGTGCAATACTACCAGTGAGTCCGTATTTCAAGAGTCCTCCTGACCATTTACACTACTACCAGCACCGCTGCACCACATCCCGCAGTACGCGCCACATGCGCCCCTATCTCCATGTAAGGAGATGTTTATGACTACTTGCAAGAGTCACATACATGTACCATAACAATGCTAGACAGGTGTTTAAAAAACATGAAGTAATATTGGTGAACAGAATCATTGGAAATTTAAAGTTTTGACTTGTTTTGACTTTTGACCGACTGGTATTTATGAATGGGAATAAATATGTACCTACCATTTTCGGCGTCCAGGCCCCAAGCTGGTATAAACGGCCAAGCACATATTTATTCCCTTATTAAAGTTTACATATATGTTCTGCCTTGTAATTGACAGATCCAATGAGTTTAGACTACTTAGTGTCCTTGTTGTCCACATCACTCAAAGATGAATCATCAGTAACAATGAGAAGTGCTTGCCATGCCATCAAGGTAAGCTTTACAACATAGATTTTTCAATTAGGTCAGTGAGTAAAATAATCATCAGACATCAGACATTCGTAAGATGGGTCAAAATATTTTTGCCCCAAGTACTTTTTGTCTAATGTCACCCTATAGAAAATGTAAAGAGTGATGTAGTGGTCAGGGAATACCTAATAATGGCATTTGGGTGTTGCTTGTTCACCCCAAACTATTCCCATCAACACTGCAGCTGAAGTTAGGAATTGAGATTTTTGAAGTTGACAGAGTTATGACTTCGAAATGGTTTGAGTAGAATCACAAGCCTGATTTTGAGTTTGATTGAGTATTCTTGTGATTTTTTTCATGATCTTATACTTAAAGCTTTGCCTATTAGACCTGTGTAAGAGTCGTCATGGTAACCTCGGCCTTCAACTGACCTATGACCTATTTGAACTCAACAAGTGTTCCTATTGGCTGGTGCAGGTGGAACTTCTGGATCTACTGAGTTGCATAGACTTCAAGTAGGTATTGAGGGAATAAACGAGAAAGAAATCTTTGATAACTATAAAATGGAGACGTATAATTTATGAAGAAACATAGTTTCTCTTTGGTTATGTTGGTTTAGTTCAAATTCAGCAATGACAAGAGGCAATAGCATACAACAAATCAAACTTGTTGTAGAATCAGGTAATGGATTTATCTGTGAGACATTCTGGCAGAATAGGATGGAACGCTAACTGGGCACAGGCCGTAGTGGAGACAAATGCAAGAAACTGAATGGAGTTGATATTTTTTATTTTATTTTGAGATTTATTCTCATTTGTAATTTTTGAGATGTCTACTACACATGTGAAAAAGCTAGTATAAAAATGTTGAATAAAAAGTGTATTTAAAGAAAAGCAATTGATATCTTTCATTTTCACAAATTCAAAATTCAAATTTTCGTGGCCTGTTATCGATATTCTACTTTTTGTACATGTTGATAAATTCACGCTGTAAACAGACATAACGAAGTGCAACAAACAGAGTTGTAAGGAGAATTTATTCTTTCCTAATATCCGCAAACCCGCATTTCAACCTCTGCCCAGTTCTATCTCATTTTGCCAGAACGCCTCACATATTTAAAAAAAAAAAAATTGTGATGCACAGCTTTTAATCTCTAATGAAATTAAAGTTCAGTAGTCAAGATGCGCAAATTTCAAGGTGCTGAGTACTTGTAAACTTCTAAGAATCACTTGATGTATCATAGAAACTACTAGCAAATGGTATTTTAAACTTCCTCAACAGGCTGATGCAGTTTTTAGAGAACAGACAAAGACATGCAACGCACCCCAATTATTTGACCAAGGTAATCATAAATAATATTTAGTGATGAGTACAAGAGTATAAAGTACTAAATACATGTAATACTAAAATTGCATGTTTTTTCTTTGCGCATAGAGGAATGTTAATTAAATCATGCACTCACCAATTAAAACTGAGGTGAAAAATACTAAAATGAAACTAAAACTTACTTAAGAATTGTTATTGGGTATGAAAGAGTTTACATTGATGTATTCTATAATGTTTTGCAACAGTTGAACAGTGTGCAGGAATTTGTCCTGCATGAAGTGGTACTCAAGTTCCTGGGCAGTTATGACATACGTGTCAGACAAGCTGCAGCTGAAGCAATCGTCAAGTAAGACATTTAAAATGTAACACTTCCTAAGTTTTGACTTTCATATTTTATGTGTTCTATTTACCCATGCTCTACCAGACCCTCCAATTCACTTCAGTGCTTTAAAGAAATGACTCGCCTATGTTTGTTGCACAACCCTCCAATATCTGCCACTGTACTGTGGGGCTGCACCACAGTACATGTACACTGCAAGAACTACCAAAGGGTATTGAAAGATAGCTTGGTCATGCTGTGAGGAAAGTCTTTGGTCAGCAGTAACAGTGAGACCAAAGTAAACATGTTTGTGGCAGGATCCCCAAGCCCTCTTAATTCCTCCAAACTAGCACCTTTGCTGTGCAGCAAATAGCTTTTTAATACTCTCCAGTTGGAGCCCTTAAATCAATTGGTAGGTGGGTCAAAGCATCTACTTATTTACTTCTGTGGAGCAAATCGGCATGTCAAAGTGGCATGCACTAAACTACACCAAAAGAGCAAGGGTAAGCTCCTCTGTAATTTTTCCTTGAATAATTACATCCTAGACTATTCTATCCCGTAGATTATCCCCACTAGGATCTGTTGTCTGCATTAGTACATTCATTAACTTGGCTGTAATTTTGCCTAATAGGTTGATACCAAGGCTATTCTATCCCGTGGACTACCCCCACCAAGATCCATTGTCTGCATTAGCTAAGGACCAAGTGGCTCAACACTTGGACCCTGTCATAGGAGATGCTATGCACTACTCCCAGGTAAGCTTACTGGGATTATTTTCAAGGGGACATAAATTCAGACCAATTGGCAGATTTGAAAAGGAAAGATAATATGCAACTTGACAGTGGTTTCCACATTACATAGACTATTGTCCGATTACCAGCTGTTGAGAAGTAATTCAGACACAGCCAAATTTAACTTTAAAAAAACATAAAAATTGATATAAATTGAAATCAATGGACTTTTTTGGGTAAATTGTTCATGTTAGGCTCAGACCACTGCTATGAGCGAGATTGTCATCTTCAACAGTGGTCCAGAGGGAGGAAGAGCCACTGTTGACTCAGCTTTATCCAGAGTTGTTGACTTAATTGTGAAAACAATGAATGCTTGCTCATCCAAGTACATCAAGGTAGGCCAATAACAAAAATATGAATGTGTAAGCTGCGTTTCACTAGTAATAGATAGCACACGCAGTAAAACCTGTTTGAAAATGTTAAAGATATTTCACTTAGTCACCGAACAACTTGAAAAATCTCAAATTCACTTAAAATGTCAATTAGCTGATTCAAAATGTATCTTTTTTATCATGAGTTATTAAATCAGTTAGAGTAAGAAGTGAAGTGTCAACAAATGTGCACCTGTGTTTTGTTTCTTGTGATACGTAGAGAGTTTTAATACACGTTTATAAAGAGACCACTGGCAAAACAAATTCTCCAGATATATTTAGTAGATAGTGGTGACATTTATAAAGTCATTGTTAGATTTGGAATCAGGTACATGTAAGCCTTACTTACAGAAGTAAACAACAGAGTCCATCAAGACTGCTTTCTTGCAGTATATTAACAAAGAATACAACTATTTTTTTGTGCATCAGTTTGGATGTTGCCATGCCTTGTGTCAACTGTCCATGACATATTCAGTCATAGCTCATCCCAATGCATGGAGTTGTGCCATGTGTCTGTCCCCATTGGCTAAAGATGGGTCCACCAAGTCTACCGGTCGGCACAGGACTAATGCTGGAAGGTAGGTGCATCACACAACAACTGATACAAAGTTTAGTAACTTTGACTGGTTGCAGTACATAGATTGAAAAACATTATTCATACCAAGCTGAGGTTGCTACATCACAGTTATTGGAAGAGAAAGTGGCTTAAAGTTAAGCAATGTTGACCCTTCTTTTCTTTTTCCAAATGAACAAAGGGAAATCTAGTCAGTCTCCCTTTGAGGTTCATATGAAAATTTGTAATAAAGCCGTATCCTCCCTGAGTGATCCCTGTTTGCTATTTCCCAGGTCTGCATCGTGACTTTGGGTGTGATCCATGGCTGCATAACTAGCACCCCTTGAACAAAGATATAGACGAAGGACACAGGTTCAAACCCTGCTCCAGTCAATTTCTTTGTTCAACTTTTCAAGCAATGTTGACCCTGTACAATATCATCTAATTCCTCAGATCATATGATGTTTCTCTGCAATGTCATTTGTACTCTACAGCTTTGGGAGTCAGGGTGTACCCGCTGGTTTTGAGGAGCTGTGTAATGGTTCAGGATGCGGTCCACTTCCTTTGATTCTATCCAATTTGACATCATCTCTGTTGTTGCTTGACTTGACAGCACATCAAGATGCTCTTCACCTTGCAGGGAACATTCTCATAGGTAAGTCTTACTTGAAGTTGGTTAAATGTGCTGCAATTTATGATGTAATGTTACTGTATTTTTTAATTCCTTCCAATCACTGCCTGGCATAGACATGAACAGACCTATTGTGCTTGTACAGATTGCCTGTCACTCTTAAATGGTTATCACAGACCCAGTCTTCTTGTATTAAAACATTGTCTTAAGAGCTAAATTCTAGTACCTTTCTCTTCATATCTAATGTTTCATTTATTGAAAAGTTAAACAAAAAAATTGACTGAGGAACCGCCAACATAGAGCTGGATAACTCAGTTGATAGAGTACCAGAATGGTCACAGGTTCAAACCCCACTACAGTCAATTTATTTATTCAACTTTTCAAAAATTAGTCAGTTTCCCATCGTGGATCATTTTAAAAATGTGTTTCATTTTTTGTTATTTGTAGGTATTGCCTATCACTCTTTGAAGGTTACTGCCCCTTCTAACCAGTCTACAACAACTTCATCAGCTTCTGTTGAGGAGGAGAGTTGGGCTTGCCTCCAAAACAGACTGTTAGTACCTCTAGCTGCACAACTCATGCAACATGTTGCCAGAGTTCTTTGTATCTGTGCCCATGTAATCGAAGGTACACAACCTGGCCCACCAAAATCACAGGTAAAAATGAAAGTAATTATTTGGTATTTTTGTTTATTCAAAGGGTGCATTATTGTAAACTTTTATTTCAGATTGCAACTGTACAGTGGAATACAGTGTTATATCTAGAACGTTTGTTTCACTCTTAACAGAACAAAGATAACAAACTCTGAAGTACCTTGCAACTTTGTCCATTTAAAAGAATTTGCAGAACAGTTGGCAGCTAAGATATTGAGAATTTAATGAACTGATTGATTTTCATTTGACCTTTGTGCTCCAGTGGGGAGGGTGGCCTCGTGGTTAGGGTTTGTGACTCATGATCAGAGGGACAGGGGTTTGAATCCAGCTGCTGGTCATATGTTGTGCCCTTGGGCAAGCCATTTCACCCTACTTGCCTCTCTCCACCTAGGAGTATAAATGGGTACCAGCATAATCTGAGGAGTAACCTGCGATGGGCTAGCATCCCATCCAGGAAGAGTACCGGTATAAAATTCTCAGTCGTTTCATGCTACTGAAACCGGAGATAAATACCAGCAGGATGGGCCACATTGACTCTTGACAGACTTTACTACTTTACATGTACATTGTGTTCCAGACCACACTGCCATCATTACCAGCTGGTCCATCGCTAAGTCCCATCAAACGGAGAGCCAAAGGAAAAGACAAAGACACAGTAGACCAAGGAAGTATGTCACCAAATACACAGGCTAAATCACAAGCAGGTAAGAGAAGTGAACCTTGCATTAAGCGTAGAGATACAAGATTGTTTTATTTGAACTTTGCATTATACTGTAAATAGTCAACTTGTTTCCTTTGAATCAACTGGAATGAGACATGATTGATTTGTGAGTGATATCTTGCACCTAGCGTTGAGATTTTGTCATATGCCAATTAATTTAAATCATTAATTTTATTATATAGTAACATGGCCAAGAAGTCCCCTTCCCTTACGTGATTGCATAGTGCACGACTACTGTTTTGTTGGTGGCCAACCATCGAACTATATCATCATATGCCTTGACCAATGCTACCCTTCCCATGGAAACAAGATTACCTCAACATGGATATCATTTAATTCAAATTGTTGTTTCATTTCAGACAAGGCTGAAAGTGCAGAAGAAAAGAAGAGTCCCAAATCAACCTATGGTGCCTTCTATCAACTACCTCATTATATGAAGCTCTATGAGGTCATGAAATCAGCATATAACAACTACAAGGTAGGATTAGTTCTTCACATTATGCGATGCATCAATTGGATTGAAAGGACAAACTATACGGTTATATTGTTTTACAAAAGTAACTGAATATTTTTGAACAATTTAGTAGCCCTTAGAAACAATGACATCATGCATGAGAGCCACTAAGCTCTCATTAAAAAGCCAACATGTAAACAAAGCTTGGTGCCACTGTGTCGCAGGTCTGCTAATGATTTAGGAAATAAATTTTGCTTCTAAAGGTTTTCCATCGGGCAGTGATGGTGTCCAATTTTCTTGGGTTTATTTTCCATTTTTATGTGGCAAATACAATTCCTCTCTTTCATTCCTTTGTTTATTTATTTGAACAGGTGACCCTTGATCTAAGTCGAGCTGACAAGTTTGCTGGTCTGTTGAAGACAAGTTTGGACAGTTTCTCTCAGTTGCTGGAGATAGCAACCATGAACGAAGTGGGCAAGGTAATAAACTAAACATTAGTTCTGTTCTTTCCATTCCACGAATCAATGGGCTTGAAATTGTGCCACCAGAAAAAAGCATGTCAATTTATCCGCTTGATGTCAGTACATTCCATCTTATTATAAAGGCAATTAATTATGTTACCAAAACGTTAATACAGTTGTGATTGAAGAGTATTTTAAAATTGCTCTCCTAATAAATAATGCGTGATTTTTGCAGTACACAGAAGAACTTCTAAGCTATATGAAGTCATGCTTCACAATTGAACCTACATCGGCAGTCCTATGTGTGGAACAGGTATGTAAATTAATGCTGTAATGAGACCAGTTGGAGTCTGGATGGGTAATTATCAGCAATCCAGACTCCAACCGGTCTTAAACAGAGTGTTTAATATCGACCAAGCACATATTTATTCCCATTCATTAATACCTTTTTGGTCAAAAAAATTCTTTCGGTCCAAAAATCAAAACAAGTCAGGAACTAGACGTTGCCAACCATTTTGTTCAACAGTTTTACTTCATGTTTTATGAAACACCCTTCTGACTATAATATGGAGTGTTCCTCTACAACTCCTTACCTTATAAGGAGATTGGTGTGCCCATCGCCCGTACTGCACGATGTCCATGGTTGTCGCGAGGGGGGGGGGGCAAGGGGTGGGCGCTTGCCCCCGCCCCCCCCCCCCCCAGAAAAGCAACAACAAAAAAAGAAGAAGAAAAAAAAAGAGAGAAAAAAAGAAAAGAAAAAGAGGCGCGAAGTCATAGTGGTGTAAATTCAATGGGTTGGGGGGGGGGGGCAAAATGTCCCTGCCCCCCTCTAAAAATGATAAATCGAGGATATGTTGAGAAATACAAGAATATTTTGGAAAAAATATGTTTTGCCACCCTCTAGAAAAAAATCCTGGCGATGCCCATGGCGATGTCGCACAAAATGCAGCTGGGCTGGTGTGTGAATTTCGGGCCATGAAATACTGATTCACCGGTATTATTGCGCATGCCTACGTGAGGAATGTGAATGTTCAACCAATGAAACGTTAAAAGGCACCGGATTTCATGGGAGTCCAAATTTCATGTTTGACACTGGAAAAGTGTTGAAGACCAACCAGCCATGTCTTTATTATCCGTTTAAGACTGGCCACGTGACAGGCTCTCGACCAACATGAATGGGTAAACTTTATTAGGTATTTATGAATGAAAGTTTATTTTAAAAATGTATCTATTCTTGAATGGGGACTGTGAAGTAAATGATATTGATGTATGTTGCAAATCACATAATGTATCAAATAAACGATATTTGTTAATGTGACTAATGGTAGGTTTTCTTTTTAAGTTGTAAGTTCTCTTTTCCTTGTTTTGCAGTTACTGAAAGCGCTGTTTTTCACAAACATGGCTAGCTCAGCAGAGATTCCATCTGCCAACTTCCCACGTAAACCAGGCAAAGCAACTCGTTTGACATCAAACATGAAACCTGGTATCTATCATGATTGCTTTGTAGCGCCTTTCACCCAGTACAACCAATCCTTGAACCAACTTGGACCTAAGTTGAGTGCTAATCCTGAGACTGATGGAGGAAGTGCTGGGTAGGTTAAATAAGTACTATTGTCAACACTAGTATACAAATATTGTCTGTTTCGAGTGGTGGTGTGAAACTAGCCTCCCGAGGTGATCCATAAAGCATTTTATTTTTCCCAAAGGTAAAGCCGAGGAACAATAGAATGCACCATGGATCACAGAGGGAGGCTTGTTTTACTACACAACAAGTCAAAATGCTGGGGGCGTAGCTATCCATTATGCTTGTTTCTTGCTTGGTTAATTTTAATTTTAATATTAAACGTTTTATTTGTTGGACCTGTTCTTCATAATTATTCCCTTCATTCAAAATTTTTTGTTGTTTCATAATTTTTGGTTGTTTCATAATTTCGTTATTATTTTATATATGTATATTAATGTCTTTTGTGGTTGCTATTTATAAAATTTGAAATGTTTTTTTCTTGCTTTTTATCTCTTCATTTCATCATGCTTGCTTTTATATATTAATGCTGATTTGTAACAATTTTTTTTTCTTTGTTTTTAATAGTTTTGGTCCTGTTATTTTATTTATTTTTTTTACATGTTTAATTTTATGTTAATTTTGATTTCTGTATATACATGTATTTTATGTAAAATTATTTTAACTATTTCTCATTTTATTTTAAGAATTTTGGTCTATTTACTGTTTTCATTGGTTTCTTTATACCTTTTTTTCTTCATTCAATAACTTATTTTAATGTAATCAGGGCCCTTAAGAATAGCAGTTTAATAACTGAAAATGCTACCCTGTTGAAATAAAACTAATATATATATATATAAAGCAGTCAATATCTGTTTTATAGCACATCTCCCACAGATTCTGCTTGAATCTTTATCACATAATGCCCACATGCGAAGAGTGCACCTTAATGACAATCTTCATTCTTGTTTCCTGACAAATCCCGTCCTTATTTAAATTAGTGACAGCAAATACATGTAGGTGGTTGATGGTCATCAACGTAACTTTGTTCGATCTGTTCTTGACTTACAGGCTCTTTGGTTGGATGAAGTCAAAGATTGACAAGAAGAGTTTAATGGGAAAAGTTACCAGTAAAGAAAAGGTAAGGTATCCATTCAAAATGATTATCACACTGTCTGTCCAAACTCAGCTGGTTATCAACATTTCTCAAATATGACACTTCAGAATCCAATTGAATGAACTTGATACTTTGTTGCAGTCTTCTGTACATTCGTACATCCGTCTCTTTGAACCATTGGTCATCCGAGCTCTCAAACAGTACACGATAACAAGCAGTATCCCACTACAACAACAAGTACTGCACCTACTGGCTCAACTTGTTCAGTTGAGAGTCAACTACTGTTTGCTGGACTCAGATCAGGTTAGTGTCCCTTTGTTGCATTTCATAGCGTACCATACCTTGCATACACATTAGACCATTGACGCCTTATTGAGTGCCATGAGCATGCAATGCCAAGTTTGGAATTAACAACGTTACTCTTTACTTCAAAATATATATCCATCCATACTAGACAATGTCCAGAATCAACTTAATTGTCAACTTGTACTTAACTGTTCTTGTGCTTGTGTACATTAAGCAAATAAATTGGTTTATTGCAGATCTTCATTGGCTTTGTTGTAAAGCAGTTTGAATATGTTGAAGAGGGACAAGTCAAGTAAGTACATATTCTTTCTTTTTTTCCTCTTTTCCATGCACATTGTTAATGTGGTTTGTAACCATCTAGAACTTCTAAATTTTCATCAGTTTTTATGTCAGTCCTTTTATATTTTGACATTGCAGGGACTATGACACCCTCATACCTCACATCTTCCATTTTCTGGTGCTGCTGTCTTATGAGCGTTACCATAGTAAGGCAGTTATTGCAATGCCAAAGATTATACAACTCTGTGATGGTATTATGGCAAGTGGACAACAGGCAACCACACATGGTAAATATAAAGACTTTATTTCCAAAATGTTGTATACAGCATTTTGCTCTCTTTTAGAATCCTGCAGTCTCCCAGCTGCCCAAAGGCAATTTTGACGACTGTTATAAACTTAAACACAACTTTGGAATACACTAAAATGAAAAGTGATTTTTAGGATTAGCTGTTATAATGTTTTTATTCTTTAAAGTTTCATAACCCTGCAAACTGTTCACCTTTTTCATATGGATATGTTGTGTTTTGGAAATATACTCTTCATAATGTTCAATAATGGGTGTCGCCCTTCACCAATGGTTTTTTTTTTATAAACACTATGTACTGGGTGTTGTCCCAAGTGATTGTGAGAAGAAATCACTCAGATGCGACTCAAACCCAAAATCTCCTGCTTACTAGTGCAGACGTCTTACCGCTAGACCACCGAGCTTGCCATGGTCGGCTCGCAGATTTTCAAATGTTGTTTGATTTCACAAATGTCTGTTCATAGTATTCTGTTAGTATTTTGTGTGCTTGGCTTTGTGAATATACAAATTTCAACTCACATGTATAAGTCATGATTACGTTACTTTTTTTTTCATTAAAAGAGAATAAGTGTATTTTTACTTGTTACGAAATGTCAATAACTTATTGATGTATTGCTTACAGCTGTTCCTGCATTGAAGCCACTGGTTCATGACCTGTATGTTCTACGTGGTTCCAGTAAGTCTGACTCAGCAAGGGAACTAGACACTCAGAGAGAAGTTGTTGAATCTATGCTGCAAAGACTCATCCATTTCCATCAGGTGAGTAGCAGAGACTCATGGCACATCAGTTTGGTCGTAAATTTACAGTTATCTATCGTAGTTTTCAAGAAAAGTTTTTCTTATTTGTATTATTATTAATCATTTCTGGTAATGAAACCAAGGAATCCTCAAAGGCGCCCTAGGCACTGTAGCTCGCAAGCCTGAAGAAACCTGTAGAGTTTTAGAGGTGGGAAGAACACCCCAGAATATTCTATGGAAAACCCACGGAATCAGGCAGGGACTGAAAACCCAATCTTCATGTTGACTCAGACGGGATTCGAACCCGGCTTACAGCAGTGGAAGGCGAGGATAGTACCGCTAGGCCAACCTGACTCCCCTGTATAGAGTAACACACTTGTAGAACTGTCACTCTCCTTGTGTTTTTTTGTTTCTCAGGCTTTGGAGATGTTCATTCCTGTCTTGCTTCAAGCTCATCGAGATAGTGAAGACAAATGGAAGAGACTTTCTCGACAAGTTGTTGATATGATCTTACCACTGTTAGCAAGGCAGCAGGTAATAACAAGGATATTTATCCCATTGCATTAGTATTCTTAAATGAGACTTGGGCTTTCTGAGAGAATTTTCCATCAGAGGCATTCCATCTTTCAATTCTTTGATCCTGGTGGGATTTGCTTGTCTTTCTTCTTCTTGACACCTTATATCACCTTTGTGGAGTTGTGGTACACATTGATGCCCTGAATGTCCTGTAGATATACAACTCAAGTAGTTGTTTGATAATCTTTATTTCTGTAGATTAATCTGGATTGTCAGGAAGCCATCGACACTCTACATCACCTGTTTGGAGTTGTAGCTCCTAGTGCTCTCAGACCTGTGGATATACTCCTCAAGTCTCTACTTCTTGTTCCTTATGAAGTAGTAAGTGAATCTGCATGCCTCTAATAAGAATTGAATTCAGTTTTGGCTGATAATGTGACCTTTCCTTCAGTTTACTTTGGTTTTTCCGTAGTTCATTGTTGTATTCTGAAAGCTTGTTAACATGGCCCTCAAATACAGCTTTTACTTGCGTCATTTATAAGTTACACTATTTGTTGTTGATGTCTTTATCATTGAATTGTGTAATTGTCTTATTCCCAGAATCATCCTATCCTAAAGCAACGCTGGTTGGGTATGGCCCTGGCTATCCTGAATGTTCTCATTTCTCAGTCCAAAGAGGAAACTATCCTATCCAGGCTTAGAGAGCTTGGTCTGACAACAGACTTGTTTGTCTGTCCATTGGAAGATGAACGAAGCCGAGAAGAAGACATTGTCAATGCAAACGTCTTGTCTCCAGAAGATGTGCTGGCAAGGTCAGTTAAATCTTACAGTTTAGATGATTTTTAATATTTAATAAAAGAATCATCTTTATTAGAGGTGGATAGATTGTTAATTTTAGCTAGACAATTTTCAAGGAATACTTTCAATGAGGGATGACTTGGGAAAGTGTTCAGGTACTACAGCAGCTACCCAACCAGTATTTCAGCCAGTATGCTCCAGTCACTATCAATAGAATGGTTAAAGCACACTGTCTGAAACATGTAATTCACACCTCTGGTTCTGTTTCTTATAACCATCTCTTTTTTCAATACAGTCATGTCACATAGTGTACGCACCACCTTGACTGCTCTCCACCAACCACCATGCAAACCCACAAATCAAATTCATTTTATGGAAATTAAACAAATTCAGACAACGTGAAATCATAGTATATGTTTTATCCAAATTACTCTATTACAATACTGGTGTAATTGTTGAACCCTTAGATTTCTGCTGCAAGTTACAGGATTTACCATCACTACAGCTAACCAGGATCTAGCAGTGTCAGTGCAACAAAATCAGAGTGGGTCCTTCCTATACCAGGAACTGTCACACCTGTTACTCTACATAACGCATATGTTCAAATCAGGTAAAAGAAAATTAGAGTTGCAAGAGGCACATCTTTGAACTAGGTTTGTTTCTAGCTTTTTAATAAAAAATATAAATTAACGAAGTTTGGGATTTGCAAGTTACTGGTAGTTTGGGGGCAGTATTGGGCCTGAAGCTGGGACAAACAACCTTTTTAGGGGGTTGACATGTGGGTAATTGTTATTTTCTGTACTTATTTACTTTTATTTATTTTTATTTGAGTTTGTTTATAAGCACTGTGTACTAGATTTATTACCTGTCTCGACTTGATGCAAATCAATCTGCAATTGCCACATCTTGTCTTCAGAAACAAATAAACCGTTTATCTATCTATCTATCATCACAATTTAATTTACACTGATAATCAAAGTATTTCAAATAATTAAAATGCTGAAACTGAACGATTTAATTCTGTAATGTTCTGTGCTTTTTCTTCTCCATATTTTAAGGTGCTTTCAGGAAAGTTGCCATGGCAATGACAAGCATGATTCGTAATTCAACTCAAAGTTGTTGGTTTACACTTGACCAACTCAATCATGCTTTCATCAAGCTCAGTACCTCCTATCCCATCTTGGTACTACAATGGTGTCAGGTACGGTCCAATCTCACTTTTTATAGACCATTTTTGTGCTCTAATTAAGCCTCCATCTGTGGCTTTTGTATTGTTTGGATTGGCATTCGACCAACAAGTGGAAGGCAGCAAACACTCTTGATGATGATTTGTTAAAGATTCGGTGAATGCTTATTAACCATTGTCTTTATTTAGCCATACACTAAAGTCTAGGACAGATTGTTTTCTTCAGTAATCCTCATGCTTGTCTGTGCACTCTGTCATAGAAATGCAGACATTTTGTGGTAGTGCCATGTATCCCTTTTGGTCCCTTTTTGGTCACAGAAGTCCATCTTTTCTTTTTGTACAGGTCCTTCTCCTTCTGAATTACAGTGACCAGGACTTCTGGTCAGTCATCTTACAAACCCCCAAGAGACAACCATTGTCTAAGTCACTATCCAGTGGTAGCCTCGACAACCTGGAGACGACTATAGACCAGACCAAAGGATGTCCTGAAGAGATTATCAGACGAGGAGGTTTGGTGCTATACTGTGACTTTGTGGTATGTCCTCAACTTTAACGGAACACCTTTCATTCACAACCTTTAGTGCATTTAATGTTACTGAATTAAAAAAACAAACAAGACATCAAAGATGGCTGCCGAATGCAAAGTGTTTATTGGTCTTATGTTTCTTTCTTTGCAGTGTGACAATCAAGCTGATGCTGAACCACTAACATGGCTGGTAGTCAATCACATCAATGAAATCATACAACTCTTCCATGAACCGCCAGTCCAAGATGTTATCAGGTAAAATGTAGATTGAAAGAGGAAGGGTGAAAGAATCCGAAGAAGGTGTAGAACTTACAGAATAGAATAATTGAAAGCTTAACTTTACATGGTTTTTCAGGCAGTTTTTGTCTGATGATTCTGAAATATGGAAGCCAAAGTCGCAAAACGGAAAAAAAAGCTACAACACTAGATAGCAACATGACTGTGTACATGATAAACTAAATTCTCAAGTAGAGGATCTCGCGTCTTTGTTTTCAAATTGATGGCTTCCTTTGCTTTGTTCTTGTCTACAGGTATAGTCGTGCGGAATCCAAACAGAGCTCTTCAAAGTTGCAACTTTGGATACATTGTTTGTTTTTACCATTCACTTATTAGCAAAGTAACATTCTATTAACCCTAACTCCCTAAAACCTCTAAGCACCTGAATCCTTCAAATTCGTCCACTGATTCTCGCCAGAGGCCTCTACCTGGATCCTTCAAAATCCTCCATTGGGTTTGCTGGCATGTTGTTGTATAATCAGATTTCAATGCTCTTGTGAGTTCATTAGCCTGTGTAACTTATTGAAATCCTCCATTGTTATCCTGTATTGTGGATTGACAATGCCAAGGCCTTAAATAATTGAGGTAAAGAGGCTTTGTGGTATATGCTGGAAGCCTGCTCAAGTATACATGCATAAAGCAAATAAAAGCCTGAATCAAAATCAAAATCCAACATCATTTTGGGCTAAACCAGCCAGAGCCTTAATCCTCCAATTTCATCCAGCCTCAGTTGAGGCATGCTAACCTGGATCCTCTATTTTCCTCTTGTTGATATGCTGCAAAATCGTCCACTGTGTTCATTTTCAAAGGTCCTCAATCCTCCATTATGTAAAGAGAATTTTGGAGGAATAGCGAAGGTAAGGGTTAAGTATTATTTGACAGGAGCATACACAGCATATCCCTTAATGTTATCTACAATATACACAACATCAATTGAATCATCATCTGATACTTGATACTTGATTCTTTGTTACAGTGCAATTCATCGCAACTCTGCTGCTAGTGGTTTGTTCCTTCGTGCAGTCAACTTGCGTTTTACTCATCATTCCAATCCTTGTTTGGTCAAACTAACACTTCAGTGTCTTCAAGGGATCCATCTTAGCCAGTCAGGTATTACATTTCTTCTGATGTAAAGTTCATATTTTACATGCGCCTTCTTATTATTTTTATGTTTTAATCAATTAGTCCCTGTACCTCCCAAAACCCTCACAGAATGTTTTTTCAGGGAATAATACATTGTTATACAACGTAGTACAGGTACTAATATGGAACCTATGATACGGTTTTGTTTTGGGTTTTTTTGTTTCTTTTTCTTATTGCAATATCTGTCTGTTACCAAACAGGTGTTCTCTTGACGATACTTATCGAGCGCTTCCTGAATACTCACCAGCTAGCAATCGCTCGTCTTTGTGACTCCATTGCCTGTAGGAGAGTTGAGATGTTACTGGCTGGTGGACTGGATGACACTGCACCACAGCTGTCTGCAGAACAACTGGAAAAGCTGGAGGACTTTATGAATGCAAACAAACTTACTCAGAGGTAAGATTTAGTCAGCTTTAATGCTGTCTGAAATGTTATTCAATGCTGCAACAGTTTTTTTTTATAGTAGCTGTTACAAAAAATCAACACACATTTGATTCCAACTGAGCTATTTATCCCTCTACAATGTAAACTGCTTTTGTTCTGCATGTGGGCAATGTTATGTGATCAAAACAATTATTCTTTTGCTAAATGAAGCTGCCTTATTCCAAGTAAGGAGTGGACCCTGAGCGGTGCCTTACAGATACAGTTGACTTTTGAATAATGTTTTCTTTACTCCAGACACCCCAGGCTAGCTTCTCTTTTGACTCGATTCAAGACGGTTATTCTTCGTCAAGATATCAACCAGTCTCCATCCGGCAACAGACCATGTACTGACATCACCTCTGTCACTCCTAACAAGGTTAGATCAACTTACAACTGTTATAACTTATAACAGGTTTTGACTAAATGCACAGATGTTCATCAAAACAATTTGCGTAAGCAGACGTCTTGTATAAACACTACTCCACGTTGTGGTATTTTGGTTCTGATCTAAATTGCAAGTATTGGTTTCATATGTTGGTTTATTAGCAAACGTTGTGCTATTCCATCTGGAGTTGTTCTCGTCCACAGTACTACAGCCAGAATTCATTTCACTGTTACTTTACCCTTCTTTTTAACTTAATATTATCCTTTACACTTTGTGGTGCATTTTGCAGGAGTGGTTCTTGTCGGTTGTACAGCAGGGGTGTTTTGGACACACGACTGCTTCCGCTAGGGAATGCTCCCTTTTACTTGCTCATCTTCCACTGGAAGATATCATATCAACCATGATGACAGAGGTATATAAATTTATCAACTTACAATAAGCATATCATCGGTCACACCACCAAGTGATGTATCGTGTGCACAATCTCCATAGACGATCCATCACTTTATGGTGCGTCAGATGATATATAGTAACTGCTTAATTTTCGGGGTTTTTCACTGTCGATCTTCATGTAGTTGGTTGTTTTAACAAGTAACAGGTAGATTTAAACTAGCCGTTCACAATTTGTTTTAATTGTTCTGTATAAAATGCAGGAATTCAACTATCCTTTGCTAGAAGACTGCATCCTTGTGGGTTTACAACGGACCAGATTACGTCATCCTCCATGCCACACCTCAACATCCCAGACCAATGCCTCTAGCAAAGAAGAAGTAAGCAACAAGCCAATCCCTCAGGATCCAATGTTTGAAGCTTCCTGCACTACTCTCTTAAGTCATATCCACAACATGATGGCCTTGATGCCTGCTGAACATCAAATCCTCAGAGCTGACTCTAGAATTGACTCTGAAATGACCCACAAAGGTCACATGATGTCCCTGATTCAGTGCGTAGATTGGAGGACAAGAGTTTATGAGTTAGCATCGGCATTGGTCAAGTACTTGAGAGCTATGAGATTGCTTGGGATGCCTGTACCTCCTGACTCACTCGAGGAGATTGCAAAACTTGCTGTCACATGTCTTGAGGTGGGTTGTTTTCTGTGTGTTTCGTACTTAAACCTTCTTAAGGCTCACAAATTGCTAGCACTTTGAGTCATCACAGAAAATCCTTGACTCGTGTCAAATTTGAAGTACAGTAAACTCCGGCTAAACCGACATCGTACAACTTGTCTAATCGCTCAAGTCGGCCGTCTAACTAAAGTCCCGATTGTCCGTAATGCATTTCCATTGAATTTTTTAATTCTAAGTCGGCTTTTACAAGTCGCCATTTCGCTCAAGTCGTCGTGTAACTCTTGGTCCCCTTTCCATAAAAAGCATTACAAAATCCTTTGTGTAAGTCAGCATTCAACAAATCACGCATTGGCATCGACTTCCTGTACTGCGGTTGGCAAAGTGTCGAGTGAAAAGTGGTTTCGCACGGCCCGTGATCGCTGCATGCATCGGTGTCGAAAAAGGGTGTCCTACTGAATACCACTACGCGGCGCTATAGGATCTTTGCTGCATACATCGCATGCATCGTGAGCATATATCAATACCAGTACCCCCTCTAGGCTGTACGCATACGCTTTGTCCATTTCGGGGGTTGTCTTATTGAATGACAACTGCTGCATGCAGTCAATGCGTGCGTGGTATACCGGACCACGCACGCATTTAATTCGTTACTGTGCATGTACACATGTATCGTGGTCTCCACTATCAATACCCCAAACGCGATGATTCAATTCGAGGATTAATGTGCTGGATTCAACTCAAGCATTAAGGAGATGATCCAGGGTAAATCGAAGCCAATGAGTGCAATGAATCATGTGTGCAAAAGACCATTCATGTAAGTCGGCAAAATGACGACTTATAGCATATATCGGCATTCGCGCAAGTCGTCACAAATTCTTGGGTCCCGAGAGTGCCGGTTTAGCAGGAGTTTAATGTACTAAACCAGTAAACCTGCCTTTTGTGTCAGTTGATTCAGATTAATGGGTTTTAAATAACTGATTAAAGTATTTTCTCACATTGAAGTAGATTTAATTACCGGTATGAATTCTCTATTGTCAGTTAGTTTAGAAGTAATTCAAGGTAATTACCCAATTTAACCAATATATGAACAAATGATTGACATTTTTTACTACTTACGTCTACACGTATGTTTCTTCACAGGCAGCAAGCTGGTCATTGACAGAAGGATCAAATGTCACATCCCAGATGATTGTGACATCAGTGGAATGCATGGGAGTTAGCCTACAAAACCAACAGATCTTTGCTGTAATTGGTTCATCAGATCACACGACATTGGCATGCTCTGCGATTGGCTGCCTTCATCAAATTGTGGAAAAGAGTGAGAATTGTAATTTGACACATGACACTTTATTGAGACATTTGTGCATTTGCCATTCCGCCATTTTTTTTTAAAGGTCAATAGTTCTCAATTATAATGTTTTCTTTGATTTGTTGTAGTTAATCCACGTAGAAAGTGCTTTCCTTCCGCTGATGTTTTAGTTGAGCAGGAAAGTTCACTCAAAGGTTAGTTCTTGCAGGTTGTTAATTCTGTTCAATATTTTCTCTTATTTTGTTAGCTGTATTACTCTTTACCTTTCCAATTTAATACATGCATTTTAATGAAGCATTTGCACAGCTCGTTGTGTCAATGTCATCACTTTTTTTCACTGATTACGACTATTATCAGTTGGACCTGATTTGGCTCATAAAGATCAAGGGTTGTTTGCATTCGGACTTTGTTCAAGAAGATGTATTTTTTGGGGTTAAAATTTTGCAGAACATCAATCAATCCAGACGGCTTGCCAGCAGATAACTGACCTTCTGTGTCTTCACTACACCTTAACCAGGGATGATCACAATACTGTCTGCCAACTTCCACTATTCCTAAGGAAACCACTGAGGAACGCGGTAGTCAGTCTTGCCAGGTTACCGGTGGTTAATAGTTATGCAAGGACTCCTCCTTATGCTTACAAACTTGGTTGGGTTCCTAGCCCACGGGAGGGGTCAGTTGAGATACCACCATTGCCGATGGAATACTTGAAAGAGAAGGAAGTACTGAAAGAGTTTGTTGTCCGAGCAAATACTATTGGTAAGTAATATGATCTCATCCTTGTTAACTGTGGCATAACTAGGGTCCAATTTTGCAGGGGGGTTGCACAGGTGGGGGTCATTTTCTGGAGGAAGAACTGAAGGCCTTTTGGGAGAGGTTTCAAACAACGCAAAATATTTTTTATATTTTTTTTATTCTGAGTTGGGTGGGGGGCACAGGCCTTAAAGGGATCAGTGCCCATGCCCCACCTTAAGTTACGCAACTGCTGTAAAGATGACACTTATTGCAATAACATTTACTGAATCAGGTGATTGTAAAGATCACAAGAATGGAATAAGATAATTGAATATTTGGTTTTATTTAGGGTGGACCTCAAGGCAGCAGTTTGAAGAAACATGGGCAGGATTGTTGGGTGTCTTTACTGCACCTGTAATACCCGAAGAAATAGCTCTAGAGGTAGGATCAACATCTAGCTTATTTATTATTATTCTCTTGCTGTTTTATACCATTCCAGCATGCACCTGTGTGCAGGTATGTTAAAACCTCCTTTATAACTGAGATCACAGAATTAGTCTGAGAACATCAGCTGGTTTGGTATTTTTATCAAATCCCTGTCTTTTTTTCCAGGAGGACATTGAACACAGTCAATCCATCTGTCTTGCCGTTCGTACTATATCCTCTCTCCTGGTAGACAGCTTGCTCCACCCACAACCTGGTAATCCTACCAACAGTACCTATCAGTATATACCGCGACACGGCCATCGTAACCTGTCATTCCTTGAGACAACGCTGGGCAAGAAGTTACTTGCTTTGAGATGGGTGGTGGAAAAAGAAGTGGATGCAATGACGTCAAAAAAGTAAGAACAGTTTGAGTGTATTAAGAAATTGTACAAAACACTGACTGTATTCATATGTATTTAGATATGTATTCATATGTATAGATATTTATTCTTATTATTATTATTAATATTATTATGTCGCCCGCAGGCGATAGATATACATGTGTGAAGGTGATTATCTCTTTAATTTCATGCATGTCTGTGCCTGGCTTTGCTCATTCAGTTTGAAATGTATGACCCTTTCTCCTTTAGGTCCAGCAGTATAACTAGAGTTCTCACCATTGGGAGGAGGGGGGAGCTAGATGTTACAGTGGGGAGGTGCCCAATTTCTGTGAAACCTGTTACCCATGGTCACTTAAAGACTAACAAATTTCCAGTGGGCAGGCGAGTTAGTGGGGGAGCATTTTTTTATGGAGGGTGTGTGCTTGTGAGCCCCCCCCCCCCCCCAGCCCTCTTTGCGATGCCCCTGCTTGGGTCCAGCACTACCCCCCAAACACCTTGTCTGTTACTTCCTGTACTTCCCCAAATGGCCCCAGCAGTATATGATTTTACAAAAATTTACATCGCTGATACTGGTGCATATTGTCTTTTGTAGGATTGATCAAGCAGTCTCACGGCCAGTCAGTGAGTTGGACAGTATGGTGGATCTCTTCATGAACAATTTGGAGCATGAGTCAGACCGTACTCAGTTTGATTTAGCCAGAGTAAGTCTTAGTCATAATGAATAATTGTACGTGAAAGATCTGTTATTAAGATGTCTTGTAAGTGAAACAGAGATCATCAATCATCCTAAAACCTAATCAGTGGCTGAGTTTCATCAATATTTTTGAACAGTTTCCTTTTTGACAATGTATGAACTTATTCATCCAGGTTGAGTTCCTAAACGTAACAATACGAATCTAAATACTGGACTTACTGGATAATACAAATTGCTTTGTTGTGTCCGACACCATCGGACTTGGTCAGGCAACTGATGACCCAGCAGACTGGAAAGAATGATACAACCTGCATCATGATCAGTAGACAAAGAAAGGCAGGATCTATCTCAAATATGGGACCGCACCTGTTCAGGATAGTCTTAGCCCTATATCCTGTCACATGACCAGTCTGCTGGGTCATCAGTTGCCTGACAAAGTTCTATGTGTCAGACGCAACATTACAACGAGTAAGTCCCGTATATATTGTTATTTGCTGTTTCGGCAAACATGCCAAACAACCAGTGTTTTCGTTAAGATATTTTTTCTTTTTCTTTTCTATTTTTTTAGCTGTTTCGGTGCACAAACCGAAACAGCTCTTGTTTTTGTTGTTGTTGTTGTTTTTTTCTTGTTCTTTTTTATTCTTTTTCCTCTTTTTAACACGTGTTTTCTTTCTACACAGGACTTTGGGACTTTTTTTTTACATCCGATTGACTTCAAACCTGGCACACACTTAGACCACCATCTGAAGATTCAGGCCAAATCATGACGTCATCATGACGTCGTCACGTGTCACGTGACATCATCCTAAAGTTGCATATTTGAATGCCCTATATCTATAGAATCGGAAGTCCAATCGAGTTCAAACTCGGTATGCAAGTATTCCAAGACGTGTTATAGAGACGTCACGATGACGTCATATGATTTTATATAAATTATTCAATTGTTGGACCTTTTACTTATATCTCACAAACAGAACATGGTAAATTCGAAATTCTTTTGTAAAAGGTTTGTTAGGTGAAAGATAGATGCAAAACAATTCGCAAAATGTGTGACGTCATCATGACGTCATCAAAAATGTGATTTTTTGATTCACATATTAGGGTATGTCCGATCGTTGTTAAACTTGGTGGGTAGGTAGGTATTGATAAAAGCATTCAAAATCTAAAGTGACGTCATCGTGACATCATCATCAGATTTTTTATGAATTTTTAAAATTTTAATATTTTCTTCTAATTAGCAAAAAATGCATAAAATACAGTCCAATCGACTTCAAACCTGGCACACACTTAGACCACCATCTGAAGATTCATGCAGAATCATGACGTCATCATGACGTCATCAAGTTTCACGTGAAGTCATCCTTAAATTGCATAGTTTAAGTCCCTATATCTACAGAACCGGAGGTCCGATTGGGTTCAAACTCGGTTTACAGGTATTCCGGTAAGTGTTATAGACAAAAATTGCAGTGACGTCACGATGACGTCATGTGATTTTGTATGAATTATTCAATTTTCGGACCTTTTACTCATATCTCATCAACGGAATGTGGTAAATTCGAAATTATTTTGCAAAAGGTTTGTCAGGTCGTAGATAGATACAGAAAATTTGCAAAAATGTGTGACGTCTCCAGACGTCATGAAAAATGTGTGTTTTTTTTTACATCGGATCGACTTTTATATCAATATGTATAGAATACTCATGTGCATGTTCATTTGACTCGGAAGAAACCCTTTCTGGCAGTTATTGCTAAAACGGTCGAAACAGCTCAGTGTTTGTCCACAAACACATTTCTAGTTTTTCTTTTTTCTTTTCTTTTTTGCCCATAGCATTTTTTTTGTTCCCGGCATATTGGGCACGAAAATCAATCTGATTACCTTTATGCCTGGTATACACAAGACCCCCACCCACAGATGTGTGCCGAACATTGACATCATCATGACGTGATCATGTGTCACACGACGTCACATTAAAACTGCATAATTTGAAGGCCTATATCCACAGAACTGAACATTTGATTGGGTAGATGAAAACTAAAGTGATGTCACGATGACATCGTCATGGGTCACATGACCTCACGTTAAAGATTTAATCTTTGAAAATCAATATAAAATCAACCGTGAGAGACCTGAACTTGACATTGCGAGAATTGACAGAGTAATCCATGATCTTCAACTTATCTCGTATGTGTCAAATCATGCGATCCTTCTGATCCAAAATGGTAGTGCCTTATAATTTGAAATTTGGAAAAAGATGTGAACTTGCTTTCAACAATGTTAGTCTCTAGCTTGGTTGTACTTCACCAAAAAAATACTATTGACATCTTATAATGTTAGGGCGCCCTCTAGCGGCAGGTTGGAAAATATTTCAAATGAATAATCAGTTGACGTGTGTGGCAAAGTTTGCTAAAATCACTTTATAATTGATGTATATGATCAGCTTCATGCTATGAACAAGTTGAGGGGGAGAAAGATTGATGAAATCACCAGACCAGAAGTTACAATGTGACGTCACATTAAAGGTCCATTTTAAAGCCTATATCTACGAAACTATTGGCCTTGATCACTCTGCAACTTTCTGCTGCACATCTAAGTCCTATCGGTCTATAACATGACATAATAAAAATACAATAATTAGTATATCTTTTCTTCATCATAAATATGTGTGTTTTCCATTTCGACCATCACTAAAGTGCTTCTATCTTTGCTGGTTGACATGGTGAAGATCTTTTCATTACTATTTTACTGTTAATTCTTCCGTTTTCTGATTGTTGTCTCTCTTTTTTTTCTTTTTTTTTGGTTTCCTTAGATATCTGTGCACGGCATCTGGGCCATCAACAACATGCTCCCACCACTGACAGATGATGACCCAGAGATCCTAGATGAGAATACTCAAGCTCCTAGACCATTCAGATCATCTCCAGTGAGAATCCCTGGAAATCTAGATGTTCATTCCTGTCTGATGTTTCTTGAGGGATTGTATGGACAATGGCTGTCCCCAACAACTGTTCCCCGAACACCACTCATGCTCATATGTGAAACCGTCAAATCAGTGAGTATGACACCTAATATCGGTTTTAAGACAAGGGCAAATATAAAAACATCTTTTTGTTTTAATTGTATAAATAATTTCTCAATTACTTATTGAATGATGGTGGCTAGGCAAGTGCTTCAGTGCAGTTTACCCCCTCCCCCCACCCCCACTCCCCATCCCGAGCTTTCAGGAGTTTTTGCCCTGACGTCTTATCATCATTTTGACAACAAATTTGTGAAAATCGGACATACCTGTCTTGTGAAATGTCAATTTTTCCAAGGCAGATAGGCCAAATGTTAACTTTTTCCCATTGACTGTGCTCAAGGAGCATGCATGATAGTGTGAACTATATTAATGACCATAACAACAAGCCCCTGTGGCAGATTGAATTGAAGCAGCACAGTTGTACTCATGATGGAGATCTTTATGTGCATGCCAAGTTTCAAAGAGATTTGTCATGGGACAGCTGAGATCTTGTGGGGGGGGGGGGGGGAGTCGGAATGCCAAAACAAGACGTGGTAAAAAAAACAGCCCTCTAGGGTTAACTCCTAGAGTATGAAGGTCATTGCCTTGATTACAAAGTATTGAAACAAATCCCATTGAATTAGTTAAATTGGCTTGTTATATCGCTTGATATATCTGATGCAGTCTTGCTGTTCAACACAATTGATCAACCAGTCAACATACTGTTCTTGGCAGAATTTTTTTTAAAAGCACAACATATTGAAGAAAAAAAAAGTCTATCCCATCACACTAGATAGAGGAAAACATCTTTATTTTTATGTTTTCATTAATGAGCAGTCAATGTTTATTCCTTTGCTGTAGATCTTGGTGATCTCAGATGTGTTCACTCAACGAGCTCAGTATGAGTGGATGTTTGATACCCTACTTGATGTCAACAAGAATCATCCAGTGGAAGATGAACTTGTGACTCAGTATGCTGTCCCTGGCATCTGCAAAGCAGCTGCTGTCTTAGGCTTGGTAAGCAATCTCTCTTAAATCTTGTACTTTCTCACCTTTGACATGCCTTTCCTCCAACATATCAGAAGGGAGGCATCATGTTAGAATTGCACCATTAAGTAAGCCTGCAAGTACCTTTGGAATCTAAAATTGAAATAGCATCGATATGAATTCAATTGAAACAAATCTTGCTTAGTATGACTGAAATGTTTGGAGATGTAAATTTATCATTATATTTCACCCTTCCTTTCTCCTATCCGAGGGTTTTGCAAATAAAATTCACAATCTCTCTTGTGTGGGACTTGGGAGGTCCCAGAAACAAATATGATGAGTTTTTTCCTTTATTTTCTTGCTGAATTAGGAGAAGGATGTTGCAGAGAAGGTCAGTAAGTTACTGGAAGTCACACTACGAAGCACCCATCTACCCAGCCGTGTGGGTGCATTGTACGGCGCCCTCTATATCCTAGAGTCAGACGCAATCGAAGACATCAATGTCTTTGTTCCTGTTGTGTCTGATTATGTCGCTAGGAACTTACACTACAACTCATAGTAAGTTGTATTTTTTATTGTCCTTAACTTTCCAGTAGTTTATTTCAGTTTTCCAAGAGGGAACAGATTTCCATGGAGTTCATATTATCGCACTCAAACAGATGTACAAATTAAAAAAAAAAAATTACAACTTGAGAGAAATTTGTGTCATGTTGCAGTATGGCTAAACATCTCTTTAAACATTCAATTTTACGTTGAACTTTTCTTCCACAGTTGCAGTAGTCTTGCCAGTCAACGCCACACACTGGTCATGTTAACAGCAGCATTCTATGTGATTGAATGTTACTATGAATACATCAAGGGAACGGATTTCACCAAGGCCATACTGCATGTAGGTTTACCTTTTGCCTTCTGTTTTACATGCATTTGTCACATCCAACTCTACAGTCTGGTTTGGTTTTCATTCCGAAAGTTGATTGATAATGGTAAAGTGTTATACTATGTGATAGAAAAGTGTAATCAAAATGGTTTCAGTCAATTCAAAAAGAAAAAGATTTAATCAAAGGATGATTATCAAAAGTGTACCAGAATTAAAGAAATGCACAAGTCAAATGTTGTTATTAAACCTATGGATTTTTTTATGTTTTGTTTTTGTTCAGAGCTGTATATCTATGGCATCGGTAAGTGACGGAGCTACGTCACCAGCTGTGTACCAGGCTATCATGAGAGGGTTAGAGAGACTACTGATATCTGGAGTATTGTCACTTCAAGAGACAGAAGTTCTGACTAAACTCAGTATGGACAAGTAAGAAGAAAACTATCTTATCTCTTTGGGTTTTTTTCTTCTCCTGGTTTCGGTGCTCTGTACTTAATCCAGCCAATAAGAACTCGGTATCAACAATTAAATAGATAGCTTACTCGTCTCACTGATGTCAATTAAGCTTATTTGCAGTAGAGAATTCAGTATGGACAAATGAAAGTAAAAAGTCTCATTGATATTTAGGGTTACGTCATCATTAAACCCGGATTTGTTACAACAAAATCATCCAAGTGTGCATTTATAGTACGAAGATCCCAATGCAAGTATTTAAGAAAGCCTGGACTAGAAGCATCCAAACATAGCAGCTTTTGTGTTTTATATCCTCAGCACACATTGTCATGTCTTCTGACCTTGTAGTTACCTCATAAGATTGTTAACTTTCTATATCATATGTCTTTCATAGGTTGTGCATGCCTTCCCCACTCCATGCCATGTCGGCCCTTGGGCTTCTAATCACAAGTATGTATGTGCAGAAACACAAACAAACAAGCGAAAGCAACGAACAGTCAGAAGATGAGTCTGGATCACATGACCCTGAGAGTCAAGTGATGGCCATGGAAAGAATTTCAGTGCTGTTTGATAGGTAAGCAATTAATTGTTGCATTTCCTTCCTTGAAAATCAGTGTTGAAGTCACATACATCACCAGGTGATCACGAGTCATCCAGGATTGATTTAAGTCAGGCGCTATTCCAATGATTTGTGACACAGCATTCCTTTGGTATTTTCATTCCCGATTACTTGTGATGGATTTGGGATGGACTGAACTTCAGCACGGATATGAATAGCCCATGTTAGTTGTCTAATGCAGCTTTTGAAATTGTTTTGTGATACATGAAACAGTACAAGTCACATTTCACATTTTTATTGACTTTCAGAATTCGTAAAGGCTATCCGTCAGAAGCCCGTGCAGTTGCCCAAATTCTGCCTGCTTGTGTCAGTGATTTCTTCTCACCGCAAGATGTAATGAACAAAGTGATTGGTGAATTCTTGTCCAATCAACAGCCACATCCTCAGCTCATGGCCACTGTTGTCTTCAAGGTAATTATAGGCTTCAGGTAGTGATTGAATGGATGATACATACAATACACATAGGATTTGTTGCCCACAATTTAAATAGACAATGCAGTGGTGGGGTAGAAAGACAAACATTTGCGGTTCTCTTTAAAAACGAAGCAGTTCATATGTGAATCTTATTGAAACTAACAAGGGCCTGCCTCGATCTTAATTTTCAGATACTCCAATGACAACACATGAATTGTACCCTTTGTATTTTATTGAGAAGTTATAATTTGTTCATGTTTATTTCATAAAATGTGTAGTTTGCCAAAACTAATCAAAATTTGATTGAGACTTCATATTTCTACTTGCAAACTGCTGCGTGCTCTTTATGTGAGCTTTTACGTCCGTCAAGTGTTCAGAGAAATATGTACACATGGATTTACAGAGTATGCATCACAGATACGCAACTGGTAAACGCACAATGCAATACGTACTTCGAAAAATAGACACATGGTTTTCGGCCTAAATTGTGCGCACATGTTATGGGATAGCAGCTAAAACATAACCACAAATCTTGATTCATCTGTGGCCATGTGGAACACGGACACGCTACACTATTTGTGTTCCACATGTAGGTGTTGGATAAGTAATATTCTAAAAAAAATTGGATTTTACAAGGTGTTTGGAAGTCTGCACAGCCAGGGTCAACTACAAGGCGTACGTGATTGGGTGATGTTATCTCTCTCCAACTTTACTCAACGTACACCTGTTGCTATGGCAATATGGAGTCTGACATGTTTCTTCATCAGTGCATCAACCAATGCATGGATCAGAGCTCTGTATCCTTTCATTATCTGAATTAATTAATAACCACTTTCATCCAACTTTGATCAAATGATACAAATCTTATCGCACCAAATACTAGCATCTACGCTGAGGTGTGTCAGATCATAATAAAGAAAAAAAGCAAGATCTCAAGGTTTCATATTTGTTCACACATTTTAACAAAGAATAAAAGCTAAAAATGTATAATTTACAGTAAACCAGTTCGGTATCTCAATGAAGTAGTCCATGTCAAAGGTCATTCAGGATAAAGTCACTGACGTGATAATACGCGATGTTAGGCAATGTTACTTGATGCCCATTCTGCTTGTAATTAACCCGCGAGTGTTGTGCAGTGCCTTCGATGAGCGTTTCATTATCCCGAATGACCCGTGGCCCATATCATTGTGCACATGCCTAGTTGAAATATCGAACTGGCTTATTGTTCAGACATTGTTGAAGGTATAGTCCATCATTTGTAATGTGTGCATTTTGTCGTTCGGAGCAACAAAAGTGCTCAAAATCTAAACAAGGGTGCTCAACAACTAACCTGATGAAGTTTCAGCTCAGCTTCATATATTTCGAGAAAAACAACATTCTAAGATCTCGATTTCAAACCAATAGTTGCTGAATCATGTTTCGAATCGGGCCTGAATTCAGCGCTCGAGGCACGTTCTCACTGAGCCGATTGCAGCTACGCGATGTCGCACACCGATCCGACGAATTATAGCAACCATGCTCGCGTGTGTCGTGTCAACGCTTGCGCGTGCTTTGCCGAATAAAAAAAAGAACTACTAACGGAAATTCCAATGGTGCTTCTTAAGATGCACCGTTGGAAAGGCCTACTTTCGCTGATTTCTTCAAAATGACAGTTTGCCAGAAAGAATAATTTCACAGGGAGTTTAGTCCCATTACTATCTTTCAACCAAGTATGTTTTTCAACAATAATTACGTCAGTTAGTTTTTGGATAGCTGCAAATGATGGACTCTGGCTTTAATACAGTCTTGACCTTGACTTATCACTTCACAAGACTTCCTCACATTGTTGGACGTATGGGACGTCTGGAGGCCATTGACAAGAAATACTTTCTGATTGTTGCCAGGGATTTCTTCCTTAATCAGGTTTGTATGGCTTTGCTTTGAACGTATACGTTAATGGGGTATGTACACAGTGTGTCACCAATGGACTCCTGCCAAAATCTGGTGTGGATGATATTTTTTTTTGCTATAGATGGAATATAAACTCTGCAGGTTGTATGTTTGAAATGGTTTTATTACAGACTGGTATCTTTTAATACATAATTCGACATCCATGAGGTATGGATTTTTTTATCTTTTGAAATTAGGTACTAATATACTTCTTCAACAAAGGAATTTGAACCCTTAAACATAAATGCCAATAGATGAGTTTTCACAGTTGTTAAAGACTTCTTTCAAAACAAGTTATTTCCCCCAGTATTGTTTCAATACAATTTCTTCCATCATTTTTATTTCAGGTAACAGATGAGTCCAGTAAACGAGCTTTCATGTCGACCTTCCAGTCAGCAGCTGCTACATCTACTGATCCAGTCTATACACAACTTCTTGGATGTGTCTAAGAAGATTCACCTTACTTGTACGCATCCTTCAAGGCATTTTAATCCCAGACTCTTCCTTGTAATCAAAGACTGTTCTTAACTATGTAGAGGGGGGGGGGTAACCCAGCTGGCTCTGTCCGAATTTTGGGCAGACATTATTACCAGTATAATTTTTGGGGGGTGTCGCGTTATTTTTTTATGTATTTCTATGAAAATAATTTTTGAGGCGGACGTGGGGGGGGGGGTGGGTTTGGCCCCCATAACCCCCTCTGAATCCGCGCCTGAATGTGCATGCATGTAAAACGTGTATCCTGAGACAATCTTGTCTGTTTTTAATAAACAGATCTAATAATTTAACCCTAAATAATTAATAATTAATAAAATTAGACACAAATTGATTCAGGTTTGCTTTCGGAATTTAAAGATTTATTTCGTCCTGTCCTTTCATTTTTGCTGTATTCCAAAAATGTTGATTTGCCAACCGGGCTACTTAAGTAATAGTTTTACTTGCCCGCCGCTGTTTTGACTAGCATTTGGCTAGCGGGCTACTGCTAAAGTCAAACCCTGGTGATGGCCAATAATTAGCTTAAATGATTTATACCTGTTGTGCACCTGTTGTTTTGTGGCGATTTTGACACCTTACAGTTTTAAACTAATTATTGCAACATCTAAGACATGATATATCAGACTAAAATGAAATCTGATGTTAACTAAAACTTGTGGCACACTAGTAAAGTAATGTAATTCTTATTCAGTATCTTCGTTGTGACTAAAATCTATTTTGTGCTTATGATTTCAATACTTTGTCAATATACTTGGCATCTTTGTTTAGTTTTTTAGGTTTATGGTCTGAGTAATAGCTGTATATTCATTGCAAGCAATCACAAAAAAACACAATTACTTGTAGTATGTTTTGCACATAATCTTCTGGAGAGTGCAGTTGGGGTTGGCATCTAACTCCTGACCCTGTTATATGCTGTTAAACCCATCTTTGTGTAGATATATGTCTAATGATGGCTATGAAAAATTCGTAAATATAATTTTTTGGTAGAACTTATTTTCCATATTGTATATAATGTGTAATGAGTACATAATCCAAGTGCTGAATGTAAATAATTATTATGAATGTAAAAGTTACAAAATGGTACCCGAATAGCTCCATGGACTGGGCAGTTTCTTATATCAATATGTCATAAGGTTTCATTTAATAAACTAATAAAATTTGTCCTTACCCTTCTAATTTCTAGCAATAAAGAAACAAAAACACTAACATGCTTTCAGATGATGAAATGGCAAATGAAAAGATTGAAAAATCAAAATCTTAGATGCCAGTGATCTTGGACAATAGTTATCTTTACATATGCACATTGTTTATGTTCTACAAACAAGATTGATTTGGATAGCCTGAGAGGTCTAAGACATTTGAGCTTGTCTTAACTAGGTTGTAGTAAAAGTAAAGATAGTTGTTAATACATGTACCCTCATACTTCAATAATTTGCCTCCACCTTTGGTTTAGCCCTCAGAAATGCACTTCCTATAATGTCATCCTTGTCCTCATCTAAAACTCTTCCATACTGTTGCTCCACTCCAACTTTCATCTTCCCTTAAGTGCTGTGAAGCTGTATCTGACTTGAAGTATTGGAGAACCATTTCTTGGCATATGGATTTCCATATGACAAATGAAAACTGAGTCATTCTGTACTAATTCTCTTCAGAAGGCTTGTATAATTATGTATAACTGTGTATAATTATGAACTGTAATGTTACAGTATGTTATTAAAAAGATAAACTGAGTTTAAATGTGAAGCAAATGTAATGACTTATGAGTACATTATGTTAAAGCAATAAAATATCATGATACACATTCAAATTTATGAACCTTTCAGGGTTTTTTCCTTTGAATCTTTGTCCTTTTGCCAAGTAAGAGATGAACGTCACAATTTTTACAAGGAACGTTTGCCCTCGGTTAATTTATGTTTTATCAGTCATTGAGATTAACAAAAGATGCCTATAGTTTTTGCCAATAATTTCAGATGCCATCACCCCCTCTTCCATGTTACAATCGTAATTGTGCAATTAAATCCCCCCCCCCCCCAACCACAGCCAAACCTGTTTCTGCTTGCTCTATGCCCAGATACATACAAACATTTATCTAAATTACGTCTTGATATGAAGTTTGTCAATTGTTAAGCTCCATGCTCATACCGAAATGGTTGACCGGACCCCCATTTTACAGTATTTGGGGGAATTAGTAATGATCGGCCCCCTCAGTCTAGCCGCCCCCATATTCTTAGCTTTTTATTCCTCCATGCTAGAACTGAGTAGAAGACGGAGGTAAGTTTATTATTTTGCGGTCGATGCAGCTACGTGACGCATCAGTGCACGTGACCCGCGTACGGTATGGTGACTAGGTGACGAGTTAGTACAAACAATGTCCGCGGTTGTTCTGCATGTTTCGGGGTCGCTGATGTCGTTGATGGGTTCCCTGTGGCTAGCTTTGTGTAATTGTGCGGCCCAACACTTCTACGACTACTCCTTCCTCCATACTACGAGTGAGTACGACATCTCTACGGTGCAGGTGACACAGGGCGACATCACCGAATCGTCATTGCCACACATCCATTCATCATATCGGGTCAGAATCGGGTAAGATTGTGGACGTGGTCATCGGTTTCTCACGTTACAAATACATGTATGTAACGCACAAAACCGGTTACTCACGTTACAAAAATGTAACGTGAGTAACCGATTTTGTGCGTCTTGTTTATCATACATAACACATTTTTTTGGATGTCATCGATCTTCGGTGCTTTATAGTAAGGTAGGTCTGACTAGGTCTAGTACTAGTCTCTATGACCCATTTCCGTACCAACTACCATGGGGATATATTAACAATTAACTTTTGGCAGTGTATATTTTGCCGGAGACGGCAAACCTTTAGTAAACGTTAGTTTGCCGGATATGCACTGAACATGCGCAGTTACTGTTTTTTTGTACTTAAACATTTTCCGGTGACAAGTTTTAGTCTGGCTCCATGCCAATATTATCGTTGTTACGTCGTATTCACAAGATGGGATTCAGACCATTTTATAATTTCGGACTTTATTTCCCTTTTAAAAAAAATCCTCCAGAGCCACAAATCTGAAAAAAAATGTAATACTCTGCAAAAAATGTTTGAGACATGTTAAAATAATAAAAGAAGAATATTCTTATTTATTTGGGGATGGAAAAAAAAAAACTTAAAAATGTGGTGCGGTAGGAATCGAACGCGAGTCATCCCGCTTACTAGAGCTGTTGTGCCCATTCTTGAAAATTACGCATTCTCGAGAATGGGCGCGCATTCTTAAGAATGAGCGCCCATTCTTAAGAACGAGCACGCGTTCTTAAGAATGAGCGCTCATTCTTAAGATGGGGTGGGAATATCACGTGCACAATTTATGAATTTTGCCCAATCTTAACAAACATTGCACGACATAATTATGTTAAATGAATTGTATAGCGGTTAAAAGGGAAACAATTCATATAAAGAGGAAAGAAAATGTTCTATGCTTCTGTACTCGTATAACTACGATAATTTGAATCAAATTAAACCTGTTATTATTGCTTTTTTCTGCCCACTATGGGAAGTTTTGTAATAACGGAGGACTGGGAACTAGTCTGGGAAGTGCTTTGTTTAGGCTAGACAAGTTACAAGTCCCTGCATGTATCATATGCGTGCCACGAAAAAAAAACGATGTCCAGAAGCTGCCAAAATTGCTCTTTTGACTAGATAGAATCCAGCTCTGCGACGTTATGGTGGGGTGTGAACAATAAATTGGTGGCAATTTAAATGGGAAATAGCATTAGCACTATGGGATGTCGCAGTATTCATTCTCATTCTTCACATTCTTCATTCTTACGTCCCCCCCCCCCCCCCCCCCCCCCCCCCCCCCCCCCCCGCTTTTAGGCAAAATAAAAAAACAAACATGTTTAGCGTCCTGCCTCTTTGACAAAAAGGAAGGAGGAGGCCCTTTTTTTTTTTTTTTTTTTTTCAAAATGGCCGCCCGACACATTTTTCAAGCCAACGCAGCCGGGCTATTTTTCAAGATGGTTACCAGCTTTTTTCAAAATGGCCGCCACTTGGACTCATTGACTATTTCCACAGCTTTATACACGGTATAAAAGTCTAAAAATATGATTTCTTTCGTCAGAGATCGTTAAAATTTATCAATTTTTGTCTTTTAAAAAAAAAAAAAAAAAAAAAAAAAGGAGGCGGCCTCTAAAAAGGAAGCGGGCGGGGACGCTAAACATGTTTTTTTTTTTTACTTCGCCTTATTATCCCAAAAAATCAGAATTCTTTGCACTAGTATTATTATGTCTCTTATTTTTTCCCGGTCCCCCCCATATCAATACGCCTTTACTTATCATATCCACTCTACTTTTCAGCGCCTTGCGTTGCAACAGTATAATTATTGAGAATCAGTGAACGAGGATTCAGCTAGACTTGCCAAGCGCAGCCGGTGCTCGGCATCGACAAGACCGTTATCTTGTCGCGCATTCTCAAGAATGTGCGCTCAATCTGGAAGAGTTATTTTTTGCCAAGATTGAGCAAGGATCCAGTTGCACATTCTCAAGAATGTGCATGCCCATTCTCGAGAATGCATGATTTTCAAGAATGGGCACAACATCGCCTTTGCTTTACCACTACACCAAACGTGCTACACAACTTTAGGTGGGAATTTAATACATCTTATAATTCGGCCCTATTTTAAAGAGTACAGCGCCCTCTGTTGATAGGGATTGCCGCCGGGCAAACCTTTAGTAATCGTTAGTTTGCCGTCATTACCTCCGGCAAAATATCCACTATCTTAACTTTTCAGTAAGGTAATTACAGCCCAAGGAAACTCAAAAGTACATCAAAAATGTAACATGAGTAACGTGGAATTGCCCTAAATATTTTTTTTATGTCGCGGCTATCGTGCACTGTGGCATCGTTTTTGACGGGCCTGTGCGCCCATGCATGCACCGGTCTACGTGGCCGTGCACAGTCACATTGTTTTGCCGGGCCTGTATGTGCGGGCACTTGCCGGTTAAAAAAAGAGAATCCATGTTATGCTTTATTTTCTCCCATCCCGACATACCCCCCCCCCCCCCCCGACATACCCCCCCCCCCCCCCCTCGGGTACAATTGTCTCAGGTACGAGTTGTCTCGGGTACGAGTTGTCTCGGGTACGAGTTGTCTCGGGTACGAGTTGTCTCGGTACGAGTTGTCTCGGGTACGAGTTGCCTCGGGTACGAGTTGCCTCGGGTACGAGTTGCCTCGGGTACGAGTTGCCTCGGGTACGAGTTGCCTCGGGTACGAGTTGCCTCGGGTACGAGTTGTCTCGGGTACGAGTTGTCTCGGGTACGAGTTGCCTCGGGTACGAGTTGCCTTGGGTACGAGTCAACATGAATTCCAGACCGGAAACGTCGAGTTTAAACCTCTGGTTCTTTTCAGTTCAGAACCATTCTCTTACTTTCTTAGTTGAAAAATTATTCGCACATGGTGTTTCCGCAAACCTTAGTATCTCCACCATGCAAAGCCTCAATCTTACGTGCGATGTGCCTAGCATGGGCGTCGCCAGGATTTTTTCTAGAGGGGGGCAAAAACAAAATTTGCCAAGAAATGCTTGTATTTCTCAACACATTCTCGATTTATCAGTTTTAGAGGGGGGCAGGGACATTTTGCCCCCCCCCCCCCCCCCACTCATTAAATTTACACCACTTTGTCTTTGCGCCTCTTTTTTTTTTTTTTCTTTTCTTTTTTTTCTTCCTTTTTCTTCCTTTTTTTTTTTTTTGCTTTTCCAGGGGGGGGCAAGTGCCCCCCCTTGCCCCCCCCTCGCGACGCCCATGGTGCCTAGCCATATCATGTGCTACTACTTAATAGCCACGCCCCTTAGAAGACAACCCTATGGAGTTTTTGTACACTATTGTTTGGCTCATATTTTGCGCGTTCCGCTTCCATTTGTACATCATGTAATTTGACAATATTTCACAAGCTGCGTTTGTGCATGGTGTGGGTCATTAAAGGGGCACTAGGTCCTGAAATCCCCGAAAATTTCATGTTTTGTATTGTTTACTTATCCTATTTCAAACGTGGGAAAGGAAACCAACCTAATGTCTTACCGTTCTCGAGAAAAGACAAAAAAAACCGGTTGTTTACATTGGACACGACGGAGTACGAATACGTTTTTCGTGTCATTCTCTAGTGTACGATATACACGTTGTGTGTCTCAGGATCAGCGGTGACCAATCACCAATGCAAAAAAAATGGTTTCTTTAACGTCCGCAAAAGGCGAACACTTTACGAATGAAATCATGATGAAATCACAACTAGCATCCAAACGGCTCGAATTTATGGGTCGCAAAAGTGGACCCCGAAATTCGTTCTCGCACACATTACACAGGAATAACACAAAAACGTCCAGTTTTGAAAGGGTAGTTGTGTGGATGTTTCTATCCTAGTTTTGAATGTTCTTTCCGATCAACATGATCTTGTGCAAAGCGCATTTTGTAGCCCAATTGGGCTATTCCAGGACCCAGTGTCCCTTTAAGGTGTTTCATGATAATATGCGCCATCTCGTTCACGGAACAAAACGAATATGCGTTGCATTTTGGAATAACTGTATGATGACTCCAGTGACGATGTTCAAACAGATAAGGGATGTCGGAACAGGGGTGTCGAAACATAGATGTATAATTAGCTTGAGTACAGGGGCGTAAATCCCAGGGGGGGGTGTATATATGTATATTCCCCCCCCCCCCCCCCCCCCCACTTTTTGACCGGGGGGGGGGGGCTATTGAGTCATCCCCCCCCCCCTTTCGTGACGATGAATCAAGTGTTGATTTTGAGGTAATTTTTCAACATCCCAACGACCAAAATGTATTCAGTAGCACTGAAAAGTGGTGAAACAAATAACAAAAACTTGTTAAATGCGCCTATTTGGTGCCAGTATATACATATTGATATACATCTACATCCTGAAGAGCGCCCTCTAGTGTAATTTCGAATTTCCACAGGCAGGCAATTTGTGGATTTTGGTTATCGGTTATTTTGGACATGTACCAGTCTAGTCTTTAGCCTCAAAGTTGGAATCACTTGACTTCCCTCTCATGTGCAAGCCACTGCCAAATATTGAAGACAAGTCTCCTTTAAGAATTGAATTGAGTCTGCAAACTTGCATCATGGAAAGTTTGGAGATTATATATGCTCGCCAAAGAGCGACTAAAGTTGGCGTGATTTCGTTTTGCATGGTTTTCAGTACTCAAGGTCCCAGTCTGAGCTGAATGGTACTAAACAGTTTTTAAAAACAATAGGGCCTATGTGGCATAAAATGTGGATTTTATATAATATAAAATGGTTAGAGTTATATTTTTTAACCGTTACCTGCCACTTTTGTTGTTTTTTTGTTAGGAAAAAAATCTTGTTAAAATTGTTTTACAACTAGTGCAGGGCCAGTCGAAAATGTGCATGTTCGGAAGGGGCAGTTGAGAACTGCAGCTTGTGCAAATAACGCACATTATTCAATGGTGTGAACGCACACTCGCAAGTTAAATGCACAAACTGTCGTCACCCCCCCAGCACTGATATTTACCCCTACTGGACAATATGGTATCGCCCTACAACTGTAGGGCGTAGATGTAGGGCGATACCATATTGTATTAGAGTTGCTCAGTCGACTGCCTACATACAGTGCAGTGATGGTTGCTTAGTTGACTACAAAATGCATGTGCCCATGCATGCCACTCACGTATTTTATGTACGTACGAAGACATGGTGTGCAGTGCTATCGCCCTACAATGTGCCCGTCCTTTTTCCATTGTTGCGTCATATTAAGCACGCGCGCTCTTGCTCAAACATGACGTAAACAATTGAAAAGATCATCAGTTCTAGGCGTTCTAGGCTATATTCTGGCGCGCTAGGCTTCAGAAAATACTGCTTGTTTGCAGCTTTTTCGAGAACCGCTGGTCCAAACCACTTCAAACTTGGCACTGCACATTCTGTTGTCCCGAGCAATACACCCGCCGATTTTCAACTTCATACGGTACCCGGTTCTGGAGATAATTGGCGGACAGACAGACAGACAGACAGACAGACAGAGATTCCTGGAATTATAGTAAGATGTATTGACAACAGTCACATTTGCCATAACCATGGATGCATTAAGTTTAGGATTGAAGCATACATGTACCATGTGTGAAATGCAGTGCGCATTGTATGTGCAATGTATGCATACATTTTCAACATGCTTGTCCAATTGCGTGTTATCTTTATCTAAGGAATGCACTTGAACTTTGAATATTGTATTGGTTTAACCTTGTCAACAAACAACCTTTGGCCAGCTATGGCAAATTCTTATCTAAAATATCAACCGCTATTGTACATGTAAACCATAAATCTGAATATGAAAACCATGAAATTTGAGCAAACTAGCTTCAGATATGAAGCAGTGTGCACTGTGGCAATGTGCAAACATACATTGTTTGCTTTTGTTTGTGTCATTGTTTGCTTTAGCAAAAACTGATCTGTGAAGATGAAAGCCATTGTTTGATATCAGTTTGAATTTTGTACACGTATGTATGCTTGAGCACGCTGACTGCTTTATTCCAGTTCAATTTTCTGTCTCTTTCTGTTTAGTGAGGGTCTTTGACTGGTGTGTCTTCATCAGTGATTTCAGGTGATTTGAACAACCATGGAGCGAGTTTCACCTCCAACAACTGTCATGGTTTGTTCACATAAGCTGACCATCAAATTGAACTCGTTGGAATCCATCTGGTACTGTGTTTTTGTCGTAGTGGTGACATTATTCTTATGTCTGGATGCTACAAGACACTACGTTCACTATGACAAACTCGAATGGCCTCAAGGTAAGGATTCCCAATAGTTTGGATCAGTAACTTCATATTTTTTTTTTTATTCTTTGTAGTTTTTTGACCGATGAAAGTTTATTTTTCTGACAATTGAACCAGAGTTGCACATGTAAAGGTAATACTTGAATTAGTGATGGGAGAATGATTAACGATCCTATAGGACTTCTCTTACCTACCAGTAACTTTTTGCATTTATCGCTGCTCGAGTGTAAATTTGTCAAGTGGACCCATAATTTTGTTTAAGCTTGTTTCATGTGTTAAGCTTGTTTCATGTGTTATGAAAGTAATGAAATAACACTTCATTGTTAATAGCCATAACTATGCAGTCTCACTGCAACCTGCTGCCAGAGGAATTTCATTACATGTGTCCTTAATTTTGCTTTTTCTTATTTTGACTGTTTATCTGACAGGAAGACCCAGTGCTGAACTGAATCTTTACATTCTCCTGATGTTGTCAGCATTTCTTCTCATCATCCTCTTCATTCCAACTCAGATTTTCAAAGTTGGAAACCGGGCGAATGATCAAGGCAAACTAGGACTCTTCAAAGAAAACAATAATAGCAATGGAGGGTAACTTTAACACCATGCAATGGAATTTGTTTAATGCAGTCCTTGGAAATGCAACTTTGTGTCCCATTCAACCCTATTTTCAATTTTCGCTTTCAATTTTAAAGGGTATTTTGGTGCCCTTTTGGTTTTTATGCTTATACAAATTTCCATATTCGTGAGCAAAAGTGTAATGTCATTTCAGGCAGAAACCTCAGTGTTACAGCTACTTTAGCACCCTAAGTTGCCAGAATTTGTTATGTTTTAATTTTGCTGTACATGGCAGTGAGTAAGCCAATGAGCGAACTTTACTCAGAAATAGTTTCAAAAACCAACTTTTTAAGTTTACAATTTGAACAGAAAACCCCTAAATTGCAGACATGTCATGACGGTGCATGGATACAGCAAGATACAAGTGTGTACAGTGAGCTCAATAGGCCTGCATGCAGTTTTAAGTGCATTTCACAAGCATCATCAACATGAATCTGTTTTGTTTTTCCATTTAGCCTGGCTTCCATTTTGTAAATTCTCCACAAATGACATTCGAAATCTTTCTTTTCTATTGTCTGAGAAGTTATTTGTAAAGTTGGTAACTGGTATTCAATTCCATAATCTGGAAACATTTCCTTGCATCAACTGTTGGGTACTCAAGTATCTGGTTCCAATGCACAGCCCTAAGATCATGTTAATAATGTACATGTTCTGCATTCTGTCCTGTTTAACAGGTTTAGCTCTAGTCTGTCCACAAATCGGAAGATCGTCAAGTACTTTCAAGCAATTCGTAGAGTAACAAAACATCTGGGACCTGTAGGAGCTACGCTTCATTTCATCTCTGCTTTCTGTCTCTTACTGCCATTGATGTTTCTACAGGCGAGAGCTATACAATATGGTTTATTAACTTCAGGTGAGTAGTTCAAATATGTAGTAGTCATCAACAGGAACATTTTAAATACAATTGAATGATAATTCAAATATACAATGTAGTTGAAGGTAGGGACCAGGGCCCAATTTCACAGCGCTGCTTAACAGTTAGCAGAAAAGTTGTGCTTAGCATAGCAGAAAAATTTGCTAACCTTAAGCACTATTTTACCACGTGGATGTGCTAACAGTTGCACTTGCATGGAGATTTCTTATGTTACGTTACTAAGTTAAACACATTTTTCCTCTGAAGTAAGCATGTCTTTTGCTCTGCTTATGCTTACGGTCTCCATGAAATAGACGGAGCCTCTGTTAGCAGAAAGTCGTGTGCTTAGCAGCGCCGTGAAATTTGTGCTTGTTATTTTGTTAGCTGTGTAGCTATGTTAGGTTGTGGAGGGGCGCATGCCCCCCCCCCCCCTTCCCCATAAAAAATCATCACCCCCGGGCCCCCCCCCCCCCCCCCCATTTGATTTTAAATGAATACCGTGTTGAACAGATATTGCCTACAATGAGAACCCTGGCTACGCTGCTGCATTTGCCAGTCTTATAATTCGAAAAATATCTTTTTTACTTGTATTTTGAGATTTAAACTCTTTTTCAATTTGATGAATTGCCAGTGAGCATATTTATACAATTCTAAATTTTCATGGGAAGTCAACTTGGAATTGGTTTTTTTTTTACTAAGTATACATTCACTAAGATGATTGTTTTGTTTATATTTCCAGATGCAATATGGCGTTCTGAAGTGATAGTTGGTGTGACCACTGTGGAAGAGTTTGAGCAGCTTGCTCGAACCATGCACAATAATTCAGGTTCTTACTTCCCTGCTAGTGTCAACCAGACAATCTCCAAAATCATCCCCACCATTGACCCCTTCAAGGTCTACATGGTAACACTAAACTACATCAATTATGTTATTCCATTATTTTTCTATGCAGTCCGCTATGCAGATGTCTTCTGGTTTTGCCATAAAGGTTTTGCATTTATTTTCAGCATGCAGTTGATGTTGAATGCTATTCAATATGCACTTGGTTTTATCGGATTCTCTCTTTTGTACAAACTTCACTGGTATGGCTGGCATACTTATGGTTTAAAAGCAGATCCTGTCTTTGCAAAACCTACAGGTTTAGTTGGTGTCTACCTCAGTAATAATATAACAGTGTTTATGTCGGCAATTATTACTTACATGTACGGGTACAGTCGCTTGAAAGAAGCAGAATATAAACAAAAAGCTGCCAGGACAGGCATCCAAGTTAATCCAACAAGTTTTCCTCTCAAATGTAATGGGTATATTGCTAATATCGCAGCCGCTTTAGTAATGTGTGTCTTTGTTGCCTGTAAAGTCCCACTGACAATTGAGTATCTTGGTGTCTATCAAGTCTCAAAGGACGCAAGACTCCTGGCTTGTATAATATTTGACACGATCTACATGGCTTTTTGGTTAATCATGTGGATTGGATTCACTCTCAAACGAGATTGGGATTTTACCATTCATCCACCAAACGATCAAGATACTTCAACAGAGCAAGGGTCATCAAGCTGTGCTAGCCAGCGATTCATTGTCAGTCAGTCTCGAGATGTAGAACTACAACAAATCTCAAACTCTGATGAAAGAATTGAAGAGAGTCCTTCCAATCCAGTGGACCTTCGCCGTCATAAAACCCCTAACCCCATCCACAATTCTCAGGGATCTTCTTCGTCTAATACACCATCTGAAAGACCAACCAAAGAATCAAACGTTTACACACGTCTCTTTAGTTCAGACTCAAAACGGAGTGCCTCAACCTCACCTGAATTGGTTTGCTCTTCATGCTCTCCCAATAGAGGGCAGCAAACGCCCATCCATTACAGAGGTATAACAAGATCATCACACAGGAGTAGTGACCAAAGCTCTCGTAGTATTGAAGAAGAGTCTTTATTGGAGCAATCAATGAATGAGGAAGTGCAAGGAGAGGAAACTCAGGAACCACATTCCCCAGATAAGTCGCATCAGAGTCAATCTGAAGATGGTTTGTGTTAATACTTGTACTTCACTTCATCCAGTTCAGTTTTATGCAATATTCGTCCAGTATTTCACTAGGAGAACTGGTGGTGTTTTAGACTGAAATTCTTGGAAACCAAAATGTGTTTGAGAAGAAAATACATTTTTGGGAAGCTTAGTGTTGAAAGATGTTTTGGAAATGCATGTATTTCACTTTTCAATTGCAAATTTTAATTTTGAAATGCGATTTTAATTGGCAAGTCTTTCACTTATAATTTTTAAGTTGTAACAGAGGGCTTTGGTGATATGCTCGTAGGTGAGGCTCTCTTCTCTTGCATGAAACAGGCATTCACCTTACTTGCGTCTGCTAATCTGAAGATGTTTAGTTACTTTTCCATGTCCAGGAGTTTGTACATGATTGATACATTGACTGAAGCTTTAACGTGCCTTGTGTGGCTTAATGTTCTCTTCATGCACACAATATCTGGCGTGTTGGACTGAAATTGAATTGTTTCAGAAAAGACTGCAAGCATGCCAATCATGGGTAATGTTATCATTAATGAAGCAATTAGGTCCTGTTGTTAAAAGTTATTTTATTATCGAGAGTGTGATAGGGTATCTTTGTGTAATAGGGTATTTATGTGCAAATCTAACCATGAATGATGTAATTTGGCAGTCAGAATTGTTTTAGATGAACTAAGCTGATTTTTTTAAAGGTAAGTTCCGCTTGATAATGAAATAGTTATGTAAGTTGTCAAAAGATGTGAAAAGGGCGAAGTTCTTATATGTACTTAATTGTCATGTCATCATAAAGGATTACCGCATTATAAATCCCTGGAGATTTTAACAGCACTGAAATGACTTAGTAGTTCCGATAACAGTGGACATGTTCTCCAAAAACCAAAGGTAATTGTGTGCTTTATTGTTATCTTTAGTTATCAAAACAAAGATAGTTGTATTTTATTGTTCAAATCAAATAATATCTCTGATTTAATTGTCTATTTGTTAAGGCCTTAATTGCGTGTTGAGATAACTATACATATTGCATGATACCTAATAGCATTTTGCAATCAAATAGCAATCGTGTGTAGCATTGAAATTATGCATGACATGCATGTATTTCTAGTATCAATCTAATTTTCATAGAGTTTTTAAATCAAGCAATATTGTAATATTTTCTGAATCACCGATTTTGTTCCACATTGCTGTTTTGATTTTTGAGAACGAGAAATTGTGTTTCCTTCTGAAAGCCAAAAACGTTTTATATAGTTGAAGGGCAAACCTTTGTACTTAACACAGCACAATATGCGCTTTTCCAAAATGTACAATTGTTGTTTTTATTAAGATTTTAGCCTGAGCTGTAGTAAACCAAAGTCTCCTTTACATCACACTTCAGGTCTCACGGCATAGTAGTTTAATCTTGTACAAAAGCAGTTATCCCATTACTTTTATTTGTATATACTTGTGTTTATGCGTATTGGTCAGTATTAATCCGCCGCACAGTAATATATTTTACCAGCACGTTATTACCATAACTAGTTTGTCACTCTCGCCTTAACCGGTGTCCTGTGACTTTCGGTCTGTTTTACCTCATTTTGACTTTAACCCTAACACGTGACTTTTCACTGTTCTACTTTTGTCACTGAGGCATGCGCAATAAAACTGTGTTTCACTGTTGAGTCAAAAATTCATACTAAAAAAAAAGTATTACAAAAAATTGTGGACTTTAATACAGGTAGTTTACTTGGAAGTACATGTATGACAATATATTACATGTACCACTTTGGTAATGAAATAATTGTGTTAATAGATCGAGATGATTTGTGTGCATATCAATGAAAAAATTAACGTGCAAGTTGAGTGATTTTGTAAACTTAAGCGGTTCGATGGAACTTGTCATATATTAAATAGTGTATGAAAGAAAGCAATTGTCTATTGGTGGAATTTTCTTCTTTTTTTACCGCGTATAAGACTGGAATGACATATTCAAGTTCTCTTTCCCTTTTGTGTTAAAAGGAAGAAGTGTCAGAGTATTATTGATATCGTCCATAACGCGTGCTCTTTCCTCAACAAACATCTACGCTTCAAACCATCTACATTATTCCTCTTTCAACCACATCCCCTTCAATTTAGATGAAAACATTACCAACCACAACTTATGACACTACTTCTACTTCCTTCATGTTTTAGTCTCAAGCACACTCACCGTGGCTAATTTGACGGGTTCCCCCTTCTTTGCTGTAAATAATTGACATGAGCGTGACTTTACAAATTCTCATTGATTTGGATCTGTCACTTAGTCACCGCTGTAAATAGTCATCTGTCCGGCAACGGGAAGGAAAAACACGAACGAACTTCATGTAATTGACTTTTGTATGTACCCTACTGATCAAGTACGCGCACGTACACTTAAAGCGTAAACACGCTTCAGTTGATTTCTGGTAATTAATTGCACTTTCAATCTCCTCACAGCCTCTCGATGTTACCCACAATGGCTAAATAAATCTGGAAAGTAAGCAGCGATCATGAATGCAGGGGTTGGGAAAGAGGTCAGTTTAACCATGGAGCAAGGAAAATGTTTAACAAAAGTGTCTGAAATTTGAAAAAAAAATACAGCAGAGGATACGAAAATGGATGGTCCGCTCAATGGAGACATAGACCATTTGCATGGAAATTTAATTTGTATCGATGGCAACTCAGAGTGGCGCATTTACTTTGTTTATTATTAACGGGGGCATTTCCTGTGATGGGAAAAGTGGTATCATCCGCCCACTCGCTTCATCACAAAACGATGCCTGGTTAGGTTGGGAAACATACCCTCTAGTTCCTCTATATACGTGTTCAGAGTTGCTTTCCGCAGAGATGGGGTTTCTCAAGGTGTCTGTGGTGCTGTTTTCTGCTTTGGTGGTTTTCGGTGATATTCCATCTCGCGCCAAAATCAAATACAAGAGAGACGGACATTTTATCATCGGTGGGCTGTTTCCCGTTTACAGAATTTCTAGGCCGACTTGTGCTTATCTTGGTTGGAGTACAGTGTACAAAACAGAGTTGATGGTTTACGCCATCGAGCAGATAAATTCTCGTTCAGATGTACTTCCGAATGTAACCCTTGGATTTGACATTAGACCATACTGTGACGATGAATCCATTGTGATCACGAATGCTTTGTCTATGGCTGGTGTAGATGGAGTTACTACACATGATGAAGAAAACAGCAAGTTTGTTGGGTTTGTAGGACCAGGCACCAGTGTCACTAGTGTAGCGACTGCTATCACAACAACCGTGCACAAGATTCCCGTTGTTTCTTACGCTGGATCCAGTATGGAGCTCAGCGATAAAACTCGGTTTCCTTACTTTCTGCGAACCTGGCCACCAGGCTCCCACCAAGCTGCGGCTATTGTTGATGTTTTACTCAGATTCAAATGGTCGTATGTTGGACTTGTTTACTCAAGAAACACTTACGGGATTCATGGCGCTCAAGAAATCGAAAAACTGGCCGATACTCACAACATATGCTTAGCTTTTTCGGTTCCACTTCCCGAGACGGTCGAAAAACGAGATATTGACATTGTTATGGAGAAGATCCTGATATTCCAGAAAGCTAAAGTCGTCATTTTCTTCGTCCATCCAGCAAAAAGTGGTATCGAAGTTCTTCAATCCTTGATGAAGACGATTCCTGATCATCCAGGACTAATAATAGTTTCTGGTGATTCTTTCGTGAGCTACTTGAATTATTATGGTGTTGCAAACGTTACGAGAGGTAGTGTTGGTATTCGCTCTTACTACAAAGAGGTTCCCGGATTCAGGGAACACATCCAAACTGTTCAAATGGAGGGAATGCCGGTGAGCCCGTGGTTCGAATGGTTGCAAAATTATCAAGTATCGACAAACCCAAAGTGTCAAAACATAACACAGTGTCCCCTGTACTGTTATGACGGTTATTGCAATGATCATTATGTAGTTGATGCTGTCAGTTTATATGCTTCAGCTCTAGACAAAGTCTTGAACCAGATATGTAATGGCAATGTGAACTGTCTGATTAAGGAGATGAGTGGTCCATTGCTCATATCATATCTGAAGAATACAAGCTTTCAAGGTGTTGATGGGCTCTTTACATTCGACGTCCATGGACACCCTGGTGCCAAATATGACCTGACAATGCTTCAGTACCTTAACGGCTCTCATCGAGAAGTTAACATTGGATTTTGGGATTCACGTTCTGAGAACAACAACCATCTAGACATGACTTTGGATGACCTCCCTTGGCCTGAAGGTCACACATCACCACCAATATCTGTTTGTCGTGAGACATGTCTCCCAGGGTACATCTCAGTCCCACTTGTCACCAAATGCTGTTATGGATGCCAACGTTGTCCGATCAACACTATCGTAGTCAATGACACAGAGTGTCGTCCGTGTGTAAACTTTTTTTGGCCGAATGTCAACTACACTCGCTGCGAGAGAATCGCACCTTTATCCACTGAATGGCAAAGTGCTTTGACTTGCTCCATACTTGCTTTTACTGGTCTCGGTGTGGTTCTTACATCTTGCACTGGTACGGGACTGATTTATTACCGTCATCATCTATTGATCAAAGCAACGGGACGAGAACTAAGTAGTGCCAACCTCCTAGGTCTCTTACTATCCTGCTTGACTGTTATTCCTATCCTGATCATTCCAACCGAATTCTCTTGCGCCTTATCTGACGCCATGATTGCCCTCTGCCTCACGCTGACATACGCTCCTACGCTACTCAAGGTGAATCGCATCCATCGTATCTTCAAAGGAGCTAAGAAATCAAAAAAACGACCCAAGTTGGTATCTCCACGGCAACAGCTATTCTTGGTATCGGTTTTCACAGCTGTACAAGTAAGACTTGATTATTTTGTCTCTTTTTAATGTCTAATCGTTTCAATTCATCGCCTTCTTCACTTCACACATACCACTTGACCCATCCCCTATATAACAGCATGTCACCGATAGCAACACATGCAAAATGTCGAGTCCTAGTCCTTTTCTTGTGTGTTTTCTTATTATCGAAATGCATGCAGTGTTTTGCGAGTTTTATTAACAAAAACATAGAATGTCTCTCTTAGGCCAAAAAAAAAAGTCTCCGGTTTCTGGTATGCGCGCGCGTCGCTGTAGCCATGCGCGTCGGCAAAATGAAAAAGGTTTTTTTTTTCAATGAAAGATGATGTCTCAAAATCGCCAAACTCACTGGTTTGACTGGAATCCTGCTGCTGCACATTTTTAACGTGTTTTTTAGATGGAGTTATGGTCGAGAATAAGCTTTATGTGGCCTCTCTGGACTCCCAATCCCATATAGGCCTATTTGTACTAAGTTTAGTCGGGCACCATTTGCAGTCATCAGCCGACATTTGAAGCAAAAAAGTCGGGTAAAAAAAAAAAAAGCCGCGTCGCCGCACCACTTTTTGGGCAAGCTCCATACCAGAAACCGGAGACTTTTTTGGGGTTTTAAGTCCCCTCGGTTTAAGAAATGACGGAAAATGCATTTACTGAGTTATATTTACTAAATCTGTATCTTTATAAAGGTACTCATCGTCATTGTGACGGTCATTTTCTACCCATCTGTACCCACGATGATCCAACCATCAACACAGGAGAAACTTGTGGAGATTTACTGCCTCTTTCGCTCCGGTTTCTTTGCATCGTGCATCTACAACCTCCTCTTAGTCCTCGCTTGCTGCTACTACGCCTTCAAGACCCGTAAGGTACCAAGTAACTACAATGAGTCCAAGTTCATCGCCGCCAGCGTCTACTCAACACTTCTCTTGGGCTCAGCAGCAGCCTTGGTGTACACTACTGCCGTAGGAGTAGAGACAATAAAAGCTACCCTGAGTTTGGTTGTACTTCTCAATGCTTATCTGACACTAGGCTGTGTCTACCTGCCAAAGCTATACGCGGCACGTTTCATCCGAGATTTGAGCGTTCTTGGTGTGCGCAGCTCCAGTGGGCACGCGGAAATCGGGCCCTCATCAGTTAGTGATGTCGGGTCGGCGTTGGCTGATAATTCCTATAGCGGTGGGCCTTTGAGTATTTCTCAAAGAAGGTCCGCCGTGTATCCAGAAAAAGTAAAATCCTCGGACAACATCTAAATCGAAGACTACATAATACAACATTTAATAACTGACTTTCAGAGCCCGCAAGATATAGGGAATGCTACTTGTTTATTGAATAATTTTTGTGCAAGGAAACCCATCCATCAACGACAATAGAATATTGTTTCGTTAATATTAGTTTCTTGGAAAGGTTTTTGAAACAATATGATATAGTATAGTAAAATATATACAAAATGTATAGTCTTAGTCTTATTAATTTATTCATGTAAAATATTAAACTTCATCATTGTGTAAAATTCATTGAAACAAGCTGTGTTGTTTTGTAGTTTGAGCTAATAGAGTGTTGTTATAAACATCGTGTGTTTTAATGCAGTGGCTATTCTGATTCGTTTAGACTTAGTTTAATATACGACAGTATCATTATCATGGTTTTATAAAAGTGCTCGATATTGAATAGTTTAATGAGCACCGTCTGGCTGTCATGAAGTGGGAAATTTGATTGACCAAATCACATGGTGCAATTCAAGCCGATGCATGGGTAACCTACTCTGCCATAGCCAATCCGTTCAATATCGCCAATCAATACCGCCTTACCCGACCCATTCCTGATTTTCTTATTAACAGTGAGTTAAATTGTATCCTCTTGTTACCAGGATTTTACAGGAATTCAAAAGGCTTTTTCATGCAGGAGAATACATTTTTTCTGACGAACAAAATCAGAAGTTGTGATAGTTCGACTGAGGCACTTTTTAAAGCTTTCCAGGCACCTTGTTATACTGCATGAGCCCCCGTACAAAGAAAATTAAAGCTGGTACAGGCGCCCACTCCTGTTCGCCTTTACAAGGTTTAGTTGATAATACGACGTACGTACTGACTTAATATGTGCACTAAGGCCAAAAAAAGTCTCCGGTTTCTGGTATGGAGCTTGCCCCAAAAGTGGTGCGGCTTTTTTTTTTTTTTACCTGATTTTTTTGCTTCAAATGTTGGCTGATGACTGCAAATGGTGCCCGACTAAACTTAGTGCAAATATATGGGAGTACAGAGAGGCCACATAAAGCTTATTCTCGACCATAACCCAATCTAAAAACACGTTAAAATTGTGCAGCAGCAGGATTCCAGTCAAACCAGTGAGTTTGGCGGTTTTGAGACATCATCTTTCATTGAAAAAAACCCTTTTTCATTTTGCCGACGCGCATGGCTACGGCGACGCGCGCGTATACCAGAAACCGGAGAATTTTTTTTGGCCTAATCTATGTGGGCTCTTAATACATTTTTGCAATGGTCCTTCTATAAGTGGCCTGGATGCGACGGGGAAATGTAGGGCGGAGACTGACGGGGGAAATAAGTGTCCATCCCATAGCATATGGATTTGCTGTTATTTCTTATTTCAAATAGATGCCTGCATCATGTACAACATTTTGCAAACCGAAAAATACCATATTACATGTTTATGAACAAACTTGACTGTATAAGGAATAATACGAGTCTCAAGCATCCTGTGAAAATCATGAAACCTTTTGTGCTAGTCATTTTCAAGAAAAGTGGATATTTTGTATTAATTTCCAGCGATGGTAAGCCGACCATCGTTGGAAAATTCCTTCCTCAATGGTTTTTCCAGCATGTCCAGCATCAATGACAACACAGTGTTGCTTGCTTTATAACACGAAAGACCAGGGGCGTAGCACGGTCATTTTGATTGGGGGGGGGGGGCTACAATTTTTTGAAAAGGGCACTTGCACATCCGCTGGTACCATCTGTCAATGGGGGGGGGGGCGCAATTTATCCACTTACTTTTAAAAAGGGCACTGGTTCACAAACAAAAGGGAATCTTTAAAAAAAAAGCCACTCTTTAAAAAATATTGTGGGGGAGCGATGGTGAAAAGGGCATTTGAATGGAAAAGGGCAGTCATGGGGGGGGGGTGATACCCCTTACCACGACTCCCCCCCCCCCCCCCCGCCAAACTCCCCCCCCCCCCCCCTCAGCTACGCATTATGAAGACCATACATTTCTGAAAATTAAAGCAAAACCGAAACTGTGGTGTATACAGTACATGCAACCTCCTTAACGTAAGAAACAAGCCCGTCACAAAAATTAGAATAGTGAAATAAAAAGGGAGAGGCCTTTAAATGGGAATTTCCCTTTAATATGTGGTCACGTGACAGCAACTGATTTAATATAGTCAGATAGAAAAGAATTTGGCTCCAAATCACCCTCAGTTAACATATACGCAGTACAGGTGTCAGACCTAAGTCGTCGTGGATTTTTTTTAGTGTATGGTAACCAGACGTTTGTTAATGAAAATGGATAGCGGTGTGAACATTATAATCAGACTATTTTATCGTTGCCAGATGTTCATCGGTAAATGAGAATCCTATCCTATCGGACAAGTGGCCGGTCAACAAAACTGTTGTGTTGGATAAAAGGTGAGAAATATTGCCAAATATAGAATCCGCTCGGGTATTATAAGTGTGCATGTTTTCCAATAAGTTTTATAACGTGATTCCCATTTGCTAAAACCGAATGTTGTTAAATTTTGCGTCACAAAAAAACTGTGTCTATTCCTTCCGGAGTTCCTCCTCCATGATGATCATCACTGTCATGACTGTCACTCTCCATAATGACCATGCTCTCTAGGCCTGCCTAGCCTAGTTAGTTTTAGACCCCGTTCCTATTTACTTAGGCATGTTAGGCAGTTAGGCAGTGGATATTTAGCCGGAGACGGCATACCTTTAGTAAACGTTAGCTTGCCGGATATGCACTGAACATGCGCAGTTACTTTTTTCGCAGTGGCTATTGTTACGGCAGCCGTAACGCATTTCCCATTTTCTATCGTTACGGTAGACTGCAACTTTTATAAAAACATGACAAGAAAATATAAAATTAGAGGGAAAAAAGTGAATTTGAACGTTACAAAATTCGGACTTTATTTCCCTTTTAAAAAAAATCCAAAGCCTCAGGTTAAAAAAGGAAAAAAATTCGAGTGCAAAACTGAGATTCGAACCCGCAACCTCGCGGTGCAAAATCCTACCCTCTATCGACTGAGCTGTTGCACTGCTCGCTAAAACGTGGGGAAACAAATAATTATATACCTGCGTGCGTATCAAAAAAGTATCGTGGAGGGCGCTAAACAACGACTGCCGTAACGATAGCCACTTCGTACTTTTTTTTGGTACTTTTCCGGTGACTGATTTTAGTCTGGCTGCGCTTCGTCATGTCCGTGCCAACATTATCATTGTAACTTCGTATTCACAAGATGGGAATCAGACCATTTTACAATTTCGGACTTTATTTCCCTTTAAGGCTTTATTAAAAAAAATCCTCCTGAGCCACAAATCTTAAAAAGAAAATGTAATAGGCCTACCCTGCAATAAAATGTTTCAGACATGTAAAATTAATGAAAGAAGAATGTTCTTATTTTGGGGGATGGGGGAAAAAAACCTTAGGAATGTCGCCAGCGGGGATCGAGATCGAACCCGGGTCTTCCCGCTCATGAGATCCGTTGCTTATCCACTAGACCAAGGGTGCTTCACAACCTTTGGTGGTTGTTTAATATATCTTGTAATTCAACTCTATCTTAGAGAGTACAGCTATACAGGGCCCTCTGTTGATATGGATTGCCGCCGGCAAACCTTTAGTAAACGTTAGCTTGCCGGCATTACCTCCGGCAATATATCCACTATCTATTTTATATAGGAATTATAGCCCCACTTGTGTGGCCTCAGTATTGCTGCGCTGTACGTTAGGCCACACGTCTGGTTTCCCAACCTACTGAGGAGTTTAGTCAAACTCCGGCAAATATGGACTCCAGAAAGATGCTAAATTTCTCAGAAAATTTGAAGACAGATTACCTAATCTACCCGGACAATGCCGGAGGGCAAAAGATGAGAAATCATGAGAATACAACCATATACTGTGGTATGTGGGAAAAAAATGCCAAAAACGGGTGTGCCAGTTTTTTTAATAAACTCCTTAGTAGTAGTATTGGAGAACCTGGCGTGTGGCCAGAGATACAGCGCAGCAATATCACGGCCACACTAGTGGGGCTAATATAGGAAGGGAAAGCCTCACCAAAACAGTTGACCAAATGACACTCAAAATTGACATTCTGATATTTCTTGACACATCTGAACAATTGGCAATGACACCTTCTTGAAGATCAGCAGGTTGAATTTTGTGGAAAGAGGGCAGGGCTTTGATTTATGAGGGAAATTAAGGGGTCAAAGACGACGATGACAACCAGAAAACAAACTGTGTGATTTTCACCAAAGCTTTATTCTCTCTAGCTTTCTAAGTTAATTCTATATTTTACATGTCTACATTGTGTATTACTTGTGAATTACGTAGTGTGCTTAAACATTGGATATTTTTCAGATCATTTCCGGATGTTTTGCTGCTGATTTACATGTAGTAATGGAAGGTGGAGGAGACTCAGAGACAGCTTCAGTCATGGAATCAACATCACTTGGTAAATATTCCTCTGAGGGACATCAAACAGAAGAACATGTTGATGGAGAGGTAAAGGAGGAACAAGGAGAGGATGTCATTGAGAATGAAAGAGAAAGGGAATCACTGAACGATGGAACCGGTGACATGGAGATAGAAGACAGTCAGGGACAACATCTGAATGATTCATCTAAAGAAGATGTCAGCACCAATGGAATACATCGATTAAATGACATTGACCTGACACAAACAGAAGAAAGTGGCAATGGAAACAGTGACAAAGAACAACAGCTTAGTGATTTGTCGCAAGAAGACGGTAACATCAATGAAATAAAGGAAGATTTTCCGAATCACAGGATGAGTTGCCATGGTGACCATCCTAGTGAAACATCATGTCAAGACACTGTTGAAGAACCACGTAGCGAAATAGTGCAATCAGATATGACTGATAAAAGTGATCATATTTCTCATAATGCAATCCCAGAGTCTGATAAATCAAGAACTTCAGACACACTGATGGATGGTGAACAGCCAAATCAAGCATCAGTAACTCCCAAAAAGATTGAGTTGGTAGAAACTGGACAGGAAACTGCAACATGTTGTGCCGACACAGAAACCAAGACGTCCAGCCTAAAAGCTTCCTTCAATTGCAATCCATCTAAAAGTGTAAATTATAGTTCACCAGAGGCTTTCTTGTTGTCAATTTCAAAAGATGTAAGTGATGATTCTCAACTTAATATACCTGTGAAAACAGCCAGTGAATCACATTCAAGACTTGCAATTAGTGCAGGAATGAAATCCCCGCAAATTGCTGAGAATCGAGAAAAACCAAAGACAAGAACTAAAGAGGAAGCCAAACAGACTCAAAGATCTGAATTATCTTCAGAGAAACTGTCAAGAATTGAATGTACGTCAGTGCAATCAGCAAGAACAGCCATGGATCAGGATGATGATTTGCTGTCAGAATTGGATGCAGAATTGGATGACTTCTCGGTGCCACAGACACTTACTGAAGGTAAAATAATGTTCGACCAAACAACTTGTCCCTTTAGTACTTTCAACTAAAAGCATTCTGGGTTTGGATTTTTCCTGGACCTTTGTTTTTCAGACTTTTCCTCCGAATTCTAAAATTGTAATTTCTTCTGGAATATATAAAATTCCAAAGTACTTAGCATTCAAGCAAAGACCTTCTGTTTTTTTATTCTCTCTGCGAAGGAGTTTTAAGGTCCTCAATTTTGAAAGTAATTTCAAATTTATCTACATTTGTATAATTTCTCTGACTTTAAGATTGAACGCTACATGTAGTAGGATAACGTGAAGCACTGAACAGGCTATATACATAAATAGATAAGTCTGTCTTTGTGTAATTTGTTCATATTTCTCACATCCTCCCATTTCCTGCAGGTGATCCTATTAATGGTTTGCTGAGGAAGGGAATCATTCTGGAAGATATTCCGCAGTTTAAAATGATGAAACTACTATCTGAGGAATTACAGCAAAAGGTTGATAGCCTTCATGGAGAAATCAAAAGGTCATTGCTTTTAAGAAGTATAACAGTTCCAAAGTAAAGGAGTATAATTTCAGTAATTTCATGCATTTTTTTTGCAAATAAGTAAAGCATGTTTACAAATATGTACATGTAGTTGGAAAAAAAATATTAGCCTTCTCATTGTGCATCACAAAACCTTTGTCACTGCCTGTGACATTTGCCCCATGTATTTGGCTTATTCAGTTTGCGAACAAACACATATGATGATTTTAATTGCAAATTGTCATTAGTCATGAACCATATGGGTACTATATTACAAAAGCATTGTTTTATGTGTCATACAATTTTGCATATTTAATGCTATCACTTTGGCCAGAATATCTCCATAAATAATAATTTGCATATCAGACTGAATTTATGAATACCATGAGTACATATGCTAGATTTTTTTAAGTAGTTTTATTATTTTAAATTGCCAGACTGTGCATGTTCATTTAGTTTGGCTTGGATAGTGAGGTGCAGGGTTAGGCATTTTATCTATTTTTCCAATCAACTAAACTTTAGCATAGAATCAATTTTTCAATCAGTTTTATTTTAAATATATATACTTGCTAGTTTTTACATGTTAAACGCATTGGACTGGTTTGAAATTTTTATCACCCCTGACACAAAATTTCATCAAATGTGAAGGTGCATTATAATACTGGCCATGCGACAAAGTATTCTCAGAAAGTCTCACTTAACAAAAAAACAAAAATAAACAGGCAATATGGAAACACAATCCACCACTGAATATGAATGTTGTGATGTTTTGTTTCCAATTGTAGCATGCAACAACGATTGTCCAGTCAGCAAAAGCAAGTCAGTGATCTAGAACAAGAGAAAGATGCACTACAGATGAATATCAAACAAGCGGAATCAGTTCAAAGTGTTCATCTATTGAGAGTGAAAGAGGTAAGGTGATGCAGACGGGACACATCATCAATATTAAGGAAAAGTTGTAATTAAAATGTCACCCATATTTCTTACAAAGGCCAAATTTGTTGGTAAAGATACAATGTAAGTTGTTTGGGACTGAATTGTCACTAAGAAATACAACAGATGTGATGAAATTGTATACATGTAGCATTTGACACCCATAACTAGAAGTTTAGGTTTGGGCAATTGTAGCTTAACGTTTCCCCTAACATACAAACAGCATTGTCCAAAGAGAGCATGCTTTTCTCTTTTCTTGATAAACATTACATCCACCAGGTAGAATCTGTACACGGGATGATCACAAATTTGTTACTAACTAGGTAATAAATCAGGATCACGATGTTGCATGTAGGTACTGTTCTGTGGATATTTACCTCGCCATATGGTGTGCGGTACATGCACCACTGCATTTTTAACATCATAGCATGCATATTAACTTTTTTCTCTCAACAAAAAGCTTTTAGCATGATATGAAGGACTTTTGTAAGAATTGACCTGTGCTTTTATGAAGAACATGTACACATGCATGTACACTAATGTCCCAGCTATTTGCTCTGTTGACAAGATGACAATTGACAATGTTTTTATTTTCATGACAGCTTGAGTTACTAATTGACCAACAAAAAGTGGAAATAGCGGCGGCTAAAGAACGACAGCAGTCCCATGATTCTGCGGCCAAGAAAGCTATCACACAACTCCAACAGGAAATGAGCCTTAGGGTAGACCAGGTAAGTACCAGTGGCGTAACCAAGGGGGGAAGGGGCCCTGGCGACTGGCACGTGCCCCCACAAAATCCGTGCTCCTTAGCTGCACAGTGTTTTGGTAGTTGAAACTCTGTCTACATGTATATATCAGATTGTTTGCCATCTGCATTTTGTTTAACAAACTGTAGAATGGTAATGCACTTCTGCATGTAAGTCTCTTGTAAGTGTACGCAATAATTACATTAGGGAATCAACCACCGACTCATCTCACTTAAGACTACTTCACCTCTCATCTAACAGTGTAACCGTAACCTTCCCAAAACCCCCAAAATCCTCTTTGCAAAATGAAGGATTTTGCAGGATTGAGGCTATGTGGCAAAAATGTGTGGTTGATTTTGGAGGATGCACTGTTTCAAGGTCTCTGGCATGACCCTGTGTTGGTTATGCTTAGTTGTGCATAAATTTAGGCCTAGATTATACTTGAAATCATCCGCACTGCTCCAGAATATCACTGGCTCTGCCAAGGACACCATTCAAGATATAACATGTGGTTTTGGAGGATTGAGGCTGTATGAACTTTTACAGGGAGGCTGTTGGAGGATTTTGCAGGTTTGAGGTTGCATCCTAGCAAGAATATCTGGAGAGTTAGGATTAATCTGGATACCCTGGGTCTGTCTTGATTTTTGTACTGTAGGATTTGATTGTTGATTGTGATATCCCACTTCTGCCACCAGGTAAAATCCATGTATGAAGAAGCCATCAAAGAGAAGGAAGCTATAGTCATGAAGTATGCCAAGAGTGAGAAAGAAGTCTCAGATCAGAAGAAACTACGTGAGACTTTGGAGAAGACAGTGGAATCACTCAAATCACAGTTACATGATATAAAGAAAGAACGCTCTAAGTTAAAGAATACTGCTGCGTCTAAGGTACATTGTGCTGAACTTACACCTTCTCTTGTTTATCAAAACATGCGTATATGTGTACATTACACCAATTAACCAATTAATCCTTGCACTGGCCCAAACAGCCCTACCCTGTTGCTCATTGTACTACCAAAAACTGTGCCGACCCAGCGCTGTATAGTTTATGGCTTCTTCAGGGAATAAATACAATGGTATGAGCTCCGTGCACAAGTACCCCCTCACTGGCTAGAAAGGGAGAGTTGGGGGAGACCATCGGGAAAGACATTCAAATGCATAACTGACGATGCCTGATGCTCATGCAATGACGCTATGGCTTTGTTCACATTTAAAATATAAAATAAGTTGTGCGTACTTCGCTCTATACGTGCGCAAACCAGTATGTACGCACGGAGTGTCCCATCCATGGAACTCTCAAAAGTGGTAAAAAGGCACCCAGTCTTGTTGTCGCATAGAGCCCATACATGTACAATGTAAAACAGGGTTAAAATAATTAGGGATTTGTTTTTTCCTCACTTGTACTGTATATTTTCTTCAACAGGAGACCGAAGCTTCATATTTGCAGAAAGAAGTTGATCAACTGAAGGAGGAAGTCAGCTCACAAGGAATCAAAGTCAAATGGGCCCAGAATAAGCTCAAGACAGAACTAGATGCACACAAGGTGAGAAAAAGATGACACTATAAAATGTTTGCTGGCGCTACGCTGAGAGTTCTGCTTTTTGTTGTCTCATTTGACTTGGAGGCAGCCAATATTTCACATAACTAGCCTGCTAGCAAACACAGAGCAGCAAGAAAAGTAACTGATTCACCTTGGTTCATACACTTGAATTCTTTTATTGAAATTTTTTAACAGGAGACCAAAGTGAAGCTAGCCAAGACAGAACAAAGACTAACGGAGGCCAAAGAAGAGACAGAACAAATCAGGAAAAACTGTCAGGAGATGATCAAGACTTATCAGGTACCATTAGATCAAATAGGTTTGTGCTTAAGAATTGACAAGATGTGTGCATGGGTTTGCTTATGGTGTAAATCGAGAACACTTATGTGAATCATCCTTGTGTAATTGAGGACAAGAGTCAAATTGTTTGTTGTTTTTTTGTCATGTACAAAACATATGGGAGTTTTCCTAAAAAGTTTAATTGCAAGAGGGACAAAAGGACATCCACTGTGGGAGATCGATACACGTTTGTTTGAGTAGGTTTATGGTGTAAATCGAGGACACACGTGCGACATCATCGATGAATTGAGGACAGGAACCAAATCGAGGACGATCTTGATTAGAAAACGTGTACAAAACCAATGAGAGCTGTTGCAAAAAAAGTTAGAGTTATAAACAGGAAAAGGGAAGAGGAACAATAAAAAACCTTGAATTACAGCATTAACCAACCTGTGTGTGTATGTTACATCCAGAGATCGCTTAGTCATTACGTCCTTGTCTACCAAAAAACAAGACTTTTGCAACGATACTTCCTAATTTTTTAAGTTGTCTATTGACTTGTGATTTTCAGACCTCTGAAGAAGTGAAATCCAACAGTCTTGACAAGCAGCTGAAGGTGAAACACAGTGAGCTGGAACAGAAATTACAAGAGCAGAAAGACCACTTGGAAGTTCATCAGGCTAGACTCCGAGAACTTGAGTCACTTAAGAAGAATCTTGCTGATAACGTAGCTGAACTCGACTCATTCAAAGTCAAGGTGCCACATTGCTTTAATGCAACTCAATTCATTTTGTTAAATCTATTAAGGAAGCCAGCAGAAATTTGATAAACTGTTGTAAAAACTATTACACATGATACTGACTTGATTTGTATTTGAGAGTTTGAAGTGGATGTAACTGAATCTGTTAATGCACTCCAAATTTGTCAATTTTTTTGTTTGAATATTTTAATGTTTTCACACACAAATCTAAATTTACTCAAATTAGATCAGGAACTCCACTTTATTGATGTTTAAAGAGTTTTGTATTTGATTCATAAATTTTAACAGAACAAGTGTTTGGAAACTGAAAGACTCCAAAATGAGGAACTTCTAGCTAAATTCAAAGAACTTCTCAATTCTCAAAAAGAAGAAAACCGGCGACTTAACAAACAGCTTGAGGAAAAGAAGACGTTGGCACAAGAACTTGACAGGTTAGTAGTTGTAATTTTTCTGATGACAAGTCTCTCTTTACATATTCAACACAAAGTTAATTACTTTATCTTTTAATTTTTGGTCATTATTTCTTAAAAAGCCATGATCAGTGGTAACCAAAAACATGCAGTTTGACTAAATGGTATTGTGCTACATGCATGGTCCATTGATGATTAGTCTACATACAGTCAAATGACACATGCACTTTGCAATGATATGAATTGAAGTCTCCCATTTATCATTAAGCTTGAAGCAGACAGAGCAACAGCTACGATCAGAAGTTTCTGGTCAGAAAAATGACCAGTCAGACTTGGAGATGGAGCTAGAGACAAGAAGACAGAAAGAGGGCGAGCTATTGCAGTTTACTGAGAAGATAACGAGTAAGAACACGTCACTGAGCTCTGAGAATACCGCCTTGAGGTCAAAGGTAATTCATTGGTTTATCCCATTGAATTAAGGATCAATTCAATCAAATTCCAAAATTTAAATGTCATGGAATCAGGTATCAACTGAATGCATGATACACACCATTCATTTTTTTGTCTGAAAGCATACAAAGTTAAATGTTTTTATGAGTTAACGTCTCTATTTTTTTATAGGCAAGTCAGCTAGAATCTGCCGCTCTAAAACTTCAGAAAGATCTTGATGAGTTGCAGACCAGCTACAATCAGTTGGTAAGTTAATGATCATTGATTCCTAAAATCTAAACAAACCAAGCAAACTTTAATTTTGGTTTGAATGTGGTTTTTAACTTTCATAAGATCCCAAATGTCCACTGTGTGCATTACAAATGATCGAGACGTGTAGCCATTAAAATGTTGGAACCATTTTTCTGTATATATTATGCTTGCAGTAATTGCAGTTAACATTACATTAAGTCTATTGCATGGAATATTGATAATGAAGATCTTAGGTGTATGTGGTATAAATAAAAACATCATAATCTATTTTGCTAAGTATAAAACCTTTTCTTGGACAGAGCTCTGAGTTGAAGCAGGAGCATCAGTTTCGTGAGCGTGAGTCATCACTGCTCACAAGCAAACTCAATGAGAAGAGTCGTGCTTTAGAACAACTGTCTATCCAGCTGGATGAAGCCAGGGATGATAATAAGACTCTGAAAAGGAAACATGCTGCAAATACAAAGGTACCAGGAGGTCTTGAAGACGATAAGGTTTATCTAATATCAAGTAGTAATGAGAACAATCATGCTGACGGATGAATGTCAAATTCAATGATATAAGTCTAGAACAGCTTTAAATTTAAGTCTACTTTTGTAACAAACACAAAAGTGGTTCATGAAAATGGTCTCTGTATTGAATATTGAACAAGACCCATACAGGTATCAATGTATAAATAATGTTCTGAAATATGTTAGGGTTGTTTTGTCATAATAATTTTTGACTCCTTTTTTTCTGCATAATGTGGTCACTAATGTAAAAACAAAAACTGATTTTCAGTCCTGAAATTGTAGTGAAAAGTTCCCTTTTGAGATTGAAAATAGCAATATTATCTTCTTTTTTGGATTTGACAGGATTTGACAAGACAGTTACAGCAGGCACACAAGCGTTTAGAATCCATTGATTCGTCTGAGAATCCATCCCGTGATACTATCAGTGTTGGTTCACGCACCAGTAGTTCAGGATCATTGGATACACTTCCGGGCTCAACTCCTAGTGCTGTCAATTCAAGTGGTTCATCAGTCTCCGTCAGCACATCAGCATCATCCAAACCGGAGGAACATCCTGCACCTCATGTAAGTCTATCGGGTCTTGAGCATGAACAACCGAGGGCCGGAGGCGCTGTTCAAGCTATCCGACATGTGCATGAATAGGGCAAGATAAGTGACTGCCACTTGAACAAGCTTCAACTCATTCAATTCAATGTCATTTATGCACATAATAGAGAAATTGTTCGTTTTTGTTTTCAACTTTTAAAGTTGAGGTCTGTTTTTATTTCAGAGTCAATCACAATATTTTTACTTATTATTTGGCATGTCAGAAAGAAAAACATTAACTTGTACATTTTATGATGAGATATATATGTATATTTCACTACAGGATCACACGGTTGCAATCGCTACAGGCAACGACTATCCTGGAGTCGACAAAGGAATGTTAGTTGACCGCATTGTGCGATTACAGAAAGCTCATCAACGGAAAAATGAAAAGATGGAATTCATGCAAGAACACATTTCCCACCTGGTAGAAGAACTCAAAAAGAAATCCAAGTAAGTTTTATTTACATTCTTCAGTGTGTTTAACTGTCAGTTCTAATATAAGAGATAGTTAAAACTGTTGGCAGATAAACTTCCTCTTTTGAGAATTTTCATAAGCAACGATTTTATATTTATGAGAATGGCAGCATGAAATCCTTGTGGTTTGCTTGAGTTGAGTTTGGGGAATGAGTGTTGATTGTTTTCCGCTGTCCATAACTGAAATGTGTGCTTTGTCATCTGTCTATTTGAATGATGACGTTATACAAATATTGAATGCTTCGAGTGGTGTAGTAAAACTAGGCTCCCGAGGTGATCCATGGACCATTCTATTTTCCCGAGGCGAAGCCGAGGGAAAATAGAATGGTCCATGGATCACCGAGGGAGGCTAGTTTTACTTTACCACGAGATAAAGCATTCAATATTTGTTTTATAACACTTCACCCACAGATTCTGCTTGATTTTAATATTTTACATGATTTAAATCTGAACACAGTTGAAATAAACTTCAATTTCAATACAAAATTGGTGGAAAATGTATTTCTCTCTTAAAAACTAACCCTTCACAAAATGTTTGAACCCAAGTCTGCGGCGCGCTCTCTTTGGAATAATACGCGCTACGCACAACGCGCAACGCGCACACCAGCATGCATTTGCACACAAATACCGCGCCGTGGAAATAGTACTTTGGTTGCTAATGGTGTAGTATTTTGGTTGCTATGCGCATAGTACTTTTGGCCGTGCACAGAAAGATAGCAAAATTAGAAAGTAGCATGTGACTCGCTCTCGGCCAATCAAGACACAGAATCTGTGGGTGAGGTGTTATAAAAATTGTCATCATTTCTCATCCAGCTACTATTTTTAAGTAGAAAAAAGGAGATGAATTTCCAAAGCAACATAACAGTGTGTAGATAATTTATAAGGTTTTGTTGTGTTATCTTCTCAGGATTATTCAGCAGTATATAATGAGAGACGAAGCTGGAGCCCTGGTACCAGTATCTAGTGATGTCAATAAGGTAGGTATAGGACCATGTCTTAATTACTTGGCTATGACCAGCAGCAGCACACAGGTCTATAGGATGTAGAGTCAGCAGCTACCATAATTACTTGGCTATGACCAGCAGCAGCACACAGGTCTATAGGATGTAGATTCAGCAGCTACCATAATTACTTGGCTATGACCAGCAGCAGCACACAGGTCTATAGGATGTAGATTCAGCAGCTACCATAATTACTTGGCTATGTCCAGCAGCAGCACACAGGTCTATAGGATGTAGATTCAGCAGCTACCATAATTACTTGGCTATGACCAGCAGCAGCACACAGGTCTATAGGATGTAGATCCAGCAGCTACCATAATTACTTGCCTATGGCCAGCTGCAGCAGCACACAGGTCTTTAGGGTGTAGCTTTAGCAGCTACCATAATAACTTGACTATGCCCCCCCCCCCTTCTAAATTTTCACCCAATTATGTTTTGTCCTCTCTTCTTCTGATTCATACTAAACCACTGCCATGACCCTAAATTTATCCACTCACAATTTGTAACCAAATTAAATGTAGTAAATAAAATACATACTTCTCTGTAACTGTGTAAGATGTTTTCACAATTATGTCAATACTCTTTGGTTTTATACTTGTTTCTTATTTTGTTTGATCCGTTCTGAAAACCTCATGCCTGTATGCTTTTCTCCAGCAACAGTAATCTGACACAACTGCCAGATTCTTCAAAGAGTTTTCCTGCCCTGAGAATAACCCAGTTCACAATTGCATCTTGTTTTTCTGTCACTTTTCCCCCAATAAATTGCTGCTTTGTTTTCCTTTGCTATCATGCTTCCATTGTTTTCAGTCCCCATCCGGCTTACGAAGCACTATGGTAAGAATTCCCACATCACTGAATGGACCTCTTGCTTTTCACGGCCGTCTTGTCATCAGCTTTGCTCATGTTTGTAGTCTGCAGAGCATGCAAGCTAACAGCATGAAAAGCACAGTTTTGGTGTTGCTTTGAAAAAAAAATGTCCTTCACTGGCTTTTTCTTCATCCCGAAAAGTATTTGAATTTTGCGATTTTACTTTCATTTGGGCAAGTTCTTATTCTTTAAACTGCATGCTAAAAGTGTTTTCTACATTTGTAAAAAAAAAATTATTTGAACTGCCATAAACTGCCAAATCTTTTTATAGTTATATGCATGCCATATAGCTGATCAAATTTAACCATGAAAAGTTACTCCTGATGTCGCTAAATTATTTCAAAGGGATTGCAAAATAGACCTAGTGAATTACATGTCTCAACTGTAGCTATTGCTGTGATTTTTTTTTGTGTGTTGCTTGCTGTCCTTGATTTTTTTAAGAAGGAAATCGTTATTTTGAATTGCGTTTTGTTTTGTTGATACCAAGTACATTCTGTAGATCATTTTGTATTAGTTGCTTTGAATGATAAACACCTCATTTGCACTGAGTGAAATTAGAATTATTATTTTCTATTGGTTTAAAATTTGTCTTCATTTTACGTAAACTTTCTTTCAAAGAGGAGATGTGGCCCATTGGTTAGGGTTTGTGACTTATGGTCAGTGGGCCAGGGGTTCAAATCCAGCTGCTGGCCATACATTGTGTCCTTGGACAAGCTACTTCACCCACACTTGCCTCTCTCCACCCTGGAGTATACAGTCGGCTCTTGTTAATACAAACTCATTCGGACCTAGCCAAATTGTTGGTTATATCAGAATTTTGTATTAAGAGGAGCAACAGTCCCATTCATTGTGCACATAAATGCACATTTGGGACCAAGGCTTTGTGTTTTTTATAACCAGAATTTGTTTTAAAAGTGTTTGTACTAACGAGAGTCAACTGTAAATGGGTATTGGCATTAGCTGGGAAGTAATATGTGATGAACTTTTCCAGGGGAAATAGAAGTGTTGTCAGTGGTTTCCACGGAAAGCGCATTAACAGAAATCTAGCTGCTAGCAGATTTCTTGTTTTATCACAACACAGGGGTGGATCAATCATTAACAGAAGGGGGGGGGGGGCATCAAAATGAGGCGAAACTCAACATAGGAGCAGGGCATATATTTGCTCATGTGGGTGAATATTTGTCTTTGAAGTGATTAAATAACTAGCTGGCAGCAGAAGAAACAGGAAACAAAGACAAGACGTACATGTACCTCCTAAAAAAAAATCAGGTGGTGGGGCGTGTACCAACTGCGCCCCCCCCCCCTGGATCCGCTACTATATGAGATTGTCTTACTCTAATTTTTCAACGTTTTGATACATTGATATTTCGATTATTTTGTCTCATCATCAACTCTGTCTTAATTAATTTATTATTCCCCCTCCATACAGGCACAGATGTCAAAGCAAGGTGGTATCATGTCTTCTCTCTACCGCTCTCAATCAACTGATCCTAGCATGACCCTTGATCTTTCGCTGGAGATCAATCGCAAACTCCAAGCTGTGCTTGAAGATACTCTGCTGAAAAACATCACTTTGAAGGTAAGAATATTCAGTACTTTTCAGAGTTGATTGTGGTTGAGGTTTGATCCATTAATTTTAAAGTTAATGTCAAACAAACATCTTATTCATGTTTGTATGTTTATTAAAGGAAAATATTGAGACCCTTGGTCAGGAAATTGCAAGGCTGCTGAAGGAGCAACAGAAACATCATTCTGGTCACAGATGATAAATAATACAATCTCATCATAGAAGGCATAGCAGCAGCATCATCAACCCTCCATATATTAGACAGCTTCATCATTTATTGATGGAGGTCAACAGAAAGTGCTCATATTTTAAGAGAGCCTAAATTTCTTAGATAGGAAAAGCATTTTTTTTCAAGGCAAGATGATGCCTGGCACCCTAATAGAAGGAGCAACGTGGTAGCCTTACTGAACACAATATTACTTGGTTTTTCTAATGTATCAATATGTTTATAGAAGGACCATTGAATGTTTACGTAGGTTTTAAACTCTGTACGATTCACACACAATATGTATTCACTGTTTCATCCAAGCTGCATTCTAACTCTTTCTGTTGGTTTTTCTCCCTATGGGCTCCTGTGCAAACAAGGACTCACTGATGCGCGTACTGGTTCGCATGCATATAAAGCAAAGTACACATGCCTAATTTATTCTGAATGTGCGCAATCCTATGGCATCGTCGCTTGAGCGTCAAGGAATCGTTGGCAATGCGTTTGAATGTCTCTCCAAGTGGTCTCCCCCAACTCTCCCTTTCTTACCGTTGAGGGGGTACTTGTGCACGGAGCCCATAGTTTGTTTATTTTGATCTTTTAAGCATGTCATGCTTGCTTTATGCTCAAAATGATAAACAATATGCACAAATTAATTCCAATTAAGATTTTATCCTCTATCTATTTAGTTTTGTTCTTTTAATGATGTATATTGATAAAGCATTCTAACAGAGTATAGCCCTAAATATGGCAAGGCATTCCAAAAATTCCAAAATATACATGTATGTTGTAATTTTTGTATATATTGTATAATTTATGAAAGAAAACACATGTACATAGCAAGCGAAAAATAAATGGTTAGAATTTACAGGGGGTAAGTGTTATAACTGCATGCAACAAAATTGCTGCCATGTATATTATTCATGGTTCTAGGTTGTTGTTTTTTCATATGTATTCAACCTGAATCAGAATCATAGTTTCAACCAGGACGTGGTATGCTTTAACCTCCTGTTATTGTTCTTTATTGTTGCATGAAAAGACAAGTACATAATGACAGAAAGGGAATGGTATTGTTTGATATTAAAGGGGCACTAGGTCCTGAGATCCCCAAAAATTTCATGTTTTGGATTGTTTACTTATCCTATTTTAAACATCTGGTTGAAAGGAAACCAACCTAATGTCTTACCTAAAAAACCTGGTTGTTTACATTCACATAACGAATATTTTTTTCCTGTCATTCAATGTACACTTTGTGCATGTGTCTGTTATAACGTACATATACAGCACCATGCTTGCGAACAGCAATGACCAATCACCAATGCACAAAATGTGGTTTCTTACACGTCCGCACAAGGCGAACTCTTTTTATGGATGAAATCACAACTAGCATCAAAACAGCTCAACTTTTTTAGGCCGCAAAAGTGGACCCCAAAAGTCATTCTCGCACGCATAATACAGAAATAACACAAAAACGCCAAGTTTTTATAGGATAGTTTTGTGGATGTTTATATGGTCTGCAATGAAATGCATGTACATGTGAATCAACAACTTATAAACTGCTTTGTTGTTTGGAGGGGGCTAAATCTACATAAATTTGGATCTTGAGGAAAAGCAATATAGAAATGGTTTAATAGAAAAGATGAGGTGAGATTTTTCAAAGAGAAATGGGAATAAAGTACAATAAACAAAATAAATGTTGACACCCTTTACAATATGAGATCCCATTGTGTATAGTCCACCTAGTTCATATTAAGAATATATGTCTAGAATTACTGAATGATGAATGTAAAACTATTTCTGAGTTTACTTAAATAATTTACCTTGTAAAAGTATCACTCAACAACGATATCGCTTTAAAATATGTCTGTCACTTGAACATTAACTAGGTGCATTTGCATTTTGTTCGATGCATACATTTTGTTTGATGCATGTACATGTATATGGGAAACAAATCTGTCACTTTTTTCCAGAGATCAATAATACCCACTCCATATATCATAACTAAGAGAAACATTTCAAGTCATTTGTTTTTAAATTATGTATAAACATGTAGATTTATGCATCAGCACATACCACACAAATGATGTCCGTTGAGTACATGTATTCAAATTTGATTTTAGTCAGGCCAAACATTCTAACCACATTTAAGACAGATTTGTTTGTGTATTTAAACTAGTTTATCCTATGAGCTATATGACCAAGTTCACACCTATAGATGTTTACTTAGTTTAATTAACCATATGTAGTGTAATTTTATGATGATTGTTAGCACATGAAACATGTTTAACCAAGTGCAATCATATTTTAATAATTTTCAGTACTTTCTGATAAGTAGCATCTTCATTACAGAGTATTGGGCATTGTTAATCTACAACATTTAACAGGTTGAATCGTTGTTTGTATATGTTTGGTAAGGAGTAGGATGTATTCCGTTTAATTATATTTCTGAGGGCATCAAGGCGTATATCTGAATAACAAATAGAAGGGATATCCATATGAAATTATTGAATTTCCTAGAAACCTACATGCACAAACACCATTAATTGTCATCAAGAAAGACAAAGCAATCTATACTGACTTGTCGAAGGACAGGATCTTACTTAAAAAAAACAACTTTCATTTAAGAGAATGTTTTTTTTGGTTTTTTTTTTTGTTGACATGTTCTTGAGATTGTCATCAACTTGTTATACACCGTTGTCAAGTTCACATTACATGTATGGACACAATGTCGCTCTTCATGTTGACAATTAATTGAGTGTCTTATCAAATTCTACGTCCTGGTAATCATAATTTCAGAAAGCATAAGTAACTCAGCACCTTTCAAATTCTTTATGTGATCAACCATATCAGCATTTTTAGTTTTTAGACGTAAATATCTTTTAAATGACGGCATTAAAGAAAATAAATTCCGGCATTCAGATTCTGATGATAAAAAAAAAGTATGCTCATTCTGGAGGGTTTTTAATTTTTTATTTAAATTTTTAGAAACCGGGGAGAAATTAAAACTTGTGTTCTGCTCTTTTATGTAAAATTGCAGATATATTACCTTTTGGTATATATCCCTCTTTATTTCTTTGCATTAATAGGGAAGGGTTACATTGGGCTCCCCCTCCTAACTAGAGGATTGTGCCCCTCCCTCTTGTGCCCTTCCCCCCCCCCCCCCCTTCAGAAAAAAAACCATTGAGTGCCCCCCTTCTGTACCTCACTTAGTTACGTCACGTTTGAGTCAACAAAGATATAGGCCTAGTTAAGTTGTAACGAACACATTCATGATATTGGTGATAACGCCAATTTGATGCATATATTACATTTCCGTTGATTAATGGGGAAAAGTCCAATGGCCATCAGCTCAACTTCGTAGACTTGTATTAGTCTCACACAGTGCCTTACAGTAGGTCTTATCCACGTGAATGGAACGGGCGCTTTACAAAAAGTGAATGCAGGACTTGTACAATTCTATGTACAGTTGATTGAACATTCTCTTGATTAAATTCCAAAAATGATCATGGTCAGGGTGGAGACTCATTTATCTCCATGAAGAAAAGGAGTTAAATTAATTTATATCATCCAAAGCAGCCCTTTAATTTATTGACAAGTGTGACATATACAGATGAAGTATGACACATTGACATTTTGACGACCGAAATAAATGTCAAGACCCCTCAATTTTGTATTAACTTTTGTCGAGGCTCTAAAACATCGACTGAAAGACTAAATTCATTATCCTCACATGGAAAGTATGACTGTGTATTGACAAAGTTAAGAGTGGAGCTTGTGTGAACACAACATGTCAACGCAAAATTTCGTGTTAGCACTTAATTTAATGAAGAGTAACATATTAACTGAATCACTTAGATACTGGGTGCAACACAGTTGCACAATTCAGAATCAGTACAATCAGCAAGCGTGACATGTCGCTCAAGCCTGAAAATTACTAGAGAGAAAATTACCAGAGAGGTTTTTAAGAAAGAAATTCCTCCATGATGGAAGGCATGAGTAACGCAAATATTTCTCAGATGGAATCCATGGATCAGAAAACAATTCATATTCTTAAACTAATCGTCATGACGCTCCTAACTTCCACAACAATTGCAGCAAATTTGGTGTGTTTTTCTGTCCTGGCGTTTGACTGGAAGAACCGTAACGTTTCTCAAGTCTTTATGATGTCGCTAACTGTATCAGACCTTGCTGTTGGTATCGTCATGTGTGTTCCTGTCACCGTGTCTTTGGCTGTTAATCGCTGGCCGTTTGGAGATGTATTTTGCCTTGTGAATGCCATCGTGACGTACTTCTTATTAATAATAGCATGTGGCTGTGTTCTGTTTGTCAACCTGGAGAGATTTGTGACAATAATGTGGCCCTTGCGAAGTGTGACATATATAACTGTAAAACGAGCTGAAATTGTTGTCATTTGCCTGTGGACCTCTTCGTTTGTATTAGCTCTTTTATATGGATTACTGCCTTGGAGAGCAGCTTTATATGCCGAAAGAGCTCATCAGTGTGTGGTAGACCCTACTGACGAAGATGTTATCGATATCTTTGGTACTTTGTCAACTGGGATGTATTTTACAGTTCTCCTCGTCTGTTTCACACAGTATTTCTACTTGTATCGAATTGTACGTCACCATCGTCGAGTTATCATGCCCGCCCCCGCGCTACATGCTCCGCCACGCCCACGAGGATTGTCCTCGTCAGATTTCAAAACAGCTACAACATTTTTCCTCATGGTTGCAACGTTGGCAGTAACATGGACTCCGGAAACCATTGTGATTCTTTATGAATCAGTAACTCGCCGAGATGCTTCACCTTCCACCATTTTCTCAGCTCAGTTCCTTGGCTACTGTAACGGCATTTTAAATGTCGTGATTTATTTTGTTAGAAATGAACCGTTTCGACAATCCGCTAAAAGGTTTTGGCGAAAATTGAAAAGACCGATTGGTTGCCAGTCTTGGCTTCAGTCTGAGAGAGCTTAAACTCAATATGACATTTCCAATTCTAAAGATTACTATTGCCTCTGACATTTCTTCGAGAGCCTAATGTAGGATAACCGCAACAACTGCTTATCCGAACATAGCCCGACTGCGTCTGGCCGTACAGTACTATCGCAAGCTCTGTAGTACGGCCAGACGCTGAATGCTTCCCAAAAGACTGAATTTTTTTGGCCGCTGATGTAGCGATTTTGCTACATCTTTTGATCGAGATTATCTTTTCATCCAGGACAAAAATTTCCACATTTAAGGTTCTTAGTCGTAGAGCAACTCATACCTTTCCGAAAAAACGTTCTTTGGTCTCAATATTTTCATCCATCTGGCCAAATAACGACTTTCAGTGATCATCTTCCACAAATATCGTCCCGAAAATGCTCCCCCATGCGATTTCAAAATGGCGGCCGCGCTGTAACTCATGAATATGCATGAAAAGTCTGTGACGTATGACCTCGTGTTTGTGGACGTGCGTGCGGCGGCGCCGTACGTACATGTACGTACATGTACATTACTTGTAGACAACAGCCCAGTACGTGCATGCACACCGCCGCGCGGACGTAAGTGTGCATGCACGTACTGGGCTGTTGTCTACAAGTAATGTACATGTACGTACATGTACGTACGGCGCCGCCGCACGCACGTCCAAAAACACGAGGTCATACGTCACAGACTTTTCATGCATATTCATGAGTTACAGCGCGGCCGCCATTTTGAAATCGCATGGGGGAGCATTTTCGGGACGATATTTGTGGAAGATGATCACTGAAAGTCGTTATTTGGCCAGATGGATGAAAATATTGAGACCAAAGAACGTTTTTTCGAAAAGGTACGAGTTGCTCTACGACTAAGAACCTTAACTGTGGAAATTTTTGTCCTGGATGAAAAGATAATCTCGATCAAAAGATGTAGCAAAATCGCTACATCAGCGGCCAAAAAAATTCAGTCTTTTGGGAAGCATTCAGCGTCTGGCCGTACTACAGAGCTTGCGATAGTACTGTACGGCCAGACGCAGTCGGGCTAATCCGAACATTGTGAGAAAAATCAAGACTGATCTTAACATTTCACGATGATGGCTCAAGGTCACACGAATCTCCGAAGCAACGTTTTAATCTGTCAAAAGCTGTCCAATAATATGGGTTCTGTTGTCAGTTTGCTTTTAATTGTGATCGCAGACTTTGCAAGCAAATAAATAAAATGAGACAATGTGCATCTGAGTTGAAAATGAATAGTCAAAGAACTTATGCATTTACACCCTTTATAATAATTTTGTTGCTGGTAGTTGTACCTTTTTTCTTGAACGCTATATAGGCCTATAGGGAACTGGAGGGCAACATTAAAAATGCAAAATCATCTGCCTTATTACGATGAAAGTTTTTGGCAAAGCTTTTTTGTTAATTGGGTGAATGAATCTACAACAATGCTGGATAACCTTGTAAGGGACGGTTCAACAGCGGGGAGAAAGTGAGACATTATAGCTTCCCAGAGGCACCCCCTCCCCCAACCAAAATAAAATGTCAAAAAATGTTTTGAGTGGATGATATTTTCTGAGGCTTGCGGAACGTTCAAAAACGTCAAGACTCCAAAAAAAGTCTGAAAGTTGGGTATTACAAAGATTGTTAATCCCCCCTCCGAAAAAAATAACAGCAATAACTTTAACCTTACACAACTATCCTCACCCACTCCCACCCCTCGATCATCAAATATATATTTTCTTGGCGACTTAAAATTGTCACGTTTTTAGGCCGTATGTAGGCGTTTGATTGAAGACAGTTCGTTCAGTGTGAAGGCATCTTCTTCCTGCAGAAGAAATTTATCCATACATTTTGCCTCTAGCATAGCACCTGGAAAATTATAAATAAACATGGAAATATATAGCTATGACTCAGTTTCTAGACAGTTTGTTTACTGTAAACTGCGTGACAAGTTCAAAACTACATATTATGTAAGTTTACTCGTGCAGTGGCGGAACTTGCGAGGCACAGCGGCACTCTCCCCCCCCCCCCCCCCCCCCCACTCTGCTCGAGCAAAGTGCCTCTTGTACTGTACTATGTGCCCCCTCCCCTCCCCGCTGTTTGAAGTTAGGAGAAGGCAGTGCTCGTCATTTATGTGCCCGACGCCTGCAAGTAATTTGGACCCTGATTGCACTACTAGGTTTACTCCGCGCGTCTTTAGTCTGGGCCACCGGGGATTTATGATTCTTTTTTACTCACTTTTTTTTGGGGGGGGGGGGGTAATATTGGGGCAACCTGATTGTAATTACTGGTTGTGAAGTGTTGGCGCTTTCTTCAACCAATCAAAGCCCCCATTGTCACCTTACACATAAGTAATTGTTTGAAGCTTTGCAAGGTGGAGTGATAAGTAGAGAAGTAGGTTTGCGTGTACAGCATGGACAAATCTCATTTGTGGGGAAGTGTTGGCTGTTAAGAGAGCTGGCATGGGTCTAAGGGCGGATCCAGAACAGAATTTTTTTTGGGTGGGCCAAACATTTTTTGTGTCCACCCAAAAAGTGGGTCAAAAAAATTACGGCGTGGGGTTCGGGGCCCGCTTAAGGGCCCCGAAAATTTTTTGGATTCTAGATGCTCTGTGGTGCGATCTGAGGCAATTTCTGACCACTTTAACCAATGTTTTTTTTTGAGGAAAAGATGGTGGTGTACTCATTGCCTGCCTTTATTGCAATGTCACATAAAAAATAAAAAAATGGTTTCGTTTTGGGGGGGGGCCATGGCCCCCTTTGGCCCCCCCCCCCTGGATCCGCCCTTGCATGGGTCTCGACGTTTCGAACACTATACTCCATTCGTCTTCAGGAGACTGAAGACGAACCCTCTCACCTCCGGCTCTCTTCAGAGCCAACACTTCTCACAAAAGAGATTTGTCAATGGTGTACACGCAAACCTACTTCCCTACTCACCTTGCACCTGTTTACGAATTTCAAATTAGATGCCAAACCGAGGCTCTCAGTGCTAGAGACAAAGGGGAGCACTGGGGGCCTCAGATTCGGTTTGAAATTCGTGTATCCACCTACGTCAACCCATCACCGTCGCACGATTTCCTTTTGTCTCAACAAACGGTATCGTTTCATTGTACTGTGAGCTGAAGAAGCTCAAATGTCTAGGTCATTGCCGTTTTTCAGCTTCGGTTTTCTTTCAAGTCTCCTTTTATCCCGGACAGCTGTTGTTAGAAAATAGGATACAAACGTGAGTTGAATATCCGGAGCAGTAATTAACTTTACACCTCATCCATTTTCCCAAAACACACGCTGCAAGGATGACGTCTTTAAGATAAATCAAATGATTATTGTACACTGAGAGAATTGTGCGATTTTGTATTGTTCAAATGCACCTGTTGTGGTGTCCCTACATATCCGATTCTGCACGCGTTGCCAAGCTTGTCGGGTGTATCCAATTGCCCTTTGAAAAGGAAATGCGCACAGGTGTTAATACACTGAATTCTTTAGTAACTTTTTCAAATTCTAACATTTTTTTATCTCTTTACTTACGTCTTTTGTCTGTTTACCAATGATCACCCGATTTCATATGTAAGTTTCTTTGCCCTAACAAACTACTTTTTAATGAACTGCACATATCTGCTGCTGCATACTGTACGATGTATTCAGTTCGCCTACTCGCAAGATTGAAAGTTGATGGACAGCTTATTGTTTTATTCGGTAAGAATTTAGTACAATTCACACTGCACTTCAAAAATATTCTTCCATAAAATCAGTTGCTAATGTTAGTACCGTCATTTCATGACTCTAACTGATCGTATTATTTTCGTACAATCTTTGACAGGGAATGTATTTGAGTTTTGTTAAATATTAAAAAACATTTGGAGACGTGTGCTCATTCTATGGAACCAATTGTTTATTTATTGTGTAAAGCCTTTTTAAATTAAAGCACGAACTCGACAAATAAAACAGCTTATTACGCAAAAGTTAACACTCCGAGAAATTGAATCACAGTGCATACAGAAATAAGACAGTGGCTATATCAAACGAAATTGGAATGAATTTTTAATATTGGTGTATGAAGTGTCTTTAGTTGTAATAATTGGTGATTACAGGATGATATTTTGAGTGATGCTGTGTACGAAGACTGCCCTAGGCAGAGCTCAAACCGGAAAAACATATTTGCAACCAGCTGGTCACTTGCAATCAACGTGGAATAATTGATGACCACTGACTTCTATAAAAACAGCCACATATCTCTCGGACGATCACTGATTCAATTCCTTGTCTTGGAGTGATCTTCAAGTGGCTGAATTCGGAGGACGGGTTTGCTACAATTTCGTCAACGTGAACTTCGGAAGTGTTAGAGTCAGGTAGGTGAAAATTACGTTGTGCACAATGATCAAGGAGCCTAGAGTTTTCCATATTCCTATATTTGTTTGTTAATTTTTTCCCCTGGTCTCGGTATTGTGTAGATGTTGAAACTTTGGGCTGACGACTTATAGTTAAATGTTGAACCTATACTTTTCTGTTTATGTTGAGCGATCTATTGTTCCATGCACTCCACCAGTGCGAATTCTGGTGCAGTCCTTATTTTTTCCCGATCAAGATTGTTAAATTACCGTAATCATATTTTAAACATTAAAATTTACAACGGGTTTTGAGTGACTGACAATAATTGTACATTCAAATTCATCTCTCCCCAAACTCACTTGATTTTTTCGTATTGCCTTACAGGCGAGTACGTAATAATTACGCTCTGAGATTTTAACGTTTTAAGTAATACAAAGTCGTGAGCTTAATTCCAATTTCAAAAAAGTGCTTGTGAATTAATGTATATCCGTTTTCGCAAATGCAATTGACACATGCATGCTCACATTATGAAACCATCATACCATCCAGGATAAACAAACATGTTGGTGTAGACGTGTTGATATTATTTTTTTCAGTGGAATTGTATGTAGGCCTACTTGGTTCAATATTCCATGGAATATATACCAACATGGGAATCTATGGAGGGCTAAGCCTATTGCTGCTCAACTCATTTTGTTTACTCAGAAGTCTGAAATAACATTGAATAATTGATATCTTCGAATGGATCTGATGAGATCATTTCTGACTCGTTTGCAGCAGATATGGCATCACAGTGCCGCCTAATCCTAGCCTCAATCTCAGCCGTCTGTTTGGTAATCACCTCTTTGATGTGTCTACCAGCCGTGCAAGCCACTGAAACGACCAACAGGCACTGCGGGGCAGCTTTTCCCGACTTTGTATTGGCGGCTTGTTCAATGGCTAAGCGATCCATCAGATCATCACCGTCACTGCATGACTTGCTCCAAGCTTTTAAATCAGGTTTGAGCTTTTCTCCATCAGTGTGATCCTTTATACAAACCAAGTTGACTTATGATTCAGTTGCGCATCCAATGGCGGATCTGGGGGGGGGGGGGGGCTCAACCAAATAAGAAAGGTAAGGGGAAATAAAGAAACTAAATTTGTTGATTCTTAAGCAAAGTATTGTGTTCCCCTTATTTCATTGTCCACAGATGAATACCAGGCAAACCGTTACACCTCACCCATTCATCTGCGCAAGCGCGAAGAATACATGACAATAGCCGACTATTGCTGTTCTGTTGGATGTTCTCCAAGCGACCTCGTTGCTTCAGGAATTTGTTAATTTTCACGGGAAAATTGTGAAAAATGCTGATTTTTTTAATTTCACTTACGGCCTGATGTGAATCAAACTATTTGATATCACGGTCGAGTCAAATGTTGTACTTGATCTATAGGCCTAACATGTGTTCGGCAAAACTTCCATAATATCAGTGGCGGATCCAGGGGGTGCGGTGGGCCCCCGGCAGTGACCGAAATTGTCTCAAATAAGTCAATTTTTCACTTGAGAAAGCTCCCCCCCCCGCACACCCTCCGCCCCCGGCAGCAACCTCTCTGCATCCGCCCTTGTAGGTAACATCCATTTCATTATTACACAGACAACCACCTGGATAGCCCAATGTAAGATGGATCCAGTCAAATATTGGGAAAAACAATAATTAATCATTACGCTCAATCAGCGTAGGCCTACTTATTGTTTAACCTTGATAATGTGGAGAAAATGTTATAAACAAGTGTTTACTGTAATGAGCCAAAATAATAATGATTACTTACACTCTTTAACAAATATTTATTCAGATTGTTGAAAGAATCTCTTTTTTTCGGTCGGTCATAAATGATGAATTTTGTAGTCTGACGTCATTGCTTGTGTAGGATTTTTTCATGACGTCATCGTTTACCTATTGTTTCCCATCTCTAGTTACATTAATTAAGTTTTCGGAAACTAAAATATCTCTGTATAGCAGAACGCTAAGTCGTGCTTGTCATTATTGGTATAAACCGTCTTTACTTGCTTTTGCATTAGGCCTAAATGTACAAAGGGAAAATGCTGAATAAAGTCTAACAATTAAATCTACAACCGACACCATGGTTGGTCGTTAATCATTTATGAAAACGTTTTATCCCTCTCCACCCAAACAAGCTGCCAGGGTCTTTCCTTTCCCTTTGTCGTACTTTTCGAGGGAAGAAAATAGATTGATTTTGTTTTTTCTTAAAAAACAAATATGCTTAGAGCAAGGCGTCGATGTGGAAGTTATGCTAGCCATGCAATCTATTCAAGAACTATTGTAAAGAACCTACTCACGCGGTGACGTCACTTGCGAAGTAAAAAACGTGAAGAATTTCAACCGCTGGGTATATAAATGGAGGGAGTCTATAGAAAGTGTTCATTGCAGATCCAATTTAGTTCGGGCGTGGTTAGCAGTACTCCAGTTATATCGAGTCCGTGTACATGCCCAACATTTACCGTGCGCGTTGGCTTGGTTCCCCTGGCCAAACGATGAAATTCGCCGGTATGTGGTTCCTTTGCGCCTTGGTGCTGCTGGAAAGACTCTCCGGAACACAGGCCGCTTTTGGAGATGATATTTCGCAGGATAACGAAGACAACAGATTCGCAGGTAGGATTTCCTACACTACATTTCTGAGATTTTCCCTGTCAGTTTTTTAGTTAAAAATATTTTAATTATTCATCTTTTATCCTTTCATGGGAAAAAAATGTTGCAACCTGACGCGACTTCCGCAATTGTGTACAAAGTCTACGGAGAGTCAAAAACAATTTCAAAAAAGTATTTCCCAACAAAATTGGAAATGTTTCGCAGTTCCAGATTCATGTCTTATCATTTTTGCAATGAATGAACTCCATTGAGATGATAATTATATGAAGAAAAAAAGTGGCGTCAGGTTGCAACATTTTTTTCCAAATATTGGAGGATGTCGTTTTCTGACAACAGGCTGCGATTTATTTCGCGTGAAAGTTTTCAAAATATTTTCCAACAGATTTGTGAACGTTTTTCCTTTGTTCAAAAAATTGTGCAATGACTGTGTTCGTATTTGAAGACAAAAAAATGACGTCAAGTTAAGGTTTTCTTCTGTAATTTACATTAAATTTTTCTGAGGAAAAAAAAACAAGTTTGTGTCTGCACACCATTTAAAATAATAAACTTGATTGCCATAAAAGTAGGATGAGGGCCACGTGTCTCAATGCAAGACTAATGACGCCCCGCCCACTGCACACGTGGGCAACATCACGTGCGCCTCGTACGCCGCGATTGGTCAAAGTTTCATGGGCGGGGCTTAATGGGCGGTCTGTTTAATATTTTGCACATAAACGTCACTACCTGCTGATGATATAGGTGGACGTGTAGTGGTTTTTATGTGGGAGATTATTGGATTTTATTCCAAACATTATCCCACAAAAAATGGCGTCACGAGATAATTATATAATTACAAGGCATTTTTTCCCCACAGTCATGGGCCAAGTAACCAAGGATACCTTCGATGTACAAAGTGGAAACGTCACCCTACAGCTGAATGTGCAAGACACGGTAGGCACCATGGATTTCTGGCTTCTTGACTTCCAAGAATACAGATTTAATCTGGATGCTTTGCCTGTGGATGAATCCACTGGTAGGTAGTTCCGAATATTTTTGCTTGGGTGTTTGAATCTGTGCTTCGTGATGGGCTGTTCAAATGCTGCTTTACGTATATCTGTTAATAAATTTCTTATGCATTTATGAAATGGAAGTTCTAAGCCTCCAGTTAAAACAAGATGATATTGAGTCTTGAATCAATGTCACTCACATCTTTCGACTTGCATTCTCTTGTCGATAGGAATGTTGATGAAGGATAGAACTTCTGCTTGCTCCAATGTCTACGAAGATGCTAACTGGGATACCTTCTTCAACGACAGTTACATCCAGAACGCAGGAAGGGGCTCTTTGGCAACAAAAAGTCTCTTTACACAAATTCAGAGGGGAGAAGAGGACAGTAAGGATGATTTAAGTCTGTCGTTTAATTTGGAATACACATACACAACTCCGCAAAACGTGGTGGCCATCAAACATGTTCCCAACAATTGATGGAAACCTGTAGTTGAACCCCTTACAATTGCTTTTCCTCGTGCCATCGCCAAACAACCCCCCCCCCCGAAAAAAAAATCGAAACATAAACCACCACCTCTTGTATCTGCTGCAAATTAACTCTTCTCCAAATGGTTGCATCGGATTTTGTAATAAGCTTGCAGTTTTACGCAACATTATTTTTACTCAAATTTCAAAAAAGCTTTTGGTTCAATAACCAAAGGACAGCGAGGTCAGTATTTATTGAATAGATTATCATTAGCCTATTCCGCAGTACATGTACTAACCATTTCCACATACATGTCTGTGTCCTTTTTTTTTACATCAGGTGATGGCATCATGCGAAACAACAAACTCATCTTCCAAGGTGACATGGCGACTTTCGCCAACTGCAAGGATTCCAGTGACGAGGAATTCATCTGGGAGATGACAGCTGTTACTACTGATGAGATTGAATACCGAACCAAGTTGTATGCAACCAACATCAGACCAAAAGACCCTCAAGACTCAAAGGGAGGTATGTGCTTCTTAATTAAGGGTGTAACCCTGCAAATAAATTCCCATAGACACTAGTGCTAAATGCCCATACTTCAAAATTCTTTTAAAAATACTCAGAACTCTCACAGGTATTCAACCTGCACAGAAAAATGATGATCAACATGTCATCTTTCGTTTTCTTTTCATTTTTTGGTGGGTTGACCATTGACTTTTCGAGATATTCTCACCCAAAGAAGACGACCCCTATTTTCCCCAAGGCGGAAAAGTAGCCATCTTGAAAAACGATCCCTCCACAACATGGCAAAATAGCGCAACCTTCAAGCCCAATAGCATCCAAAATGTTCGGAATTGGAAGCCCCAAGTCCGGGCCAGAGGTTCATTACCATATCTCTTCAATTCCCCAATTTTACGGCGCTCAGAACTCTCTAATATAGAATATTTTGAGGGTATAACTTTTATTCATGAGCTCGGCGGATGGATTTAGGCCTATTCACCGGTGTGCACCCTTCAAATCTTAAATATTTGACTCTATCTTGACTGCCATTGCAAGAAGATTGGGATAACTTCTTACGTGGATGACAATGTGCACATGTTGACTAAAGATAACGGAACATTCAAATATCGACACATGCTTTCCCTCTCAATTTATAAAGACACCCACTTCACATACGAGAATCCCAACACAAATGCGATTTATCCTAATTCATTGAAAACCACGAAGTATTTTCTGATCTTGGAACAAAATTGCCTCCAATTCTTTTATTAAAAACATAAATCTACGTGCTTTACTTGTAGTTCTTAAGATTACCACTGCAAGATATCCATTTTCCCCTCCTCGGCCTGCCTCTTTGTAACTCCATTCCTAAATCTTGCTTCCCTTGTACCTATAATATATCTTTAAAAATCCAAACAAAATGTGAAAATACATTATTACTTTAACTACTTTAATTATTTTCTTTCTTGTTTTTAAATCTACACCTTTTTGAGAAAGGCCTCTGCCTATAGTGTTTGGTTAAATCGGATCCTTGAAAAAGAAACGCTAAGATCTTTTGTCATGATTTTTGGCGACTCTATAGGCATCTCATTTGTGCAGTCACACATTGAGTTGATTTGGAGAATCTCCCGATCAGTCATGGCCAAGTTCTTGATCAGTTCCACTGCTCTGATCAGACCCATCTTGGAGTTTGCTCGAGTCTCGGCTGTTTATGATGATCAGGATAGAGCTGTACCCACCCAGTCAGCACTCCATATCAGGTAATATGTTCTTTTAACTTAACTATAAAGTAGACATTAAACTTAGAAATGTAAATTTTAAAGAAACCCAAATTCAGCTCCATTTTAATCAACTACATGCTCTGAAGCCGACTCTTTAATCACAATTTCATGTTTTATAGATTATCCTGAGAAACGTTCTTAAAAATACATTGAGTAAAAGTCGGTATGATTTAAATTTATAAATTGATGTCTGTAAAAGAACACTGTGAAATTGACTTAATCACTAAACTCATGTGAGAGCAAGTTCTTTTTGTTTCTAGTTTAAAGTTTTAGTTTTACTTGACATAAAGTTGTTGAGCTGTTTTTATAATTGATTAATCTTGTATTTTTTTTTGAAAAGTATTGGTATTGTGCGGGGACATAAATTTAAGTAGTCTAATTTGTGTAATGGCATCACCTACAGAAACATTTACAAATCATATTTTATGTTGACGATCTTGGTTTTCTTTTGTAGGTTTCGAACAGTGGTTGATGAAGATGATCAAATGGTCAGTTATGAAAACAACAGCATAACATACATCCCAGAAAACGTCAACCATGGCCTGAATACAGTCCTCTACCAACCAGTAGGGACACTAGATGCGTCACCGCCATGTAATTTCGTACTAGATGAAGGAACTCAAACACAAAGACAATGTCAACAGGTATTAAGACTTAAATTTTCATTTTTAGATCAACCTATTGTGTATTCGTTTAATCTTCAGGTTAAAGTTCAAGTTTAAATGTATTCACCATTTATAAATTAAGTAAGGAAAAGTCTCCACGTACCGGACACTTTCAGGCCGGATATTTTAAAAGTAGTCCCCTAAAAGATAACATAAGTAACAAATGAGACAAAAGTCTCTCGATTTCCACAAAAAAAAAGTAACTGACCAATTTTGTACAGAATGCAGCACCAAATCAATTTTAACAGAAATATTTAATTACATTTAATGTACATCACATGAAAGTTATTTTGCTCAGCTTAAAAATCTGAAAGTATATAATGTAACTATTTATTTGCAGACTTGGGAATTCAAAATGATACTGGATATCGATGCATCAACCCAAGTTGACAATCGAGTACCCATCGATGCTAGTGGAACATTTGAATTTCTCTACATGCCCTACAGGTGCGTGTTAAGCCTTAAAGCAAATCAGCCACGTGTGTGGTGCCAATATGCCACAATCCCTTTTAAACTTAAAACCTATACCTTTTTATATTACTCCGAGGAGAAAGTTTTTCAAAACGTGTATATCTCATGGCGGAGTGTGAAAACAATCCCGAGTTGAAATTTCACTGGTAAATTCAGTGTGTACTGTGTGGCCATGTATATTTCCAAAGTGGTATAATGTCAAGAACTATATTCACCAGAATTTTCCATTCTTCTGGCGGATGTGATTCAATTTTTTTAAAGTGCTTTTAATGTTACGGAGTCTTACTGTTTTAATATTTTGGTACTCAGTATTTGTATATTTTTGTTATGTGCTCTTGTAATTGTTTACGTCATTGTTTGTGTATTACGTTGCACCATTTACCTTTTTTATGTTTATGTATTTTTTTTTAATGTTGTCATCGTCTGCTAATTTGTGTGTAATTCTCTTTAATGTATTTATTTTCACTGTTGCTCATTTTAATTGTTTAATGTTTTACAACAACCTTTTTTGTAAAGTTTAAATTTATGTTTTAATCATTTTTATCGATGTCAGGGCCCTATGGAAGACCACCGTATGGTGAATATGGGCTACCCTGGATAAATATTAGAAATAAAGAAAGAAATAAATAAAATTAACCCACATGATTTTGTTTCGTGACCAAGGTGTGGCCTTGTGAACCTGACAACCCTGAACCTGACAACTTGTGTGGCAATGAGTGTGGACCCAGCTAAGATCTCAGCATTAATCACCATCCAGACTACAGTGTTTGTACAAGATGAAGAAGATGATCAAGTCACCATTATACTCCATTCACTGACTGGTAAGATTCATTTCAACAATTATATTTGGTGCTTTATTATAACTTTAATTACTCACCAAGTAAGAAGAGAACATAAATGAGCAAATGGTAATTATTTGCACGTCGCCATTTATGGTCATTGCATGAAATTGAAACTTTATGTTCATGCACATTGTACAATTTCTTTAAATTCAAGTTTAGAATATTTCCAGTCAGTGAAAAACAAGGATGACAATGGCATTCTAATTCACGACTTCGTGGCTAAAATGTCTTCGAAAATAGGTGGAAATTCAGGTTAAACACCAGACAAAATAAATCAAAATGTGAGAACTTTAGGGTAATTTCATAGTTCATTCAAAACCTTCCATGAAGAGTCTTTAATTCAAGCCATGGTAGTGACATTTGTATTTCCTTATAATATTCCATCAGGCGCAAGCAACGAGGATCTCAGCTATGGTACAGGATCCAGAGGTGTAGCTCACAAGGAGTATGTTGAACTGAGAGTTAAATTCTCTCCTGCCTTGCTGCGAAAAGATTATGACCTATATCTGCTACTCTTCATGGTGTGTAAAGGGGAGGAATATGCCAGTGGAGAATTTTTACAGGTATGTTCAAGAAGTCTTCAGATTCCCTTCGATTTGCAATTCATTATTATTATTATTATTATTGTGTGTGTGTGTTTTTGAAAAAGTCACATAACATTTTTTACAAGGTTATCGGGATTTCAAAAGCCTTGACCAGTATAGTCAAGGAATTTGTGATGGATTAAAATGTCTGAACAAGTCAGTCTCAAGTAAAACACAATCAATTCATAGTGGATAAAACAAATAGCAAAGGAATACATTTTCCATAGTATCATAATAGTTCGTGAGTTGCGTTGGGACTGGATGACTTGTGATATACTTTTGATGGACTTGTGAGGACTTGGGGTCAATCATAAATACCTCAACTACAACAATAGACTTGACAAGCTTCCCGAATAGCCTATGTTGAAGATAAATTTATATGAAATGTCATCATATCCAAAGTGGAAACGCAAAGCAAATTTTAAACTGCATGTTCCTTTACTGGAGTAATTTTATACATGTTTTCATATCAACAGGGATGCCTACAAGCCCCTTCTACAGATCGCTACATTGCACACCTGGATGCAAGCTTTAACTACATCCCTCGCATCACTGATGAGAATGGAACAGTGGTTCTCCTGGATCACTACAATACTAGTCATGTGCAAAATGACTATGTGCAAAACTTGGATCAACAGGAGTACTTGCGTACAGAATCTGGAGAGACTCTTGCAAGTAAGTGCATGTTAGCAACAGACATCTGAGTTAGGCAATTATCAAGGCTGTCAGTTTTGGAAACAAGGATTTCCTTCCAAATTGTTTCATTTGCAAACGTCTTGCCAGAAACTGTATAAAGTTATCTTTTCTCCGACTCCAGAAAGAAGCTACTCAAGCATGTCGTTTGTTTCTGTTTTTAAATTAAGCACGTGTCTTTCGACAAGTTAATTGGCTTAAGTAAATCTTTCCCGTCATTAGAATGCCTCACCAAAAACCACAAGTGTCTTGTCACTTGACATCTTTTAAGCTGTTACTATTGAAACCCCTCCTAAGCTCATCCAAATCAATGCCTACAAGCTAACCATGCATGAACTGATCATTTTGACTTTCAGTTCCTGTGCATCGATCCACCTTCTACAACGTTGCACTCTCCGCCGAATCTGACATCTACACCATCACGGTAGTCTTCCGACTCGTCGAAGCTCCAGGAAGAAAACGAAGAGCAGCCTTGCCACACATGCAAGACATCGTCCTAGCTAAAAGTGTGGTTGGCCATGCAGGAATAGGCAGAACAACAGGTACGATCATCACCCGTCATTCCCGTGATGTTGAAGATAGCGTACAAGACACTCACGCCAATAAAATCCCCTTCTTGTCTTTGGGATGTCCGGAGGAAGCCACACATGTACTTGAGGAACTAGATTGCAAGTGCCCAGCAGGAATGATGTATGACTTGAATTCCTTCAACTGTGAGGCAGCATCAATTCTTGAAGATGTCAAAGAAGTGAAAAATGATGATCAAGTCAGTGACACCAAGGAAACAGCCAGTGCTGAACACAGTGCTTGCTCTGTGTTGCTCATTGTGCTTGCAAATTCACTGATTTTCCTCTTGTTGAAAAATTAATGATTTGAATTATGGAAAAGCGACGGAAAGAAATTTGAAAATGTTCACTGTGATAGACCTAATTCATCCCACAGAATTACCTGAATCAGAAAACCTTTACTAAATTGCATGACGGGAATATTGAAACCAGCTAACAATTATTCAAGCAGTAAATACAAGGAATCACACAAACGTTTGAGAGGTTTAATACAATACTTGTTTGGCAATCACAGATTGTGGAATTAAATTTCTTGCGACCACATTTACTTATTAACAATACACTCAGTTAGGATCAAAGTTGTTCCAAAAGTAAATCTACAGTTATGAGTAACCATTTTCAAGACTGGTCTATAAACTATAAACAAATTATGGAGATCCATACGACTAGGTCATCAAATGGCTTTTGGATCTCAGTCAAATCTTTAAAATGTCTTTCATGTTGCCGTCATAAGATGACTAAAGTGATATTGCAGTATACAAAATTGAAGTATTGAATGAATTTTATCCTGAATTTTCATCCATTTTTCAGCTATAATGGTGAAGTATATTCTTAGTAAAAAGCTTTACTTTCATTATTCCACGCAATTAACTTTCCAAGGATTTTAACAAATTGAATTTATTCCTAAATATAGCTTTATGCAAATTATTCTGTTTACTGATCATTTAACAGTTTGTGTGTTCCTTAAAAGTGTATATAAATCGATTAATAATCGGAGTTAAATGTCCAAGGTTGGGTCAAAAGATTAAATGAAAAAAAAAATGCTTTAGTTATTCGTATTCATAATTAAATTCCATTAATTTTGTATTTGTGAACTCAATGTTTTTGGTGATTGTCTACATGCACTGTTACATCAAGTAAACTAGCAAAGTTTTAACTACATTTGCACTTTCTCAAATCACTCAGTTTGACCTCATTTAAAATTTGGATGTATTGGAAGAGATATATATTAAATTTACCAAGCATTGCCTTAAAATAGTCTGGTGATAATTCATTATTTATTTTGTGTCAACTAGTTTGGTTTGTTTAGTTTGGTTTGTTATTTATCATTTGATTCTTAAGGAATTATCTTCTCCATGAAATAAAAGTACAAGCAAAAGAACACTTGCGGTTGATTTGTGGCAGAAATTTGAAATAACAATGTTTAACCAAACATGTCTACTATTGCAACAATATTCCACTTAAAATATTGAGTTACTGACAATTCTATACTTTGTGAACACATATCTAACGGCCAATGGCTTAAAACTGGAATTAAGAGCCATTTCCTACTCGGAATTAATTTTGCACTCTAAAATGCGATGTAAAAAAGTTGTCAAAGTGTCGACATTAAAATGAATTCACCTAATACAATAAGGAAATACTTGCTTAAAAACAATTGAGAATTGACCCAACTTTTGTGACATCAAGGCAAGTTTTTGAGCTACTACTTTGCAATCGGTGAACGGTGTATTTCAGCAACGTCAACATTTTTGGTTCGCACATTTCAGACAAGCTACCCGGGAACATTGTGTGTCCGACCTTATGCACTTAACTGCCATTCTCCATCAATGAATTCTCGATTGGAATTTACATTATGACGATGTTTAGACTTCTGTATAGTTGTGTCGTCGTGATCCTATACAAGGAAATAAAAAACCATTGAACTTTGTTAATTAGCAGAAGTATAGTTTACCAAAAAGGTCATGATCGATGCAGCATTAATCTTATAAATCTAACAAATAGTCCAGTTTGTGATTTGACATTCTTTTAAGGTGGTTTTAATTAATTGTGTGAAATGCAAATATATTCACTCTAGCAACCATGAGAAATTGAGCTCTTTCCAGTGGCAGCAGAATGATTTTAAACTGGATGGGGCGAATGATTATTCTCCAATATCTCTTGCTGCTCCAATACTGTATATCCGCTACAAATGGTGCCAGCTGTAAGACAGCATTTTTTTTTCATTACGCCCAAGATAATTAATTCGATGATCAGTGTTTAGGGGAAACAAAGGGCTGAAAAGTGGGCAGGGGAGCACATACCCCAAAAATAAGTTGCATTAAAATAATATGAAGTAGTGTTTCCTTGACATACCTCATTTTCTGTTTGCATGATCATAGCTCTGTCTTGTCGTCCATCCCACATTGGAGTGGAATATTTATGCAGTATACTGACTCTCACAGCTGGTGATAAGGACTGCTCGAGTATCAGCACAATCTTGGCCCACTAAAATGAAGATAAAAATAGTACCAAAGACGTTAATTGAAGACCATTACATTAAATTACATTGAGTTCTTGCCAACACTTTATAGAGCTGCACAAGCTGTGATGACTAGGTTGCACGTACCCCCCCCCCTCCCCACCCCGTGTGTCCCCCATTTAAAATCTTGAATTGCATAAGCAATATACATGTATCATTTACCTTCAGTGTCCCTCCCCCCCCCCCTCCTGAAAAATGGTGCACCCCCAGCTGTGCTACCGCCCTAGATGTTTAATCCTAGTTACGGTGCTGCTAGGTTGGCTAAACTCAACCTGGCATATTTATGTTTTCCTCTCAATTCTTCAAAATGCACAAATTATGGAGTTCCTTGGGTCTTTGAGGAATCCTCAGTCACATTACTGCCATAAGTAATTCTTGAATTCTGCAGTCCATTACCTGTCTTTGCCATTCATTCTCAGTCTCTGCTATGGTGCTAAACGTACTCCCCATCATGGCAATGAGCATGTTGACTAACAGTAATGCCACCAAGACCATGTACACACAGAATAGAAACTGCACAGGAAAACATGGTAAACAAATGTTTATGACTTCAGGAACAAAATCGGGCAACAATCCCATTTCACTTCACCAAGGCATAATGCTAAGTATTTGAAAATTGTTTGAGAAAACGTTTGGGGAAGAAAGAAACAATGACACGATAGATATGAGATGGAAAGCAAATAATGAAGAAAATGGAATGAATGTATACAGATGAGAAGTCACCGAAAGGAGCCAAAACAAAACACACCTTGAGTGAAGATTAAGAAACCATTAACAGAAAAGGAAGACTGGACACAAGCTAGGAAAGAAAGAAAGCAGAATGAAGAAAACATAAATGCTCAAATATAAATATCTAGAGTTTCAATGAACAAAGGATAGGCATACCAACAAAATAATTGCCATGAATACAAGAAGATAAGGGTTTTATACAATAGTTTCAGCTGAAGTTTGACAATGGTATATTTTGTCAATTGTTTAACTGATTAATCAGTTAATTAATACACAAATGCAATAAAAAAATTAAAAGGCAAAAAAAAAATGGGAATAAAACTTCTGTACCTTCAACTAGAGAAAAAGGTTTCAACAAAGCCATAATTGCAAATTAAAAAGATATTATTTAGACATTGTTCACATAATTTACCTTGCCCATTATGGGATATCTTGTTTCATCAAACGTGGCATAGATATCGCCAAATTCACCAAGAGACATGACAAACATTCCAATAACTGAATCCAATAGTTCAAACTTTCCCGTATATCCAAGGAATACTATATGCATCGCTAGAAAATAGAAAAATGGAAGATTAGACACATGATTAAGACTGATCATCAAGTGCATAACTATGGTGGGGTGCACGGAAAATCTTCAAAAGATTCTTTAAGATCAAAAAATTATACTCATCATTTTATATTTCACTTTGTGACACTTTTATAACTTTTATGAGGACAAAAAATTAGCACGTCAAGACTTGGAATTATATACTTGAATTTAGGTTATTTCTCATGGGAACATGTTGCATTTTCTTTTTCAGAGAAAACTTGGTGATCAAACCGCCTATCTCAATAGACAAATCCTGCGACAGCCATTTTCTGCAGTGGCACCAGGCTTGCGCTAGTCACGCTCAGGTAGTACACAATGCACTCTGGGCTTCTTTAACCAATGGGACTATCAAAAGGCTTGTGCGCCTCTGCCTCGTCTTTAAGAACAAGTGCAGCATGCGCACGAGCATGACACCACTGCAGTAAAAGCTTCTAATTCTGGTCGCGGGATTCAGCAACTATTCAGCAAGTATGTACTGGAAATCTCACTCAAACATAAAAAGACTTGTTCCAAGGCAGGACTTATCACTTATTTTCTTACCTTGGGAGAAGCCAAAGAGGAAGATGAGATAAATGGCAAGGAATTTGAGCAGATCACCGTGAATCATCTTGTAGATCATGAAGATGAAGGGACCTACAAGCTTCAAAGCTCTTAAATGTCAAAAAATATTAACAAAAATGTATCATTAATTGTAAAAACCTAGTTTCTGCAAAACTTAAAGGGATTTCAAAATGTTCCTTGCAAGCTTTCTGTACAAATGTCTTTTAAACTTTGTTTACTAACTTTCTCTCCATAACACTGTGTTATAATATAACTAGCATGATTGCCTAAAGGCATTCTAGAAAATCAGCAATCTCTGGTATGCAAAAACAGGCTCAAAAGAATTCAGTATGAATTATTATTTAAATTTTTCATGAACAGTCCACTCTTGATAAAGTAAATTAAATCAAATCAAATGATTGGGGAAGATGTGAAATACTGAGTATTACCTGAGGAAAAACAGTGAGTATGGGCAAGCAGTCAATATAGCAAATGTAATGAAGACATCCTCATAGTAGGGGTTACATGGAGGAATGCGACCAAAACATGCCAAGACGACAAAACAACAGGACAGTAGAAACATCGCTTTGGCTGGTGCTAAAATCTGTATAATAAGTCATCATGGAATGTTAAAAAAAGGTGATATTTCATATCTTCAGTCTTGGCAAATACAACTATGAATTTCTAATTCACATGATGAAAAAACAAAATAACTATAAAATGCTGTCCATCACAATAACCAAATTTCAACCGACATCTTGAAGAATGTCTTTACTTTATTTGTTATACATGTATAAACAATGTCAATACTAGGTCTATATTAAAAAAAATGACAATAAAGTTACCATAAGATCCATGAAAGACCATTTTCCGAGGTGGTACAGCTCCTTTGCCGCGTAGAAGAGGTAAATGATTGATCCGATCAAAGTGATGATCTCAAACACCACACGTGCCTGTGTTTGACAAAGAAAAGCTCCTTTAAAACCTATATTTTTTCTCATCACAATTGTATTTAAATATCATTTCTGCACCTTCCTACCTGATCTGTAGGTGTGTCTGTGTACAGCAAATAGCAAGGCTCTGTTATTTCTGTTTCTGCGACGATGACTGAGCCATTCGGTTGAGTTACATTGTCGGATACAGTGAATGCCCTAGGATCCTGAGGGGAAAAAATAGAATAAAAATATGCAATTGATAGAGTCTGTACATTTAGAGAAATTAGTTCAAATACCTCTGAAGCCAATTGCAGCCATTTTTTATCCCAAAAAAATGTAATCTGTTTCGATAGAAATATTTTTTCAATGTATACCTTTCCAGGCCGAAGATAGAATGCTGTTGTGATCACAGCGAGGTAGAGAAGAAAGAATGCCAGACGAGCACAGAAATTGAAACGACCAAATGTCTTCCATTTCTCATCCAGCAGTTTGTAAATGACACCTTTCAACATCTGTAGATGCTCCTTACTAGTCTATAAAAAGGAACAGAAATATCAAAAGTTGTTAAATTATTAAAAAGACCACCATTTAATCTTCTTAAACCATAAAACCATAAAAATGTAGGTGATAGGCCTATTACATACATAATTATATTATGTATGCACATGTCCATGCCAGTTCTGTCTTCTGTTCATGGCGGTTGGGTGCGTTTATCACCTGCAAATTTACTACAGGTGCACATGCATTATACACAAATATCGTGCACCATTTCCCCTCATTTCCATAGTTTCATGAGCACTGACTAACCAGAGACAGCATATGCAACGGGTCGAGCCACATAACGCACAAAACAATCCCACAGAGTGATGGACATAACTTAACATAATGAACATAATTATAACATAATCAATTAAGATGCGCTTGGGGTTTCATGCACTTAGCCACACTCTTCCGTTAATTACAAACTTACCTGGTTCACAATGAGATGCAAGGATGATTTATTATTGATGGAACCATCGTAGTTAATGCTATCTAGTCCATCCAGGGCATACGATGCACAGGTGACACTGCCATACTTCCATGAGAGTTGACGTTCTAAGAATAGGATATGCTCAAAGAGGTCTATTCTATGTAGCTTAGCAGCAAGGGATAGCGGAGTATAACCTTGCTTGTTCTTGATGGTACAGTCGCCACCTAACTCATACGCCAACGTGAACATATCCTGACAGGAACAAAAAAGAAGTGAAAATCTGCAGTATTATTCTCATTTTTTTCTGCTAAGGTAACCAATTTGCTAAACCTCAGATAATTATTCTTTCAAAACTAACAAAAGAACTTAACAGCTAAAAACGCTTATCTTTGCCAGCCTGGGTGACATTCAAACCCAGAATACAAAGGTGGAAGGTGAAAGAAGAACCATTTTGCCAACCTGATTTTTTTTACATTTTTTTTGGTAATTTTTTTTTTTTTTTTACATATTTGTGCCTTTTTTGTCTTTCAACATATAACTGGCATTTTTTTCCAAAATATGTGTCAACATATTTCCTTGAATTGCTGAAGACAAAATACATCTTCAATTAATATGTGTATTCTGAGTAAGCCCCAAATGTATAATAAATTGTCAATTTATTAAAACAATTACGCATCCAAGACATTCTCCAGCAAACCACAAGACCCTAATGACACCTGACTCAATAACCTGCTACACAAGAGTCCAATCAATTACCTTTTTATCTTGCAAGACCATCATATGCAGCACAGTGTTGCCATTAGTGTCTTGGGTGTTAATGTCACATCCCTTCACCCATAAAGAACGGAAAACGTGATTCAGATCTAAACAAGCCGCAAATGTCAATGGTGTTTCTCCCCAATAAGTCAGTCTGTGGAGAAGATGAACATGATAACGAACAGTTATGTATCATAACAATGAGAAAAAAATATGTACATGTAGTTGTAGCCATATGATATTTTATAGACTCGTTTTCATTCATGAACTACTGCACATCTGAAACTTTAAGAATTAGCTTTAAATGCCCAATGATTGTAGCTCCTTTCACCAATGCAGTTAAAAAATATCAAAGATGCTACCCAAACTTTATATTTTCCCCTTAAACATTTAATAAATTGTGTCTGATGTTATACTCACCCTTCATAGTTGGTCTTTTTGTACAAGATAAAGTGTTCGTGCTCTAGTGAGTCCACACACCACGCCTTTTGGTCATCTGGTCTGAAGAATCTCCCATAGCAACGGACGTTCAGATCAGCTCCATTCTCAATCAAAAATTTGATCATACTGATGTTCTCATTCACAATGGCTTTGTGTAGACATGTTTCACCTTAGTAAAATGTGAAAGAAAGTGGCATTAAAGATCTGTGATACTGGCTTGCAAAACTTCTACAGAACAGTTCTACATCTGAAAAACACTTTTGTTAGCACAGCATTTAAAGATTTAAACCCAATTGTTTTGAGGGGGTGCAGTTGTATAAATGGTTTAAGTATTTTTACTTACATACCATTTTCAAATTTGTTTTAGTAAGTATGCATAATTGAGGAAACTCAAAAATCAAGTTCATTACAGTTAATAGGAGGGCAACTAACAGCCCTTTGAAAGCACCGCTGTTGCACACAGACAGTAAAGGTGTTTAAATGATAGCCAATCCCCTTTGGGTGGATTTTGGTAAGCATAATCCATCATTTTTACCATAACTTTCAGTTCCAAGGATGAAGTCATTGATCATCTTTGGCCACGCCTTGATGAGATGCTTGGCAATCTCAAAGTTGACATCTTTGTTGTGTGGACTCATGAAGCAAACATGAAGTAAAGTTTCTCCTGAATAGCCACGTCTGTCAATGTCCCAGCAAAACTCTCGCTGGGCTTCTGAAAATTAACAAAAATATCAAATAAATTTGTCATCATCCTTATGACACCCACTTTGGTTACCGTGTCAAAATAATTCATCTTCCAAAACCTGTTCAAAGGCTCATCAAGCGTTACTCTTTCATAGGACTTTAAAAACCTGGCACAAGTTTATCTTATTCATTTTATCTTAGCTGTCATAATCCATTTTATCTTATCTCTCATAATCCATATTACCTTTTTTCTATTATTTCTAGGTTATCTGTTATCTGATCTTACCAATCTCTTATAAACATTATTATCATCATACTTATCAACATCCATCCTCCATAACTACATAGTCACCATAATTACATGTACACATTTTTAATCACCACTTACAATTATCAGAGTATCTTAACCATCACCACAATGACCACCATGATCACCATCTTTATCAACATCATCATTACCTTGTTCAGATCCAACCTTGTTGGTGCTCCCAAGTGACCCAGTCACCTTCTTAGACTTAGAAATTGGTCTCCTCTTCTTCTTCCGATCTTTTGCATCCACCACATCATTATCAATCCAGTTATCCTGGTTTCTGATCTTCACCAATGTTTTTATGGGTACCATCTTTCCATTTCCACCCTCATACAGGAATTTGCTGATTTCAGGCCCCCGTATCTTTTCTTCAAACGCCGCTTGTGCGAGGTGCGATTTTCCTGCCTCCCTCGCCAAATCAACAAGGTCCTCGTACAGTTCATAGATCTCCATGCAAACATTGGCATGACTGTCACAATTTCCATATTTCACATCTGCCTTCATGTTGTAACCTGATCTTTGGTAGAATAACCTGATCTGTGGTAGAATCACCAATGTACAAATTACAGATCACAGGATGATGGAATGTAAATTTTGCTCCATGATCAGCGTTCGGGTTCTGACAAGATCAAGTCCGTTTGTCACAGTACTCGCACTCTCTCCCCGATAATGAACGCGAGATAATACGTACATTCGTGCTCATACGTGTATAAGCTCCGTCTTGATGGAGAGAACGGAAGTAGCATATCTCCTCTCATCAACTCCCTCCTCGCCCCAGCCCGTCATCATCACATAACCAACATCACTTTACCCATCCTCAGTGCGCTTGGTTTACTCCATGGCATGCTCAATGCACCGTGTCGACCTCATTTGCCTATCAAATATCATGCCCTTTACTGTTCAATCTATCCCCTAACAACTGCATAATGAGCTACACTGACCGTGTCTAGCAACGACCCTCGTACCTTGCCCACACAACACAACACACAGCCACCTGCCAGCGCGCCACGCCACGCTCACCAAACGCGACAATTTCTCTCAGATTCATCTCTAAAGTAACATTTTCCGAGAGTTTGCGAAACTAAGCTGCCAAGATGATGAACACATCGATGCCGAATTCCACTACGTGGAATGTTAAAAGAAGGAGGGATTTTAGTCAACTTAATCCGGGAACTGAACTTCCAGGGTAAGCAAACTTGTGTGGACGACCATCGGGGTTATCATAATGTAATCGTATTCCGCCGTGAATATAATTGATTGATTGAAGTATTACACCTGTATTGGATTGTCGTATTTACCATGTCGGTGGCCATGGTGATAGTATGAAATACAATTTTCACAATCACCGTCGGGCGAGGTGATATCGTTCTTGTTATCTTAAATAATAAATGAAATAACTATTGAAATGAATATACATGTATATATTTCGTAATTTCCTGACTGGTGATAAATTATAGCTCCAATGTGATAATGAATATGAATAATGCAATTATGTGCTAAAATTTGATGTTCAGAAACTTAATATTCATACATGCATTTTTTCCCCAGTTGAACAGCAAGCTGTGTTTAAAGATGTTTTAAACTGATTGGAAATTAAAAATTTGTATAGTCAAACTCTCCTTTATAATTTTTATCAATATTTAAAATTTGTTCTATTTCAATTTGATTTTAAGTTATGTATGCATATTTTTTACGCTTATTATTTTATTTATGCTCATTTTCTATAGGTACCGAGGATACATAGAGCAGTATAAATATCATGTTGGTGACACATATGGCAATGCAACAAACAAGTTATCAGAGGTAAAATATGAAAATGGCTCGTTATAAAATTATATTTATTAAATAGTAAATATTTATTTTGATGGATAACAAGCTGCTGCAAAACTTGAATGACCTGAAATGTAAAAGATGAGAAGGCCTAATCAGCAAAATAAGTCAACTTTTTCACCCAGGCAGTCTCATTCATTAACATATTTGTCCCAGAAACAAAATGTTGGGCTCTCCTGAATTTTATGACTTCTACTAAGGGAATCTTTACAAAATCCTTAAAACTAGCACCATAAAACTCAAACTTTTGCTCTCTTTCATCTAAACAGAAATGGAGGACCAGGCATCCAGCATATACAGCATCTCCACAGAACTACTTTGATTCCAAGACAACCTTTGTCGGTACAGGGCTTAGTGGTCCGGATGATGTAGATGGAAGTGGCACAAGACGAGATCTCAAACTTCCCAAGTCAACTGGAGACAATAAACTGACGGAGAAAATGGTTCCTGGATACACAGGTATCAGGCGCAGTTCTAGAGCCAATATAATTTTTTTTTGGGGGGGGGGGGGGCGCTAGCAAGGTGGATCCAGATTTTTTTTCAGGGAGGCATGCTGAAATGCAGTCATATGGACTCGTGCCATATTTTCAGTGGGGAGCGCTGATAATATCCTACAATCAGACACACTATATTAACTAAAAGTGTACAAATGCACCCTTCTCATTTAGGGGGAGACCGTTCCCATGTAGGTCAAATTCTTATATTTTGCTAGTGCATTTTTTTTTTTTATGGAATTTTTTTGTGGGGGGGGGGGGGGCTAGACAAAATTTTGCCTAGCCCTCCCGTAGAAAAGTTCTGAAGCTCCCACATCTCCCCTCCCCTAAAAATGCCTTCATGTCAATATTTCAACCGAATAATCTTATTTCCTAAAAATGGCCAGAATTCTAGAAGCTGTGAAAGGGTACAAAAATCAGTAATGAACAGTTTGTTTCCTTGCAAAACATTATCCCCTCTCCAATAATTTTCTAAAAAATCATAGAATCCTCAAATTATTTACCTAGACTACAAAGACACAATTTTCTTTTGGTTCTCTTTCAATAAAAATGGATTAAAATTTCTCTAGTTTAATTGAGCCACTAATGCTGTTAGTCCAATTCTGTAATCCTTCCACTCAGTTGTAAACGCTTTATTTCTCTAAATCTTAATTGTTTTCCCGTCACAGGCTATATTCCCAGAATGCCGTTCAAGTTTGGCAACACCTACAAGGAAGATTGTGATGTCTGCATCGATGACTTCATGAGAAACACAAAAGAACATGACACTAAGGTGCACACACTACGGAAGGCGCAAACGCAGATTAAACCACTGAGGCCAATGACAGATGAAGGAACAGTCATCAATAGATTGAATCAGTATAGGGATAGACATCCAACCTCCAAAATACTTCTAGGTTAGTCATTATTGTTACTATTCAAATTCACGAAAAGTGAGCCAGGGCTAGCCTGGGTCAGGTTTAGTTCATGAGTTGTAATTCAAATTTATACCTCAAATTAGGGGTGTGCATTTACGGTTAGTGCGTGAACCGGTTACCCGATTGAAAACAAAAAAATGGTTACCTAGGTACCCGTTAAAGAAACCCAACCCCAAAATTCAAATCATGGAATTTGCTGTTCAGATTGTTCATAAAGGTCCACATGATGATACTACCACATTGGTGTGACAAGAGAGCTGGTGTGGACAGTGAGCTTTATAGAGCCATGTAGCCTGGTTTTCATTTTGAAACTCCCCCACAAATGACATTCAAGTTGGTTACGCGTAACCGATCTCATAATCTGGAACCAGTTCCTGACATCAACAGTCGGGTACTCAGGTACCCGGTTCCGATGCACAGCCCTACCTCAATTAATTAAATCACAAAGAACAGTTGTCTGTTCTCTAGCAGACTCTGTGCACAGAGGGCCGTCACTGAAGACAGGTTTTGTTATTTAAATTCAGTGACAATGGAAGTACAAAAGTGTCTACTCATGTACTCATGTGTACCCCAGAGAAGCAAAGACCTGTCCTCAGTGAGGGCGCTCAGTGCAAGGAGTCTATTGTTGTTGTTTCTTTATTATATTTTGAGTAAGTACAATGTATGTACATGTATTGGTAAAGCCATGATTTGACAAATGTTTTGGAAATTCTGCCTGATGCAGAATGGAGCATACCCAAATTCACAAGTTTAGTGATACCGATATTATGATCTTTTGTTTTCTATCTTTTTTTCGTCAGAGGACAAACGTGAATCCAGAGAAGCCCCAATTCCGGGTTACGATGGTTTCATCCCTAGACAAGGCGTATCAGAGCTCGGCCTAGGAGCTCGCTATCATACCATCTGTGATAAGTCTCTCAATACCTTCTATGATGAGACAGACAGGCATGCAGAGAGGATTGGACGAGCCTATGTACCAAAGTAAGTGTAGGAGTTAGAAAGTTACTGTGTTACAATGAGGAAGCAAGTAGAATCTAACATTCACCAAATTTTTTAATAATTTTTATTCAGTCCAATAATATTAACATTTTATTTCTAATAAGTAATATTTCCTATCTATAGGAATATTACTCACTTAACACCTTAAAGGTAGTTTTTTTGGAAAGGCAAGATCCTTTTGTTTATCAACGGCAAAAAGAGCACCAATCATTTTGTGTCAATTGTTAAAGTCTTTGCCTTCTTCCATCTTGTTTTTGCTAGAACCAATGTACCAGATGACCAAGCCAAGGCTTCCATCCAGCTCACCAGAGAAGATCGAGATGTTTTGATGCAAAGACGACTCTACAAACGTATTGGAATGGTTCCAAAGTACACAGGATATCTGCCACGTAAGTAGCAGTGTGGTATTTCAAAAGGAATGTTTTGTATCCAAATGACCAACTTTGTAAAAAGGATGTCATCATTGGAAATGCCAAATTTCATAATGGTTTTTGATTCCACCTCACAACTCATTTTATTTTTTATTTTTTTGAAATTTGAACAGAGATTCGATTTCAGTTTGGCCAGACCTATGGTGATACGACTCGTTCACTGCCTGTGTGCTTCCATGAGCAGCCAACGTATGGTCAGCATCTATCCACAGTTCAACAATCAGTTTGAGCCTGCAGAAGCCTCCATTCATCACAACGTTTGTGTCACACTAATCGTGGTGCGAAATACAACCGCTAACTGTATATCAGTCATTTCAAGTAAAACACCCACCGAGTGATAGACAAAAATTCTGTCAGACAGTTGACTTGCAGTTTAATAATCATGTAATTTTCAATCAAGCTTTGAAATAAACAAATCTGAATTTCTAAGTGACGCATGTAAATGAATATACTACAGCGCGTCCCAAAAATATCCGCAATATTTTTTAAGAGGCTCTAGCGTCGCCACGGAAACACGTACCGCCATTATTTTTATACAAATTTAAAGCTTGGAATCTATATGTACATGTAGTTGGGTTTTTTTTAAAGGGTTTTGAAATAGACGCATGTCAAAAACAAACTCAACCAATTTCAAGGAAAATCAATCATGCGATTTTTTTCTAATGTGGAAATGGTTCATCATGTTCATGATGTGACGATATCATTGCCTTTTACTGTCTGTGTTTCCTATTCTTTTAGATCAATGTAGACTACACTTTAAATGAATTTACAATATTGTTCTTCGTTTCAAGCTCAATTTTGAAATTCACGTGCCAGTATGTACCTATTCAAAAAATGCGCTCACAGTTCGACTTGAGTTTGCATCTGATGTACCGCATCATCGATTTTCTTTGAAATCGGTTGAGTTTTTTTCAAAATGCCTTTATTTGAACATGAATAATTTTAAAACTCTTTTAAATATCAACCCAATACCCGCCAGGGATAAAGTTCAGATTTTGCGTCGACTCAAGAGCCTTGCAAAACAAGCTGCGGGTATTTTGGGACACGCTGTAGTACATGGACTAAGTGCATTTCTTTTCCCTTGCTTAACAATTATTACAGAACACCTGAAATAATCCTTGTCATGTGATTGGTGGGTCCTTGATCACGTCATAGAATTATTTGCCCAAACACACGGCGCGGCCACACTGCAAAAATAGAAATTCCATTCCACGGTGAATAAACTTCCATTGCACTGTCACACTATCGGTTGCGCTATAACACAGCTCTGATAGCTCTGATGCTGTACATTCATAGTTCCAGTTTACAAGTTACCAATCGGATGACGAGGATTTATTCAGGCATTGTATAAAACAAATAAGAATGTTCATTATATTGCAATGGAAATAATAATTTCATTCAGTGACAGATGGAATTTTTCATTTCACTCGGCTTCGCCTCGTGGGAATGGAACATTCCATCTGTCACCTCATGAAATTATTCTTACCATTGCACTCATAAAAATTCATTAGTGTATGCTATTTTGTAGACCATAGTTTACAGCAATACTTTTGATACTAATGTGCATTGATGTGGTTTTCCAAAATGTGCTACATGAAAAATTAGATTAAACACAAAGTTGATTGTTGATAAACAATAAACATAATATAAACCCAAAAGAACTACATAAAAGCACTGCATAAAGTAATGACAAAATCAGAATGAAGAAAAATGCTCATTAATGCAGACAAATCGAGGTGTAAAAAATCATGTAAATATTTTGTAAATTACTTTTCTAGATTGAATCCATAATGAAAAGCTTTTTCTTCCAAACAATGACAAATTAAGCAGCACAACTTTATTAATACAATGTAGTATTAAGCTTGTCCTACAAAAAATAAGCCAAAAAGTGTAAAAGTATGACTGAAAAATATGAGCTTCTTGCAGATGAATACATTATATTTTTATATTTACAATTTCAAATGTTCACAACATAGAAAAAATAGTGTATTAGGGTTGCTTTAGATGAAGAAAAACTACGAAAAGTCTAAATTCGGTACCTGTTGATATCAATATCATACAAGTTTATGGTATACATATGTACTTTTTACTTTTTGTTACACTCTGTGATATTATACAATTTTTAATCAGAGCAAGGTTATTTTGACGTAAAGTTTCTTCCAAAAATGAATTCAGCTAATTTATCATTACCACAACTTCAAATGGACTGTGAGCAAATACGAGCTGTATCTAGATCAAAAGTACCACTTTTGCAAAGTTCAGAATTTTTTATGCTTAATTTTGAAGAATAAAGTTTAAATGTCATCACTCCTAGATTCTGTGTAAGTTATTGTACAAATAAAAGTGTGAATCTAATGATGGTACGATTTCAGTCTTGATTTGATTAGGTTCATGTTTCTATTTCTTGTCCTTGGGTACCCTTCCCATCAAATAGAACTCTTTATTGGGTCTCATATCAGTAAGATGAGCCATGCGATTAGACATTGCAAAAAATGCAGCTATAGCTCCAATGTCCCAAGCATCTTCACGATCCAAGCCGTGTGCTTCGAGTTTCTTGAAATGTTCCTCGGTGATTGTCTCTGACTTGCAGACAGCGATTGCAAACTCAACAATCGCTCGTTGTCTTGGATCCAACTCTGCACACTCCCAATTGGCAGCAACCTGAGCAATATGGAGATTAGCTTCAACTTTAATACAGACCTGCTCTTGTCAAGATTTCCACATACCGAGCATTTTTAAAGGCTCTGATTTATACCAAGTTATCATGACGCAGTGGACATACTTGGATCCTGAATTTTCTTACAGGAGTAACCAAACATAGATCCGTAACACAGAAAAAACAAGAGTTATGTTCCTTCATACGTGTAGTGCAGATTTTTATTGATATTTTTCTAATAAAATCTACTGGAAAAAAAATGGACTTATTGTCAGCCACTACATGTAGGTTTCACTTTCAGCAAATAAAGGGTCTTTTTTGTTTTAGTAATTGAACACCCATTCCAACTTAAACTTTACCAATCTAAGAAAGTATTAATAATTTTTGAAGTTGTTCTTACCTGGTCAGCTAGGGTAGGATTCTTGGAGTAGATCCTGAACAGTGCCGAGTGTGATATAACGCAATACAAGCAGTTATTGACGGAGCTGGTTGCCACAACAATCATCTCTTTATCTGCTTTAGTGAGGGATCCTGTCTCTTTGGCCATGAGTGCATCATAATACATGAAGAAGGCACGGAATTCATCAGGCCGATGGGCGAGTGCTTGGAAGACATTTGGTACAAAGCCAGACTGAAAGGAAGATATTCATGTAAAATGTTAACAACAACCCTTGAATGTGTTGGAAACCAGTTCACCCAGAAGTTAGACTGGTCTCTGCCAAACTTTCCTGTACTTAAAACAGGGCAACAATTTTACTATTGAAGAGGAAATGTAATTTTTCTTTTGGAAAAAGAACTTGAAGACATTAAAATTGGGAGCATTTCAAGGGGAACTAAGGCCAGGACCTTGGAAACGAAACTCCAAATCTGATGTTTACATTATATTTTAAGTTTACATTTAAAAATTTATCTGGGATACATGAAGATTATTAATCCCAATACCTTCTCTGCTACTTCATTGATGAGATCTTGCATATCTTGTGGGAGTTCATCCTGATTAGGAACAGGATAACGACTGATTGGATACTCTGCTTCACTGCAATACCCTCGGTTTACAATGGCAACAGGCTTTGCAAAGTTTAGGGATACCTGTAAAATACAAAATCAGGTCGTAAGCAAACTTTGATGAAAGCATACAGTCCAATTTATCAAGTTTGGTTAGTTTTAGTTATTTTAAGCTGAGGTGAGGGGCCTACTTGTTTCATTATTTGCAAGTGAAACAAAAATAACTTGAAACTCAAAACCAATTTAAGATTGGCAGGAAGCACCTGCATGATTTTATACAACACTGCCATCACAGCACAGGGAATGATTTGGAAAGAATTCCATACATGGACAACTTGCAAGTGTTTTCTCAGTAAATGCTTAAATATTTTCTCAGCTAAATTTGAATTTTTAGCACATGTTATTTCTTTCTGATGGTTGATAGGTCATTGCAGGGAAAAATTAGTGATGGCCATATGGAATTCTTTCCCAAATGTGTTCCCTCCGTCTAGTCTAACTAGCTGACTCGTTAGTTGTTAAAGGGAATATACATCATTTGCTTTTGCTGTAATTTTCAAAAATGGATGGATTTGGGGGGTTGGTAATATATAGCAAATATTGTTACACTGACTTTTTTGACGTTTTGGGTTCGTAGATGCTTGAAAACCAGGAAAAACAATATTGTTCCTGTAGTCTGGTTCCCTGACTCCATTTAAGATGAAACGGAGCAATTTATAGACATTGGGGAATTGTAAGGTTAGGGAACCAGTCTAGCTGGCTTGTACCTGTTTATAGGTGTGTAATCGATTTCAAACAAATGCGGACTAACTAAATATGGTCAATTGGGGCCAGAATTTGAAAAAAGCCAGTTTTTTCGAACGGTGGTCGGCCGACCAGCGTTGGAAATTGATACAAAAATACCACTTTTCTTAAAAATGACAGTAGGCCCTACACCAGATGCCATGATTTTACAGGATGCTTAAGACTGTCATTCACTAACAGTCCGGCAAGGTATTTCGAAATAATTTGGTAGTTTTATTTTTGATGTTTGCAAATGTTGTATTTTCTCTTTAAAGGGAATATACATCATTTGCTTTGGCTGTAATTTTCAGAAATGGATGGAATTGGGGGGTTGGAAATATATAGCAAATATAGTTACACTGACTTTTTTGAGGTTTTGGGTTCAAAAATGCTATAAAAACCAAGAAAAACAATCATTTTCCTGTAGTCTGGTTCCCTGACTCCATTTAAGAAGAAACAGAGCAGTTTACATACATTGGGGAATTGTAAGGTCAGGAAACCAGTCTAGCTGGCTTGTACCCGTTCATAGGTGTGTAATCGATTGCAAACAAGTGCGATGGTCAACTGGGGCCAGTATTTGAAAAAAAGCCAGTTTTTTCCAACGCTGATCGGCCGATCAGCGTACTCCTAGAACTATGAGGCTCCACGTAGTGGAGCCTCATAGGTTCAGAAGCCCGCAAAATTGTTGTCAGCACAAAACACTAATTAAGTACAAAAACGTCCATCCCAAGCAGGCCGTTTTCCACAGAACCGCTGCACAGTTTGCCCCTAAACTCCATACAATACCTCATGACATACTCACGTTATGTGCACCCAACAAACATCGGTGGATTCTGTCTGTTTTTCGGCAAAAATGATGAAAAATATGCCCTTTCTGCACTGAGCCAACCTAACACTTGAAACGAGCACGCGTGCAGAATGATCGCAGTTATTTTCGGTTCGATCGCTCGGAGCGCGCCGCGGGGGGTATGGTGTAGGAGCGGAACGATAGTATGCACATGCGTACAAGTGCAAGTACGTACCCCCCGCGGCGCGCTCCGAGCGATCGAACCGAAAATAACTGCGATCATTCTGCACGCGTGCTCGTTTCAAGTGTTAGGTTGGCTCAGTGCGGAAAGGGCATATTTTTCATCATTTTTGCCGAAAAACAGACAGAATCCACCGATGTTTGTTGGGTGCACATAACGTGAGTATGTCATGAGGTATTGTATGGAGTTTAGGGGCAAACTGTGCAGCGGTTCTGTGGAAAACGGCCTGCTTGGGATGGACGTTTTTGTACTTAATTAGTGTTTTGTGCTGACAACAATTTTGCGGGCTTCTGAACCTATGAGGCTCCACTACGTGGAGCCTCATAGTTCTAGGAGTACGATCAGCGTTGGAAATTGATACAAAAATACCACTTTTCTTGAAAATGACAGTATACCAGGTGCCGTGATTTTACAGGATGCTTTACACTGTCATTCACTAACAGTCCAGCAAGGTATTTCAAAATGATTTGGTAGTTTTATTTTTTGATGTTTGCAAATGTTGTATTTTCCCTTTAAATGCCATCGACTAGCTGTTATGATCATGCCGCGCCTTTGCTTTGCACGCCCACTGTTGACTGTGTCTGCTGCCCCCTATCGACAACCAATTATTATATTAAGGCCAAATTTTAGCTCATTTTTTAATTGCTGAAATTCAACTACTAAAATAGCCTTGCATGCGATATTCATTTATCGAAACTACCTTCGGCACCCAGCTGATGTTTTGTCCATTTTTACAGTGGTTAATTGATGACAAGACCGACAACTGAGACTTGGAATTCCTGCACAGCTGACGGCAAAAAATTGAGAACATGTGAGCCGCCATGTTGATTTTGGTCTGGTTTCCTACTCATTCTTTGGTGTAGCCTTTAGGTACGTTTTATGTCAGTGGATCCAGACTGTAACATTCGTCAACATTTTGCACGCGATCACCGCGCACCGGACCGAAATGATGGCGAGTTCTCTCTTTTGCAAGATTATGCCGAGGGGTTTGAAGGTAAAGAAGCCCATTGTGCATGTTTGCAATATTTATGTGGATTTTCCGGAATATCTTTACTTTCGATGTTTTCTATCATCGAAAACTGCTCTGTCGATATGTCTGTATGTCTGTCTTACTTGTCTGTCCGCACGTAATGTGTTTTATTTCTCCATGGTCTGACCGTCTGACATGTCAGATCAGTGTGTCAGTCCATGGAGGAATAAGAACACACCCTCCATGGTCAGTCTCAGCATAGGCCCTAGAGCAAGGAACTCGGAATATCATTTGATTTTAAGATTTTCAGTGTGCCATGTGTGTAGAAACTGCTTTAGTAGTAAGACTACTATCATGACTATGGGGGAAATGATCCATTGTTTTTTTTTTTAGTAGATTCTAGGCCTGTGCGACTAGTGTGACTAGTCGCCTAGTCGCCAATACTAAAAAGTATTGGTAGTCGGGACTATCAATTTCTGAATAGTCGACTAGTCGTGTGACGTGACTAGTCGCGACTACTGAAAGTAGTCGTGACTACTGAAAGTAGTCGTGACCATTGAAATTCACTAGTCACCCACACCTGGAAGGGGGGTCAGACAAGTCGACCGTTGAGACAACTCGACTCGGGACAAGTCGACCGTTGAGACAACTCGACCGTTGAGACAACTCGACCGTATGTGCGATAAATGGAAAGACAAGTCGACCGTTGAGACAAGTCGACCGTTAAGACAAGTCGCCGCCTCGCATGTTTTTGTTGCTAGTTTTGGGGATAGTCGCGGGGATTTTGACGGCGGCTGATCGCCGTTTGGGAGTGATGACACATGAGTTGTTTTTTTGTTGTTGGATATAACCATGATAACAGAGCCGATATAGCGCAGCCGGGCCTGTGCGCGCACTTATCCCCGGTCAGCGTCGGCCGTACCGTGCACGGTGACATCGTTTATGCCGGGCCTGTGCGCCCACTTGCCGCCCCGGTCGACGTGCCCGCGTGCCGGGCCGGGCCCGGTCCTCGCTGGCGGGGCGCGCCGGCCCGACGCGACGGCCACCGGATTGGAACGCCCTCTGTGCATCAAGTATGCCCGCGCCGCGTCCGGGATCGCAACATTTTCCCGCTCCACGTGTATACATTTCCGCTAAGTCGAGCTGTCTCAACGGGCGAGTTGTCCCGAGTCGAGTTGTCTCAACGGGCGACTTGTCTCAACGGTCGACTTGTCCCGAGTCGAGTTGTCTCAACGGTCGACTTGTCTGACATCCTGAAAATGTGTGATCCAAGTACATGTAATTAAAAACGGCCCAATAAAGATGCTTAAGGAAGAAAGATTTAATAGTAACATTAAACAATGACAGAACATGAATGCCAAGTTCAGAGGCAATGCATATTTTCTAATGTGATCACTCACAACTGAGTAAATCGGGGTTATCCCTACAAAGTACAATGAATGATGTAGTACTCACATGACACATGTGATTCCGTCATTACTTTGCAAGCGTACATGTATCAAAGGCTTTATGCTTTTGTAGTACGCAGACTTTACTTTACACGATATTTAATTATAATAATCAATTCTGTCAAAATACCCCTAAACAATATGAAACCGTCTGATCACGACAAACTGACCTCCTTGTTTTTTTCTGGCCCACATGCTCATTGCACATGCGCAGACCGATATATTAGATGTACTGCTGCACTGATTAGAGGTGTTTCTTGATAAATAAATAATGTGTTACTAGTCGCGACTAGTCCACTAGTCGTGACTATTTATCGCAACTAGTCGCGACTATTGAAATTCACTAGTCGCCCAGGCCTAGTAGATTCACGTAAATAATTTATGCTATCCTTGACCTTGTGGATGGCAGTATTAATTATTATTGGCATATTATAAAATAACACAAAATTGATGATAAACAATAAACATGATATTGCATTTGTTAAATGACGAGGAAGGAAAAGTAAAAAACAAAAAATAAAAATTAAAACTAAAATAAAAACTAAAACTAAAACAAAAACACTAAAGAACTACTAATGCGGTATATTGTTTTCACAGTTACCCTCATGCCACCTGGTCCGAACTCTAACAACCAGTCAAGTTTGTCATAAACCTGTGGTAAGTTGTATAGGCAAGTGTATATGTGTATGTTGTTGAAGATGGACACTGTTTAAGATATGTTATGTTGTGTGCGCAAAAACAAATCCAGTTCTCTTCCTGCCACGAAATTGTTCAGTGGTCAACATACAGAGAATAAAGTGTTTTTTATCTTGAGTGAAATTCTTTTTTTTTCCGGTTCTTAGCAGGCATTTAAGTTCAGTTTTGATTGCTTGCATAAAACTGTATTTTCTTTTTGTCTCAGACTGTTTCTTTACTTTACTGGTTTTTTTTTTTTTTTTTTTTGGTAGGTCGTGCAGTTTCGTTCTATATAAGAGAACGAAGAGACACTTTTGTGTTTTTGGACGTAATACCTAAACATTTCGCAATGATACAAGCAGGAAAAGTCACTGGATGTGTCTGGAATCATCCATATAGTTTGCTACGATACCATGTTGAGTATCTGCTAGCTTAATGTTGTGGAAATAGCCAATGGGACAGGGTTTTGATTTATGAACCGAAATTTTATGTGTCTTCAACTTGTTTTAGTAATCACATTTTTCTATTTTTGTTCAGGCCCCGGCAGCCCAACCAGACACTAAGAGAACTGTCACATTAATCCCAGGAGATGGAGTTGGTCCTGAACTCATGTTATCTGTCAGGGAAGTGTTCAAGAATGCTGGAGTGCCGGTAGACTTTGAGGAATTATTTGTCAGGTATGCTGTGCCCTTTGAGTAATTCACTGGAAATTCAGAACTGAAATGTGGCTGTGGTCTAAGGCCAGGTCCAGTACTTAGCTATTGCTCGCAAAAAGTATGTACCTTTGCAAGTGGTTCAACACACTTCCCATAGACATATGTGTTACTGTCGGCCATAGTCAGGTTATTCAGATGTGAACTCATTTTGTAAACACTGTTGTTTTCCTCCACAGTGAGGTGCAGGTAGGGAAGAGTGCCACCATTGCTGAAGTGATAGATTCCTTCAAGAGGAACCAAGTTGCACTGAAAGGAATCATTCATACACCCTGGGGAGGAGGTGGTGAACTACAGACACTCAACATGAAAATCAGGTTTGATAACAGTCAACTCTCTGTATGTTTTTGTAATGGAGGCCATCACTAGAATTTCAAGACCTTCTTGAGTAACTTCATCTTCAAGATTGAAATGTGTTCTCATTCTTGGTGTTGACAACCAGAGCAAATAACGTCTTTGATTTTAACCAAACCTTTGTTTTTCTTGCAGACGAGAATTAGACCTCTTTGCCAATGTTGTCAGATGTCGCACTTTACCTGGAATTCAGACAAGACATACTGATCTAGACTTTGTTGTCATACGTGAACAAACAGAAGGAGAATATAGTGCACTTGAACATGAGGTAATCTTACAATATCTGTGTTTGACTCTGTGCCTTGCATTTGTGTTGGGTCTGAAGTGCCATTATATTATCCTCTGATTAACTGCATCACCGACTGAGACTCTGAGTATGAATAATGTCCTGAACTGAGACTTGAGGGTCCAGCTCGGCTACGCTAGCCTAGTCTTGTTGATAGACAATATTCTAGATCATTGAAAAGATTTCTCATTGTTAATTTGTACTTATGCTTGCTGGTCACACTTATTATTACATTTTAGAGTGTTCCTGGTGTGGTAGAATGCCTGAAGATCATTACAAGAGCTAACTCCCTGCGGATTGCCAAGTTTGCCTTTGATTATGCCAGAAGAAATGATCGTCAGAAGGTAACTGCTGTACACAAGGCAAACATCATGTGAGTTTACTGCTCAATCTATGATCTTCTTTGATGTAATACTTCATATAATACTCCATCATATAGTTTCCAATTGTTTATTTTTACTTTTTCTTTTAAGTAGTCCAGAGAATGTTTAAGTATATTTTCTTGTCCAGAAATTTGTCATTAATCAGGGTCAGGATATCATATGGAGCCCTTTGATTTGGCAAAATAAAATGTTATTACAAATCCTAATATTATTATGTTGATTTTTACAACTCCTTCTTTTCATCCTTCTAGGAAACTTGGGGATGGTCTCTTTCTTGAAAGTTGTCGTCAGATCTCCACTTTGTATCCCAAGATTCAGTTTGAGGCTATGATTGTTGACAACTGTTGCATGCAGCTAGTGTCTAACCCTCATCAGTTTGATGTGTTGGTCACTCCAAACCTCTACGGCAACATTGTTGATAACTTAGCGGCTGGTCTGGTTGGTGGGGCTGGAGTGGTTCCTGGCGAAAGCTTCTCATCAAAATACGCAATATTTGAACCTGTAAGTTTATGCAGAATTGTATACATTATCTAACTGCAAGCGCAAGCCTGTAGAAGAATTGGCTGAAAAGTTACATTTTTTAACTGCTAGTTAAAATTTCTATCAATCAAACAATAAATAGTTCAAATATCTTAATTCTAGATTTAAGGGCTTTTGATCATTTTGTCGATGTGTTTCAGATACTATCATTGCTGTCCACTTTTGCTACTTTTCTGCTATTAGTAGCAGTTAGCTCCATTTGTGAATTTCCTGTAGTTACATTTCATTTCACTGACTCAGTTTATAGATCTTTCTGTTGATATTAGATGTGTTGATAGATAGGTTCATTATTAATAATTTGTATTTTTTCCTTGGACTGATCAGGGTGCTAGACATACCTTCTCTCAAGCTGTTGGTCGTAACATTGCCAATCCCACAGCTATGCTGCTTTGTGCTGCCAACATGCTCAAACATCTTCAGTAAGTATCAAGTACAAATCACTCTTTGATTTTGTTTCTTGCCCAAAGATTTTACAACAACCCATTCTAATTTCAGTATTGATGCACACTCAATAGTGCCATACGATTGGTCAAACACTTTGCTCAAAGGATCAGGATATCCTCAGTCAAACCATATTTTTCCAAGACTTTTTTTTCCCATTCAGTTTATCAAAATTCTTAGATGAATGATTAAGACTAATTTTGTGAATGATTTCTTAGTCTTAGTTTAAATTAAGATCTGGTTAAGTTTGCCTGTATCAATATGGAGTTGGTGAGTAGAGATAATGTGTTGTATGGACTTAAAATACCTTCACTGCCAACAAAATGTATCAACCTTTGTTAATTGAATACAAATGTATACCCATGAAATGTTTCCAACTTAATCCCTCAAGTCAAACATCTAAAGTTGTCTTTTCATTGAATGACTAAATTACAGCCTGGATTCACATGCCAAGCTTATTCAGACTGCAGTGGAATCGGTTCTCAAAGCAGGCAAGGTAAGTCACATACAACTCTTGACTATATGTTTGTTCTTTTGGTCATCATTATCTCCACTGGTAGAGGGTAGGAGGCTGAAACTCGTGTAAATTTACACACAATTCAAGGGTGAGATTTTTTTCATGATTAGAAGTTTTCATCTTGTATTTCCCCCCTTTCTGTGGGAAAGATTTATGTGAAAGAATTGCAATGGGTAGTTTTTAGGAGTGCCTATGTAGGCAAATAGTACATATAGATAGACCCTGTGTTGCTCTTTGGAACCACCAAATATATTTCATTCCTTTTTATGTCCCTCCAAATCTTACCCCTGACAATTATCTATGTTGTGTGTGATACATGCACTATACTCTGCAGTATGAGTCATTTGGTTGATGACATGCAAGCTTAGAGATCATTAAAAAAATTCCAGAAAGTTCAAGGTGTCAGCAGGAATTCTTCCATTGTCCCAGTTTTTTTTCTTGGTGCCCACTGAAATATTTCCATAGCCATTATGATCAGTTAAGTACCCTTTTTTGTAGCAATAAATTATGATGGTTGACTCGGATCAAAATGAGCTGGATGTAGAGTAAATGATTGTTCTCTGTATGCAAGAAAACATTTTTATTGCTCTGTTCATTATTTTATTCAATCCAAGGTACGCACACAAGACATGGGTGGATATGCTACAACAAGCGAGTTCACTAATGCAGTCATGAATAATCTGAGGTAAAAAGCTGCAATAGATGTATTGATAGACAACAAGAAAACACAAGAAAATTGGTCGTTTCAGTTGATATATATATTACACATATATACATATGTGCATTCATATTTATAATCATCAAACCCTCTGTTTGATTTGCCAAAGTTACAAGTTAATTCAGTTAATTCTATTAATCATCTACTTAAGATTGATAAAAGCAAATTGGGTGCTAAACAGTTCAGGAATGTTTGAAAAAATGTGATACGAAACATTTATCTTAGGAAGCAATATGCATTTAAAAATGTGTAGCCACCATTACAATAGGTAAACAGAAAACAGATATGACATATGGGAAAGATCTTTTTGGGATGCAAAATAATTTTTGCATTTTTTTATCTCTGTATTCTATATATGTTTTGGATATTGAATAAATATAGACCATTTTTAAAGGGGTCATGCGATGACTTTTTCTTGGGAACTCATTTTGTGCAACTTTCTACTCGTAAATGTATGAAAAACTATTTGACATCCCTTTTTGGTTAATTTTATTGAAAAGTGCACTTCTGTAAACAATCAAAAACAAATCCATGCTTTTCCGGACAACTGAGGGTGCTATTACTGTGATGTTATTTCAGGAAGACACTGTTTAATTTATGGGTTTGCTGTTCAATATTGTGAACCCAAAATTTGCTCATTTAAAACATTTGTGAGAAAGGGTTGCTCATTGGCTTACTGCCATGTACTCGCACAACAACGAATCACCAAAGAAAGAAAATTCATGACAGCAAATTGTCGAAAATTCTAGCAACTTTTTGTGCTGGAATAGCTGTAACATTGAGGTTTCTGCCTGAAATGACATCGCAGTATTGCTTATGAATATGGAAACAAGCATTCGCATAAAAGCCAAAAGGTACCAACAAACCTTGAAAATGGCAAAACAAACATTGAAATGAGGGTAAATGGGACACAGGTGCATTTTCATGAATAGCATTAAAAATTACATTACATGGCCTTTAAGCCTCAACAGAGTTGTCATACGTTTTAAAGGTACAAACATTATCTAATAGATTTTTTTTTTAAATGGCAAACATTTTTGTGTTTCAAATATGTTCTTTATCATTTACCATGTGTACTGTGTACAATGTAGTCAGTATTATGAAAAATACACCTCCAATTTCAATATGATTCTTCACACACTGTAGGGAGTTAGGGTCAACCCCAAGGACCTGTGGCACATTCCAGTTAAATTCCAGTTGTGGTCTTCCATTTGTGTCGAGTTTTGTCAGTTATACAAAAACCACTTACATTGTGTCACACTATCGATAATCTTCTGTTTATCTTTAATTTTCTTTCTGAAAAATAAAAGAAAATGAGTTGTGGTCATCTTGTAAACAAAAACAGTGAGGACAACTCTTTTTTACAACAATAAAAAATACTGATCATCTATTGTAAAATACATACATACATGTACAGGGTTTATACATGTCATTCAACATTGATGTAGTTAAAGAACTTGTATACATGTACATTTTTATTTATTTGAAGTATATCTTAAGTGATTTTAAGTACTTTTACAGTTTACAAAGTTCAAAATAAATTTAGTTACATTGCAGGTATTGATATACATTTTGTACACCTTTTGCTGCAATAAACTGTGGAAAATTGAATCCATTTTATGTTGTTGTTTTTTATGAGTGAAGCTGAGCAATCCTAATTGTCATGTGCCCGTCTCAAATGCAATACTTTCATGAAAAACCTTAGTCACCTTGCTGAGAGTTCCGTCATTGACCCTGAACTCAAATTCCTTTGAAAATCTGTAATTGTGACTTCCTGCACCATAATTATATGTCGGCCTGGACAATTAATTTGCCCCCCCCCCCCACCCCAATATGACAAGGAGAAAACAATAAGGAACCCAAATATTGTATTCAACAAATCTGTAGTTTTGTTTGTGGGTTTATTCGAAATTTGTAAATGAACAAAATTGTGACAAAAAGTCAAACCAGTCACAGACATTTTTGGTGTTTGCAAAACCTGCAGACGACACTCTCAAGTCAATGATTTTATGGATCAACTATTATCAGGAGAGGGATATGGATCTCCATCAAAATATTTTGCATTGAACTTAAATAGTACAAATACGATTGTTAGATCAAATGTTGGAACAATGTTTATTATATGTAGTATATAATTGTAAAAAGAAATCATTTTTAGGGTATGGTAATGATTAATATTATTTACCCATTAACACTGCGAGGTTATTTTCATTCTTGTAAAAATGGTAGAATCAGTTGAAGTTCATATCTCTCCCAAATTTCGGTTTCATTTCAACAATGGCTTCGTGAAATTTAAGGCCTCTATAAGACTTCTGACCTAGTCCCACTAACTGGGGCGCTAGAACTCCTTTTTGACATTTGGGATGTTGGCTAGTACGACAGACCAACATCCCAGATGTCAAAAATGGAGTTCTAGCGCCCCAGTTAGTGGGACTACCTCTGACCAGGGCTACTCTGGCTAAATGTATGTGAATATTCTTCTTCAGGAAATTCTTACATCTTATACTTTTAGGTCACAGTTAGTTTCCTATTTTGTGTACATAAAAAAAACCTTTTCAAATGGTTCTTGTGTTGGGGATAAAGCCGAAACTGAAACGAAGCCGATATTTATTAACATGATTAAACAAAACGGGGGGGGGGGGGGGGGGGGGGCGGGGCGTGCTGTTTATTAATAGATGATTACGTCATAGATCACCCTTGTACGTACGTACGTAGAATGACAAGTGCAGCAGTTTCCGGATATTATGACCGAACAACTTTTTCCTAAGTTGGGGGCAGAAAACTTCGACCAGTACTAAAGTCACTACAGTATTTCTTGTCCGTATATGTAAACCGCACAGTGCTGTTGGACGTGTAGAAATGGCAGGAGTTGTAAACATTGGACCGGTCGAGTTTGTCCACATTTTAGACGTGGTAAGTCAAGTCAAGTGACGGTGTTTGCAGATTTGCCCGTGCTGCTGTCACGGCCAAAATGTAAATAAGGGAGTGTGCTGTGTGTACATGTATTTCTGGATGGGTGGGACCGGGGCGTTGCGCGTTGAGCCCCATATAGTTCTGGCGATCGTGTAGTGTAGGGCCCTGGTTTAGTTTCGATTAAATAATAGGGTGTTTTTTATAAGTCAAAAGTGACCTTTTCATCCTAAAGCAGGATGACACCTTTTTTTATTTTGAACAGTTTCCTGGGGTAGAAATTACGATTTTCCTACGCCGCTTGTAGGAATGGTCTGTAAATGGCTCTCTTTCAACATTGGTCTTATATTCTGTCATCCTTTATTGTTTTAAATCGAATCCTACATTCAGTGCAGCATATTTCTTCTTCTGTTTCTGATTCGTGGCACTGGAGGATATTTTTTCTAGGGAAATGAAGTCCGAAATTGCAATACATGTAGATCTGATTCCAATCTCTTGAATACGAAGTCACAACGACAATGTAAGCATGGAGCCAGATGAAGATTCGTCACATTAAAAGTTGTTAAGTGCCACAAAACACTCACTGAGCATGTTCACTGCCGTGTTGGTGAAAGAGCAAAAACATTCAGGGACGGTTCACGATCAGATATACACTGCCTTTCCAACAATCTTCTTTTATGCACCTAATAGGGCCTAATTCTTTCCTTTTTTTAATTAGCAAATGCAGTTATCTTACCGATTTTTCATATTGATGTGGTTTTGCGCATTCATGCCATGATCAGCTTCTTTCTTTTAATTTGCTTTTGTCATCTTGATCATCGATCATTTTGACCCGTAATTCCCCCCCCCAAAAAAAAAAATTAAAACTGTACTCTATCACATGACATTCCATTAAGTTTTCAACATCACTATCTTCGTTAGGCTGAGAAATTAGTAGTTTTTCTTCCGGCCTTTTTAAAAAAAATGTAGGAGGCAGGCATTGTTTTCTCTCATTTTTTCCCCGAGATAGCAGATTTTCCAGGATAGCAGATGGATCTGAATTTTTTTCAACTATTTGCTGATTTGAAATTGTGTCCAAAGGAGCCATGCACTTTCTACATAGCTACAATTTTGTTGGAAACAAATAAAAAGACTATTATAAGATGGAATTTTGCGTCGGGGTGATATAAATCAAATTAGGTTTTGCCCTTCACCGACGTTTTTTTTAAAACACTGTATACTCAGTGTGTTACCTCCCGAGTGAATCACTCGGGTGGGACTCGAACCCACGACCTCCTGCTTTCTTGTGCAGACGTCTTACTACTCGACCACCGAGCTAACGGGATCATATGTGCAAAATATATTGCAAATATATGAATTAAAAAAAAAAAAAAGGAGGCAGCTGGGAAAAAAGGAAGCAGGTGAGGACGAGAAACTGGTAAATTTCTTTTTGACTTGGCCTTAGATGAGTCCAGTATGTCGCGTATTAAACTTCTCAATTCCCAACAAAACCTAGCTGCAGGTGACACTGAAAATATCTGCCTGAACAAGGGTTAAGGGGGTTGACAAGTTGGTCAGAGTAATCCAATACTAGCTGTCACAACTTACCTTCTGATTTGTACATGCACAGTGACCATTGACATCAGCTTATACCAAAAATATATATATATTTTTAAAAATTTGTTTTAGGGTTATAATCATGAACTATTTTAACATGAAAAGTTTGCTACAAAGCAGCCCCCTTAATGGACCCAGATACTGAACTGCCTCCAAATCTGGGGACTCCACTGCCACATGTAGTTGCCATTATCCAGTGGAAATCTGCAGTTTCCAAACCTTGCTTTTCTTCATCACATGTTTAAAATTATTTTATTGCAGGGAACCAACATAACTCGTCTGGAAGTGGGTCCACAAAGACTGATGTGTTTAAACAATGAAAAGTTGGAGGCTGGTCCTATCCCATGTGTCATTGTTCCACCGGGTCATTACTGCAGAATCAAGGATCCTATGAGGTGAGTTGTCGTCTGTGATGTGGTTCATGGTGTTTTAATGCGCCCACTGAAATGAATGGTACTAACTTAGGGTTCACGTCCATGAGAGATATGCATAACTTTCAATGTCGGCAAACGGTAGGAGTCCATCAATAACATTAATCGAGCGTGAAAGTTCGTTCCCAGAATCAAATCAATGGAAAGGCACCTTTTTGGGACTTAAAGAGCTCGCAGCAGGAGCTTTTGACACCGACTCGGTGTCCTTATCAGTTGGCATTACTGAGGCCCTTGCGTGACCTGTCACGTGACCATGCTTGGTCACGTGATGGGAGGCGGTCGTACAGCCATTTTCTAACAACAGTTGGTGAGCATACATCCACCCCAGGACATAACATCTCTGTGGACAATGTTAAGATCATCGCCAGGAAGGACGATCTTTAGCAATATCTGTGAGGCAGTAGAATCCACAGGCACCGCCCCGAGATGAACAGAGATATAGGATACGAGCTGGTCCACGTGTACGACGGCCTACTGTCGTATGACCAAGCATGGTCATGTGACATGTCACATGAGGGCCTCAGTAATGCCAGTTAATAAAGACAGTAAAGACAATGAGACAGTGTTGCAAGCTCCTGCTACAAGCTCTTTAACTCAAGTCCCAAAAAAGGTACCTTTCCTTTGATTTAATAACATTAACGTTTTTCATTTTACTGCACATATAGGAAAGTGTGCACAGAGTCTGTAACTTCAAAGTACATTTATTTCCTTTATTTTCCAGCCATTATGAGAAAGGCCAGCAGTGTGAGTTGAAGCACGGACAGGTGGAGATTCGCTTCCATCAGGTTAGGTTAACGGTTAATGAACCAAATTAGATCCAATCAACCTTTAAAGCTCAATGGTACCATCAGCCATATGTTTGTGTATCACCAATAATCTTCAACAAATGGATGAGTTGTCCTTTATATTCAAACTTTTAATACTTGTACCTCAAATTCCTGTTCCCCTTTCAGGATCCATTTCCTCTTTATCCGGGAGAAATCATAGAAGGTGCTGAAGATTTGCAGGCCTTTTCAACACGAGGTGACAAAAGTTGTTTGTAGCTTATTATCCAATTTACATGCTTTTTAATTTTAAGTTTCTTAGGTTTTGTTGAAAATTGTGTAACAACTACATAATGTACAAGTTATATATACTGTTTGTCATAATTTGAAGTGATGATGGTCATTGTATTTAGTTGTCGGAAGATTATTTATAAATTGAATTTCTCTGTATAACTGAAAAGGGGTGTAGTGATGGCAAGTAAAGGCACAAAGCCACATCCAAACCTAATGTCTAAGGTTGTTATATAGGTCTTTAGTCTATTACAACTATGTATACTTGTGCTGACAATAGTCGTAGCCATAGCATGAGATGCCCATTTCGGACATGGCTTACTGTACTTAAGAAGTGAAAGCTGTTTAAGTCACGTTGGTGGGTGCATTTTCTGTGTTGGACATGTCTGCATGAATTCCACATTTCTTCTTACAGGCTATAAAAAGGCCATTCATCACTTACCAGTCGTCAAAGTCAATCAAGCCATTCAATTGAAAGCCGTGCTTGATCATGAGGTTGATGGAGTACAACGACTTGCCGGTGACCTCTGGCAACTGGAAGGACCTTTGACCTATAAACCTACTGCTGAAGCTGTAAGTAAAGATCAAAACTTTGTGCCTTATACTTGTATTTGCAAACAAAAGCAGTAAAATGTGGATGAGTTTACAATTTGCATATTTCCAAGACAATACATTGGTGCATGGTGGAGCATGCTGCTGGTGGTAACATCCATTGAGCATTGTCTAAATTATGACATAGAGAGAAAACTAATTTCATTCCATTGGCAAACAAAATAACATGGTAAATTCTTTCCATGTGTACTAAATAAACTGTTCTGAATAACTTTGTTTCTGCCATTTAGGAGATTGTTGGATGGGTTAACCCTGCCGTCATTGGTCAAGGTCAGGCCCTTCACCTCAAAGCAAAACAAGGATTTACTGATAAAGATGGAGTGTAAGGATAAACTCTTTTTAGAATTTATATATTTTGATAATTAGCTCAAGCACTGTCCCACCTTCGATCCCAAACCTTCCTAAATCCATAATGGAAGTAAATTTGCACATTTGTTTGCTTCAAATTCCAAGGAGCATCAAGCCCCTTGTATGTTGACTAGGCTTTACCTTCTTCAAACCTTTGAAATCCTCCAAAACCTCCCTGGATGATTAAAAGGAACTGAGGAAGGTTAGGTTTAAATTAGTCAGACTGTCAAATATTTGTGTGCATTCCTGTATTGTGAGAATTCAGTAATTGTTGCTAACTGCGATTGTATCTTGTCTTTTCTTGTCTCTGTACAGTACTCATGTGAGTGGTGAGGAGTGGTTGGTCAGAAAAGAAGGAGCTTATCTACCTGGAGTCTATGAAGAGGTCAGGTGTTCAGGACATACCACAATTATTGCTAGTAATAATTATCAAAGATAATGGAAAGATAATGGGCATTTTTCTTTTCATTTTAAATCGGATTTTATTCTTGGGCTGGTGTGTTCTGCATTCTCAAGAATATAGTTTAAATTTAATACAGGTTTTCCTGGCCAATTTCGCAAAAATAACATTCAAATTCATTTTTATAGTGGCCCATTTGAAACAAATTAGTTCCTTGCTGTCATTCCCGTGTTTCGTATTAGTTTTCAGACGTTCAAATTCATTTTCAGACTTGACATTTTCATGTTTAACGCATTCTAAATTGAACATTATGGCATTTGGTTTAATTTATCATTTAATTTAGCAGCCTGTTTGGTTTAGCGTTATTTGCATACAAATCTTTAATATTTTCGTTTTCATCTCTGCGCATTCTATTTAGTACTTTCTGTATTCAAAATAATGGGAAACGAAGGCAAGATGTGAGATTTTTATTTTGTCACTTTTCACATGTTCGTTTGTCATTGGTTTCATTCTAGTCTCTTCATGTTATACGGAGGGACTTGTTTATATAATGATGTTTCTTGAGTAGTCACAAATTTTAAATTTTTATCCTAATCCTTGTAGGTGGTACAATTGGTGTCTGCCTACATCCTCAAGCAAGATGTTGCCCTCCATCTTCTTGCTGAGCACAGTTGTCGAGATGCTCTCGGCAAGCAGCGACAGGCTGGAGAGGAATGGTTGGTGACTGTTGACGACACTGAAATGTACATCCCTGAAATAGGAGAGGTCAGCATCGAACAGTTCTTAAAACTCTAAGTTTCATTAAGGCCAAAAAAAAAAGTCTCCGGTTTCTGGTATGCGCGCGCGTCGCCGTAGCCATGCGCGTCAGCAAAATGAAAAAGTTTTTTTTTCAACGAAAGATGATGTTTCAAAACCGCCAAACTCACTGGTTTGACTGGAATCCTGCTGCTGCACAATTTTAACGTGTTTTTAGATTGGGTTATGGTCGAGAATAAGCTTTATGTGGCCTCTCTGGACTCCCATATATTTGCACTAAGTTTAGTCGGGCACTATTTGCAGTCATCAGCCGACATTTGAAGCAAAAAAATCAAGGTAAAAAAAAAAAAAAGCCGCGTCGCCGCACCACCTTGTGGGCAAGCTCCATACCAGAAACCGGATACTTTTTTTATTGGCCTAATGTATTTAGCTATGCAGAATTGTTTCCTCTTATTGATGCATTGTTGCTGTGTTTTTTTTAAAGTTCACATTTTGTTTGATGCAATAGATTGAGATTATCTTGGAAAATATTGTTTGAAAAAAAAACAATGTTAACAAATGCATATGAATAGGCAGTTACTCATTCTCTGATCAATTTCAAAGCATATTCATTTTGTTGGGGGTTTACGGTGTCTATTTGTCCATTGCTCAAATGTTTACCTCCTGTGTCTTGCTTGTCTCTGCATTCTCAGTTCATTTATCTTCTGTCCTGTAGTTCTTTGTGCTGAAAGTGGAAATATTTTTTCCTCGTAGAAAGCAGTGCAACCCATTAAGAAGATAGTACTTGAGAAGGGTCAATATTGCACTGTGTGTAATTCAGTCAATGCAGATGGCAGGGCCCAGTTGGGATGTGAGGAACTCCGCAAGGGTCATACCAGCTTCTTCCTTCATCCAGGTCAGCCTCTAGCTGCTACACCTTGTGATCTATCATCCTTATGAATATTGTCAACTTCTGAAATGTTATCAAGTTATGTCTAGAGATAGATCCAAATGCCAATGCAGACCTCCGACTTTGCTACTGCTTATAGAATCTCATTTGAAGTATGCTAATTGTCTCTTGAATGTAACATAATATTGCGACTTATCTTTAGTTAAATCCTTGGAATCTTTTTTATAGATGGAAATTTGATTATTCCATTTTACTTTGCTGAAAGACTGTGTTTTCCTTCTATCATTTAGCAAAATCATACAAGTGTTGTTGTCACTGATGAATACCTTTGCAGTGTATCACTGGAAGAAGTTGATTTGAAATTTGCCTGTTGCTTGTATTTTGTATGAACAATAGGTGAACTCATCAAGGATGGAATTAAAGAACAGTTTGTGATGGCTGAAGACCAGGCTATCGTACTGCAGGCTAGCAGTGCGTTTAAAGATGATTCTGTGCCTGGTGAGTCAATGGTAACATCATAATAAGTAGTCCTGAGTGCACATCCCACTTTAGTTCTTTGTGAGGTGAAATGGCAGGTGGTACTAGGTTAACATCCCTATATATTCAGCCCTTTAATTAACCTTGTGTTGTTTGAGTACCAAGCTACATGTATGCTACTGCAGACTATCAGTAAGTTTAAGGATGACTCAATGCCAGATTACCCCAAAGTAGATAACCAGGCTTCATATACCTCTTTGAGTCCTAGTAATATTGGGTTGGGTTGGGTGAAATAATGGCTGTTGTATTTCAAATGCTTCAAAGCTTTGAGGATGGATCTGTACCAGCATATTATCCATCCCAGTTGGCACCAAACAAGTGATCTGATATCAGACTGAAAAGTATAACATCCAGCTAAACAATTACAAGTCTCTTATTTATTCGATTACTGAAAGAAGTTAATGCTGTTGATATCCGTCAGTGGTGGATCCAGAGGGTGTGGAGGGGGCGCCTGCCTCCCCTCCTCCGCCAGGCAGTGACCCCAGTCTCAGCCCCCCCCCCCCCCCAAACCTCTCTGGATCCGCTCTTCTCTGTTGTCACGCAATGTAATACCGATGTATCATATATAGGAATGTAACATTTCTTTGTTATTGTTGTGATATGACAGGTGGGCCAGTGAAGCGTACCCCAGGAGATCTTTGGATGATCAAGGGACCAATCAGCTACATTCCACCTGTTCAAGTACATGTAGTTGATCAGGGAAATGGGGCCTTAGTCAGGTATCAAGTAGTGTTCTTTGTCCTATTTGTGTCTTCATCGCATATGTCTCTTTCTGCTGTAACACTTAAGATTTCATTCATTAAACTAGTTGTATCAATGTGTAATAACACCAAAAAAATTTGAGTAATTTGACTCTGAGTTCTTTCAATGTGTTGTATTTCAGGCGTGCCATACCTCTTGATGATATGGAAGGAATATATGTCCGCAACTTGAAAACAGGGGAGGTGAATATTCTAGTTGTATATATGTTCATAGATTAAATATATGAGATTGTTTCTTTCCATGATCTTCTTGCAAGTTATTTTGAATTTGATTTTAATATCTTGTCAAGGTCCGTGCTGTGATGGGTCCTGATTCATACCTGCTGACAGAACATGAACAGTTGTGGGAAAAGGAACTGCCACCATTGGTTCTAACAATTCTCCAGTGAGTAAAACTAATCAAAAGTATTAAAAAAACTAGACCGAGGACTAGACCAGAAGATCCTCGTTAACGAGAAAGTATTGTTCAGCAATCTAGCATTTGGCAAAACTATTACTGTTCTCCAGTGAAGATTAAACAAGGTGTATTCCTATTGTGTGTTGAGAAACATAATGAACGATCATAAGCATTGGAAAACATTTATATATTTTTTCTTTTTTTCATGTTAATAGGAATGGAGGAGGCCATGGAGCAGGTGATATCAGAAAGCTAGCTTACTTTGAATCATCAATGGATGCTGACTATGCACCAGGCAAGGTGAGTCCTCGTTACTCACTATCTCATGTTATGGAGTAGGTGATATCAGAAAGCTAGCTTACTTTGTATCATCTATCGATGCTGACTATGTACCAGGCAAGGTGAGTCCTCGTTTCTCACTATCTCATGTTATGGAGCAGGTGATAACAGAAAGCTAGCTTACTTTGTATCATCAATCGATGCTGACTATGCACCAGGCAAGGTGTGATAACAGAAAGCTAGCTTACTTTGTATCATCAATCGATGCTGACTATGCACCAGGCAAGGTGTGATAACAGAAAGCTAGCTTACTTTGTATCATCAATCGATGCTGACTATGCACCAGGCAAGGTGAGTCCCCGTTACTCACTATCTCATGTTATGGAGCAGGTGATATCAGAAAGCTAGCTTACTTTGACTCATCAATCGATGCTGACTATGCACCAGGCAAGGTGAGTCCTCGTTACTCACTATCTCATGTTATGGAGCAGGTGATATCAGAAAGCTAGCTTACTTTGACTCATCTATCGATGCTGACTATGCACCAGGCAAGGTGAGTCCTCGTTACTCACTATCTCATGTTATGGAGCAGGTGATATCAGAAAGCTAGCTTACTTTGACTCATCAATCGATGCTGACTATGCACCAGGCAAGGTGAGTCCTCGTTACTCACTATCTCATGTTATGGAGCAGGTGATATCAGAAAGCTAGCTTACTTTGTATCATCAATCGATGCTGACTATGCACCAGGCAAGGTGAGTCCTCGTTACTCACTATCTCATGTTATGGAGCAGGTGATAGCTTACAAAGAAAGCTAGCTTACTTTGTATCATCAATCGATGCTGACTATGCACCAGGCAAGGTGAGTCCTCGTTACTCACTATCTCATGTTATGGAGCAGGTGATATCAGAAAGCTAGCTTACTTTGTATCATCTATCGATGCTGACTATGCACCAGGCAAGGTGAGTCCCCGTTACTCACTATCTCATGTTATGGAGCAGGTGATATCAGAAAGCTAGCTTACTTTGAATCATCAATCGATGCTGACTATGCACCAGGCAAGGTGAGTCCTCGTTACTCACTATCTCATGTTATGGAACAGGTGATATCAGAAAGCTAGCTTTCTTTGACTCATCAATCGATGCTGACTATGCACCAGGCAAGGTGAGTCCTCATTACTCATTATAACACCACACCCACAGATTCTGTGTCTTGATTGGCCGAGAGCGATTCACATGTTACTTTCTAATTTTGCTATCTTTCTATGCACGGCCAAAAGTACTATGCGCATAGCAACTAAAGTACTATACCATTAGCAACCAAAGTACTATTTCCATGGCGCGGTACTTGTGTGCAAATGCATGCTGGTGTGCGCGTTGCACGTTGTGCGTAGCGCGTATTATTCCAAAGAGAGCGCGCCGCAGACTTGGGTTCAAACATTTCGTGAAGGGTTAGTTTTTAAAGAGAGAAATACATTTTCCACCAATTTTGTATTGAAATTGAAGTTTATTTCAACTGTGTTCAATAATGTAAAATATTAAAATCAAGCAGAATCTGTGGGTGAAGTGTTATAAAACAAATATTGAATGCTTTATCTCGTGGTGAAGTAAAACTAGCCTCCCTCGGTGATCCATGGACCATTCTATTTTCCCTCGGCTTCGCCTCGGGGAAAATAGAATGGTCCATGGATCACCTCGGGAGGCTAGTTTTACTACACCACTCGAAGCATTCAATATTTGTATACTATCTCATGTTATGGAGCAGGTGATATCAGAAAGCTAGCTTACTTTGAATCACCTTTGGAAGCTGACTAAGTGACTTTGCACCAGGCAAAGTGAGTCCCACCTTATTCTGTTCATACTATCAGCTGCAACTATTACTATAACCAAACACAGTCATTATTTCTGCTCTTTGTTCAATTTTAGATCCGAGATAAAACCAGAGTGGTGAGATACCGTTGCCCTGGAAACACAGCTGTGCAGGTAAATACATCAGATTTTTAGAATAATCTATAGAGTACCTCATCAGTTAATCATGGGAGATCCACTTGTTTCATTTTGTGTTTTTTCCCCCTCTGCTGATCCAAGGTTTACAAGTACCAGGAGAAGACAGCCCGGGTGGTGTTTGGCCCTGACATGGTCATCCTTGGACCTCAAGAGGATTTTAATGTCCTCAGCTTGAGTGGTAAGTCATTGTGGAGACAGAGAAAGTGTTCATGTCAGAAGAAATGATGGCAAATTTCTGCTGTGGTTTTGCTGTCAAAATTATGTTTTCAAATACAATTCTTCCAGCAAAAAGATAATTAGCATGATTTGTCTTTGTTCCTAGAGGAACAGATAGTTTACGTAAATTGTACATGAATACTAAACCATTCAAATGGATATTTCCAGATTGCTATATTTTGTCATGAGTGACTGCTTATACTTTATTTATTTTGTTGCCCAGCTGGTAAACCTAAGGTAGAGAATGCTCTGCAGACCATCTGCCTCATGTTGGGACCTGATTACATCACTGACATCCTAGAGGTACACTGATATCATTGGAATTAATATGCCAATCATATCATTTCGTTCATCTTAAAATATGCTGGTTCTATCAAATCCATTGTTTTATAAGTGCTGTAAAACGTTAATTGTTTTACTTTGAAGTATAGTCTGATGGTGTTCATTATTAGAGCAAATTTATATTGTGGAATATCATGTCTAGTGTGAGCTTTCCGAGATTTAGAGTTTTACAAAAACATTTTTCTGTTGTCACCCTTTGTTTAGAAACTTTCAATTTTTTTTTCAAATTTGATTTTAGGTTGAGACATCGGACCATGCAAGACTGAGGGTTCGGATTGCTTTCAACAACTACTTTGAGGTCAGTATTGTTTACATTTGAAAGCAATTTCAACCTATTTTGCACTTCTACTTTCCATTTTTATCCTTTTTAATGGAATTTCTTCAATCCAATTGCATCACTGAGATGAAACAAATCCAAAGACTGAAGTATTTAAGCTGTCTGTGCAAGTGCCACATAATAACTGAACATTAACTTCACTCCCTGCCATTTTTTTTTTTTAAAGATGAACCTACTGAGAAATCATTCACATGGTGTTACCCCAAACCTCCCATTAAACAAACACAAAACATTCTTTACTCCTGACCTCTAATGATAAACATTTTATTTTGTATTATTTCCTGATTTAGTTTGAAGGTGGCAATGAACAATCAGAGAAATCCATCTTTTCTGTTCCTGATTTCATTGGATTTGCTTGCCGGCAAGTAGGTAGGTTTGAAAGGAAACTCCCTTAATGGTTATCTTCCCTGCAATGCTGCATGCTTTCTCCTCATTATTTGCAATTGCTTAATTAAAAATTCTTAATTTAAATGGTTTAACAGGTGAAAAGCTACCCCCCCCCCCTCCTGCCAAAAAAGAAGTATTTTTGCTTAATTAATTTAAAAGAAAGAAATATACAAGATACAGATAATATTTCATTTGTTGAACAATCCTGATCTTTATTTGCCATTCACTATATTTTGCTTGTTGTACTGATAGTGAATTACTGTAATGAAGTCAACTGATGTTTGTTGTGTTTTAGGTAGTCGCATTCGTGGAGCAGTTTCCAGAGTTCGTTTTGATGAGTTTCATCGTCATTCTAACAAACTTCTACAAGGTGCTGTCTTCGGCTTTGATGCTGATGGAAATATCAAAAACAGACTGAAATTCAAAGCTAACAAACTGGTAAAGTTGCTGTTTCTTGTGTCATATTGGTCATGACAAATTTAACAGTAACCTATTGATTTGTTTTGCCTTTCTTTTTAAAGATTAAAGGGGCCATGGGATGGATTTTTCTGAGGAGCACATTTTGTGCAACTTTGTAATCCTCGTAAATGTATCACAACTATTTGTTATTCCCTTTTTGGTAAATTTTATTGAAAAGTGCTCTTCTTTAAACATTTAAAATTGTCCATGCTTTCCCGGACAACTGAGGACACTGTTGCTGTGATATCAGATAGACACTATTCAGTTTAGGAGTTTTCTGTTCAAATTGTGAACACAAAAGTTGCTCAATGAAGCCATTTGTGAGGAAGGGTTGCTTATTGGCTCACTGTCATGTACTGACATAACAACGAAAGAACAGAACATTTACAGCAAAATATCAAATATTCTAGCAACTTTTTGTTCTGAAATAGCTGTAACATTGAGGTTTCTGCCCGGAATGACATCAAAGATTTGCTCATGAATATGAAAATTGCAATAGCATTAAAACCAAAAAGGCACCAAAATAACCCTTCCAACTTGCGAAACAAAAATTGAAAAAGGTTAAATGGGACACAGAGATGCAATTGAAAGGAGAGCGTTAAAAAATTACATTGAGTGGCTCTTTAAGTGTTTGTTTACAAACTGAATACTGAATATTCATTTGACAGGTGTGTTTTGGGAGAGACGGCTCTGTTGAGCCAATTCAAGTTTCAACGCTTTGTCTCCAGTTATTTGTCAACAATTAACTCGGTCCAAACATGTACCTTCATAGTGCATTTACGGATCACCAACAGTCGTAAAAGCTTTGCTGTACGTTATTACTTCAAGTTGATATACAAGGTGTCTTTAAATAAAGTATATCCATTTTTAAATGTAATCAGAAATGTACTGAATTTTTGAGAAAGACGCAACTACTGGGAGAAAGGCCAGGATGTCATCTATCCAATGATAGTAATTTCATTACGACATGGATGAATGAGCAAACAAGGCCTCTATGGTATGCGCTATTTTGAGACAACTTCTTGTCCAGTTCACCTGTTTTTTTTGCCAATTGATTTGAAACAATTAATAAAATAGCAAACCCAAGTCATTACCACTGCCAGTGGAGTTACATTTCATTGTTATATTCTCACTGTAGGTGATAAGCAACGTTGACATTCAAGGCATAGAACCTGTGGATCTCACCATGAGAGACAGTTTGATCAAATCTGTGCAGATGGCTATTGAAATATCAACCAAGTAAGTATTAATTTGTAACGTGTTAAAAATCCATCATATTAAATGCTTGCATTTTTTTCTTCATTGGAACTGTTGTCTTTGTATTGCAATATTACTCTGGGGTGCTCATTGCCTTTTTCACCTATGCATTTGTTACACATGATTGGATTTGTTCCACATGTGCTCCTTTTCAGTTTTAGAGTCTGTTTGTTCAACTTTGTGAGAATTAGACAACACATTATGATTTTTAACAGGTGAAAAATTGCAGCATGTATTCTGATGCAAAAATATCGCTAGTTCTTAATCTTGATAAAAGGAGTCACTATACGTTATGAGTCTACAGCAATATCAGCTTTACAGTCATTCTGGGTTAGTTTTAGGGCATATAGTCTGATCATCTTACGTCACATGTTCACCTGTTTTGGTTCAAGTGTTTCTGCGATATTCTTGTTTATCTGTTTATCATTTCAATACATTATTTCAATCGCAGGTCAATTGAGAGAGCTGCAGCCCATGACGCTGCCAGGAAGGAACAAGAATCTCGAGGTTTAATAGATCGACAGAAACTCCTGAATGAGAAAGAAGCAGAACAGCAGAGAGCCAAGCTGTTTGAGTTACAGGCAGAAGCTGCGGCGATTGAGTCAACAGGGCAAGCTAAAGCTGAAGCACAGGTAGGAGGAGAGATTTGAACTAAGAGTGCTTCTGCTAACTCACTCTTTATTATAAGCGTGTAATTCTGAAATTTGAACACTCATGAGTCCATTCTCTCACTCACAGGCCCGTGCTGAATCTCTCCTCATTGAATGTCACAGCGCTATTGACTCAGCTCGACTCAAAGCCCAAGCTGACGAGGTCATTCATGAATCGGAGCTGCAGTCTCGGAATCTACTTCGTATGTCAGAACTTGGCTACAAACGGCGACTGAATGAGACAGAGATTAATAAAGCCGATGAACTCTGTGGTATCGAGGTAAGATTATGGAGGAGTTTCATTTATGCATCCCTTTATTTTCCTCGTAATCTGCTCAGTGTTATTCCTTTTGTTGTTCCATTGTTTCATGTGTTTAATGTAAGGATTCATAGACCAGTTTTATACATTGTGCCAATTTATAAATCTTTTTCCAGAGAACTATAGAGACAGTTTCATATCCCATGTTTCCAAACTCTCAGGCATCTCGGTTTGACGCCATGGTGAAGGCTCTAGGAGCAAGTACCATCGCAGCTATCGCAAGCGCTGGACCCAAACTTCAGGTCAGTCATTTTATCTCTGTCAGACATCAATATTCAAGCAACTATCACTTGTTTCAGACTGGTGTTCTCAAATCAAATCTGATGTTTGCACATTCACCATTGTACACTAGTAAACAAAAACATCGAGTGTGACAATCTCGGTTTGACTCAAGAGTCAAGTCAATAACCATAGAGTTATATTAACTTGCTGGAGCGCTAACTCCCTGCACAAAGTGAAGCCTGCTGGGTGCATCCGTGTTTGAGCACAAACCTATGGAAAACTTGACATTTAGTACGGCTTTAGTACAGCTATTTGCATATCTGTGTGTGTATTCTATACTGATGCGTTATGGAAGCCGATACACCTTTTTTTTACTGAAAAATTCCAAGGGTTTAACGTTGAATTTTCCTTCGAAATTGCAAGGGGTTAACCTTATATATGTTTTTTTTTATTTCAAATTGAAACCGGTGAATCTTATTTTTTTTTATCAAAAGCTGCAAGGGGTTAACCTTACATTTTTCATTAAAATATACAAGGTGTTAACCTCGTCTTTTTTACTAAAAAATTCCAAGTGGTAAGCTTGTGTGCTTTATTACAAATTGCAAGGGGTTAATCTTACACTGCTTTTATATCAAATTCCAATTCCAAACACACAATCAGTAAAGGAGGGTTTCATTTTGCTCTACACAAACAACGCAAATGCAAACATGTGCGTCATACTCAAAGAAACACCCTTACATTGTTTGCGTATGTTGTACTTGCGCATCACATTTACAGTATATTCCAAATTCATTCCTTCTGATTTCATTATGCTCTACAAACACGCACGTGAATTCAAAATGCCTGTGCTCAGGACAGCTTCAAAGTATCTCCGCGGGGAATGAGGAGTTAGCGCTCTAGTAATTTAATATAGATCTCTGTCAATAACCCAAAATCCTTTTAGGGCAACTATTTAGGGTTGCTGCAAATAATTGTCGTGCTTTGATGTGACTTGGGAACACCATGCTGAGATTCATCATTGCTCCAAAGAATGTCCTGTACTCTAAATTGGCAAGTTGTATCTTTACCCCATTTGTAGGCGGAGCTTCTGGAGAGTCTTGGGATTGAGTCAACACTCATCATGAGCGGTGATAATCCTATCAACCTGTTTAAGACGGCTAAAGGAATGGTTCCAAGTGCAGGGAACCTGTGAAAATATTAGCAAATCCTGATAATAAACTAATGTGCATATATTCATCAGCTGACTTCTTTTCAAATGATTTTCCCAATGAGTAACACAAAATATCATACCTCATAGGTAAGGTATTTGCATACTATCTTTTATGAACTGATTGTGTGAAAATAAGACTTTTCACTGAAATTTATGAATGGCAGAGAATGTGGGATGTACATTGCTTGTCGTGCTGCATTCTTCTTGTTTTTTGTTTCAAGTTATTTTTGGCCAACAGATTTTCTTTTTTGTCACATATAGCTTAAAAGTTGTTTTCTTTTTATTGTCTGCCAGTTGAAATCAGATAAGCAGACAGTGGAAGCCATGTTGAGATAATTGGAGCATTTCACAATTTTCCTGGATTAAATTTTGCTTTAGTTTTTGCAACAAAATTTCACAAAAATAACTGCCAGTTCAGGTACCTAAAATTACTCCTGAACCATTGTGATATTGTGCCTTAGTGGATATATGTGTGTGTATCATTGAAAGTTGATCTGTACAGGTCATGACTGATTTCCAAGTAACGAGTATGAATAATGTAACCAGTTAACCAAGTACTAAAAGCAATATTCATATCTACACAGGTCAAGTTAAATTGCAAGGAGAACAATACCTAGAAAGTTGAATAGTCAGTGAAAGATTTTGTTTTCTAGAAATAATGCAATACACTGGATGGAATCATGAATGTCTTTGTCAATTTTAATTGATAGGTATTTCATACTTGAGAGATTTATTTGTAAAGTTACATGTATTTAGATTTTGTCTCATAGATATTTTTTCTATATAACAGAATAATGATGTGTCTTTGAAAATTACAACAAAGGATGATGATTTAAAAGAAAGGAGAATGTTTTTCCTAATCCGACTTTACTTATTAAAAGAATGTAACGTCTTGAATAAGCCGAGATTATGTAAACATGCATTGTTGTTTTATTTGAAAGAGGTTGACCCTGGGTTAACCTTACATTTTAACAATTTAAACATTTTAACAATTTAAACATTTTAACAAGTATTTTCTTATTTCCAATTACAAGCTGTTACGGCTGATTTTTATAACAAATTTAAGGGGTTAAAGCTATAGTCCATCATTTGCAGCCATCCGAAAAGTAACTGCCGTAATTAATGTTGAAAAACATACTTGGTTGAAAGATAGTAAGTGGACTAAACTCCCTGTGAAATTATTCTTTCTGGCAAGCTGTCATTTTGCAATTTTTGATGAAAAATGCCGAAAAATGTAGGGTTAACCCCTTGCAATTTTTGATGAAAAATGCCATTTTTGATGCAAAATGTAAGGTTAACCCCTTGCAATTTTTGATGAAAAATGCCGAAAAATGTAAGGTTAACCCCTTGCAATTTTTGATGAAAAATGCCATTTTTGATGCAAAATGTAAGGTTAACCAATTGTTATTTTTGATGAAAAATGCCATTTTTGATGAAAAATGTAAGGTTAACCCCTTGCAATTTTTGATGAAAAATGTCGAAAAATGTAGGGTTAACCCCTTGTTATTTTCGATGAAAAATGCCGTTTTTGATGAAAAATGTAAGGTTAACCCCTTGTTATTTTTGATGAAAAATGCCGTTTTTGATGAAAAATGTAAAGTTTACCCCTTGCAATTTTTGATGAAAAATGCCATTTTTGATGAAAAATGTAAGGTTAACCCCTTGCAATTTTTGATGAAAAATGCCATTTTTGATGAAAAATGTAAGGTTAACCCCTTGCAATTTTTGATGAAAAATGTAAGGTTAACCCCTTGCAATTTTTGATGAAAAATGTAAGGTTAACCCCTTGTTATTTTCGATGAAAAATGCCATTTTTGATGAAAAATGTAAGGCTAACCCCTTGCAAATTTTGATGAAAAATGCCGGTTTTTTTCCATGAAAATTGCCGTTTTTGATGCAAAATGTAAGGTTAACCCCTTGCAATTTTTGATGAAAAATGCCGAAAAATGTAAGGTTAACCCCTTGTTATTTTTGATGAAAAATGCCATTTTTGATGAAAAATGTAAGGTTAACCCCTCGCAATTTTTGATGAAAAATGCCGAAAAATGTAAGGTTAACCCCTTGTTATTTTCGATGAAAAATGCCGTTTTTGATGCAAAATGTAAGGTTAACCCCTTGTTATTTTTGATGAAAAATGCCATTTTTGATGAAAAATGTAAGGTTAACCCCTTGCAATTTTTGATGAAAAATGCCGTTTTTGATGAAAAATGTAAGGTTAACCCCTTGCAATTTTTGATGAAAAATGCCATTTTTGATGAAAAATGTAAGGTTAACCCCTTGCATTTTTTGATGAAAAATGCCATTTTTGATGCAAAATGTAAGGTTAACCCCTTGCAATTTTTGATGAAAAATGTCGAAAAAAGTAAGGTTAACCCCTTGTTATTTTCGATGAAAAATGCCGTTTTTGATGAAAAATGTAAGGTTAACCCCTTGCAATTTTTGATGAAAAATGCCATTTTTGATGAAAAATGTAAGGTTAACCACTTGTTATTTTCGATAAAAAATGCCGTTTTTGATGACAAATGTAAGGTTAACCCCTTGCAATTTTTGATGAAAAATGCCGAAAAATGTAAGGTTAACCCCTTGCAATTTTTGATGAAAAATGCCAATTTTGATGAAAAATGTTGAAAAATGTAAGGCTAACCCCTTGCAAATTTTGATGAAAAATGCCGTTTTTTTCCATGAAAATTGCCGTTTTTGATGAAAAATGTAAGGTTAACCCCTTGCATTTTTTGATGAACAATGCCATTTTTGATGCAAAATGTAAGGTTAACCCCTTGCAATTTTTGATGAAAAATGCCGAAAAATGTGAGGTTAACCCCTTGCAATTTTTGATGAAAAATGCCATTTTTGATGCAAAATGTAAGGTTAACCCCTTGTTATTTTTGATGAAAAATGCCAGTTTTGATGAAAAATGTAAGGTTAACCCCTTGCAATTTTTGATGAAAAATGCCATTTTTGATGAAAAATGTAAGGTTAACCCCTTGTTATTTTTGATGAAAAATGCCATTTTTGATGAAAAATGTAAGGTTAACCCCTTGCAATTTTTGATGAAAAATGTCGAAAAATGTAAGGTTAACCCCTTGTTATTTTCGATGAAAAATGCCGTTTTTGATGAAAAATGTAAGGTTAACCCCTTGCAATTTTTGATGAAAAATGCCATTTTTTATGCAAAATGTAAGGTTAACCCCTTGTTATTTTTGATGAAAAATGCCATTTTTGATGAAAAATGTAAGGTTAACCCCTTGCAATTTTTGATGAAAAATGTCGAAAAATGTAAGATTAACCCCTTGTTATTTTTGATCAAAAATGTAAGGTTAACCCCTTGCAATTTTTGATGAAAAATGCCATTTTTGATGAAAAATGTAAGGTTAACCCCTTGTTATTTTCGATGAAAAATGCCATTTTTGATGAAAAATGTAAGGTTAACCCCTTGCAATTTTTGATGAAAAATGTCGAAAAATGTAAGGCTAACCTCTTGCAATTTTTGATGAAAAAAGCCATTTTTGATGAAAAATGTAAGGTTAACCCCTTGTTATTTTCGATGAAAAATGCCATTTTTGATGAAAAATGTAAGGCTAACCCCTTGCAATTTTTGATGAAAAATGCCATTTTTGATGAAAAATGTAAGGTTAACCCCTTGCAATTTTTGATGAAAAATGCCATTTTTGATGAAAAATGTAAGGTTAACCCCTTGCAATTTTTGATGAAAAATGTCGAAAAATGTAAGGTTAACCCCTTGTTATTTTTGATGAAAAATGCCGTTTTTGATGAAAAATGTAAGGTTAACCCCTTGCAATTTTTGATGAAAAATGCCATTTTTTATGCAAAATGTAAGGTTAACCCCTTGTTATTTTTGATGAAAAATGCCATTTTTGATGAAAAATGTAAGGTTAACCCCTTGCAATTTTTGATGAAAAATGTCGAAAAATGTAAGATTAACCCCTTGTTATTTTTGATCAAAAATGTAAGGTTAACCCCTTGCAATTTTTGATGAAAAATGCCATTTTTGATGAAAAATGTAAGGTTAACCCCTTGCAATTTTTGATGAAAAAAGCCATTTTTGATGAAAAATGTAAGGTTAACCCCTTGCAATTTTTGATGAAAAATGTCGAAAAATGTAAGGCTAACCTCTTGCAATTTTTGATGAAAAAAGCCATTTTTGATGAAAAATGTAAGGTTAACCCCTTGTTATTTTCGATGAAAAATGCCATTTTTGATGAAAAATGTAAGGCTAACCCCTTGCAATTTTTGATGAAAAATGCCATTTTTGATGAAAAATGTAAGGTTAACCCCTTGCAATTTTTGATGAAAAATTCCATTTTTGATGAAAAATGTAAGGTTAACCCCTTGCAATTTTTGATGAAAAATGTCGAAAAATGTAAGATTAACCCCTTGTTATTTTTGATCAAAAATGTAAGGTTAACCCCTTGCAATTTTTGATGAAAAATGTAAGGTTAACCCCTTGCAATTTTTGATGAAAAATGTCGAAAAATGTAAGGCTAACCCCTTGCAATTTTTGATGAAAAATGCCATTTTTGATGAAAAATGTAAGGTTAACCCCTTGCAATTTTTGATGAAAAATGCCAGTTTTGATGAAAAATGTAAGGTTAACCCCTTGCAATTTTTGATGAAAAATGCCATTTTTGATGAAAAATGTAAGGTTAACCCCTTGCAATTTTTGATGAAAAATGTCGAAAAATGTAAGGATAACCCCTTGTTATTTTTGATGAAAAATGTCGTTTTTGATGAAAAATGTAAGGTTAACCCCTTGCAATTTTTGATGAAAAATGCCGTTTTTGATGAAAAATGTAAGGTTAACCCCTTGCAATTTTTGATGAAAAATGTCGAAAAATGTAAGGCTAACCCCTTGCAATTTTTGATGAAAAATGCCATTTTTGATGAAAAATGTAAGATTAACCCCTTGTTATTTTTGATCAAAAATGTAAGGTTAACCCCTTGCAATTTTTGATGAAAAATGCCATTTTTGATGAAAAATGTAAGGTTAACCCCTTGCAATTTTTGATGAAAAATGTCGAAAAATGTAAGGCTAACCCCTTGCAATTTTTGATGAAAAATGCCATTTTTGATGAAAAATGTAAGGCTAACCCCTTGCAATTTTTGATGAAAAAAGCCATTTTTGATGAAAAATGTAAGGTTAACCCCTTGTTATTTTCGATGAAAAATGCCGTTTTTGATGAAAAATGTAAGGTTAACCCCTTGCAATTTTTGATGAAAAATGCCATTTTTGATGAAAAATGTAAGGTTAACCCCTTGTTATTTTTGATGAAAAATGCCATTTTTGATGAAAAATGTAAGGTTAACCCCTTGTTATTTTTGATGAAAAATGCCGTTTTTGATGCAAAATGTAAAGTTTACCCCTTGCAATTTTTGATGAAAAATGTAAGGTTAACCCCTTGCAATTTTTGATGAAAAATGCCATTTTTGATGAAAAATGTAAGGTTAACCGCTTGCAATTTTTGATGAAAAATGTCGAAAAATGTAAGGCTAACCCCTTGTTATTTTTGATGAAAAATGCCGTTTTTGATGCAAAATGTAAAGTTTACCCCTTGCAATTTTTGATGAAAAATGCCATTTTTGATGAAAAATGTAAGGTTAACCCCTTGCAATTTTTGATGAAAAATGCCATTTTTGATGAAAAATGTAAGGTTAACCCCTTGCAATTTTTGATGAAAAATGTAAGGTTAACCCCTTGCAATTTTCGATGAAAAATGCCATTTTTGATGAAAAATGTAAGGCTAACCCCTTGCAATTTTTGATGAAAAATGCCATTTTTGATGAAAAATGTAAGGTAAACCCCTTGTTATTTTCGATGAAAAATGCCATTTTTGATGAAAAATGTAAGGTTAACCGCTTGCAATTTTTGATGAAAAATGTCGAAAAATGTAAGGCTAACCCCTTGCAATTTTTGATGAAAAATGCCATTTTTGATGCAAAATGTAAGGTTAACCCCTTGTTATTTTTGATGAAAAATGCCATTTTTGATGAAAAATGTAAGGTTAACCCCTTGCAATTTTTGATGAAAAATGTAAGGTTAACCCCTTGCAATTTTTGATGAAAAATGCCGGTTTTTTTCATGAAAATTGCCGTTTTTGATGCAAAATGTAAGGTTAACCCCTTGTTATTTTCGATGAAAAATGCCATTTTTGATGCAAAATGTAAGGTTAACCCCTTGTTATTTTCGATGAAAAATGCCATTTTTAATGCAAAATGTAAGGTTAACCCCTTGCAATTTTGGATGAAAAAATGCTGTGTTTGATGAAAAATGTAAGGCTAACCCCTTGCAAATTTTGATGAAAAATGCCGTTTTTTTTCCATGAAAATTGCCGTTTTTGATGCAAAATGTAAGGTTAACCCCTTGCAATTTTTGATGAAAAATTTCAAAGGGACATTAACCTTGCATTTTTCATAAAATAACAAGGGTTTACGTACCATTTGACTTCATTTTGTCAACATTTTAACCCCACACGCCACTAAAGTAAATGAGATGTTTAAATCCTCAACTATACTTACAAATTTTAATTTTTTCATATAACAGGTTACAGCAACTCTGCAAAGTTTCATTCATCAATTACTATTTTCTTTTGTGCGTTCTCTCACATGGCTGTACACTACCAGCTTATGTCACATATAGGTATACACAACAGGTATACACAACAGGTATACACATGAATAAATATAAAATTACCACCTCGTGAGTTTTTTTTTCAAATTGTATAACCATTTGTGGGGTGTACAAATGTAATACTGCTTGCAAAAATTCAAAATTAAAATCCTGTCGTCTTTTTTTTGTTTTGCATAAATTGAATTCAAAATAGTCACAAAATACTAAAAATAAAAACAAACTTCCTCAAAGATTTTGAAAAACTTATCCACAAAGTTACCTTCAATATCACAAACACTATGTAAAACACCAAGTCTCTAAATATTCTGAACATCAACTGATAGTTTGACGTAACACAATATTGAAGACATTGAAGAAGACATGAGTACGGCAGCAACTCAGAATTCAAAATTCCACTGGAAATACTGCTTGATTAGATTGATTAGAAAACACTGTTTTCAACTGAACAGAGCCAGGGAAATGTTACTCCTTTTTTGCTGGATTTGTTAGAGAATCTGACCTGATTACGAATGAACTGTATTCTGCCCCAAAACATCAGGAAAATTCCAGGTTTTGACATGCTGCATTTAAAGCAAATCCGTATGGAGTTGAACACCTTAATCACAAATCTATGATTACTCAAGTATATCGTTTACACAAGTAGTCTGAACCTTCATTTGCATGGTTAACTCAATCTTAACCAGTCTGTAAACCACTGCAATACAACATATGAACACAGAGTTATTTTACCACAAAGAGAAACTCATTATACAAGGGCTGATCTTTAGAGTTGCTACTAAATGAATATCGGACTCAACTGTTAGCCCTGCCTATTGCTGTACTGCCCGAAACCACTCCAGCACTCTATGGTTTTATTGATCCTTTAGTGAGTAAACAAAATGCACGGCAATATAGTACAAAGTGCTAATGGATTTCAAAGTCAAAGGGAAAAGCTAGTGCAGAGAATCCTAATGTTTGTATTATGCCGAGTGCATATTTCTCAACACACAAGTGAAGGCATCGTACTATTAATGCACCGAAAAATAAGAATGTGAAGATGACTGATATGTGAAGCACTTCTGTGTCAATACTTGAGTGCATTCCTCTCACAAAAACATTTGCAAAAGATAAATAAATTTGGGCACACTGGGACGGAAATGGTTGCACACACAATGAAGTCACAGCAAAGAAACCGTTTAGCACATTTCATGTTTACTTTAACCTATGAACTTTACTCAGGATATAAAATGTATGAAAGTCTCACACAGGCATTTGTATTAACGGCTATGCAATGCAAAGCATCTGTGTCCTAAACAAAGCCGCAGCCACTAAATACGCGATTCAGAAACAGATTCAGCAAGTCGTACAATTTTACATATATTTTTCTTTTAAAAAAGTTAAAGGAAGAGGTGAAAATGCATTCACAAATAAACAATACAGTACCTTGAAAGAAGAGTACATGTACTCCATGGCCCTCATAGGAATAATACAAATGGTGTTACTTCTATGTCCGACATCACAAACCCTTATTGAAGTAGACCCTATCAATACCTCCGCCCCTTTCTTTGATGGTTGCTTGGAGTTCTGGTTCTAACCGGCTGGATCCAATGGAGCTGTATCATACAAACAATCAAAAGAGGAATATGGCATCAATTAAAAAGTCACACAATGAGTTATTAACAGGGTAGTTAACAATCAGTACAGCCTTTGTACCAAGCAGCCCCTTCAACGAAATGCACACAAAGAATGTCTTGGGAATATTGCATTGCAAAATGGCATGACTAACAAATCTGCAACACACTGGCGCATGCTCTTTGACAGAAACAAAAAAGCTGTTCTGAAAAACGTTAGTCACATACACGTACACATGCAATTGATGGCACTAGGCGTTGACCACAGGTCGATCACACGGTTCGGTAGAATCAAGGCCACGTTCAAATTGATCTATTGATCAGGCCCAGTTTCTTTGCTGCACAATTTTTTTACAGGCTTGCTTGCAAGCTGTATGATACATGCGTGGCTTCAAAAGCTGCAGTGGGCCAAAAGTGCAGAAACCAGGCATGCTCGTGTCACACACGCATGTGCACACTCAAATCTGCTCGGGAAATCCCAAGCAGAAATGTCAAGTTCCCAAGACGTTCTCTGCGGCCTGTTGGCATGTGTGTAAAGGGCCCTCGCTTCAATAAATCCCTGCATAGTCCAAAACCCTGTGAGCGCTAATACATCGCGCCTCTAAGGACGTTATGGATTTAAGACTAACCAACTATGAGTAAATCAACTCAGTGCATGGAGGAATGGAGATCTCAAACATCACTCACCTTTTCTGAGGGAAGAGAGCACAGCACATGGGTGTTGCAAAAACCAGTCTGAAGAGGTAACATCAAAGAATTACAATTAGCTTTAACATTTATTTAAAAACGTTCAATATTCACACCCAAAAAGCGTCCTTCCCTTGTACCATACCTTGTAATGACTCCCTACAATGGAAACTGTACAATTATTTCGATTTTAATTTTACCAAGAAAACAAGGCAAGATGTAAATGGCAAGAACCATAAAGTACAATGTGTTGGATGGCAACAGGTTCTAATAACATTGCAGTGATTTAAGTATATAGATTAAGAAGTTGTAGTTGTACCCAAGTGTTTAAAAGCTGATTTTCAATCACCTTGTATGCTCCTGGTACTTATAGACAACCACATTGCTCAACCAAGCTTGATCAATACTCACGTCAGACCAACTAGAAGGACTTGTATGGGTGCATTCATGACTGGGTATCGCTTCAAGAAAGAACCTTGCTCCATTTTATGGATGATAATTGGTGGTAAACCTACAACAAACATAAAACAGCAAAAAATAATCTTGGTGAATGATGATTGACGTTCTAAACTCTCCTTTAGCGAAAGCATTGGACAAAGCAAAGATTTACAAAATAAAGAAACCAACATACATACAATGGGAGTAATGGAACATAGACTTGCATCAGTCTACTTACTCATGCCAGGTAAAGCCATGCATATCCTGGAGAAGACAACTTGTGTAATTGCTTTACGCGCTGCAATCTTGGAATCTCCAATCCTGTTACCGTCTTTGTCAAATACTGGGATGCCGTTCTGTAATTCCTGTTTCCTCATCATTGGGATGTTGATGCAGTTGGCTGCTGCGACGGCAACGAAAGGAACAAACCGACCAACAATCGCTGGAGCTTTCTGGAGAATTTAAAGAAGGGAATCAATAGTTAGATTAATCAATTGATCAAGTAAACTGGCTAAACTGCCATAGTTGTAGTCAAGTTAACTTAAGTCAGGCCACAACTGACAACGGATGAAAAAAGACAAAGGATTGACTTTGTCGAAATGGTTTCAATATATTAGCTTATGACTTTTGAAGACACAGTGCCATCCATTAAATCGTCACCGACACCAGGAAGTAACACTCCACGTGTTAAACCATATTTTTTTATTTTCAGTTTTTCACATTTTTAAACATTATTCATCAAGGCCTACCATTACACAAAGTTTCAAAGCTTCAAGAGCTTTACTTTAATAATTACGCTTATTATCCATGGCAACATTTGCGCAAAAGTGACAATTTTCGTTTTCACGAAGTAACACTCAAGTTCCATTTACCATTGTAATGCATGGCGCGCACTCTGCTCAAATGCGAGAAAAATCGTTTTCATGAAGTAACACTCTCCTTGTATGAGCGCACGCACTCTGACCTGAAGTAGCACTCTCCTAGTGTTGCTACTTCGTGAAAACAAACTTTACAGTTTTGCAGCTTTTTCGGTTCCACGAACTAGCACTAACCTTTTTTCTCTTATTTCTTGTTGATTTATTATAGAAACGGGCAAAAAACAGCAAATTTAATCAATTCAATACATCAAGTGTCCACAACGAGAAACCCCACTGAAAATACTCTGACGTTTTGACACAAAGTGTTGTTTTAGAAGGCGTTCAACTTAAGATGCCGTTTTCTCCGATTGCTAGTTTTTACTGGCATGTACATGGGTGTTACTTCGTGGTGTCGCTGACGAAATGTTTGACATTTACAAACACTAAGACTCATCTTTCTGTTAATGGTATTTGATGAGAATTGTGAATTAAATACATGGAGTATGGAATGCAAAAGCAACAAGCTTAAAATTATTATCAATAATTTTTTTAACGAAGCTATTTCTTGAATGATTTGAGGTAAAGGAGGGAGTCATCTGACAAACGATAGGCTTACCTTAACTACACTGTTTAAACCTACAGCTGTTGTGACTGCACCAGTGGTTGCTAGTGTGTATGATAGACCAAGTTGGCTAAAACATGAACATGAAAAACAACATTTAATGTGTTGCTTGTGAAACAAAAATAACAGGTATGGACAGGTTTAGTTCAATAGAATTTGATGGACCCTGATGGGATTAAGGAGGATAAAAAGGTGGCACCAAGTTTTAAAAAATTGGAGTGATATGGTATTGATTGAAATGAAGAACAATGATGTTGGAAATGTTATGACAGGGCTGGTGGCTTTGTGTGATCATTAAATATTCAAATCGATTTGAAAAATAAAAATATCTGAATTGAATACTAAAGTTGTCTAATATTATAAGGTAGACAAATATGAGCTTAAATTTAATCGTGAGACAATTTAATTAACAAATATCTGTGAAGGGAAGATTGCTTTCTGGAGTAAAGATCAACATGTATGTCGGATTGAAGCCATTTATTGACACATACATACCTGTTTGATATCGGTGAGTCACCACTTCTGTTGGTGTAATTAACGACTGCATTGAAGGATTGATTGAACCACTGCCAAAATAAGACTGCTGGTGTGGTTCTGAAAAAAAAAAAACCATAATAAATAACAAAAATGTACCACATAGAAAAAAAATTTACAGGCAAGGCAAGAACCTAACATGAATATACTTACTTTTCTTCATAATACGAAAAACAACAATGTATTAATGTAAACATTATTTTAAAGTGTGCAAACATTCTTGTCGTTCTTTGTTTTGTGTGTAAAAGTAATAATATTAAGGCTGGACTTCAGAAAAATAACTATGAAGTAAAATATTACAGGGAAATAAAAGCATAAATTTTGTTTTAATGAGAAGGAGCAGTTCATATGTTTGTCTTTTTTATATCTTTTTGTATTTACTTTCTACCTTGTTCCAAGTTTAACTGTAATTATTTTGATGAATAGTTTTTGATAATATGTAACTTGAATGAAGGAACAATGTCTTATAGTTACATGTATTAGGTACAACATAATTTGATTGATTTGTTCTTGAAGAAAGAAAGATCAATCTAACCTGTAGAATGTCAGCATGCATCCAGTAATGGTCATATTCATAGGAACCTGTGCTGACATCCTGCCTATTAACATCATCTTCTCCTTCGTGTCTGGATGAAACGCTGAGTCATAGCGATACTTAGCTTGCCATAGTTGGGCTTCCGTAGCATTCGGCAATTGACCGCGTCTTAACCATGGAAAAAGAATTGATGATGAAGATGTTTATATGAGAACACACCACATTTCACATATTGCCTTGTATGCCTTTTTTGCTGTCACTGAATTTCACATTAATAAATCCTTTCCATATCTTTTCACATAAAATGTACTTTAAATACAAGCTGTTATGACATAATTAAGTGTCTCTTAATAATGAAAGGTTTGCGGAAACACCATGTGCGAATAATTTCTCAACTAAGAGAATGGTCCTGAAAAGAACCTGAGGTAGGTGTCTCTTGAGTTCAGTAATCTTCCTTCTTTCCTTGCATACGGATCACGCCATACAGCAACATTCAATAGTGTTCTGCTTGTCTGCTAGTCAGTCTTTTTCTTGCATCATCTGTCATCAAAGTTTTACTTATTTTGTATTTCATCTATATTCTCATTCTTTACTAGCCCCACAAATGTGGCTGAAGTACTGGACTTCCTCCGTACTAGTAAGCCACACAACCTTGATACACTATGTCACTGATGCAATTTGGCAAAGTTGACGTATGCTTATTGGAAAGCACGGGTATCATGACCCTTGACCTCAACCAGATTACAGGAATATGGATGCTACGGTTTTTTTCTGCCCGAAAGCCGTCCGACTTTTGACCAATATTACAGGATAACTAGACCTCTGAATATACAGAATTCAAAGTTTTTTTAACTTGGGTGATTTTCAAGTGACGGCCATATCCACATACATAGTAAATCATGGTTGTGCGGTTTACTAGTACAGAGGAAGTCTACTTAAGCCACATTTATAGGGCTCATTCTTTACTTACTTGTAAGCTTCAACGGTGTTCTTTGCCTCGTCAAGTTCAAGATTTGTCAGAAATACATTCAGAGGATTTGTGACAGTAAAGAAATGTTTGGCTCGTCCAAGGTACGTGGACTGGTCCCACTTTGGTTCATTTAGGTTCAGCTTAAGTGCAGTGGCGTCTGTCATTTTTAGTTGTCAGCCTCGCTGGTATGGCTTTGGAAAGTAAACAAAACATAACAAGTGAACTTAAGGTATGATTGCCCATAGAATGTAGTGCAGTGTGTTCATGCACACTGCAGTCTGAATAACTTTACTGGTGTCTTCTCTTCTTCATGAAAAAACCTTTAATGGTTTACAATATGATAAAAATAAATCATAACTTGCAAAAAAGGAAATACATAACTTGGAAAAGAAATACATAACTTGGCATGGAAATATACAACTTGGCAAAGAACCAATTTGCTTGTCTATTCAGTTTGCCAATTGTGATTAACATGAATTGAGGAAGTTCATTCAAGGGTACCACAATGTATGAATCATTCTTGTGAATGCCACAGACCTTATTGTGCATATCAGTTGAGCAATTAGGAAAGAAAACAAGTCAGGCAAGGACATTGCATTTTATCTATTAAAAATATTGTTCAAGATAAGCTAAACTTGGTATGGACTAGACCCGCTTACCATGGCATCAGAACTCCTTTTTTTCGAATTGTTTTATTCGGTCTGTCGTCTTAGCGCCCCAGTTAGTGGGTCTAGGTATGGATTTGGTTGCTAAAGTCAAATTATGTGTACCAGGCGCGGACCCAGAGGGGAGTTTTAGGGGTCGGAAAAAAAACCTGCTCTGACACACACACACACAGAACTTTTTTCTACAGCACTTTCAATTGGTCTTTCTGGTCTTACAGTTCTGGAAGTGGGGTTTGTGCACAGGGTGACAAGTGATGGCCAGATATGGGAATCATTCCGGTACTTAAGTAAAATTGGCCTAATTTATTTATGGGGCTAATCTTCCCGTATATAAGATCTTTGCCGGAAAGAATTCCATATACGTACGCCACTTGACACCCTGTGTACAAACCCTATGATACTGGTCTGAAAAATTCTAAATGTTTTCCAACTAAAAAGTAAATGCTTCAAATTATTTTCCCTGCTAAATTTCACTATTTAGGACATGTTAATTGTTATCCCTCTCTGATGATGAAGGAATCATTGCAGGAAAAAACTAGTGGCGTCCATATATGGAATTTTTCCTAAAGTAAAAGAAACACTTTGGAAAGATTCCCATATCTGGTCATCACTTGTCACCCTGTGCACAAACCTTATGAGACTGGTTGGAAAATGTTTGTGTTTTCTCAGTAAATATTTCAATATTTCCCAGCTAAATTTGATTTTTTTTAAGGGCATATTATCATTTTCTGATGGCTAATAGATCACTGAAGGGAAAATTGGTGATGGCCAGATATGGGAATCTTTCCAACACTTTTAACAACTTATTTTTGACTCACGAGTCTGAATCAATAACATCAACAAATATCACAACTGGTCAACGACATGCACAACGTGAAAATCAAAGGTTCGTCATATTTTCCCCCCATATTTATGATTAAAGCCTATATTTATTCAGCATAAATCCTTCCGTTATTGTACACAAGTGTATACTTTGTTCTCTCAGTGACTTGATCAATGTCAGTGTTTACTTACCAATTTTCCGAAAAGAAATCAATTTTTTTCAAGCCAGACGTTTCGTTCGCCGGTCGAGAGCAAATACCGAACGCCCTCAACGACTCGACTACTACGTACGCGACGAGTGCCGATTGGTCAGGTTGGGAGGTGTGGCACTTAATATTCATACAAGTATCTGTCACAAGTTTTGATATTGATCACGAAACACGAACTTTAGTTAGTACAGAAAATATGCAAATCCTAAATGAGGATATGAGAAGGGCAAAGACATAAATTATATAATAAAAAAACCATCCCACTTTAACAGTTACCGTATATTGTGACTAGTTGATTTTCCACTGTGGAAATTGAAGGGAAAAACAGTAAATGTCAAACCTCAATGGAACAGGTTCAAAATTCGACCTAAGCAGAGTTTCGAGTTAAGCAGGCCGGGTTGTATATCATTGTTATACTACTGAAGGGAATAGATTCTTTGTTCGTCTTAACAGTTGTTTTGAGTTATCAGAGTTTGACTTATCAAGATTCCACTGTAGTATAGCTTAAAGAAGTAATTCAATCTGAGGATCAGGTCATTTAGTTGCCCATTTTACATTCAGGCATCACTTTGGATCCAACTTGATGTTCAGCTATAAACAACCAGCTTTTGTCTGAAGTAGTATTTTAATGAAAGTTTCTCCCTCCAACAAAACTCTCACTGTTTGCCAATGTTATAATGGTTTGATAGCATTCGTCATGGAATAATTCAATCAAAGAAATATAGTCATACAAGTAGGAATAAGAAATAATACAAAGAAAAGGCTCAGTTTATTTCACGATTGAGTAAAAAGTAGAAAAAATATAACTTCCAAAAATGAAAGAACACTTGATTAAGCAACCCAAGAACACTTCCAGCATTCTTTAACCCTAACTCTCTAGGAGGTGTGCAAAATAATATTAAAATTGGAGGATTCAGGACTGTTACGGCTATCTACTATAATAGAAAGTAAGCTCACAATTAAAACTTGCAGTTTATCAAACACATAAATTCAAACTCAAATATTCAGTTCTGTATTAATCTACAGAATGATAAGAGTATTACTACCCATTACACTAGAAATCTACAGAAAAATGGGTATTACTATTACTACCCTTCAGACAAAAACTCTTTGTTTTAAATATAGTCTCATCCCTTACATCAGTCTTTCAAATTCTCAGTAACTCTGGCCAAATCAACTCTTATAGTATTATTATTAGTTTATTACTACCCATCACACTAGAAATCTACAGAAAAATGGTTATTACTAGTACTACCCTTCGTACAAAAACTCTTTGTTTTAAAAATAGTCTCATCCCTTACATCAGTCTTTCAAATTCTCAGTAACTCTGGCCAAATCAACCCGTATAGTATTATTATTAAGGGAATAAATGTGTGCTCCGGAGGTTTTTATCACTCGTTTAATACCGCTTAGAGTCTGGGTGCTGATAATTACCCGAGCCGGAGGCGAGGGTAATTATCAGCACCCAGACTCTAAGCGGTATTAAACGAGTGATAAATACCGACTGAGCACATATTTATTCCCATTCATAAATACCTTATCCGTAGAAAAATTTCAAATAATTCGTTCAAAAAATCCCGATTTTGTTCAACAAGTTCACTTTATGCTTTTTGAAACATCCCTCTAGCAAAATAATGGAGTGTTCAGCTGGCGAGTAAGATGTAAACAACCCTTTTATGGAGATTGACGCGCGCGTAACATGTTCTGCGTGATGTCACGCAGAACGCACCTGGGGCGTTGCGTTTTGAATTTAGAACTATAAAATTCTGACTCGCTTGTAGTGTTGCGCATGCCTACGTGAGGATTGTGAACGTTCAACCAATGAAACGGTAAGAGGCACTGGATTTTTAGGAGTCCACATTTTATTGTGACACTGGAAAAGTGTTTAAGACCAGCTAGCCATGTCTTTATCATCCGTTTAATACCAGCCACGTGACGGGCTCTCGACCAATAGGAATACCTAAACTGTCTGAGGTATTTATGAATAGTATATTACTACCCATCACACTAGAAATCTACAGAAAAATGGGTATTACTAGTACTACCCTTCGTACAAAAACTCTGTTTTAAAAATAGTCTCATCCCTTACATCAGTCTTTCAAATTCTCAGTAACCCTGGCCAAATCAACCTGTATAGTATTATTATTAGTATATTACTACCCATCACACTAGAAATCTACAGAAAAATGGGTATTACTAGTACTACCCTTCGTACAAAAACTCTGTTTTAAAAATAGTCTCATCCCTTACATCAGTCTTTCAAATTCTCAGTAACCCTGGCCAAATCAACCCGTATAGTTTTCTTATTTTATTGCCGAACAGAAGAGACCAGATGTTCTTTTGCATTTTTGCTGTCATGTTTACCATTTATATTTAAATTTCAACTTCACTGTTGGCATTAATATTATGTATATAATATCGTCCACTTTAAAATGTATTACTTTTGTTAATAAAAATGATAATTTTTATATTTGTAACCATGTGCAATCTATAGCCGCAAGGATTGGATATTGGACACTATAAACCAGAATAATGATGTGGTGTATTGAAGTTACAGGTCAGTTATAACTGATCATGTTACACATGTAAGTACCTGGCACTGAGCTATCAATCTAAGATGCTGAAATTATGTCAAAATTATCAAACTGCGCTGATGCATAGTTAGGCATTCCCATGGCAACGAATCCATGACTGGGGATTGTCTTAGGATCTAGTGATGCAGTGAACACCGTCTTGCCTTGGACGAATCCTGTAGCTTTGCTGTCCTAGAGGCAACACAGAGAAAATAAAAATGAAAACAGTGACCATCTGTGTTCAATACAAATTCGTTTACCTCGTGCTCAAAACTGCAGTTTCAAATGTATTGTAATACTAAATCTTTTAAAACTGGAATATTGTAATTTTTTAATATTTTAATGACAACTGATCCGAGGTTCATGTCAATAAAACAAATAACAAATATTTTAATTATTATTTCATAACTTGGCCAATTCAAAATCGTTAATAATAACTATCAAAATATTACAATCAAACTCATCCAAATTTGAACCAATAATATACAACCATCTAATCAACACACACATAAAGCCGTTGCTAAACTGGGACATCCTGACCAACCAACGACAATTTCTTACCTGAATCAGAAGCCGCATGTTGAACCACATGTCACTCTTGACATCAACTTGACCGGAATTCAGCAGGAATCGGTGATCTGAATTGAAAAATATACATTAAATTGGTCACTTAATAACAATAATAAAGTGTTTTACAGTTATTACCCCTGAGACCAGTTTTCTACAGCAGCTCTAGACCAGCGCACTCTGGTCTCTACCTTCACAGATACCCATTTATACTCCTTGATGGAGAGAGGCAATTGTAGAAAAGTCTTGCCCAAGAACACAAGCACCATGCTCCCCATCAGGGTTTGACTCATGTACCACGGCACATGAGTCAAAACTGTAACCACTGACCACAGCGCTACAGCTTTGCCTTGACAGTAGATCATTGATAAGCCAGGTGCTTTTCTCAGCTGACTGAATTTGACTAGTCACTGTGCTTGCTAAAATTGTAATCAGACTGTTGGTGACTAGCCTGTGTATAAAGGCATGGTAGGGTAACAAGATTGATATTTTTGACTGTCTGTGACTGTTCAGACAGCAGGAGGGTTTAATCAATTACTTAATGATTACAAAGGTAAATAGTTAATACCCAAAATAGCTGAAAGGCTCTGTGATATATAACAATAAACTTACGTATGTCCGAGTAAACAGCAAATGTCCCATTGGAGTAAACAATAAAGAACAGTCCTGTTGCCACGACAACCTTACAGCCACCATCGTTGATACGTTGAGCAAGAAATGCACCGGTATTATCTCCAAGCTTGACATCAACAGAAACGTCGGCATTCTGCCTACAATGAATATAAACAGCAAGGTAGTTCTTACATTACAGTGTAACATATAGGGAGAATAAATAACAAATCATTATAAATAGAATAACCAAATATACCAAATGCCTACACAAGTACCATATTGGCAAACCAAACCTGTATGGATCGGCAAAAAATAGGCTAAAATGTTATGATGTGTCAGTCAGATGAACACTATAAAACCTCTTAGAGTTCCCTGAAATCTAATCCCCCTTAAATCCTGCCTCCTCTTATGATAACATGTCTTATATAAGTTGATAATAAGCAGGACAAGTTCTTCTCAGAACTAATATCTTCTAAGCAGTAGTTATTAACACATGGTGTTACCGCAAAACCGAAACGATGTCTTATATTCCTCCCATCTGCAATCTGGTCTAGCTGTACCGATTCTTGATCATAAAACACAAACTAAGGACAAAGAAAAAACAGACAGGCATACCAACTACAGACGATAAGATCAAATCCATTTACCAGGAGTAGTTGCCAATGACAGAGATAGGAGACTCAGCCGCTGGACACCAATGGACTGGTGACTCAAGGACAACCTGTTCCATCACCAATTTATGAGTCGGGTCACCAGACTCTCGAATCTCCCAAACACCGGCCTGGTCAGCAAAGTTACTAGCTTCACTGAATTCTGGGTAATCTGGAAAACAACAAATGAACTGAATGGTAAAGGTCTATCATATAAAACTTAACTGACTATTGTTGACAATTTGCTGCTGATAACTTGAAAGCAAAAATATGAAAAGAAGAAAATGAACTGCTATTTAGAGAAAAAACATACAGAAAGAGAGAAATGCAGCTACAAAGGCACAGCACACAGAATTTAACTGCTTCAACCTAAATACTACTACAGATTCGAAGCCTTATCAAGAAGTGAACTTTGTTAGGAGTTAGGTTAGGCTGCATAGATGATATAATTGAAAACAACTCACTGTCAAAGTTATCTGAGTAAGGTACAGGGAAGGGGGCAGATGGCGGGGGTGTAGGGTAGTTCCCCTTATAACCCCTCTCAGTGGTTGTCAGGGTGTAGACCTCATCAGGATTCAGACTTAAGGTGAAACTGCCATTCACAACCTTAAAAAATTAAGCAAGAGGCAAAATATTCAAATCCAGCATTAAAAAAAAACAGAGAAAATCAACATGTTTAACCAACTAGGCTTGACAAGTCAAGCAAGTCCTAAATTTAGGACATTTGATATACTCTGTGACTCAGTCGGGGAGCCAGACAGTCAGTCAGTCAGTCAGAGGACAATTGGCCCACCCTTCAGGTCCAGCCAAAAAACAGTAGTTTCAAACCAACAAATTTGTTTTTGCCAAGCAATATCAAAAATCTCATGCAGAAAAAAATGATTTTAAGTCTCAACCTTACATCAGATATTTTAGACAAATATTTCAGACATCAATAGCTTACCTTAATTGGATTCTTCTTGACAAATATTGTTGATGACTGGCCATTGAACGTAAGCTTGGAATACCACACATTGAGACTGCTAACTTTGGCCTGAAAAGGTAGAAGAAAATAAGAATACAGAATGCAGACCCAATTTTGCATTGGATCAGAAATACAATTTTTGAGAAATAAATAAAAACTGTTGCAAACTTCTGACGTATTAGATCAAACTGAAATGTAAAATTATAAAATTTAGGGAGCATAATGTTTAGATTGTAGACAGATCTTTCTTTTTCAAAGTTCCTGTCACGATAAAAACATCAGGACCTCCAACTTGATTGTTTGTAGATAATGTGTCATCACAAATGTTAACTGAATTCATATTTTGCTATTGTTCTAATAAGGACAACATTTTACTCACAAAACTGCCTTGGAGAGTAAACTTGGCTGTCTGGGCTGCCACACTGTAAGGTGGTAAGTAGGGCCAGGTACACTTTGAGTGATCATAGCTCTGCAAAGAATACAAGTTGTGAATAAAATTGTATTGTTTATTACAAGTTTTTTTCTTGCTTGGAACTGTTTCCTTGATTCTTTTTACACTTCAAAAATGACATATCTTTAATATCTTTTAATATGAAGAGGGTCCGAAAACAGAATATTATTACACAATTTTTCTACAAACCAAAATTAAAATGAAACTTCAAATTAACTTCAGCATCCTGTCTTTCTGCATTTTTAATATGAAGGAAAGTGAACTGTGACCTTTCACATGAAAGCAGTTTAGCAAACAATCTTTCTACAACAGGTCTTTCACACTTGAATAAAATTCAAAATAGTTTCTGTTTTATTCTGTGACAGTTGAATAGATTAATTCTTTAGTGTGTACATACCATAGTCTCTATAATTATGGTCAAATTAACACCGTCTGTCATGGATACAAAGCTTCCTCCTTTGTCAAGACGCTGCACTCCAGACTTGTGCTTCAAATACATCCATCCCGGATCAGTAAACTGAGTGGTATGAGCTGAACAAAAATATACAGTCAATCAGACAATTACGTGTAGCTGATTCAGAATCTGTGTCTAGGGCTACAGATGTTCACGGTAGTGTGTCAATCTTTGCCATGATGAAGTCTACATGGTGAAGTTAGCAATACGAGTAAGTTTGAGGGAGAACTACGTATGTCTGGGGGTTTGCATGGTTCTGTTAAGATCCAGGAAACTCAACATGTTGTACAGAAAGAACACTCAATAAATAACTAATTCCTAATGTGGTCTTACAACTTAGGTTATTGATACCAGCTTTATAACTGATCAGCCTTCATAAGTCCATCATGTTAACGGCAAACTCTCTAGACGTCTTACGGAGCGCCCTCATTACATACCCGATATCCAGATTGTATCAGTGACCTCAAAGTGCGAACTCCATGGCTCGTTGGCTGTCATAAGTCCGGCACGTGCATATTTCAAAGCGTCGTAGTAAGATGCGATCAGGTTCCAGGAGATTGTAGAAGTCATCATTCCATTCACGTAGTTCTGGTTCAAGGTCTGCAGATTGCAAGTCAGGAATTCCAATCAATTTGCAATGAGCGATACAGGTGCAGTGCCAACAAATTTTCCTTTCAACCAGTTCTTCTGAGAGCTACACAAACTCACAAAAGAGATTTCTTTCACATGGTGCAACAACAAACTTCCTCTAATGACACAAATTATATCAACAATCAATTTTTTTGTGGTTTATTGAACCAACAATGATAGTGTGCTTGCTTGTATACAATAATATAACTTTAAAAAAACCTACACATATTCATTAAAAAAAAATAAAAGACAAAAACCCACCACTTTCACTTACCCTGGCCCAACATCCTGCCCCAACTTCATTATTGTGCGTGTTGTAATCTTCCGATGCCCAGATGGTCTTGCCAGTTTCCAACGTGTAGTTGGTGACATGAGTTCCGGGGTAATGCAACCTGTATGAAGTTTTACATTTGTTTTCATTACAATTATGCAATTTAGAGTGCATCAACAAATTATGGTGCATAATTTTGAAAATGTCAGTTCATGATGGCCTCATAATCTTTAGTTTAGATGTAATTTATTAGCTATTTGATCATTGTCCTCCACAATAGAAAGTTCTAATCTTTGAAAATATGCATGTCTAAACACAGATGGTGCTTAATACATGGTGCAGTGACATTTCAAAATCTTTACCGGTATTGATAATGTTTAAGTGCTTCAAGCAAACAACTTTGTAAACACAATCATAACACGTTAATTACAACCTGAGTTTAGCAAGTTTAGAGTAACAGGAGTGATTAGTCCATTGACTATTGAAGTTAGAGTGTCATGATTACAGCAGAATGGTAGGTGCGTGGGTTTTAAGGAAACACAGGAGATCAAAGGAGTATGAGTAGAAAATATGAAAGAAAATAATAAATGAACCTCAGCCACCGAACAGTTGCAGTCCAATTGATTGATGAAATAGGGAATACATGTGTTTGAATCATACCCAATAATAGCCACATCTTTGGCAATATCTGGGTCGTTGTGTATCGCGATACTGATGAATTCAAGATTGTCAGCTGCTACAATTAGCATCTCAGAAAGACCTTTCTAATCCAGTGTTTTTCGGAGGACTTTCGTGTATTCAACATCAAAGGGTCGTTCATTCCATATCAGATAATAAAAGAAGGAAAGTCACCCAGAAGCTATCCAAAATAAGCTTTTTGTTTGCCATGAAGGTGTGGCACATCCAAAAACATATGACAAAGTTTGAAACAAGCCAAAATACAGCTTCTCTCACTAGAACCACATATTGGGCATGTTTTCAAAGCAAGGAGGTCCAAAGATTGACAGTGCTCTCAGTCATTTTCCCTAATGACTGCAATAAAGGGTCATCACATCAAATTGGCACCAGACAATTTGTAGCAAAATCAAGTTGGCTGCAAGTTAGTTAAATTAACTGTTAGCAAATATGAGTTGCATTTCACTAACAGAACAAAGACTGTCTAATGTTCTGAACCCATGCATTCTGAGATTATGCAATAGAAAAGTAGTTGTGTATCATATCTCCTGACGACTAGTGTAGAGTATACCGTCCGAAATGTTGACTTTCCCCCAGGTTTTTTTTCAGAACCTAACAAACTCACAAAAGAGATTTGTCAAGTGGCGCAAACGCAAATCTTTATGCCATTGCTATCTTCACCATGCAAACGTTCAAAGTTTATCATGAGCACTGTATTCTTAATGAAATGCACTCAGTTGTTTATGTCTGCAAAACAAGAAAAATGAAATATCACCAAAGCAAGGAAGAGGAAAAGATCAACTCAAGCCTCCTACCCTATAATCTGAACAGCTGCAGCCAATGCTTTATCCATCAAGATATCACGACTGATTGCTAATTTTCCATCAGCAGCAACCACTGCTATATGGCTGAGGCCAGCTTTGTTTAGAGAGGATCTCAAGGTCTTGATGTATGTAGAGTTATATGGCCTTTCATTCCAAATCTAGAATTGGGAATATTGAGTTCTTCAATAAATATGGACCAATTTGTACTCTTGACTTTAAGCATCAAGTCACATACGAGTTGATAAACAAATTGAAAAACGACAACAAATTGGTGAAAATCAAAACTCAGGCAAGCAGCAGCAACATTACCCTAAGTAATCCGATATAAGAAGCATATTGTGCTTCCATTCATTCCAATTCTATCATTGGAAGAAAATAAATTCTTGAGAATCAAAACTTTTAAAAATGTTGGAAAAAAATTAATAAATACACAATTTGAACTCATTTCATTCCACACTATATCTTGGCTCTTCATTTTTGTGGAAAAGTTGTAAAATTGATTTTACTTACCCCAATATAATCAATGGTTAAATTGTGGTGAGTTTTTGCTCCTTGTATCCATTTGATGATGTAGTCAACAGTGACATCGATATTGACATAGGGACTTTGTTGGCCATTCCCAATCCAGCCGGGGAAAGCCCAAGGAAGGCCATACAGCTTGATGCTTGGATTGCGCTGCAGAAAGATGCAACATGAAACAGTAGTGGCTAAAAAAAAACAACCAAAAGGGGAGGGGCCAGGGAAGAGACTGGGGGGGGGGGGGGGGAGGGGCGGACACCACTCCCTGCTAGAGCCAAATGAACCCCAGCCACCCCCTCCCCCTTTGGCCTGATTCGTTCCCCACCCCCCTTTCCCTGCACTTACAAAACAGATTCAGATGGTGTACATTTTGAACATCAATCAAAAACCTCATAGGTGCTATATACAGCTGCCCCCCCCCCAAAAAAAATGTGTAAGAACACCCCAAAACAAGTCTCTCTTTTACCTTTTTAGCCTCCTTCATCAGCCACCATTCATATCCTCTCTGATAATTCTCATCGTTAGCTGAATGCATATGCGATGACTCAGTTCCGTCAGTGCTTTGTGAGTCTCCACCAATCTCAACCTTTAAGATGTGAAGTGATGCTCCAAAATTTGGCTGTTAACGGGCAAAATCAGAACTACATCAATTAGTTTTTTTTTTTTATTAAACTTCATTTCGTGCAATTTTCTTCTCCACAAAACAATTGATTGACAATTATGTCTGGGAAACACAGTTTTGTGGTTAAGTTTTTCATATCAATTGTGCAGCCAAAACAGTTATAAATCAGTTACAGTGTATAGCAAATAAACTGTTATTCCTTGGAAAAGGTCAAATTTCAGAGCCGTTTACCTTGAAGAGATAATCCAGGATCTGATCCAGATACGGCTCAGGATAATTCACCAATAACCTGGACGTAGCCTGGACAAAAACAAGTTCATCTTCAAAATTAGTGGATGTTAAGGCTTGAAATGACAATTTATGGTAGGGTACCAATAGGTACTACTTTACTTACAATCCAGATGAAAAGGGAAATTTCCAGTTAACTTCCGAGAGCTCACTGCTCATGGAAATGTTAAACTTCCAACTCATTTGAAAGACACATTGGGTCGTACCCAGTGTTTGTTAATGGTCCCGAGTGTGATTCTGTTATTGTTAACTTAAGTTTTGACTAAAACAGTCGTCAGGTGTGCGCTTCAGCACCAGTTGACGAGGTTCTGTGTGTTTTCTTGTGGGTCTCTTGTGACCACACTGTCACACCTAGGTTATGTGAATTCCTGATGAGCTTGTTAAGCTGGAGTTACTCAAGCTAGTTTTGAAGGTGAAATCTGATGTTTTTGTTGGCAATGATGGGTTTTTGGGTCAACGGTAGCTTGAGTAACTCCAGCTTTAATCCTTATCTTATGCGATAAGCATTAGAGCTGGAGTTACTCAAGCTAGGTCAACAGCAGAATTGTGTCACGTGATGGCAGCACCATTGCTTGGATCCTACTATCGCCAGACCACGTCCGAATGTTATTAAATAGGCGACAAGTTGGGTCCCAGTTACTCGGACTGTATGGGCTGGGGTCATTAAATGATTTATCATGAGAATGTAATGACTGTTGAACCTGACTGTTTATCAATATCTAGCATTATTACACCATTTTTAATTTGTTTGCAAATATGGTTGAATTATACATGTACATTAAATTGAAGCTCTGGACGGGAGGAAGACAATGGCGCAAAAATAAATGCCATAGGTGCTTCCTTTCAGGAGTTATGCCCTCCCAAAGACACCATACTCGTGACTCTTCTGGTCGTCATTTGTGTCAACGTGATTGTTTTCTTAGAAATGAGCATAGGCCCTACTGTTTATTTTAAGTTCCCATTTAGTCAAACTTGACATCAAATTAAAGCTCTTGATGTGAGAAAGACAATAGTGCAAACGATATTGCCGTAAGTACTTTCCATCAGGAATTATGCCCTCCTGAAGACACCATACTCCATGAATTCGTCTGGTTGTCATTTCAGTCAACATGATATTTTAGCTTCAAATATAGTCAAACTTAAAATCATATTAAAGCTCTGGTGTAAACGATATTGCCATAGGTGCTTTTGTTAAGGAGTTATGCCCTCCCGAACACACCGTACTCCTGTAACTCTTCTGGGCATCATTTAAGTCAACATGACTGTTTACTTAGAAATGAGCACACTGGGTTTTTTTAAGTTCAAATTAAGTCAATGTTTACATTAAATTAAGATAGTGGATATTTTGCCGGAGGTAATGACGGCAAACTAACGTTTACTAAAGGTTTGCCGGCGGCAATCCATATCAACAGAGGGCGCTGTACTCTTTAAGATAGGGCTGAATTATAAGATGTATTAAATTCTCACCAAAAGTTGTGTAGCACGTTTAGTGTAGTGGTTAAGCAAAGGCTCTAGTAAGCGGGATGACTCAGGTTCAATTCCGACCGCAGCACATTTTTAAGGTTTTTTTTCTCATCCCCAAATAAATAAGAATATTCTTCTTTTATTATTTTAACATGTCTCAAACATTTTTTTGCAGAGTATTACATTTTCTTTTTCAGATTTGTGGCTCTGGAGGATTTTTTTTAAAAGGGAAATAAAGTCCGAAATTATAAAATGGTCTGAATCCCATCTTGTGAATACGAGGTTACAACGATAATTTTGGCATGGAGCCAGACTAAAATTTGTCACCGGAAAATGTTTAAGTACAAAAAAACAGTAACTGCGCATGTTCAGTGCATATCCGGCAAACTAACGTTTACTAAAGGTTTGCCGTCTCTGGCAAAATATACACTGCCTTAAATTAAACCTCTTGATGTGCAAAATACACTAGTAGTACTAGTATAAAAAAATCTCAAATTTATTTCCATTCTCTGTTATTAAACCGCTCTAATCCACCCCACTTCCACACCCCAGTATCAGTTTCACCCCATAGGCCCATCCCACCGGTACCCCAACACAACCCACGAGTTAAACACAATATCAAGTTTACTGGTTTGGTTAGGTTATCATGGTTATGGGGCTAGGAAATCTGCAAATTTTAAGCACTTACTCCTCCACCACTGAGTCCGCCAATTCCATCAAACCGCCTTCCAAGCCCTGGTACATCACTTATCACGTATTGAGAGGCTACAGAATAGCTACCAATCAACTGCAACACGAATAAAATGTGAAAAACCTCTGCGATAAAATACGACATTGTCGGCTCCTCTCGATCTCAATGTTTAATGATCTGGTGCCCTAAAATTGTTGAATCGGTACAACTACCACACCACTAGACACCAGACATACCAGGCGCCCAAAACATATGAGGCAAGATATGAGGCACAACTTTTGACCACATATCTTTTATATTTCGTACTTGCTGCTATTACAAAAAAAATCGCGCGAGAGCCGACATGTTCCTTATCGAGTGCTGATTGGTCAGTTTGGGAGGTGTGGCACTTAATATTCATAAATCTGTCACAAGTTTTTATATTGATCACGAAATTACAAATAAATGCCCGTGAACTAACTTTAGTTATTACAGCAAATAGGCCAGGCCTGACAAATAAAGAAATAAATTATTATATTATTTAAAAAAAAAAAAAAGGATAAAAAGAACTCCACTTTCTTGAAAAATCATGAACAAATGAATGTTGCATAGATTATTTTATTTTCCTCATCTTAACGGCACTTTACATTTGTTATGTCAAGAGTTAAATCATAATTTGTGGTTGAAATAGCTGAAGAAGTAATTCAATCCGATAACCAGGTCATTTATTTGGCCATTTTACATTCAGGCATCACTGTGGGAAGTTGATGTTCAGCTAATAAACCAGCTTTTGTCTGAAGTAGTATTCTCATGAAAGATTCTCCCTCCCACAAAACTCTCACTGTTTGCCAAACCAAGGTTATAATGGTTTGATAGCATTCATCATGGAATAACTCTCAAAGAAATGTATTCATACAAGTAGGAATAGGAAATATGACAATGCAAAGGCTCATTTTATTTCACTTCTAAAAATGAAAGAAAACTTGATTAAGCAGCTGGGAACACTTCCAGCATTCTGTAAGTACACAATTAAGTAAATTTTAACTTAAATACATGTACTCAGTTCTGTAGAAATATGTGGAAAATATAAAAGAGTATTACTACTCTTCAGACTAGAAATCTACGGCATATTAAGAGTATTACTACCCTTCGGACTACTCTACAGAATAATAAAAGTATTACTATCCTTCCGAAAAAAACAACTAGTTTTAATAATACAATGTAGTACCATCCAGTACATCAGTTTTTCAAATTCTCAGTAACACTAGCCAAATCAACCTGTATATTATGTTTTAGAGTGGTTTATTTATTGTGTCAATGGTAGAAACCAGATGATCATTTGCCATTTTTACCATCATGATGTTTACCATTTATATTTAAACTTCAACTTTACTGTTGACGTTAATAATATGTATTATGTCCACTTTTAAATGTATTTTTTTTGTTAGTATACATGTAAATGTTACCATGTGCAATTCAGCTGCAAGGATGCAATACATTGGATTTTGTAATACACCAAAATAATACATTGGTGTACTGAATTAATTCTTGGTTTTACGCCCCCCCCCCCACAAAAAAAAAGGGCAAAGAAGGACGTTACTCATCAAAAGTTTAATGTTACTGTTTCTTGTAGTAACACTTGCATCATATGCCTGCCTTCATAGGCTAAATGGTTTGTTTTTTAAGTTACAGGTCAGTAATAACTGATCATGTTACACATGTAAGTACCTGGCACTGAGCTATCAATCTAAGATGCTGAAATAATGTCGAAATTATCAAACTGCGCTGATGCATAGTTAGGCATTCCCATGGCAACGAATCCATGACTGGGGATTGTCTTAGGATCTAGTGATGCAGTGAACAGCGTCTTGCCTTGGACGAATCCTGTAGCTTTGTTGTCCTGGAGGCAACACAGAGAAAATAAAACAAATGAAAAACAGTCACAGTGACCATCTGTGTACCATCAATACGTATCATGATCAAAACTGCATTCTCAAATGCACTGTGTATTACTAAATCTTTTAAAACTGGAATGTTGTAATTATTTTAGTATTTTAATGACAACAGATCCGCGATCCATGTCAATAAAATAATGTAATACCAAATATTCTCATTCATTCATAAATTGGCCAATTCAAAATCTGACCTTATAATATGCAACCATCTAATCAACAGACCATAAAGCCGTTGCTTAACTTGGACATCCTGACCAACCACCGACAATTTCTTACCTGAATCAGAAGTTGCATTTTGAACCACATTCCACTCTTGACATCAACTTGACCGGAATTCAGAAGAAATTGGCGATCTGAATTGAAAAAAACAACATTAAATTGTTAACATGACAAAGATATCTTTTGTAGTATTTCCTTGTTTTGGGTGCTACAGTGAGTAATAGGCAGGGCTGTTTTTGGTATTACAATGACTAAAGGATTAAATCAATTACTTCATTATTCCAAAGGTAAAAAGTTACACCAAATTCAGTTGAAAGGCTCTGTGATATATAACAATGAACTTACGTATGTCTGAGTAAACAGCAAATGTCCCATTGGAGTAAACAATAAAGAACAGTCCCGTTGCCGCGACAACCTTACAGCCACCATGGTTGATACGTTGCGCAAGAAATGCACCGGTATTATCTCCCAGCTTGACGTCCATGGAAACGTTGGCGTTCTGCCTACAATGGAAATAAATAGCAAGGTAGTTCTAACATCACAGTGTAACATACATGGAGGAGAATACAGAATGATCAAATAAATCAAATGCCTACACTTGCAACACATTGGCAAACCAAAAAATATGTTGATTGGCAAAACAAAAAATGGCTAAATATTTTGGACGCACCAGTCAGATAAACACTACAAGCCTCTTAGGAGTTCCTGTGAGATCCATCCCCCCACCCCCGAAATAATCCACTGATAAAATGTCTTATTTTGCTCCCATCTGCAATCCAGTCTGTGCCGACTTGGTCACAAAACACAACCTAAGGACAAAGAAAACACAGACAGGCAGACCAACTAACAAACGATAAGACCAAATCCATTTACCAGGAGTAGTTGCCAATGACAGAGATAGGAGACTCAGCCGCTGGACACCAATAGACTGGTGACTCAAGGACAACCTGTTCCATCACCAATTTATGAGTCGGGTCACCAGACTCTCGAATCTCCCAAACACCGGCCTGGTCAGCAAAGTTACTAGCTTCGCTGAATTCTGGGTAATCTGGATGGATAGAATTCATTGGCAGAAAAACAAAACAATAATTGAATGTAGAGGGTATATTCATGTGGAATTTAACCTGATTATTGTTGAAAATTTGCTGTTGATAAATTGAAAGCAACAATATCATCGGCAGCACCACTAAGTGACATATCGTGTGCACAAAGTCCATCTACAGATGCACCCAACAATATGAAAGAAAAAAACTGGAGTGCAATTTTGACGAAAAGCACAGAAAGAGATAAAGGCGGCTACAAAGGCACAAACAAAGAATTTAAGTGATACAACCTTAATACCACAACAGGTTCAAAGCCTTTTTCAACAGAAGTGAACTTTGTTGGGAGCTATGGTTAGGTTGCATAGATGATATAATTGAAAACAAACTCACTGTCAAAGTTATCTGAGTAAGGTACAGGGAAGGGGGCAGATGGCGGGGGTGTAGGGTAGTTCCCCTTATAACCCCTCTCAGTGGTTGTCAGGGTGTAAACCTCATCAGGATTCAGACTTAAGGTGAAACTGCCATTCACAACCTGAAATTAAGCAAGAGGCGAAATGTTCAAATCCAGCATTAAATGAAAAGTCAGGCCAGTCGGTCAGGCTGAGCCAAAAAAAGTCATTTCAAACCAACAAAATTGTCTTTGCCAACCATTATCAAAATATTTGAGGCAGTAAGAATACGATTCTGTGGTCTTTACGTTAAGTCAGGAATTAGACAAACACCTCGGACATTGAAAGCCTACCTTAATTGGATTCTTCTTGGCAAACATTGTTGATGTCTGGCCACTGAATGTGAGCTTGGAATACCACACATTAAGACTGCTAACTTTGGCCTGAAAAAGTAAAAGAAAAAAAGAAAATAGAATACCGACCCATTTTGCATTTGTTTGGAGATACAATTATTGAAAAATAAACAAAAACTGTTGCAAACTTCTGACTTATTAGATTTACCTGAAATGTAAAACTATAAAATTTAGGGGGCCTAATGTGAAGATCGTAGATGGATCTTTTCTTTTTAAAGTTTCTGCTTAGATCAAAATGTCAAGACCTCCAACTTGATTGTTTGTAGATAATGTGTCATCACAAATGTGAACTGAACTTATATTTTGTTATTGTTCTAATAAAGATGACATTTTACTCACAAAACTGCCTTGGAGAGTAAACTTGGCTGTCTGGGGTGCCACATTGTAAGGTGGTAAGTAGGGGCGGATACACTTAGAATGATCATGAGTCTGTAAAAAAAATGTGAATTAAATGTTATTGTGTGTTACAAGGTTTTTTCTTCAGTGGAACTGTTTCCTTGAATTTTAGTACACTTAAAGCATGACATATCTTTAATATCTTGTAATATGAAGCTTGGCAAGAAAAGATTATATATTATTGCATAATTTCTCTTCATTCCACCTTTAAACTAAAACTTCAGAATCCTGCCTTCGGATGTCTTGAATAAGACAGAACGTGAAATGTGATTTTGTCATATGAAAGCAGTTTAAAGCAATCAATCGTTTCTACAAGTTCATACTTGAATAAAATTCAAAATAAGTTTCTGGGTTTTTTCTTAAATAGATTTTTTCTTAAGTGTCTACATACCATAGTCTCTATAATGATGGTCAAATTAACACCGTCCGTCATGGATACAAAGCTTCCTCCCTTGTCTAGATGCTGCACTCCAGACTTGTGCTTCAAATACATCCATCCCGGATCAGTAAACTGAGTGGTATGAGCTGAACAAAATATACAGTCGATTAGACAATTATGTGTAGACGATTCAGACTTTGTGTCTGTGGCTACAGATGTTCACGGTAGTGTGTCAATCATTGCAAAGCCGTAGTCAAATAAATACTGGATTACAACATATTTGACAGTCTGCATGATGAAGTTAGCAATGAGAGTAAGTTTGCAGTAGAACTATTTATGTCTGTGGGTTTGTGTGGTTCCGTTACAATCCAGGAAATAAAACATGTTGTATAGTAAGCTCTGCCTGATCATCAGAACTCTCAATAAATAACTGATTTAGAATGTGGTCTTACAAATTTTTACTACCAACTTCTTAACTGCGGGAGCGGAGGGATTTAGCCACAACGTTGAATGAAGAGGTTGTGATGAACTCGCAAGCTACGTCATGCTTAACAAAATCAAAATCAGACTCTGAAAGGTAACTATCATTTCTATGTCAACTTCGTAACTGATTGGTCTTCATCAGTCCATTATGTTTACGGCAAACTGAACATCTTACAGAGCGCCCTCATTACATACCCGTTATCCAGATTGTATCAGTGACCTCATAGTGCGAATTCCACGGCTCGTTGGCTGTCATAAGTCCGTCACGTGTATACGGCAAAGCGTCATAGTACGATGCTATCAGGTTCCAGGAGATTGTAGAAGTCATCATTCCATTCACGTAGTTCTGGTTCAAGATCTGCAGATAGCAAGTCAGGAATTCCAATCAATTTGGAATGAGCGATACAGGTGCAGTGCCAACAAATGGAGACTTTCAACCAGTTCTTTTGAGAACTACACAAACTTACAAAAGAGATTTCTTTCACATGGTGCACCAACAAACTTCCTCTGACACAACTTTACCAGATAAAATGATTAAATAAACCAACAAAGATGCTTGCATGCAACAAAATAAGTTAAAACAGCCTACACAGATTTATCACACACCAAAAAAACCATAACTGTCGCCTACCCTGGCCCAACATCCTGCTCCAACTTCATTATTGTTTGTGCTGTAATCTTCCGATGCCCAGATGGTCTTGCCAGTTTCCAACGTGTAGTTGGTGACTTGAGTCCCAGGATAATGCACCCTGTAGGAAGTACATTTTATTTTATTGCAATTATACAACTTAGAGTGCATCACAAATTTCAATTCATGATGTGTTTGATGATCTTTAGTTTTGGTATAATTTATTACCTATCTGCTCATTGTTCTCCACAATAGAAAGTTCTTATCTCTAACAAAAAATGCATGTCTAAACACTGATGGTGCTCATATGATGTAATGACATTGCTAAATATTTACCGTTATTGATAATGTTCAATTGCTTCAAGTTAACAACTTTGCTAATACCATCTTTAAAAGTTAATTACAATATAATTAGCTTGCTTAGGAATGATAAACTCATTTACAAGTGAAGTTAGAGTGTCATGGTGTACAGCAGAATGGTAGGTGCGCTGGTTTTAAGGAAGCACAGGAGATCAAAGGAGTATGATATGAACAGAAAATATGAAAGAAAATAATAAATGAACCTCAGCCACCAAACAGTTGCAGTCCAATTGATTGATGAAATAGGAAATACATGTGTTTGAATCATACCCAATAATAGCCACATCTTTGGCAATTTCTGGGTCGTTGTGTATCGCGATACTGATGAATTCAAGATTGTCAGCTGCTACAATTAGCGTCTCAGAAAGACCTTTCTTATCCAGCGTTTTTCGGAGAACTTTTATGTATTCAATATCAAAGGGTCGTTCGTTCCATATCTGATAACAGAAGAAGCAAAGTTACCGTATAAACAAACAAAAAAGTTTTATATGCCATGAATTTCAAGATGTGGCACATTCAAAACATTTGACAAAGTTTAAAAATATGCAAATACGTTCTCGCTCGAACCTTGGATTGGGCATCATGGTCCAAAGATTGACAGTCATATTGGGGAGGCCATTTTACAGTTACCGCAGACCTTTGACCTTTGTATCCCATGAATGGAGTTTTGATAGCCTGCCCTGAAATTTAACTACAATTGCCCCCCAAAAATGCAAATTCTAAGGCAACTTCACTGCAACAGGAACCTTCCAAGGAAAATGTTACTGGTTTTAAGTTAGAATGATGCATTAATTCGCGTGATAAGGAAGCATTAGTGCAGCCATCTTGGTCATGTTCCCTAATAACTGCTATAAAGGGCCATCAGATCCATTCGCTCTTTGCACGTTCCTCCATATGTAAGCATGCAGTGCCTCGATCTGGCAACTTTGCACGATAAAAATAGCCGGTTTAGTGATTCCCATGTATACACGCGAATAACTGAACCGGCGATATTTATTGTGTAAAGTTGCCCGATCGAGGCTCTGCATGCTCATGGCAGCTAGAAGCGTGCAAAGAGTGAATTGGCACCAGACCATTTTGTAGCAAAATTAAGTTGGCTGCAAGTTAGCTAATTGTTCGCAACATCTTAGTTACATTTCACTAATTGTTAAGACTGTCTTATATTCTGAACCCATTCTGAGACTGTGCAATAGAAAAGTGGTTGTGTATCATGTCTCTTGACGACAGGGAAGAGTATTCTGTCTGAAAATGTTGACTTTACCCGAATCTTTACAGAACCTCACAAACTCACAAAACAGATTTGTCAAGTGGCGCTAACACAAATCTTTATGCTATTGCTATCTTCCCCACACAAACCTTCAAATTTGATTATGAGCACTGTATTTTTAATGAAATGCACTCTGATGTTTAAATGTGCGCAAAGAAAAAGCACAGAGGTGGAAAGCAGATTTAGGATAGATGAACTCAAGCCTCCTACCCTATAATCTGAACAGCTGCAGCCAATGCTTTATCCATCAAGATATCCTGACTGATTGCTGATGTCCCATCAGCAGCAACCACTGCTATATGGCTGAGGCCAGCTTTGTTTAGAGAGGATCTCAAAGTCTTGATGTAGGTAGAGTTATATGGCCTTTCATTCCAAATCTAGAATTAGGAATATTGAATTCTTCAGTATATGGACCAATTTGGAAGAACTCTTGAATTTAAGTATCAAGTCACATAAATATTGCTAAACAAATTCAAAAAATACAATGGCATGGTAGAAAGACCAACTTAGACAAGCAGCAGCAGAGGAAAAAAAAGAAAAAAAATAATTGTAAAAATAAGCAATTATTAGTATTTTTTTTTTTTTAATTAATTTATTCAGCTTATCAAATTAGGTTTTGCCCTTCACCGACATATAAACACTGTATACTCAGTGTGTTACCTCCCGAGTGAAAGTTGGAAAGAATCACTCGGGTGGGACTCAAACCCACGACCTCCTGCTTTCTAGTGCAGATGTCTTACCACTCGACCACCGAGCTAATGGGATCGGTTGGCTGGTTCGAATCTGATGTACATAGCAGCATGGATACAGCATGGTACATCACAATACAACAGACAAAAGCCAGCAGCAAATGCCAGAAATTGAAAAAGTTAACTTATTAATAACTGTGATCGTATGGCCTTCAATACCAATACCAGTGGCTACAAATCACATACATTAAAAAGAAGAACAGTTGCCGAGTTATATCACATTGAAGTCATGCATTTATCCATGCAAGAAAGTGGTAACTGCAAAATGGCCTACCCAATGACCTGAACTGCCTTGGCCAGTGCAGGATCCTTCAGGATATCATAACTGATTCGAAATTTGCCGTCTGCAGCAACAACTTGAACATGGTGGAGTGATTTCCGATCTAGAGTTGCCCTAAGTAATTTGATATATGAAGCATTATGCTTCCTTTCATTCCATATCTAAAATTGGGAAAAAAGAAAATTCTTGAGAATCAAAACTTTTAAACATGTTGAAAAACATGAAACACACAATTTGAACTCATTTGATGCCTGCCATTTTGAACTATTACTTGGCTGGACAATCAAATTTGGAGGAAGAAAGCTATATAAAAATAATCAATTGAAACTTACCCCAATATAATCAATGGTCAGATTGTGGTGAGTTTTTGCTCCTTGTATCCATTTGATGATGTAGTCAACAGTGACATCAATATTGACATAGGGACTTTGTTGGCCATTCCCAATCCAGCCAGGGAAAGCCCAAGGAAGGCCATACAGCTTGATGCTTGGATTGCGCTGCAGAAAGATGTAACATGAAACAGTAGTAGACTAATAAATCACCCAAAAGATTAAAATGCCCTAATAAAAATCCAAGCATGCTAAAATTGATTCCTACAATTCAGTAAGAAAAAGCTGATCAAATGAAAAGAGAGAAGGTCAATTAACCCAGCTTACAGATTACTGAAGAAAATATAAACCTGAAACAGTAGCCAGTAATATTAGAAACCATTGATGGCAATCCTGGAAGGTTCATGAAGAGTTTTCTTTTATAAAAAAAAGTTTATAGTGCACCATTTATCAATCTGACACCATCCGTTTGATTGAATGTGACTGAATCAGGACAAGTGTACAACGCCAGGGAATAAGTCAGGCTGTAATTTCCTGAATGATACGATGCTACAATGCAATGAGTCTCATTAAGTCACAGGTGGTTTTGTATTGCTGCTAGGAGCAAAAAAATATGAAAATGAAGCATGGGGTGAAATCCAGGCTATGGAGTCTGCACTGAGGAAACAGTACCTTTTAGTGTCAGATGGTGTCCAATGTTTACATCCATCCAAAACTTCATAAGTGTTCAGCCCCCCCCCCCAAAAAAAAGTGGTGTAAGAGCACCTCAAAACAAGTCTCTCTGTTACCTTTTTAGCCTCCTTCATCAGCCACCATTCATATCCTCTCTGATAATTCTCATCGTTAGCTGAATGCATATGAGATGACTCTGTTCCATCAGTGCTTTGTGAGTCTCCACCAATCTCAACCTTTAAGATGGGAAGTGATGCTCCAAAATTTGGCTGTTAACGTGCAGAATCAGAAGTAGTTCATTACTTATGTGCCTGGTTGGAGATAATGTCTGATAAGTTTGTTCATATCTGCAGTTGTACCAAGCTGCTTAGTGCAGCCACATAGTTATAAACTAATATTAACATTTTCCTTATTTGGTGAAAATTTCAATTTGGTAGTTAAAAATAAAACTAGAGGTGGTTGTAACTGAAGATGTTCCCAACATATTTTTAACTGTCTATTGGACAGTACAAAATGATTGAATGATTTGTCCAAAATGTGTAACCATTGAAAATGAAATTTAATCTTTAATAATTGCAAAACTGGAAGAAAAGGTCACATGACCTTGACATTCCAGGAGGTGGATTCCAAATTCCAGTCTACTATGTGAAAATGTGTGAAGAAATAGAATAACTTATTGTACTGTTAAGATATGGTGGCCACAAAATTGCCTCATTAAATATTCATGACGTCATAACACAAGAACAATAAACTGCACAGTAATAATAATGACAAAAAGACATTTATTCCTTAGAAAAGGTCAATTTTCAGAGCCGTTTACCTTGAAGAGATAATCCAGGATCTGATCCAGATACGGCTCAGGATAATTCACCAATAACCTGGATGTAGCCTGGACAAAAACAAGTTCATCTTCAAGCTTTACTTTAGCTTTGATCAAATCAGAGTCAAGGTAGCCGTATTCTATGGCCATGCACTGGACTAAACTCCGTGCTGAAGGCCATACTTCCCTGACAACAAGAAGTTACTGAAAAGATGTTCTTTTTTTTCATAGAAATCATTTGGCCTCAAACTCGGCATGCAGGTTCACTTACCCATGCGATTCCATTATTTGCCAAAATGAGGACTTCTCCGTTGTTCTTTCTGGTGTAATTTGTATCTTACTTTGTGACACGAAGCAGCCGTTCTGTCATCGATCACGCGAACATTAACGATAAGTGTTTTCAGCGCTATGGCTAGTTCCTGTGCCCGCGTATTCTCAACCGGAGAAGACCTAGACGTACAGGTAAGCTTTAGACAGGAGGTTCGGCTACAACAGTTAAATCACTTTGGTCGGAGAACTAGACTAATACTACACTCAGCTGCCAGCCATGAACTTCCACTTCGGTTGGCAAATTAATTTTTAATAAGAGGCAAATTTCACCAGAAGGAAATAAAGGGAAGTCCTAATTTTGGGCAAATATTGAAAGGTCTTTTTTTTCTTCAAACTGCCAATCTTTGGATGGAACGTGCGTAAGACCGAGCCACAGAGTTTACTATAGACTACGGCGAGGCAAAAAACATACTGTTATTCGTTGACGAATTTTCAACTATCAGAGATTCTACAACTAATATTTTGTTTCAACAAACATTCGATGCAAGAGTTTATACGACTGCAAAGTATGAACAAAATAGGCGAAATCACACAGTCCGAGTGATGTACTGAGGAGAACATTTTCTCCTTTTTCGTGATTTTCTAACAAGCCGTCCACATGTCAAAGCGCGAGTCCGAAATCTGTCCAAAATTTCTTTTCTTGAGTTTTTATTGAAAAATTCTGGAAAGAATGTTGCAACCTGATGGCTGAAGCCACATCAGTGGTTGTGTACAAAGTCTATGGACAGTCAAGACAATTTTCTGATTATTTCCTTAAAACAAAATTGAAAACGTTTCTCAGTCACAGATCCATGTCTAATCTTTATGCAATGACTGACCCTCATTGAGATGATACATGAAGAAAAAAGCAGCGTCAGGTTGCAACATTCTTTCCAAAGATCTTTGTGTATCATTATCAAGAAGCTTACAGTTTCCTTTTCAAAATGCACTCCGTAGAAACAATAGTATTGGAAACCAATTCTAAAAGAGGTCAGTTTGGAAAGATTCCTATATCTGGCCATCACTAAAAAATTGTCCCTTTGGCTTTATTTTTAGTTACCTATCTGCCATCATAAAGAGGATCGGCCTATGTCCTAAAAAGTCAAATTTAATAACAGGAAAAATATTGAATAATGAAGTACTTACTGAGAAAACACATACACAATTTCAGAGCAGTGTCATAGGGTTTGTGCACAGGGTGACAAGTGATGGCCAGGTATGGGAATATTTCCATACGTTTTTATTTGAAGCGATCTGGAACTTGGAAAAAAATCCAGAACTGTAGGGCCTGGAAAACCACTGTACACTGCTACTGCAAATTGCAATTGAATCGTGAAATCGGGGGGGCAAGGAAATCTGCAAATTTAAAGCACTTACTCCTCCACCACTGAGTCCGCCAATTCCATCATACCGCCTTCCAAGCCCTGATGCATCACTTATCACGTATTGTGAGGCTACAGAATAGCTACCAATCAACTGCAACACGAATAAAATGTGAAAAACTTCTGCGATAAAATGCGCCATGGTTTGCCTCCTCTCGATCCCAATGTTGAGTGATCTGGTGCCATGAAATTGTTGAACAAGAACTACATACCGTACCACTAGACGCCAGACATGCCAGGCACCAATTATTTCTCGTCACCTGATGATCACGTGACCCAAGCTTTTGGGGGCCGGGGGGGGGCCGCAGGCAAGGGGGGGGGCACAGAAATATTTTTGGGGCAGTCAAAATAATATCTGATTCCCCAAAAAGCTAAGGCACAAGCAGTGCAATGGCACGTTTAAATGAAACAATCACTACAATGACACAAATGACTACGGTATTAGTTTGTCATAATGCTACAAAACTAAAATTTCACTATTCTTTCAACTATAATTCTGATTCTGAATTGTAGTACTTTTCTTGTTAATATGACATGGCACATTTATTTTGAAAAAAAAAAAACTGAACTATTGAAGTGTCCCATAAATGATCACATGTCTACTGGAATTGTGTAAAGAATAGTGTCAGTTGAAGCACAGTCTACAGGCGTGGATCCAGAGGGGGGCGGGGGGGTCAAAAAAAAAAACCAGCTCTGTCCAAAAAAATTTTTTTCCATACAATATCCTAAAAAATAAGTCGAAAACCCCCCCTGCTGTGACACCCCAAAAAAGTTATACTGGTATAATGTTTGCCTGTTCAAAATACGGTACACCATTCTGTAATGTAGTGTTAATAATCATCAAATTTGAACAGCGCCCCCTATTAAAGTATGGTACCAGCCCCCCCCCCCCCCAAGTGTCAGGAGAAAAAAAACCTGTGTACATTTTCTGAATTTTTTGCTGATGAAAACCCCCCCCCCCCCCTGCGAAAATTCCTGGATCCGCCCCTGGTCTAGTCGAACATATCAATGAATTGTGCGCTTTTTCATAAAAGCATGAAACTTGGCACAAGTGTTTTATATTCATGCAAGAAAATGTTTTAGATGTGGAGCCATCGCAAATTCACACATTTAGGGGCGTGACGGCCATTTAAAAAAAGGGGGAGGGGCTTTATCATCATGCCCGCAGTGAAAATGGTTTTTGCCAGCCACTTATCACAAAAAAGCAGGAAACTTCGCAAAGACAAAATTATGTAGATCATACGTGTTTTCCAGTTTCACGCTTTATAAAAAAGTGCACAATTTTGTCCACTGGACTAAGAGTAAGGAAAGACTTCAATGGATGAAGTTCGTCACATGAAATAATCCAATTTACCAAGTAAACGATTATGTAGGAATCTTGATCACAAAATGCAATATAAACTAAAAATCTTTTCTTGGACAACCACAAGAAGGCACACACTAACAAATATTTTGTACTTTTGTTTACAAATTATACCTTTTTATTTGCTTTATTCCCCCATCATTCTACAAAACCAGTGTTTTGGGAAAATTGCTTAATGTTATACTTTTTCCCTGACATTAGCTGGCTATGCCTAATAGTCATACAATGCACATGTATCTTACTATGGCTAACTACTCTCCACATTGTGAACCAAAATTCAACCATCAATTTCATTTTGTTTCCCAGGGTTTGTATACAAAATTAAGATATCACCCAGATCCCCATAACATCTATAATTTGTTTTTATTTGGACTCTATAGTTACTGTATCTCTGGACTAACTCATTTTTGTTTAAACCCAAATATTACATTTTGTACACTCCTCTCCAACTTTTTTTAAGTTTTGTTTACTTCTACAAACCTACACACTACTTTTGTTTATCATTTATAACTAAATTCTCCCAACCTACCATTCCAAAACACACCCACCCTTAAAATATTTCACATTATGTATACATCTTCCTTATTAAATTCTCCCAGTGTGGTTCAACACTGGAATTTATGGACTTTTAACACATTTTTGTAACAATGGACACTGAGTACAGGTACATTTGTTTCTTACTTTAATAATCCAGCTACATTAACTAAAAACCACACAAAACAACCAATCACATTTCTGATTAGTTTCCTAAAAGGACCAATCACATTGCTGATAATATGCACATGTGACCATTCCAAACTTGTTTACCTTTTATGGAAAAATCAGTGCACAATGCTAGAGGGCGCTTCAGTTGCTATGCCAATATGGAGCAAGTTGCTACGCCAACATGGAGCAAGTAACATCTGCCACCAACAAAATTCATTCCCATAAATTTGATTGGGGTCAATGCACTCCAGTATTGTGCAAATATTTCAAGTATTACAATATATAATTACTGTCACATGTTTAATTATTTCACAACTGACTGGCAAACCAGTAAACTCCCAAGACTTCAGGCCAGCTCTTCCACACAGCTACAAAAACTTTCACAAAGAACGAAATTAAAGTATTTTTATATGAAACAATATCAAATATCCCCTAATATACCCACGTTCACACCCCCAACCCCACTCACAAGTATCATTCATATCACATGAGAAAAATACACACCATCATCATCCCTGAAGACATTAGGCCCTGCTTTGTTTCTTGGAACAAGCAAGACAACTCTGACGGTATAAAACTTTCATAGAAAAATTGAAAAGTTTGTTTGTGCATATCATTAAGAAACTAACGATAATCAAACAGAACTGTGGAAGAGCTGGCCTGACAGAAACTTGAGTTAATCCTCAAATCATTTCACATTAAATGGTAATAAAACCAAGTAGTCTTTGTCCAGGGTAACAAAAAAAATTGGTTTTTCAAACAACACTGAATTCTTTGTCATTTATTTTACTATTACCCTCGCTGGTCAACATGTAGGAATTTTAACTAACTGGCCAAGCAGGCAATTTAAAGGGCTCCATTCTCATTAGGCTCCTTGCGGTCAGTACCAATCTCCCATTATTTGCTTTTCCAGATGGTAACCATATAAACATGTACTAAGGAGACTTTTCATATTTATCAACTCCATGAAATTCACCCTATTTTTTATTAACGGCAACATATATTAAACATAAAAGCACACAGTCTGACCAAACTAATTATAAATGTACACATGATACAGCAGAAAAGTTTTACTTTCATCTCATTTTCCCAGAGAACTCCAGTGTAGAAATAGGTACAGAAAGCAAGAAACTAAATTATGCCAACAGCACCAGTAGAAAGAATAGAGGATGAATGAAAAGGTCATCCAGAAAAAGAAATCACTTTTCTTTCTTGCTTTTTTACAGCTGATTAAAGCAAAAGGCTATTCACAGAGCGCAGTGTGGTGAACTTGCTTCAAATTTAGTTTCACAACCATTTTATAAAGAAATAAACATGGTCCCCGTTATTACAAAACATTCCCGTCACAAAAGACTATGCATGTTATAAATATCAATTCATGAGTATTAATGACCATATTAACAAGTTTATGTCCTTCACACATTTGCGAACTCACAGATTTTCACTTTAGTCAATTTCTTCTTGCAAATTACTGTAACTGATTAAAAAAAAAGCTTTAAAAAAGGAAGCGTGAACAAGGTGATAGTGAAATTTGCAGAACTACTTTATGGAGACAGAGAATTAATACTAAACTGCAGCACTTCATGATATGTGTGATTGCCAACTAGGTGACAAATAACATAAAATCACTGAAATCAACTTATCACAGTATATCTGACTTATCTATGGGTAGTGTTTATATACACTTAAAGACAACGGAAACCAACCAAATCCTTGTCTTTTCACATTGTTTATGTTACAGTTGTTTACTTTAAACTTAATGTATGTATCTACTTGACGAGTTTTTTTTTGTTCTTTTCAACGAGGGCATTTCATATCACTTATTTACATTGGGCATTGTAACAAGAATGTCTTGAGCTATTAAGCAGTGTCATCATTTCTGTACTTTCACCAAATCTTTACCAGATTGCAACTAAACTTCTCTGCACACTTATTCACAAAAGTTAAATCCAAAATGGCACACTCTGTAATCAAACTGCCGACAAGACAAAAATGGCCAGGGAAAAAGGAAGAAAAAAATCCAGATAAAGTACTGCAGACAGAGACTATTTATAACCAATTTATGAATTACATTTTACCCTTTTTTTTACTTGTTTTGATTTTTTTTGTGCAGCATCATAATTTTCATAAAATCAAACTGTGGAGTGTTGGTTAAAAAAAATGAGAAAAAATCAAACAAGGCACTAAATGATGCATTTTATACCCTGAGTGACTTGTGTCCGTCTTGATGCGCAACCCATTGCAACAAATCAAAGAGATCTCTTGAATTCATGTCGAGATATAATACACAAGTCCAATCTATTACTTTCTTATGAAGTGTTCGTCAAATGTAATCATTACTTTCAATATACAAAAGTCACAAACCAACTCTTATCAAAGCTGGTGTATATAATCCAGGATTTGAACAAATGACAGAAATATTAGATCAACATCCAAATCTCACAGAATGACATAATACGAAGACCATCTAGAGACATTAAACACATACAACACAAAATTCAGGGGTATGCATAACGCTTACAAGCATCTCATAACAAGGTTTATTAAATGCCTACATCAGTAACCATTTCTTGTCAAGTCTGAAACACAATAACCAAGCCATTCCTTTCTTCTTGAAAGGATGAGAATATGAACCATTTTTCTTGTTACAATGCCTTTGAATTTCATCTTGATCAATAATGAACAATGCCGACAGGTTTTGAACAGCAGAGAAATAAAACTAAAGCGTTTCCATTTTCGTCTGGCTGTTTTACTAAGTTCCATCTTTCTTACTGTGATCCATCTATGTGGCATTCTGGAAATTCCCATCTTATTGTCAATGGATTCTAATTACGCCAAATTATCTTCCTTAGTGGAATGTCCATGACTCAAAGTAAAGTAAACAGCGAGTCTCTTTATCCCCCAAAGTTGCTTTTATCACAACAGACATTGTCTGAAACCCAGGCAAGTCAACGACATCTGTCCATACCCAAAACTTGGCAAATAACCATTTCATTTTATCTAAAACAGTTTGTACACATATAATATATATCAAAATGCAAGGATTTACCCCCTGCACTACATGTACATTTTACCCACCACCCACATTGACTTAATTTTCTTACTATTTTGTTTAATACTTTACGTTATTTCTTTGTACAATATTCATCACACTTTCTCTCTCTCGTTACTTGGTGTTATTTTTTACACCATTTGGCAATTTTTAGCCAATTTCTCATAAAGACAGCTGAGCTTCAATGACCAATCATCTGTCGCCCAATCACGCTAGGCCCGACTTCAGACAAGCCAAACCACCTGACAAGTCATGTGATAAATACTAGACATCACATGGTATCACATGACCGGTTCTAAGGTTTATAGTCTCATTAATTATCAAACCACCTGACAAGCACATCATGTGATACACATATCACATGATCAGATCTGCTCATCACATGATTGAGGTAAACTCAAAGCGTCCGATTGAAATACAACACGGGTCCAAACCCAACTTAAGGCATTCCATATCCATGAAAATACACATAAACATGATCAACCGCTCCTACAAAACCAGCCATCTCGTGTTGACATGTACAAAACATGTCTTCCAGCGCTAACATTAGCGCCAACATCGACCAGTCTTCAATATCAAAAGTTCTGTGTCTACTCCTTGAGTGAGATGAGTGATAGAGGGTGGGGGTAGCCTGCCCTCCACCCGGGGGATAGGGGGTAGGGAGGATATCTCTCTATTGAGTTGGGAAGCCAGTATGCATATAATTTCCTTGGGTTGAGTTAGGAGTCATGAGTCCTCTACTGGGAGCCATTCCTTGTCCGAGGGCCGAGATTGGTTGAGTTTGCTGGGCGTACTGTGTCTGTTGAACACCTTGTCCTTGTGGGAATTGACTCTGAACGTATTGCCCTTGCATAACCATACCTGACGCCCTGTAAATGAGAACAAGAAACAGGTCAGATAATCACTTGAGGAATCAAACTACCAGATTGAAAAGGAGACACTGGAAAATAAAGACTTGTAAAAGCTATTAACCCTAACCCTCCTCAATCCAACAGGATCCAACTATTTTACATATATATATCTGTTGGGTCCTGATGGACTGAGCAGTAAACCCCTAGTGTATATTCCTGTTGAAATCTGTTGGACTCAGAAGCCAACTGAAAACATTCAGAGTCAGATTCTGTTGGGTACTGGAAAATAACGCCAAGTTGGGCTCTGTTGGATCCAGCAGCAAACAGAAAAATAAGCCACAGTTGGATTCTGTTGGATTGAGCATGCCAGTCAGTTTATATGTTCAGGTACCCAACAACTTGGCAAGTTGGGATGTGTGGGACTGTGTTGGATTGAGCAGGAAACTCATTATGAGCGATCGTCATGCTCTGTTGGATTTAGCAGGGTAGTCCTGGGGAACTACTAGGGGGTTAGATGAATGAGGTAGAACCACCATCACATGTAGGTTGCATCAATTCAAGGGTTGTGATAACCCCCTAGTGCCACCAAGTGTCAACTGGTGTCACACCCCACCCCCCAAAAAAATCCCAATCTCTGGCAGACAGAAACCATTTAATAGAGAAATTATTGTACAAGGCTAGCATAATACTTCCGCCATTGAAAGGGCCAATAGAAATGATCGTGTGCCGGGATTGGTCTAGACTGCCCACATGATGTGTCACAATTTCCTTACATAAATTGTCTAACAGTAGCAACACCGATCTTGACCAATATCTACTCTATGTCCTTACTGTGGATAGTTGTAGTAGTACGTGGCCTGTGTTGATGGCGTCATCTGCAGATATTGTTGCTGTTGTTGACTGGCTTGGAACGGTTGGTTGAAATACTGCACATAGGGTTGGCCAGTCTGCTGCGTTTGTTGCACTGCCTGCTGCGGGTAGGAGGCAAAGCTCTGATATGCATACTGTTGCTGCTGCTGTGTAACAAACGACAAACAGGACAACGTTTGGTGTAGGTAATCTAGCTTTACTTCATTGAAACACTTTGAAGAAAAAGTTTGTACATGCAGATGTCAGGTGGTGAATTAAAATTTGCTCATCAAACATTTTCTGGACATTACCACATTTGTTCCTGCAAATATGGGCTTACAATTTTTTTAAGGTTTTTTTGTTCACAGGAAATGCATTATTAGGCAGTGCAGAATTTCACACCCTGCATGTCACACTCTCACAGGTCAAATTTGATTGAGCTAGTTCATTTTGGTCTAACTTCAACCCTCTGAGAGATTGGTAGGGTATACCTAGATATGGATATTTTGATATCGGATGGGAGCTTGAATTCTACTCAGTTCCTATTCATCACAAATGAAATCATTCTTCTACAACTAATGACATGATTTTCTAATTCACAACAAAGATTGACATAAAATTTAAAAGATGGTTGTTTAAGGGCAGAATTTTTTTTAAATCTTTGTGGAAAACAGGTCAGATTTGTGATAAATGTAGGAGTCACTGGAAACAGCTTTGAGGTTGAACTGAAGGATTTATAGAAAGGACATGGACCAATATAAAACAGCATTTATACTGCAACAAATCATTTCAATTGCTAAACGATTACCCTTTCAGCTCGTGTGCATGACAGATCTGATGTCCATAATGGATTAATCCCTTTCCATTTTAAGTGATTAATTCTGTTTTGGCCAAAACTGGACAAGCAATTTCCATAATAGGTAAAAGGTTCATATTTCATATACTGTATTCTATCAAAACAAATGGTGAAATATTGTCTATGCAAATTTTCAAGGGATAACAAAAACAGAAGATTGTATGTTTTTCTAAAAAAAAAAAAGTACAGTGAATGAAATTATACTGTACAATTCCTAAATATTTCACTTTCATTTCTGATAAAAAAAAGAAAATTCTACCAACGCTATTTTTGCAGGTAACTTCCTAATTCTGTCAAAATTCACTAATTTGATACACATTTCAAGTGCAACTTTTATAAATAATTCAAGTTTCTCTTAACAAAATCAAGCAGAGCTAAAACTAATATCCCAGAAATTTGTCAGAATATAAAATGAAGGGCTGGAGTCTTCAGCACTGGAAAGATTAACAGCCATCTTAAAGGGGAAATTCCCCTGACAATCCTTTTTCATCATATTCTGAAGACACCCAGTCTCCACACATGTGTTATGTGACGCAGGTGCAAGCGTTGCTCGGCGGAGCTCACAAACACGTCGCTTGTATTTGCACTAACACCCTACTAGGCTTGTCAGCTGTCAGTACACGTAAGAGCCAATGACAGAGCACGAAAGGACCCTCCCCCAACTCAATGCTCTCAAGAGGGGACTTATGAAAACAGGTAAAAGGATATCTAATCTAGGAATACACCATGTAAAGTGGTAAAAAGATCAGGGATCAAGTACTGAAATTGAGAGGATCAGGCAGATAGAAAGTCAGGATTCAATCAAAATATTTTCATATTTCTTTCAAATTCACTTGAAAAATGAACAAATGATGCACAAAATTATCTTTCAATGAGTGAACAATTATTCACTTTTCCTTTATTTTGGAGGTAAGAGCATATGTTTTCCATTCTCCCTGAGCCTTATTTATGTGGAATAAAAGAAAAAGCAATTTATATTATGCAGTTACGCTGACTCACTGCAATTTGATTAAGACAACCACAATTTTTATGTCATTTATAATCCATTTAAATGATGTATGAAGTAATAAGTATTAAATTTAAATGGGCTTCTTAGAAAATAAAGTGAGTTCAACTTTTCGTCAATATTTCACTAAACATTGACAGTAAATTCAAACAAAGAATGATAAATTAATGAAGGGAAAGCCAAGTCTTGAATACGAAATGAAATAAGAGAAACACAAAATGAATGAATGCGATTATGAAATGGCTTGCAAGAACAAATGCGCAATAAAAGAAACCTATAAAAATGAAAAATCAAAGTTTGGAAAATCTTTCAAATATGACGAACTGTCAGAAATGTTTTAAAACAAATGAAGAAAAAAAAAGTAACAATTTTAAACTATTTGAAAATACGTTTTTGGGGGGTTTTTTGGAACATTTCTCCAAACTGAGGGATTAAGAACAAACTTGAGAGATATTGGATTTTGAAAAACAAATTACTTAAAATCAAAAATCTTACCAAATATGTTAAATAAATAAAAGATATTTAAGACTAAAAAGACACATAAATGCTAAAAAAAAAAAAAAATTGTAAATGCGAAGGAATCAAATAAAAAGTAAAAATGAAAAAAAATTCAAGAAATTTATATAATGATGGGTTGCTTTTCACATTAAATTTCTGTATGTCATGTCTAAGAAAAAGGCAACATCTGGAAAACTAATTATAGCCAATAATTGAAAGCAACATGCTCCCTCCCAGAAACAAGACTACACAAGCACACGTGTTAGACGTCCTACACCATCCTTTGAATTTTCTTCGTGTAGTTCATGTCAGACCACTGCACTTTTTCCTGATTACTTCCCATCTCTCCTCCTCTTACTCACGTCAATCACAAATTTCTTGCTTGACTCCACAACACCGAGAGAAGTCGTCATTTGACCAGGCGTGATATTCCAGGCTCTGATACCATGAAAGGTAGTCAGCGTTATCGACCAATGAACAACTCGGGATATGCACGGACTACAAATGAACGGATGGATAGGTGTTGCAAGCAAAAGAGACCAGTCTTATTAAGTTTGATCTTAATAATTGGAGGAAATAGGGATGTGGGGGGGAAAAAGGGGCCGAGAAGTTGCTCTTAAGGAGTCCAGGTCCATTTTTTTTCACAGACTATCTGAGCATAAGATGTATTTATTTATGATGATGTCCAGAAACTGATGATGAAATAATTTGATTATGACTGATTTTCTACTCTTAAGAAAGCACTGTTCTAAAAGCAGCAGCTAGGTAATGTTAAATCTAATGAAATTAACATTTCAAATGCCGATAAAAACGAGCACTGGAAAAATAAAACATCAAATAGAAAACAAGTGACAAGTTCAAAGTAGGTCAGGTTGAATCTCTGAACCAGAAAGATTTACCCCCAAATATTTGACGGCAACCTGATAAGACTATAGAGTCTATGCTTCACATATTTCCCTCCCTATCAACTGGTTATATTCCAAACTCTCCTTGGTCTACTAGTTGGGTTGTATCTCTGTATTCCAGCCAAGGTATGGCTGCTTGACTGAAGCAATGACCCAAGGGAGGAACGGAACAGCTCGCAACAGTCTTTCACACCTTGCAATCAAATTGCCTTGCCGAGCCTACAATGTGCCAACGGAATAACCTGACGCTTCAAGTGTAGAGCACCGCTGAAGGGGGGAAAGGAAAGGGGGGGTAGGGATCGCTTGCAATGATAGGCAACGAATTCAAGAGGGTATACGACCATACCGGACATAAACAGCTCAATTCTCAATTTCTCAGTTGTCACTCAGGAAAACCTCCAAGTGGAAAGCAATGATAACAGTTTGTTCCCCAAACCATCAGTAGCTATCAAAGCTTTCTATGTAGACATCGCAATATCCGACAAACAACTGGCTAGTCAGGAACAAGACATGGATATTTCAAGCTGCACAAGGCTCCACGTTGTACATGTAATTCCAGTTTTAATGGAATTAACACCGAATATCAAAAGAACAAATACAGTGATTTGTGGGAAAAGCTGAATGTCTACATGCATAATTACCAGTCTGTACACAGGAAAGAAACGATTTTAGAAACACTTCAATTTGCTGCTGTTTCACAAAATAACTCATCTTGTCTGCCACCATGATGTATTCTAACCTTAAAAAACTGGTGACAATTTAATTTTGAACTCAAACAGATATATACATGTATTCTTTGCAACCTTTTTTATGTCATACCTGGACATGAGATGAAGGTTCTGACGGTGTTTCTTTCCCCCACGAACATTTGACTTTATAGTTCCCCACAAGTTGACTGTGTACGCCAACTATTGCCCCAGTTGCTTCTTCATGTGATCCAAACCTAAAGACAAAATAACAAAATACTTAACATTTTACCAATTATTGGTTAAGGATTCATGATAATTTCTAAAATAGCTTAGTTATGAAAAATTGGACTATCATATAAAACTGGAAAAAAAAATATTAAAAACCAAAGGGCAAACTGAATAATTGTTTATAAAATTATGACAAAATTTATTCAGAACGATAGCTGCAATACTCCAACATAAATAAGTATTAAATTATAACCCAAACTCAAAAGAGTAAGGAACAGAACTATACAAAAATTATCAGCTTTTTATTTCAAGGATTTTCCTAAATTCTCGACTGACTTTGAATTTTCACTTAATTCCATCAGGCATATGAACTTTGCAGTCATTTAGGTTACGGTTCATTTGACGACTCGATCATTAAAATCTATCGAGCGCTGGCCTGTACTTAATACCTTAGGACTATAATCAATAGGGGTAAATTAGCATGAATGGTGGCTTCATGGCGTATCTCATGCATGTGACTATGGATAGTCAATGTTATTAGCTCTCTGTCGGCAGAATGTCAAGCTTTTTCCTCCAGCCTTCTTCCAGTATGTCGACTTACCGAATAAATGCGTAACCTTTCTCTGGAAATTGCCTTATCTCTTGTATGGTACCGTAGTCCTGAAACCTTTGACGTAGTAACTCCTCTGTTGAACACAAAAACAAGACATGAAAGGAGTCCATCAGATCGCAGTGTCGGCCGAGATTAATCTGGGAAAAATCCTGAAAAAAAACTGCCAGGTTTTGTGGAAGAATTCACAAAAGCAGTTGAATTCAGAATGACATCGGCTGGATTTATATCTTGGTTTCTGAGTGCAGGTTATTGGATTATTTTCATCAGGGTCTCTATGATTCAATTATTGATGAAAACTGGACAATAAAATACTCCACCTTCAAACTCCAAAAGGGTCTGATGATACAGAGAGGTCTTATTTTCTAAAGCCAGACCAAGAATAACCTTCCCCTAAAACATATCTTAACTATTCTTAGCTAAAATTTGGACATTAACATTTGTACAAATATATATATTCACAAGACAATACAAATTTAGCTAATTTTTCTGGCTTGTTTGATTGTAATGGTAATTTTTCTACTATTACAATAATATTAATTTTTTTAATGTATTTACTGTTCTCATGTTTATAACTTCTGAAAAATATGATTCCTAGTAACATACCTGACATTCCATTTTGAATACCACCGCAGTATACCGTACAATTGTTGACACTTGCTTGATTATAAACATCCTCGCGTGTCTTCACTGCAAAATTAGAAATTTAGTCATCAACTTACTTAATTAACTGATCAATTTTACAATTGAATACATCATCTCAAGATTAAAGCAATTACATGTGACCCTGAGCACTTAACTTGCAGAAAACCTGTTCAGAATTACGATTCAATAAGCTCATGAGATAGAATGGTTCTGTACACCACCATCTCTATCATAGTAAAACAGCAAAACAGAAAGATCTGTAAATGATTTGAAGCATGAAATTCGAAGTAAAATGAACAAAGTAAAGTGGCCCCAGCTCAATGCAGCCAAGACATGACTTGACTATTGCTTGCCATATTCTATCTCAAGTTTCTCAACATATTTTGAGAATGGAAAAATATTCCAAGAATACACCAGAAGATTTTGCGGAGTTTAGGAAAGTAGGGCCCATCCATTACAGATTAGGAGGTTAATCTGAAATGCAGAGGATTTTGGAGTAATCTGAAAAGTTTCTAGCAAAATTGTCACTGAATAAAACAAGTAATCTACTTTCTTTGGGCTCAAAAGTATATCAAAATAAAAACCGAATGAGGCAAACTATATGACTCGGTGTAATAAGTACAAGAAGCTTTGTGACTTACTCTCAATTTTCTGCTCTGATGGTTTACGTGAGGCCCAGTTCGTACGAATGACTTTACCTCCCAATTGCTGACCATGCATTCTCTTCATCGCATTTTTGGCCTCCTGATAAAAACAATAGAAAGATTTAAGCAATTACAAGTGGTTATTTAATAAATTTACCGTGAGTTTTCAAACATCAACAAAAAGGTAACGTTGACATAATTTTATATCCAATACCAAAAATCAGACTTAATCAGCATTGGATATTGCCCTTCACCAATATAATTTCATCAGAGTAAAACCTAAGATATTTTTTTTTTCTTTTGTGAAAAGTTCCGTCCTAGATTGGCTCCACCAAGCCATGCACCCATAACATGTCTGTATAGATCGATTTGGTTGAGTGTGTACAGACGTGCCATTATTCCTAACATACATTTTTAATTCTTGCATGATTAGGGGTACTCAAGTGCTGAATATTCTTGAGGTACATGTATGACTAAGTAAGATGCATTCCAACCCCGTCGATTAAAACAAGACAGAAAATGAGAGATGTCTAGCAGGCAAATGCTTTAATATTAACCAGTCATCCAATATTAATGCAAGTCACTTGTTAGGTAAGTACAGAGACATACAAGCAGAGGGTAGGACACTCAAGTGTTTGAATACTGATATCTCAAGACATTGGGTATTTAGACAAGGAACACAACCACCTGCTGCCAACTACTTTCCTTGAAAACTGGCAACAAAAAGTATGACAGACATAAACTCATGAATAAACTTATCAGTTCATTGTATGAAATTTCAACATTAAAACTAAGGTGCTGCTATGTTTGGGACAACAAAGCCTCTGTTGCCTTAATATAACATTTTAAGAATGATGCCATGACCTCTTTTCCAACCAAGAGGGCCCAAGCTTTAAAATTAGCTCATCTTGCAATAAATGTAAATTCAAAAACAAATTTTTCGAAATTACGAATGAAAATAATTATGTAATATGATTGTACGTAAATGAGAAATAGGATGCAAGGGTTAGGGTTATTGAGAATAGTACTGAAACTAAAACAGAGATTTACTTACCTCTTCTTTTTCAAAAGAAACAAAACCGTATCCTTTTGATCGATTCTCTTTTGTAGGATCTCGCACTACACGTGTGTCTCTGCAAAGAAATTGAACCGAGAAAATACAAAAATTAAACTTGAGGAACAAATCTTAGTCACAGTGACAAGCTTTCTTTACTTCTCCACAAACTAACTGAACGTATTCAGTTTTCATTCCAATCTAAATTTCTCATTTAAAAGCAGGTTGTTACAGTGTAAGCATCATACACCTGTTAAAATATGTGACTCTGAAGTATGTAATGTGTTCTAAATTGAAGTAATAGGTAAATCATTACTCCAGAGGAGAGGAGACTTCAACAGTTGTGTCTTGCCATTCCTTGTTTGTTTTGTCTTCTTGTTTTTATATAAAACAATCTTATTTTTGTACAAAACAAGAACTGAGAGAAAAATAATTGAAGATGTGTAATTCAAAGGAAAAAAAACGTAGGCTTGAATTCATAAAATGATAGTAATCAATGGGAAGAAAATTCAATATCAGTTGCAATTGTGCAGGGTTGTGCATTTGAAAAGAAAAATGTAACCATAAACCTGGCCCCACTCAGGCACCCCACTCAACTGATCTACATGTATTTCAATTCTTGCTAAACTTGATTTAGACCTGCATTCTTTCAACTTGTCTCCCTTTTACTTGGTCAAAAGTATCCTCACAAAAAAGTGAGCTTTTAAATTTAGATTAAGCAGCTGTATGTAGAAGTACATCAAAGAATTAGAAAACTCATCATAATTTATCAAAATGAAATGACGTTTGTGAATTACATGTATAAATTGGAAACATTTCAAAGGAAAAGTGCATAATAAAGAAATGAGGAAACATAGAAAACACCGTTAATTTCAAATCGAGACAGACTCTTCATTCACTCCAATGTTTGCTAGTGACAGGTAATGAACACCTTCCAATATTTCCCTATTTATTTCATCTTAATTAGAATTCTCTTTCCACAATCTAATCTTGCATATATCAATACAAGTCTTTCATTTCATATTTTTGCCCAAACCAATCCCGCAACCAGCGGCACTCTTGATCTATTGGAAAGTAAGGGATATTATTCCCAGCGATATGCCGTATGGGAAATCGCTCAGTCTTATTACAATCTTTTCTCCATACAGAGAAATTGTCCGTATTCAACGACCGGCATGTCCTCTGCCTTACCAACCAACTACTTGATCATTCTGTGTAAATAAGAAACACATCCATCATCTTGACAAGTAGCTTGATAAAAACCACTTGGACTATGAAGCAGCCCGGAAAAGTGTCCAACACCGTTCTACCTCGCAAACAAGATTTGAAACTGATATGCTTAATTCCATTGAATGTCAATGTTTTCAACAGGGAGTGGAAAATTGGATTCTTTACATGTCTTATTTAAAAGAAACCAAGATTACTGGTGATGCAAATTAGTTGATAATTTTTATAGACAATGTTTTATCACATGTTTGTTAATTGTAAAATTTGCAGGGCTTCTCACAAAAGTAGAATTATCTTTAACACATAAGACAATTCATCAGTGCTCAGACATATAAGATTTTTTTCCATTGTCTGAACATGAATCCCCCAGATCAAAATTAGTTTCATGAGAATATCATCAAAAACCATCATTTTGGCATATCCCATTTTTAGGACAAATGGACAGTCACAAGGGAACATTTCATTTAAACTGATTTCACACTTCCTCCAGTGCTTTCTTCTCGGTGTCTGGCATCATCATACCTCTCTATACAGAGACCTAAGCAACCGGATTCATCAAATTGTTAAGAAATTAGTGTTAAATGCAGACAAAGCTGTGGAACTGTGAATCAGAGTCAGACTTTGCCTGTAGGTCAGTAGGAGGACCAAACTCCTTAGCCTACTGTCTACTGCCTCATCCCGCCTCCAGACATACACCCCAAGACCACTTGGAAATTCTCGCTAGCTCATCTCCCCCCCCCCCCCACCCCCGAGGGAGACGCTGACCTAATGACAAAACTAATCCCATCAGATGACATTGCGATAATAATTCCCCGGTTTCTATCATCATAGCCAGAGGATGCAATGGTGAAGCAGGTACACTCCCTGAGATATCCGATTTCACCTTAGCGCCTTGTAATGCTCGGCTCGCTGGCGCGATTCTGATGGTTATCAATGCATCGCACATAAGCTAAAGAGACAAACCTCAATTAAAATTGGTCAATTTTTAGCGGGATTTTAACGTGCTTGCTCATTCTTTAGGGCAGGAAACAGCACATGATTTGATGAATACTGGCTATTCAGAGGCACGTAACACCTCATGGTTTTGCATCTAAGTAACTCTCGCCTTCAATTTCTTCCATCGTTAATTTTCTAGCATCCTCTATACAAGACCCATTTTTGTCAATTACACAATGTTACCAAAATAAACCCATCAGGAATAGTCTCAACATACTACATTGTAAGAATCCTGCAAACTTCATCCTTAACCTTGCATTGTTCTCTTTTGAAATACAAGAATTTACCCCCGTCCTAGATAATCAGACAGCAGACATGCTGAACTACTACTACATTATCCATGGGATAACTTGGATTTATTAATGGCCTTGACGAGTGTCTCGTTTTTAAGTGTGTCGCTGTCAGTTCAGGAGGATTCTAACAGGAAAGCGTAACAGACACTTGAGAGAGACGCACCAGACTCAATCTTCTTCCTGCTAGAAGCATCTCTCTCTGTCACTCTGAATATCCATGAACTTTCACTCCTTAGCACTCACAAACTCAAGCTGAGTAATCCAGGATGCAATCTCCAGTTGCTGTGGTGTTAAATTGCCAAGGTAACACAGGAGAACAAGAAGCTAACCATGCTAGATGCAACTTGTTCAAATCAGTGTATATTTTCTGAATGAATTAGGTAAGACGTCTTTCTAACAGAGTATAATGCCAAGATGAGTACTCAAGGAAGAAGATTCTTAAGAGGGCATTCACTGACAATCAGAGGAATTCAAGATAAACAAGAAGCCTTGTATCTCATTATTGTTCACTTTTAATTATTGCAGGAGATTTTCTTGCAATTTACCAACGTGTGAACATTATCATAGACTTGTGGTCTGCACCTTTTTTGATTAAAAATCTCAAGCAATAATTGGTGTGTTAGCAACATGAAGGCCACCTTGTACAGGTATTATTGGATAGCAGAAGGAACGGGAACGATTATTGCCCATCATTTTTTGGGGGGGGGGGGAGTGGTGGGAAGATTGTTAATTTCTTTCTGAAAGATAAGCAAATATGGTCAATTGTTTGACAGGAAATATTCCTAAAAGATTGCTAAATTTTAAGAGAATAATATGGCACTGGAGAGAAAAGAAACTACTTTTGAGAAGGTTTTGCGAGAGGTGGGAGATTTTGGGGCTGTTTCCATCTCCAGTAAAACATTTCTTAACAGAAAAGTTGTAGTGTGGAAGCAAAAAGGAGTCATGTGAGGCTGAAATGTTGAGCTTCATTAAAAAAAAAACCCAGAATATTACGAATCAAATGTTAAAAACCTATTAAAAAAACAAAACAAAGTTGTGTTGTAAAATAAATAAGATGATAATGTATGTCTTTGTAATAAAATAGTGAAAAAACTCCCACTGGAAAATCAATGAAATTTATAAAGAACCAAAAATGAAAGAAAGATAAAAATTAATTTAAAATATAACTGAGACAATTAAAAGAATGAAGTTTAAAAAAGTAAGAGATATAATGTGTTTTCAAAATGTATTTTTAAAAATGCAGTAAAAATGAAAAGAATAAAATGTCATACGTAGCCTGGGTTTCTAGACAACGTGCATTAAATAATGCATTAGGATTGTCCCACTGCACTGAGGAGAACGGGCTCTGAAAATTTGGAAAAATCAACAGAAAAATATCACTTTAAGGGTTTTTATCACACGACAAAACAATGAAAGATACATACATGTGCTTGGTTGGACAACAACAATTGAATTCGAAAATGTCCAAAACCTCAGCTTAGAAATTGTCAAGAACACAAAATCTTCATAAAAAAAATAAAATCTAGGTTCCTAGTTTTTGGAGAGTAATATTTGAGAGAAAATGATCTAATAAACAAGGATAAATTTGAAAGTTGAGTTTTGATAACCTTGCAAAATGGGGAAACAAACCAAAAGAAATATTAAGACTGGCAAATGCATACAAGAAAGAGTGCCTTGGCAGTAAAGATGCAAACAGAATAATTTTGTCAATTATCTAAGCTCTCTTTATCAGTTTGAGACTGTCAATGAAGCTCAAACCATCCTAGGAAAATTAAACGGATGACTCAAGCCACTAATGTGCTTCTGTGAGAAGGACCATTAGTCCATGAAAATGCATTTACAATGTAAACAGCCACTGCCAACCATTATTACAATTATGGCATGTTTATTTGCCAAGGGAAAAAGGGAAATTAAACCAAGCATTATTATATCTAGTCTGACTTGGTGAATGTGGCATCAACCTGTAGCATCTTTCACGAGAAAGGGGTGTGGAAGTGAGAATATAACAGGTGAAAAAGGGTGACATGGCTCCACCTTTCCACTGCTAGATTTGGTTGTATTCTGAAGGTTAGCGTTCAAGGCAGAACAACAAGCAGCTCAACGAGGAGGACGAGAATTTACAAAAAATAAAACCATAAAATATTCTTTATTCAAGATCTCTCCCTTCACCAGACACAATCATTTCTAATTTACTCTCCTTGCGTTAATACTTCACCATTAAACCTACATGTAAACCTACCCTATGTAACTCCCTACATAATCCCTCTTTGGTACATCAGTCTACAGTCCGTACACACATTAAATTTGCATCATTAATAAGTACGGCGCCAGGGCCCAGTCTATAGCCACAAACAACCACAAAACGCTGCCTCGCTTTCAAATTTATCATTCTGGCTGGCGCTAACTGTTCAGGCCTCGGCAAAACCAACTGAGTATGAAATTTATATGGGGCAGTACAAGCATTTCACAGTGTAGGGCATCTACCCTACACATACATATACTATCGATTAGTAACACAAAGCATTGCAAGGTCGCATGTGTAATAATGACACGCACATACTGGAATTCAGCTGACGCCTCATGTATTATGATGAATGGATGGCCAAAACACCCATTTATGGATTTTGAAGGGGGTGGTTTTCCCATTGCCTGCCCAGGAAGCTATGTACATGTACAGATTTGAAAACAATTTCATTTGTTTTGTTTTTCATCTAAATAGTGTCTTTTCCTTTGTAGTTTTTTTTCTGTGAACTCTGGATTAAACTATGGACGCAAAATGAATTTTTCACTGATCTATCCATATATCATTGTGACAAGTGTACTCATCCCCATGATGTAGACTGCAGGTCTATATCATAACCAAGATCCATTAGTACACCAAGCCTCCACTAATTAAGCTGCTGTCCAAAGCAAATAGACCCTGTAGGAATAGCCAACAATTTACAGTCAGATACTCAATGGCCAGTCATCAGCCCGATGCTTGCATTGGCTTACGCAGTAAATGCACCAAAGAAATGTATGCATTTACATACTGTACATTTGTCTTGCACTTAAAATGAATGACCAGAATAAGCACTCAATGTGTACACATCAAACAATGGAAAGGAAGGTCCTAGTAATTGCACTTTAAACATTTATTTCTTTGCACTACCAATTAACTAGATCTGCTGCTTTGCAGCTACTGGAATATTTATCATAATGATAGGAATATTCAACACAAACTCTGAAAGGGCGTCGTAATGAGTCATGGCTAAGCTAAGTAGAGTGCCTCCCAAGTTTGCTTGAAATACGCATACATTGAAATATCAGTCAGGCATTGAAGAAAAATACTGTGAAATGAAAGCTGCAGATGATGTAGGTAAAAATGGTTGGATACAAGACAAGTCAGGTGAAAAGAAAGTATTACACACTACCCTATCAAGACAATTACAACTTGACCAAAGTCAACCCGGACAAAATTGGAAAATGTCCAACAAATTGGTATTGTACTGCTTATACTATGTAGTACATTTTTGTACAACAATGGTACCTTTATTTAGAAACCCCATCCCCTCAAAAAGTAACAGATGATATCTGTTTTTGTTTCTGAAGCGTTAAATACAAAATGCAATCCTTTCAAAATAGTTTTATTTGATCAATAGGATCAATATTATTGACGTGGTCATGATATGGTCAAATGCATGAGTAACGTCTAGGGGTTTGTTATGCCGTTCACGTAGAGTTCACGCTAATACCAAACCCATCTTCCTTTCACAATTATTTTCTTGCGGACTTGTCGTGGCGGTCACGTACACCATTCAAACCACTCGTCAGGAAGTGTGCAGTACTAAAAGTGTGTTGTCACTTGACTGGATGCTAAGAGCGGCAGTCAGTCCTCTTAGCAACAGATGCTCAGCCGATGATTGTATCCAATCTTGTCAATATTTTAGATGTGTTGAGTTTAAAGGGATTCGGGACTGAAACTCAGAAGACGTTGACCCTGCTTAATGGTTATGGGTGGTTCATGGGGAGTTAAAATGATGAAATGTTTATCACCTGAGGCCACGGAGGAAGGAAAACAGAGTGCTAAAATTTGCTAATGTAGAAATTTGCTCAGCACAGAAAATATCTGACTGAGCATCTCACCTTTCCAACTATCATTATTCTCACCATCATTTTTACCAATTCAGAACATGATTTACAAACTAACCACAGACCACTTCCTTTATCACCATCCTTGCCAATTCATCAAAACCTTTCAATTTCTGTCCAAACACTCACCAAGGCAACTGTCTACACTGTACATCCAATCATCAGGCAACCTTAAACAAATCCAAATTCCACTAACAACACGCCGACCATCCTTTCCCTCCTATCCAAAGCTCCCCTACCACTTTAGTTTTTTTCCCCAGGTAGACATTAACAATAAACCATATGTTAGAAACCCAACCAGCATTGCAAATAGATCATTTGACACGTTCCTTCGTCCAGGTTCCCGATACTTGTCCCCTGTAAAATGAGCTCTTTGATATTCCAGTCTTGGCACAAGCGTGTTCATGGCTTTGTTAACGTGCATATCCAAAAAGTCTCAAAACAAACACCAGCTGATAGGGTTGCAGAATTTGCAAGTGCATGCAGGCCTAGAGGGGGGGAGTGTTTTCTCTCTTCCCAACCTCTGCCTCTGTTGCTAATCATTTTGGAATGGTTAGGTTTTGATGAGGACATCTATGGGTCGTGCTTGTATAGTGTGACTGGGTTAGAATAACAGGGAGTGGTAAGTGATACTTTGCCGATGATTAGAGGCAAGACGTGAGAGAGGATGTGCAAGGATGCGGCTTGAAGGATGACCACAAAAACAAATACAGAATAATTAATATAGAGATAATAAAAGGAAGTATAGGTATATGATCTGAAAAATAGCAAGATACGGACAGTTAACTGGGAAAAATCTGAGTGGAATGAATGTGGGATTGGACGAAAGCAAACAGGGTGATATTAGATTTAGCAGCTTAGACTGTCCTACATGTACAGACTACTACTGAGAAAGATGTGAGAATGAACAAATATGAAATGAAGAGACTCTAAAGGATGGGGCAAAGAACAAGACAGAAAGAGAACATACAAGAGGAATAACAGTAACATAAAACACAGAGTCAAACATGACAAATACAACAAACTAGTAAAAGGCAAGCTAAGAGTAGCATGACCACTACACCAACAAAAAATTAATACATGAACATAAACAATTGTGTAATATATGAGGAATATCTACCATGTAGAAAACCAGTACACAAATTGTTTGATACAGTTTTTGAAGCATAAACCGGAATGAAAAAGTAAACCAAAAATGAAACTTAACAAAGAGCAAATAATCAGAACTCATACAATGAATATATGGCTTCAGACAGTAGAAATATAAAAATCAGACTGGAAAACAGAAACAGACAGATCGGACTGAAAGATATCAATGTAATGGGAATGACGATGTTGGTAACAGATGTTGTGGCCAGAATCAGATAAGCTAAATATTATTAGACCAACTTAACTGTGTTATCTTAAAACAACTGATCAATAGCTAAAACTCAACCATTAGCATTACAGCTCCTTTGATACTTAACTCAGACAAAAATTCTCCAAATGTACAAGTGAGGATTGTAGGAAGTTAACCCAAATTCTATCTCATGGAAAACAAGAATTAATGAAATCCTTAAGGACATATGAATTTCAATCAAACTATTTTATTTTGCCTGTTTTACAACATCACATTTTGACATTTTGAGTAAAACAGAGTTCATCTTTTGTCAGTTAACAAAAAGTTAACATTGTAAATGACACTGAATAAAATCAGGTTACTAGAAAGTAAAAATTAACCACATTTATCATTTTCCTCTTTGTTCATCTTCCGATTGTCTCCTTTCAATGCAATTAATGAAGGCATGACAGCTTTTCAAATTACATTAAAAAAACCTTGGTCAACCATTTAAGGTAAACGTGACTTTGTGCAATTCGCTAAATTTACAAAATCTGATTTTCAAAAGATATTCAACATGCCAAGGAGAAAAAAAATCTCTTATGAAAATGAAGCAAATCAGACCTACACTGTACATCTCATCGCTCGTCGCTTTAGAAAATCCCATGATTTCATTCAGAAAACTAAAATGGTTAATACACAGCCCCTTTTCAAACCAATGACTCTACAAAACTCCTACAGTGTGTAGGTGTTAATCATTCAATATGTCACAAATCTCAAGTCATATTTACGGAGGTCCAAGGAACTAGTTCCATGAACTTCTTAATCACGTTAACACTCAAATATGAAATTTCAGACATCTGACTATCATACGGAGAAGACCTACTTTGCCTCAAGAGCTTTTTACATTGTACTGAAGGTTGCTTACAGCCCCAAAGTTGATCATGCTTAAAACATACACGACCTCATCAAAATGGTTTATAACGAACAAAGTTTAAAAGTTGTGTTCTACAAGAGTCAGTGTTGTTGCATGCATAAATCCAATCACTATTAAAAGAAAAACTGAGCTCCAACAAGGTTAGCATGGCAAGCACCAAAATGAAAGTGAAAGAAAAAAAGAAAACGTCATAGATGTTTTAAGATTTTGTTGATACTTACGAAACGGTTCCATAAGCTGAAAAGGCGTTATAGAGATCAGCTGTCTCAACTGAAGGGTCTAAGTCACCAACAAATATATGATGATGACCTGCAGACAAAACAAACAACAAGAGAGAAAGATGAGGTCAAAGGTTACATATAGGTCAAAGATCATCAAAGTTATAATGGACATTTACATACAGTTAAAGTAGAATGTACAATGTGTGTGGGTTGCAACAGCTTGGACATCTATTTATTTTCTCAACCACACTGTTGGGAACCGTCCGTAAATTTGTCTCCATTTTGTCAACAAAACTTTCACGGCTGGCATTTACTCAATGAATTAATTAGTAATTTTTTACCTGATGATACCACACACGTGACACAACGATAAATATATATATATATCTAAAATGAGTTTGTGATATCTAGAACATCAATAACACCCTTGTGAAAGACAACAAATATTGTTCCACGTGGATCCAGCTGAGTAAACAATATTTAAATAAATATGACATACATGTACGTGGATAAGTTCGGACTCCAACAAAATAATTGTTTTATAATTTATTTATCATGCTGAGTTTACCGCATCTTGAACATAGTACCGGAGTATGTCAATGAATTGAAAATGTCTGATCATTTAAAGTCCTACAGGATAGGTCACACTTCAAACCACAAGCTTCTAAAACAAACAAGAGGGAAAGGACAAGAAGGAGCAAAGACTGGCAATCTCCACCTTATATCACCATGGTGATACCGGTACATGACTATGATGATGTATTTCATCTCAGGATTGTAATATGCCCTGCAATGTGATATCATGACCATGCAGCATTCACAGCCACACGTCATACCCAGCTAGGCTCCCCTCATAATAAGCCGAGTGCTTGACCGAGCATGAGCTGCCGACGGCCAAACCATGCCTGATATTACCCACCATCCAACCCTCCAATGAACCCTACTCAAGCCCACGGCATCGTCTTAGATTCAACCCAACTGTTTCCCTTACTAAGACCAGACAACCTGATATAAATCGCTCTGTTTTTATCTGATTCTGATCCGAGAAATGAAGAAATAGAATCTGTGGATGGGTTACCTTGTCCAGCTAAATGACACCTTTATAAAAAATCTATACATAAACCACTACTTAATCCAAAGTCTACATGTACATGTATAAAGAAGCCAACTCGGTTATGGTTATGGAAACTCTCCAATGCACAGTGTGATTTTAATTACACTGAGTGGGACAAAATTAAAATGCAGTTGCAAACTCATGCAATTTTTTTTTCCAATAAATTAAAAAAATTTCAGACATGCAGTGGCAAGCGTTGTACATGTACAACCCAAGGCCACTCCAACTGCTTTGTATTGCAGAATGTATGTATGTATACTGTATCTTGGGAACATCAGCAGTTAGTCTTTCCCAACATTAGACGATGCGTATCTATGGTGATTTGTTTTCAACATCCTGAGCCGTGAACTTTGATGCGGTGCGACAGAGTCCTGGAAACCATTAATACAATCAACTAGAGCATGGCGCCTGCACTATACATCACCAATTGCCGTCAGTTCTTGTTGTAAACCTAAGTCTTAGCATCACCGATCCTCTCTACATGTAGGTTTTCCAATAAACCATTCCACAGAAGTATGTTCATTGTCTCAGTGTTTCACTCCGATATAAGGCTTTTCCAAACCGTTGCTTTTTTAGGTCCCTGAGTTGAGGCATCTGGTTCGATGTGCCTTCATTTTCTCCAACAACAATAAATGTTAGGCCATCTGTTAATTTGGTTCTACCTGTAAACCTTTGAAAATGATTCTGAAAATGATTCTGAAACCCATGATGAAACCAAAATACAAAAAGGTAAGCCAAAATTTGAAAAATGGCTGTAGAACATCAATGTTCCTTTTGAACTCTTGACCTTTTGAACTCTTGACACGGGGTCTACTTACTTCAATAATTGAAATTTCTGCATGCATTCCTTCTTGCAAAACCAGTTATTTTTTACATTTCTTAAGTGAAACTAAATCAATTTCTCAATTTCATATTGCTACCAAAAAAAAACAATGGAAAATGATATAATTTCAATTTGTCAGTGCTACTATTACACTCAAGTTAATTTCGAACGGAGTAACTTCTTTGTTTTTCTGGGACCGCTACTGTGGGAAATTAGCAATGTAATAACATATGGTGCACCATTCAAATATGAACAGTCCTGTCTGTCTGAGAGCAACTTCAAACGACAACCATCAGTCGACTAGAGGTTGATTTGTGACAGACGGTAACTTACGCAGGCCTGCGCACTAATAGCATCACGCGAACACCTCTAGTCAAACAAAGGTCAAAACTCCTGGCTCCCCGTTGTGCTTTATGATGCGCGCAGCTATTGGTAACCAGTGATGTAACCGTGCCCGTGCTCTGGTTCCAAATAGTCAACTCGAGTAGTCCAACCATCCCTCATTCCAGCAAAGTTAGTCGATTTAAGGTTAACTATAGTTCGCGCCTGAACTTGCTCTAGTATGACACTTTTCATGCAACTAACAAGAGAAAAAATATAAATCCTGAAAAAAGTGTTAAACGGACAATCCTTCAATTATTCAAATTTCTTACAACGCTTCAAGGTGTTTTCCTTCCAGGAATAATGGACACAATTATCTCAGAATATATAAACTGTGCCAAATTTGTCTCCTTCGATGTAATTTTGTTCTGTTTATCAGAGCAAGACATACTTCCTTGCAGGAATGATCTAATATATTGTAGATTAATCAAGTAACTCTATACATCCAGGTATTTGGAAAGTCGGTCAGGGAGTCTCATATAAAACGAAAGAATTACGACAGAGGACAGAAGCATGTTAAATATTCCCACCAGGGAGGGTTGATCCCCTGTTACATTTATTCTTATATAATGTCAGTTGTAATGTATTCTTCTACAGAAGCACCCGGAGGTTACATGTAGGTGCCAGGGGAGGGGAGGGGGGGAGGGGATGTGTGATGGGCGGGAGAGGGGGTAGTTGACGTTACTTCAGAGATATAAAGTAGCGTGAACAGTTACGTAGGATCCATTGCTGTAGTTAACAAACCGTGACGTTTTCCTGTGAAGTTATGGATGACATCTTCTAATTACAACCGTACCAAGTGCAAATTTTAATAAGCAACCAACTACATGTAGAACATTAGGTTTACTGGCCCCACTTCCCCCTCTTCTATCTATATTAATGAGTATTTGGCAGTCCTCTGTCAACTTTGGAGAGGTGTTAATACATACAACTGTCCACTAATGAACAGGGCATACTACTTACTGACCTAGCAAGTTAATTTCGTGTCATCTGTGGCATCAGCAACCTGATTAAAATGTCAGTTTCACTGCAGGAAACCATCAATACATCTTCTTCCCTCGTCTCTCAAATTGTCAAAGGAAACTCAGTGCATTTAGACCGTATACTTCATTGTCTACAGTCTTTTCATCAAAGCCACTGCACTTCACCCCAGGCAGGAAATGCACAATGCATACTAACTTCAAATTTATAAAATGAAATATCTTTTAAACAAGCCTAAGCACGTAAAAGCAATCGGACCCAAGAATGTCACTTTAGGACATTATTTATGCTTAATGACTCAGTCTTTCAGTCAGTCAGTCAGTCAGTCAGTCAGTCAGTCAGTCGACTTTGTCAGAGGACAACTAGCCAGCCCTTCTGATCCAGAAAAAAAACAGAAAAACAAATTTCAGAATGCTGAGGCCCATTGAAAAAACATCAATTTTCAACCAAATTGTGAAACAGGTGCAATAACGCTTCCATTTCAACGTGAAGTACTTTCCGTCCATTAATACAAGCAGCTTTACCCCAAGTATATAATGGTGAGAACAAGCTTCAACATCCCTCCGGATACAAATAAGACCTTAGTGACTATTAAAGATAGGATTCAGCGTAATTACGGAGCGGTAATATCCCTGTCATGAATATTTCAAGACAAACAGACGATGGGTCAGTCTTTTTCTCATGGTTTGATGAGGTTTGCAAGGAAGACGAAAGGTGTGACTTCAAGCAGAGATGACCCGCAAAACTCATCGACTAGGCCGGTCCAAGGGAGGTGACATGGCGTCTAAATAGCGCCATCGGCATACCCCAGCAATTCCCAAAAGTCCCAGGTAGCTTGAGCGCTTGGTGTGAAAATGGACTGATACTGCATGCAATGCCAAACATCCACGAGATAATTGCAGTTTCGACCAAGGCATAACAATTCAAGGATTCCATCTAGTTCTATTATATTTCTTTCTCCAGATAAATTTCCATTTTGATAGATGTAAGTAATTCTCATTACTCTGGTAATGATAATTGCTGCAGATTATGATGTGAATGACAAACGCTCTCCGCCTTCTGAAAATTTAATCTGCTTCTCACTTTCAGCCCCAGAATGATTTTTTTTAATATTCCAATTCTGCTGGCCTTATAAGTTCAGTACTTTGTATTACTAAATTGTGGAAATATTTTTATTTTTTTTGTTCTATATCCTGAATATTCAAAAGGAATAATAAAAGTTATTCACAAATGTAATCAACGAAGATAACACGGTAATCAATTCCTTATTTTCCTTTTAAAAATCATACAAGTTTTTTTATTAACCCTAACTTTCCCAAATCCTCCAAAAGATCCTTGCAAAATGGAGGATTTTGCAGGATTGAGGCTATATGGCCAAACTGTGTGGCTGATTTTGGAAGATGCACTGTGTCAAGGTGTTTATGCTCAACCATGCATAAATTTAGGCCTACATGTAGATTATACTTGAAATCCTCAGCACTGTTCCAGGATGTCACTGGCTCTGCCTCAACATGTACTGACAGTGATTGCTGGAGGATTTTGCAGGATTGAGGCAGTGGTCACCCCTCCAAGGTCCACATTCAAGATACAGTATAACGTAGGATTCTGCAGCATTGAGGCTGTGCAATTTTTAACATGGAGGCAGTTGGAGGATTTTGCAAAAATGCCTAGGGAGTTAGGGTTAAGAAAGTTGAGGGACTAGCCAATAATTTGTGTACATTTCCATGGGCAAGACAAATCTCAGCCAAAGTTTGACTGTATATTAAAGTTTGTATGCAATGCATGACTAGATTACTACCCAGAATATTTTCTGACCTGGTGCCTACAGCACAACCCTATTGTTTCATGCATGCTGCATCTTGCATGAGGGGAAGTGGACAAAATCGTGTCCGTGCGTTCAATTTGAGCACGAGATAGAGACTCTGGAGATGTAAAACGCCAACAAACAATTCCACCTGACATTTACACCCGTCCCTCTACAGGTAACCCAGACCGCATAAACACTATGCTTCAAAAGACAGCACAGGGACAAAGCGAAATGGGACCTGATTAGTAGTAATTGTGCTCCCTGAAAGAGAGCCCGGCAAAAATCTAAAGAATAATCTCAGAGGAAAAGTGCAAATCCAATTTCCATTGGTAATAGGCCGCTCATCTAATAATAGAGTCAAGATAATTGGTCTGAGGCTGTGAGAGGGTAACGGGGTATAACTAGGAAGTGGCCTGCTGCCCCGATCAATGTTAACTACTTCATCCATCAACCGACACCACTGACGTCTGCACTAGTCATATTATTGTCAGTATTCTGCTGGATATCGGGAGTAGATTCAGAGAAGCTGTCACTGAGAGTCAAACTCAGAGTTGTTTGTATCCTTTCTCAGCGGCATGAAGCAAACACCTGCTGAAGTGTCTCTTCAGGGAAGACTCAACCACCTGATGGTTGGAATACTTCAATAATGCAACAAGCTCATCAGGGGGACCACACTTCATCCGTGCATGCTGGCCTCGCATTCAATAAAGCACCCAATGGAGAAATAACAAGCTTCCAGATGCTACTATGAACCATTACTTCCAGTAATTTACCCCTCACAGCAACAAGCCCACGGATAATACACAGGAAGAAATTGCTGGAGTATTAATCAGTCAATGTCATTAAGTGCGCATCAGTTTCCCTTTCAAAGCGTTTTACCACATCCCAGCCATCACGAGATACTCTCATCATTACATGTAAAGGTGGTTCAAAAGTGGTCAAATTACAACATCTCATATTTCCAATTCCAGAATTGACAAAAACTTAATTAAAATATTAAATTTAGTTTGATTCAAAATAATTTTTTTAAAAATACAATTTATCAACAAAGCTGCCAAGCTGCCAAAACAGAAAAGATTTTCTTAGCTAAAATGGTTTACCAGCTACAATGTCATACGACATATATTGCTACTAACTGGTACTCTGCCCGTTTCCTCTTTTCACGTAAATTTACATGCAATATTCTTTGCATAAAAGCCCATGAAACTGGGTCCAGGTTTGAAGTTACGTAAATCCCAAAGTGTTCAGAAAACTAGGTCACACGATCTCATTTCCCAGCAACTCCCCTCAGACATCAGTCATGCTCTCCCCACAACCCTTCCGATCTATTTTTAGCATCCCAATAATTGCCTAAACGACCTTTCACAATGTCTGTATTCTGATAGACCTCTAGCTCGGTCTTTTACCACGTTTAACTGTGAAATCTAACAGCCGAGTCTCCGCGTGGCTAATGTACATGGGTATTATTTGAACCAAGTGGAGTGGAAGGGTTCACCATCTAGAGAGAGGTGGCCACGTCTCTAGTCATTCTCAAAACACCTCTGAGGATTGAGACAAACCCTCTCAAAACACATCTTATATTCCTTTATTTGTCTAACAAATTGCCACTTTATGCAGATGGGAAATGTCTATTTGGATTCTATCAAGATCTTTTCAAGAAGCAATTTTTTTCTTCAAAATTTATGGATGAAGTGCGTGAACATGTACATTTGTATAATAATTGAGCAGTACGTATGTAAGTTGAAGATTTTCCATTTGTACGGTAGCGAGTGTTCCTTACAATATCATAAAGATGCAGAAATGCATCTGCACAAAAACTACAGGAAGATTCCCAAAATACAATCAAGACAAGAAACGTACTCTCCAGATAAAACCAAAGGCCTTATGATCACATGAACTCCTGCAGTAGTGACCATCAAGTACCCCTGGTGTCCTGATGGCAGGGTACCAGGGTACCAGCGTACCAGTCATTTTATGACCGAGTGTGTATAAATCATACGGACACTGAGACAAGTTTTTGCATGGTTCCCTGTTTGCCTGGTCCCATCTATCAAACATCCCATCCATACTGACAAGCAGTGTGATTAATTGCTCTCTTCTCGCTTTGGTAATGGTATAGACGAGACTTGTTGACGCACACAACTTCCAAATGATATCGTATTTTCAACGTAAAAAAGCTATCAGCATGTGATTTTCTTCTTTTATAGCAGTACCAATGCTTCCTGTACATCTTCAGACCTGCACTCTGTGAGGCTGTATGATTGACAGGTGATAATGTCATACGTACGTGTGCATGTGCATTCAAAGCAGGTGCAAATGGTCAATGGGTGCAGATGAATGGTGTCTAAGACAATTCTTACATCCGGCTTGTACCGTATGCCACCGTGCCATAATCACATTTTCCTTTTAATCTGTTAAGTGGAATAGTTATGTCTATAGTTTTTATGAAGGCCTACATGTAAGGAATAAAGTACAGGGAATACTTTCATGACTTTCTCAGCCACCTGCAGTCCTGCACACACACAATAAGTGATACTATTTCTTCTAAAAAAAAATAGTGAACATACCTGAGAAAAAAAAGTCACATGTGAACGAGACCTATAAACCTCTAATATCCTCGGGAGAAACTGGATGTGCTTGGCCAGAGTCTCAATATTGACTTGGTGGTTCCAGGTCCCATAATACCAATTGGCATAGCATCTTGAGACCCACATTCATAACATCCTAATTATGTTTGTAAAGGTCTAGAATTACACTCAATCTATACACTGCTTCATTCTATTTCTTGTTCCCGTCTCTCGGGAAAGAGGCTGAAACCGCATCTTTGCGACATGCTGCACGCTCATTTCCCTGTCCTGTGTGTCACTAATAGGCTTTATTCACGAGTCGGCCATATTAAATTGAAAGCGGGGTAACTTCTTCATTGTTACAACTTGTGAATTTATAGAAATGAAAGCAATGACATCAAGTTAATTACAAATAAATACCAGTCTGCTCTGATGAATAATTGAAATTTGTGATTAAACATATTTGTACCCTAATATTTTCAGCTACATTTCAAAAGACAATTTTAAATTGAGGCTTGGAACGTATAAATAGTCTGGCACCGTCCCATTCAACATTTTAAAATGTATAAAATCCCTTCAGGGAACATGATCAAAAATGGCTGCCTCATGAATCAGGTCTATTCAAACACCCAACTCATTTTCATTTTAAATAAAATATGCTGCCTCAATGAAAATCTCAGAACAGTAGTTTTATCACTGTATATTTCTTTGTAGAAGTTTAGCTTATTTAAGGTCACTTTGTCACATTGCCTGTCACATATTTTTGTGGTTTTTTTTATCTGAAATTTTTTAGACAACTTCGTAAACTTCATATCTGCAATGACAAGAGTGTACAATTTGGACTCATTTGGGCAATTTTTAAACAGTATGCAAATAATGGGCGTGATGATTATTACCCCCACTAGACTCTAGATCTAGATACAACCCACAACCTCCAAAAAGAAAAGGAAAAGAAACAATGTTGCCACTGATTAGTACTCATAAATATTTCACAACATCTGACCATATCCAAGGTGCAATTAAAACTGTGCAATGTGTCCCCCCTCGCATCCATGGTCATTTGCTGGCAACAGAGATCTAATTGAAACATCCCATCTCCAAAACAACACTGACTGCACAAGAGATGACAGCCTGAATGAATAAATGGAAATGCAGTCTTTCTTTTTCCTTTTTTTTTTTTTAACTGACCTATTTCCTAGGTTTCTGACCGCAGTTGTCCTTTTGTGTGGCACCGACTCTAGCATTATCAGTACCCATCTCCAACCATCCATTTGAAGGCCTTTTATTCCTTAGCATCTTCCATCCTTTTTAGATGATTAATGATGGAGAGTGTCTTAGCATGGAGCAAGAAAGGAGGAAGGAATTCCAACTTGTGTTCTATGCTCTTTCGGTTTTAGGCCAATCATAACAAGTCAGACCCAAAAAAATGTTCTTTGATGGCTCAAATTGTTTTTAAATTCAGAAAATAAAGATGGGTTTCATTAAAAGGTGGCTTTCAAGATTTAAAGTACGATTAAATGCCAAAGTGCGATATGTACAGTAGACTGTAGTGAATCTGTTATTAAATAATTAATAAATAGGTGAAAAAATTTACCTGAAATAATCTGACGTTGAACTGTTGATAAAATACAAGACAAAATTTAAGATCTGGAAATGGGCAATGACACAAAACTTACACAAAATATATCAAATGTTTCTCACACAACTGTCCAGAAATATGACAATTTGTTTTTAAAAACTACAAGTGTATTGTACCCCGGTACTAGCTGACTACATGTAGTGGCCATAATACAGATTGAACACTGGTACACTGGTTCTGTTTTGAAAACTTTAATGTAACTCATCGAGTACCGATTAAATGCCTTCATTAGACCACATTAAAACAATGCGCTATGACTGGGGTGCCATCTCTGGGGAAAGCTGTTCTATGAAGGGGCAAATGTTCTATAGTGATTACATGTATATGAAATGTGTTTCTTCATGAGGACTGTATTGATTCACACCTCAAAGCACTGAGCAAAGCAAACAATAAAAGCCTGACCATTATTATTTCGGGGCGTTTCAGTAATTCAATTTCTATTGCCTTCATGGAGTATAATTCTCCCACATTGTAAGTTTTTATTTCTCACTGCAGACCAACCCCAATCCCCCACCCCTTACCCCCCAACCAACTGATCATCCTCTGCTGGAACGACTCGCCCCTTGACATCTCAAGAGTTATACCTCCAATGTATAAGTGGCATATCATGTTAACGTGGTCTAGTACCGTTCACCAAAGTCTGTCCAAGCATAATTCATGAGAGGGGTTTGATTTCTCGTCCGTGAAGCCCCCCTCTCGGACAGTCAATTCAAACTCCCCTCGGATGTTGACAAGCTCTCCATAGTGATGTTGTGACATGATTAATACACCACCTGCCAACCTCTGAAAAGTCCTCTGGAATAATTTCAGACGGACAACAAACTGACTATGATCAAAACCCCTGGGGGGGGGGGGGGATAGGAAGGGGAAGGGGTGTGAAGTACCTGAGGTCAAAGGTTACTGAATAAACAGAGTCAAAGACTGTTCTGTTATTGGATAAAGAGGACATCGGCGATGTCATAACCGGAATGGACCAGTGATGATGATCAAAACCCCTGGAGGGGTGGAAGGGAAGGGGGAAGGTTGATTTGAAGTACCTCAGGTCAAAGGCCGTTGTGTCAACGAGATTGTGGAGTCTCAGACTATTCTTTTATTGGATAAGGATGACATTAGTGACATCACAACTGTCATAAAGTCTGCGTTTGAGGGGAGCTTAGTTGCTAATAACACACATGTCAAAGAAGCTTTTACAGGTATCTCAAAATAAGACAGAGAATTATGGGGAGGAGGTTATTCAAAACAGAATCCAATTCACATTGGCTTGTGGGTATTGAGGTTGGTCATTTGTAACAACATGCCAGATGAAGACTGTCTAGACATTAAGCTTGCACTGAATCCTAGTAACATAGATGGGATAAACACTGTCAGTGTTACTTCCCTGACTGACACTGTTTTGTTTTGGTGCTGGATGTCAGGATGTACATGTAGTCTACAAGGTGCCTCGATGTTGTAATGTACTGTATAATTTGTCTTATCTTCAAAACGAGTCCAAAACTGGGTTATCTATGGACGCTCTGGTAAATTTAATCACATAAGGGTTATTTTAATGTTGGATGTTCATAATGTAGCAATTGAAAGTCACACATGAGCAGAATTGTTTTCAAGTTCACAACATGGGAGGAGTCTAGGCAGCATGGAGGAGGGAGGAGTTCACGTCAACGTCCTAGCACTCTCTTGGGCCATGATACTGTCATCCTGAAGCATATGATCGCAGTCAAGGAGGCAATCAAAACTGTCGACAAATCACTCCCAGTCCAAACTCTCCATGGTCTCTCGGCAGATCACAGCCCCCCAAGTCCAAGGGTCAACCGTGAAGTAGCGATTAAGACGACCCGTAATAACATCCACGACAGTCATGTCCACGTCTAGATTGTCAATCAGTACTTTTAACGATGCATTTATTTGTCCTTTACGCGCTACAGATGATCATTAGATTGTTGTCTACATGTATACGCAATAAATCCTTTCCGATATGCAAAAAGTGGCTATATTTTATGCGTTTACAACTTCAAGTATGACATGGAGCGCACTGGATGATATATGTCGGTATTAAAGCAATTTGTGATTGCAATATAGATCAAGCAGGCTAGTGGGCTTGCTACATTGTATGTATTTTTATTGGTATACAATGATCAGACAGCTAAATGCATCCTGATTGCAATAAAAATAATACTAGTTGGCTTTTCAATGGCTGCACTTCTATTATTCAATGAGGAAAAAAATGAGACGAAAAATTGAAAACAAGCTTAAGCAGGTGTATGCTTTGCCTTTGGGGGTCAAGCATACCGTAACAAGCTGAATAACTGAATGACAAATTGTGCTGTTATCAGGAAAATTGCCATTTACAGGTAGATGACACTCCATTCATTTTCCAACTTCATTTTCTTCTCATGAATAAATAAAAAAGGGGACAAATTGAAACCTGCAAAATGCATGCCAGAAAAAACAAAAAAATTTTGAATAGACTGCTGTTATAATGAAGGTAAGGGAGACTGACTGTGTGTACATGTAAAAGAGAATTTGAAAATTAAGTATGGCCACTTTTTTATCAAACAAAATTGTTGTTGGACAGATTTTACTCAGTGATTTTAGGCCTTCATGTTAAGGCAAGTTATTGTTACATGCACACAATCTAAATGCATTGGGTGCATTTTAAAGCTGATATACATGTATTGGCATAAAGGTACCGGTACTTTGTCAGATATGCTACACATGTACATGTACACGCAGACTGTTCAAATGCATCTGACACAGACAATTTTCGAATGTAAATAAACATACATCTCTGCATACAGTTTACTGCCTGAAAGTACCCTTCCTACCCCCTACGTACCATACTCAAATTTGCAAAAGAGCAAAAATTGTTTTTGGCAGAAACATCACATTTACTCATATCAAACAGATACAATGCACAATGGTCACAATTTCTAGTTTTGACTTTCATGCACTGCAAATATTATCTTCACCTGACCTAGAATCAAGGTCACACAAAGTGATGCATTATGGGTACACTTCGGTAAATACGCAATACAATTACCTACCAGTGTGATAGACATTTCATGCCTCAACTTCTTTTTAATAGAATTATGAGAATGGTGCTCTTGAGGGATTATATGAAATGGATAGAAAATCCTAAACCCGGAACAAAATACACGTACATGTAGCCCACAACAAAGTCCTCTTTAGCTACGCAATAGAAAGATTGCATGCACCTTTTACATGTTTTAGGTATTGTGCTTCTTATTAATACAGTTTCAGAGAAACTGTACTGAAATATGAACAATGTTCCTAACACACAGGTACTAGTAGTTCAGCACCATTCTGCTCGACCTTTCCAAACATCCATAACAAAACAATTATAATCAAAATTAAAATTAAAAAAAACCAGACCAATAGTCATCCTTATTTTAAAGGTAATATGCAATGTTTTTTTTTTCTTTTAATTTTCAAAAATTCATGGATTTTGGGGGTTAGTATTATTAGTTGGTATTATTTTATAGCAATTTTTGTTACACTGACGTGTTTAAAGTTTAATGATTAAAGATGCTGCAAAAATCAAAAAAAAAATTGCTGTTCTTGTACATGTGTAGTCTGGTTCCCTTTACTTCTGATGAGACGGAGCATAGACGTCAGAGAATTGTCAGGTCAGGGAAGCTGACTAGCTGGCTTGCACCCGTTCACGAATGTGTAATCGATTGCAAACAAAATGTGGGCTTACTAAATTTGGTAACTTGGTGGCAGTATTTGGAAAAAGTCAGTTTTTTCCAACGATACTTGGTTGACCATCATTAGAAATTAATGAAAACAATTCCACTTTTCTTAAAAAATGGCAGCAAACCTGATGCCACGATTTCACAGGATGCTTGAGACTATTAGTCACTTGTAGTCTAGTAGGTTATTTCATAATAATTTGGTAGTTTTGTCTTTTGATGTTAGAATTACCTTTAAACTACAATTAGTATTTTGTTTGTCCTACAATGTACCTGGGTGCATACCGGTACCTACATGTACCTGGTTTGTAATCTCTGCAATATTTACCGTTCACTACATGCGCATCATGCATAACAGTATGTTGTCTAACGATACAAACACCTAGGTAATTATAAAAGCCTGGTTTCAGACTCTCCTAACACAGGCCCCACACTAAACAATGTTACAAACTAGCCAGCAACCAGACTCAAGTCAACCAACTAACTACCAAACCATTTTCCTTGCCCAGCCAGAACGCCGACATCTTTGATTTCCTTCAAACCAAGAACGCAGTGACAGGGTGTAATTTAGCGACAGATGCTCGGACCAATAACGTCGTCTTATCCATCCCTCTTTGGTTGCCGAATGAGTTACATCCATGGAGTAGATTTCTGGCAGTTTCATCGCTCTAACAGTGCCAATGACAACTACTATACTAATGATCCCCAATACACACAATTACTGTCTACTTGTTGTGATGTCTGTCACTGTTACATCTGTTGAATACGATGGTTTGTGTGAACGTAGACAGTGGGGTACATTTATGCACAATATGACTGAATGAATGCAAGTATGGAGTACTAGGAAAAAGAGACAAACTAAGCAAACATCAACAAATGAAAACAGTCTGTAACATGAAACAAAAAACAACAAACAAAACAAAAAGGACTATTCTGAGATTTAGCATTCTTTTCCTTTTTGAAAGGTGAATATATTTCTGTCAATATTTTTTAAAAAATGATTAATTAAACTCGGAAGCATGTCATCATTCGCGACTCATGTACAAGCACAAATAGTAGGAGTAAATCAAACCTCATTTATTCTAGCAGGGTTCCAGTTTAATACTTACCACTGGTGTCTCTTTTTGCACTTGGTGTAGTCGCCCAATTTACTTTGATATCCTGCATGAAAAAACAACAATAAACAAAAATAGTAGTTAAAGTACAAAAATCCAAAAGCAACAGTAGTTGCAAACATCATAAAAATATCAATGATAACAAAACTTTATAGACAGGAATCAGCCATGTTATTGTGGAAGTACGGTAGTGTTCACCATGTCCAGTAAGCAATGAGAAATAAACCTTTGGTTGTCTGAGGCAGGACTCGAACCCATAACCTACTGTCTACAAATGCAGACATCGGAACCCTTCCTCATCAACTCAAACTGGATGTACACTGTAGCCACATTTCGTTGGAATTTCAAATAGTTGGCACAGCTTTGAAAGATGTGGTAAAATAGACATTGTACAAGAACATTTTCACTAACCATTTTGAAACAAGATCCAATAGTTTGTGGGATCCTGTAGGTTTGAGGACGATATATCTCTTGTCCATTATTGGATTGGTTGCATTCAAGAGTGACATATTGGTGAACATTTGTTGGTTAAACGTTTGAGGCTTTTTTCTCAACTTGTACATGCTATGCATTGTACTACTTCGCTGATTGGATACAATAAATATTACCGTATGGCACGTGCAAACTTCTTTCATTTAATTGTACAGACCATTATAATAATTTTTGAAAGGAGACACTGTGTATGTATGTTGAGTTATTGTCTTTATCCATGAATGATTTATAGAAATGGTTTACTTCAGGCTGTAATGTATTAATTACTGGATGTTGCTGGTATGTGGAAATTCCCTTTGCTGTTCATTAAATGCTGGTACGTGAACAGCTTTATGCATGTAGACCATCAATGATTGCTTTCCTATGCTACCATACCAGCACACTCTAAATAAAACTAAACCCTAAAAGATAATGACCATAATCATCATCTGCTTATCATAAAATAGTCTGCGGTAGATTAACAGGTGCGCTGTAGTGCAACGTGGCATTTCACATTACCATATATGACAACAGGTTGTTTTTGAGATAAATTGAAACCGAGCCGGACCCAAAATGACTGCAGCCACAGCTGTTTCAACGATAACCATTCCCAACACAAACTCATACAACTCAGTTTTTTTTTCCCCTTCTTTTTAAATCTATAACCAATATTGCTAGAATCTACACAGACCTCCACACTCTAAACAGTTAGGGTTTAGCTAGAGGCTTGACAGACGTTAAGCTTGAGGGGGCTTTTTACACGAGTGCACCCACAAAGAGCTTTTTCATGTAAACGGCAGATGAATAAGTCTCCCCGCCATTTATTTTACCAGAGGATATCCAACACAAGCTAATGATTTTTTCTGCAGCTCCCTCGAGGATCAGAGAGCGAGCCCGGGAATCGTGGACCGTATGGCCCCGCAACGCAACAGCGCTCAAAGGGTCTTCTTAAACCCTCATCAAATTTCAAAGGCGTTCATTGGTAGTTCAGCTTGCGGAAGCGGCACCGTGTCTGATGTTGAAGCCTTAGGAGTCACTAGGGAATCAGTCAAGTGCTGGCTGTAGTTCCAAAGAGCTCCTAAATATTGCCGCTCGTATCGTCTTTTGTTTAGAAAAGGAAAAAAGCATTGATGAGAGGCCTAAATTTACCTGTACACCCTCATCTTTCCACAATCCAAAACAGCAAACTATTAATGTCTAATATTAGAAATAAATCCTGTAGCAAGAGCTATTATAGTTGATACTACCGCCAACAACCGAGTAACATAATAACACTCAGGTGTAAACTTGTACAAAATTTCAAATAACACAATATTACGTTTCGGTAGTAATCCAAACATACTTGGAAGTCAAACAATCCAATGATACCCGCGACGGATAACATCAATCATCTAGTGGCTACGTTTATCTATTATTCTTAAGGATATTGTTTAGTTCCAGTAGACTCATACCAGTATGCTTTCCTGCGCATCAGGTCGCATCAGGTATGCCACAGTCTGTGTGACCTTGTCTTAACGTAGCATTATCTGTACTTGTTTTCTACTGCAGTCAATTTGTACGAGTTCCACCGTCGGAACACGGACTGCCTCCATTCCATGACAGATAACGACATTCATGTAGCAAAGACCTTGGCACAACCTCAAACAGTAATGCAATGTTTGTGCTATCCATGTACATGTACAACTATGCTTCACGTACAGTATACATACATGTACACCAGTAGCGCACCATTCTATTCAACACATTTCAATAACATAATCCAATTTGGAACAATTCTCAAAAGGAATGCACGCTTGAGATTACAGTTTGCAACATCAAAGAATTCAACTTTAAATTGGGATAGAGAATAATGACAATAATTGCATGTAAATTTGCAATAGGAATACGCATAAGTGTACATGTGCATGTAGCTCACAAATCTGTATGAATGTTGAAACTTTCTGGAAAGAATTCGAAACAGGAAGGATGCTACATGTAAAATGGTTTCACTTGACCCACTTATAAGCCTGGTATCAATGATTCAACACGGCTGTTGAATAAGGTAAAACCACTCAAACCATGGCTATTTTCTTGCCAGCAAGATATTAACTTTCATTCAGAGTACGCTTTCTCAAGGACCAATATCTTTAAATATCCACGCCAAACCATGGGGGAAATAAATGAGCAAATTTTGACCGTGCAGTATCAGCGTTACATATCCCTAGTGCTGCATTTTGCAATGGTTTATCATTGCATTTGTGTTGATTGTTGGATGGTTGCGATGACCTGCAAAGTTTGGTGCTTACTCCCGTGAGACAAATGTTCACATTAAGATGACCAGGACATCCATCTAACCATTGTGACTGGCAATTCACGAGTCTTGCCGAGTTTCCAGATTTATCCACTTGATTCCTATCATTCTCATTTTTCTGACGGACAATGGAGATTGGATCACTTTCTACAAACATCCACTATAAATAAGTATACAAAAATAGAAGTACAAATATGTTTATACATATATTATCTTGTGATCAAAGCAAAAGTATATCGCTACAGAAATAAAAGATTTGGAAATAAAAGTACGTGTATAAGCATATGCAGGCACGTTTTGAAGAGTATAAACTGGAAAAGTAACAAAAAAGTGAAAAGCAAAAAGGGAAACACCATAAAGGGAGAAGTATTAGTTATTTGCCTAAAAAAAAAACACTTAAATATCAAAATTGTATAATTTAACTTTTTTTTTAAATCCAGGCAGGCGAAACATCACCCTGAGTCTCCATATCAATTTCTGAAGTAAATTGCAAAAAGTCGAATGATAATTTGGGAAATGGATCCACGCTATGAATCATGTGACCAATTTACGTCTGCTCATATTTCGTGTAATTTTACCGTTATGAAATTATATGCACAGAAGCCAGACATAATGGACAAACCATCTGGTTCATAAATAATGCCAGAAATGTAAAAGAAACTCATATCATGCCATCTACAAGAATTGACTTACACCCTGTGATAGCTTTCATGTTTTTGACTTACATTATCCCACTTTTTATTTCACTTTTATTAAGTGATTTTGAAGCCCGACCTTAATTTCATCTTTGTGTTTTTTTGCAATTTTGCTTTTCAAGAAAAAATTCTAAAAAGAAACCACGTACAGTCGTATTTATCTGCAACACTAAAATTCAAGTATTTATTTTCCAAGACCTTAAATTCAATTTTTTTTTTAATGATCACAACCACTTCCATTGTATTTCAGCAAAACCACTGAAGTTGTGCCAACTTGAATTTTACTCATGATTGATATACACATGTATGTCCCATTTCCCTCAATAATAATCATTTGTTGAATCTTTTCTGTTTCAAAAAAATCTCACTTTATACAGCAGGTTTTTCATTAACTTTTTGCAATGAGAAAACCTTTCTTTGTCACCATACCTGAGGATTTTCTACGACACTACAGAAAGCATTTACAAGCTACCAGCAACAATTCACTCTCATTCCCTTTTCTCTTGTCATCCATTATTCCTTTTAAATTGGTAGGAGAAAAATGCAGGTTGTATTACCCGTACAATGGGTGAAAATAAATTAGACTGTACGTTTCTAGTGGGGTGATTTTTTGTTTTTCAATCTAATTTTAGACAATGACCAGAAAGAATGGGTGAAAATTGATTGACGCAGATCTAGCAATACAAGGTTATAATGCTCTGTAAGCTCATTGCATAAAATGTGTGAATCCAAATGGTTTACATTGTATCTACCCATTATTTCTATTAGTGTAAAACTGAATAGGATTTCTGGATGAGTGGACAAATTGTAACAATTTAATAATGGGCATCTTTTAAGGGAAAACCCATATTGATTCTTCTAAACTCTTTTGCTGTGCAAGAACCCAATGTTTAACGTTCTGTACTTCAGATTTTCAAGAGGCATGTAACAGCTGCTTGGTATGTTTCTCAATTCGGAACAAAAAATCAGAAAGATTCCTTGGATTTGGGAGAATATGGTTTAACACAGAAACATAAAAGTACAGTGACACTTGCCACTGGGTGCCTAGTATAATACAGGACCAATTTGTTCTTATTGGACAGTCTGGTAAAAACAATTTCTCAATTAAGATCAATGACTGCCACCTGTAGTATCATTAAATTGGTAAAAGTACAGGCAACAGAATGTCTAAACACCACGCTGATCAACACTCATCACAATTATGCTAATTATAATAGGCTCCAAATTACTCCAAATTGTAACCAACTGCCGACCATGCCAGACAGACGTAATTACTTTTGCAGAAAAAAATTATACGCAATAAGGTTCACATGCTTTTCCATTAGTGGACAAATTTATTCCCCAACTTAACCGAATCAAGCAGAATAAATGCCCACTAAGAGTTTTTTTTTATGAGAAAGATGGTAATGGTATATCATTCTTCAGAATGAGGAGTTTTTACTGCTTCACTTAACGAAAATTTAGTCAAGGAAGAATTGGTCGGCATACCTGTGTACTTGTGCCGTGTTCCCCTCTTGCTTTTTGTCGTAATTAGTGCACGGATTAATGCACTGAATGAACTGCTAGATAGCCCAGGCGAGCATCAACAGA